TTACGTTTTTTAACCTTTACCCCTCTCCTCATGGTGAAGCCGTGTCATACAGCTCGTCAGTTGCCTCCTTATGTTTCCCCCAGCTCACCACCCCTCCCCGCTCCCCCCGGCCGAACTCCCCTCACCTCCCGCTCGATGCCGTCCTCGCTGATGGTGGGGGCGATGAAAAACTGCGCGAAGCGGTCCAACGCGCCCGCCAGCGCCTCCCAGTTCACATCGAACTGAGTGGACGAGGTAGCCAGGAACAGGGGTTGAGGGGGTGAGGGGGTTTAGGGTGAGAAGAGAAGAGGAGGTGCGCGCAGTTGCAGCGGGCGGCACCATGGTCGTGGTCGTGGTCGTCGTCAATGCCCGCTACCTCCTCGGCACATTCTTTACAAAACGCTCCTCGTTACACCTCATAATTGTTGTTGTTTATGAAGTGTATAAGTTAATATAAAGCCTCCTCACCAAACGCCAGTATGCTCATAACAGGCCCAACGGCACATCGTGGACCTCACCCACCCACCCACCCACCCACCCAGCACTTTACATGTGACAAGACAACAGGACATGAAAGCAGCAGGACCTCCCAGTAGACCTAACCAGCCAGCCAGCCAACTCACGTGGTAGTTGGTGTGTTCCGCGGCCGTGTAGGCGTTTGTGGTACCTCCGTGATCCGAAATGAACTTGGTGTACTCGTCCTGGGGGCGGTGGGGAGGATGGGGGAGGGGCGGTTAGGGAGGGGAGGATGAGGAAGGGAAAAAAGAAATTCCAAAGTGTGGTAAAGGAAGGGAGGGAGGGAGGGGGGCGGTTGATGAGGGAAGGGGGGGCGGTTGCAGATACTGGCAGTTCGGGAGCGGCAGTTACGAAGGGAAGCGGGGAGGCGGGAATCCCTCCGATAAGAAAAGCAACATGCCCTGAAGACACGCGCCCAAACTGCTTGCTCTTGTCCTACTCAACTACACACATCCAGTTTGATGTAGTATCCTGGGTCATGAATCATGTGAAACACTGTTCTGGCATCAACGGCCGATCTGTCCTTTTCTGTCTGATAAGGCATGATACAACATTTGACGCCTGCCCTAGTGGCTCGCGACATAGCCACCCCTTTGACCATTACACGGTAACACTGTAACCCTAAACGCTAACCAAATAACAAGTCATGCCGGGAGAAGTCAACTGAAGAAGTAAGGGGGAATAAACCAACTGGGCCCCTGACGCGCTCACTGTGCCCTCGTACGTACTCAGCTTAGCTGCTAACATGCATAACTGCTGGCACGGCAACGGACCCAATCTGCGTGGCCTGCTCCTACCCAAGGCCCACGCAGAGACAACCCCCGGGCACTAGACCCAACACGGAAAACAATGCAAAGGGCGGGGGGGTGGGAAACGAAACTAGACCGCGGTAAGTTAGTTTCACCCATTGCACCTCCCTCCCTCCCTCCCATGTCTCATTATATTTTTTTCCCTCCCTCCCTCACCTCCACCGGGTATTTCTCCGACGAGAAGAACAGCATGTGCTCCGTGAAGTGAGCCAGGCCGGGGAAGGCGTCCGGGTCGGACAGGCTGCCCACGAACACCTGTACGACAACATCACACAGCACAGCACACATGCATGACACGCCAGGGTAGTGCCGTACAGGGTCGTACACCGGCAGCCGCGTTGTACGGCATCACGGAAGTATGGTGTAAGAATCGTACGGCAGTAGGGTCGCACTGCATTGGAGTGGTACGGCAATAGCAAGTTTGTGGTCGGGGATTATCATAGAGAGGCATGAGTCGTTGTGTGCGGTGGTTGCTCAACATCTAGTCGCGAAGTGCTGCAATTGATGGGTGCGGAAGTGGTGTGAAGTGGCGGAATGAGGGCGGAGAAAGGCGTCTGGGTGTATTACTCGTAGCAGCACTTACGTCCATGGCGGCTCCCGCCTTGTCGGTTGTTGGGTCGCTAACCAACATAACGCGAAGATTGTTGGGCAGGACGAGGTGGCTTGGAAGGGGGGGAGGAGGGGAGAGGATACATTCAATCAGCGTTACAAGGGTAACAGGTTCTACTATGTAGGGGTCGGGCGGGGGATGAAGAATAAGGATGGGAGGGGGTGACCAGAATGTTGGAATGGTGGTGGTGGCATATTGGGTGACTTTGGTGGGGAGGTCGCCGTACAAGAACAAGGAGGAGGGAGGGATGCTGGGAAGGGATGGACCCATGGGTCGCGTAGTGGACACCGCGCTGACAAGCCTCGACGAGTAACACACGTCTCGTCTGGTTTTTACAAAGAAGGAGGTCGATAGTCTCTGACGGTAGCTCATTTGTACCCAATTCCCCGGGCCCCTGGGCCAAGACTGGCCAGAGCTCAGGTACAATCAATGCCTTTGCCGAACCCAGCTGGCGCCCCAGATTAGCCCCCATTCCGGCTGTACTTGCAATTTTGCAATTATGTCTGCAGTAGACCAACGACGGTGCCCTCACCGGTATTGCAAATCGTCGTTAGCGGGCTTCGTGATTGCGATGCCGTCCGCTGTGTCATTGGATGGCTGCTGCGCTTGCGGCTGTGGATCCGGCTGGGAGGCCAATTTCGCCTTTGGTGCATTTGCAGAGCTCGTAGACGCTGCCTCGTCTTCCCGAGGCGCGTCCTCTGTGTGAGCGTGCATCGTTCTCGCTTATTGCCGACACGACAGAACCAATTTAACAGCTACTCCTGATCTTGCACAAATACCTAAATGGAGGACAACCTAGATGCCTAGATCGCGAGGGGTTTCTTCCAGAGGTAAACGTTCACCGTTCGCGCGCTAGCTGGGCTGCATATTTCCCACGCACATTCAGGTCACCTACTGCAGCTACTCATATACAAGGATCCAAGTGAGGCTCTGTAGCAGGGTGGCTTTGCGGGAGTAACAGTTAGAGGCTTACTCTATGTACCGGTACGGCAAGCTAGTCAGGCTGGCAGTAACGAAAGGAAAGGCCGAAAAGGCGCTATTCGCGTCAAAGTATAATCCTTAGCATCATTAAGAGGAGTTCCGTCTGCGACACTAGGTTTGCCACGTTACGGAGCTGTGCCGTCTTTCCGACTTCTTTCCTAATGCGGAGAACACCGCTAGTCGATATGTAACATAGCTAAGCGCACCCTGCCGATTTGCAGACCATTAGTATTAGGTGATTGCGATAGCGAACGCCACACCAGTAACATCCATGCCACCCCGCGCCAAGCGACATGGAAAGGAGCCCGCCGCCATCCAACCCTCCGGGCCACACGCGGGTCAGGCGAGCATCCGGAAGGCCTACGAAGCCCTGGGCGTCCAGGCGTTCTACGCTTCCCACGGTTCGCACTACACAAACCCGCATGAAGCGCAGATTTTCGCGGCCATCTCACAGCTAATGGACTCTATACCGGCATCTCTTTGGCTTGGATTCCGAGATATGGAGCCATCGGGCGCAGCAGCAGCAGCAGCGGGTTCTGACAATGACGAAAGCGTTGACGACGGCGACAATGACAACGATGCCAGCGTTGAGGATGGACATCCTAACCAACCTCCGCTGGCCAACCTCACTCTCCACCACAGCAGCTCCTCCAACGTTTCCCCAAAACCTGCAGCCGCAGCTCCTGACGCCGTACGGGAAGCCCGAGTCGCATCCTCAACAACGGCAACATCATCGGCAGCAGCGGCAGTGGTAGAGGGCTTTCGGCCTCCCGTGCCGCTGCGGGTACTAGACCTAGCTTGCGGCTCGGGAGAGGCGACTGCGGCGTTGCTTGCTTGGAACCAACAGCGACCTCTGCCATCTAACATGATCGCATCAGCATCAGCAGCAACAGCCGATGCAAACAACACAGCTACTCCTGCGGCTCCTCCTCAAGAGCAGCAGCAGCAACAACAACAACAGCACCCCAAGCATGAGGAAGCGCGAGGACCAGGCGGGAGAAGAAGAGCGGCAGCTGGATCCAGTGTCGTACTGCCGTACGAACTGTACGTCACGGCTTGCGATCCGTACACCGGAGCCGCCTACACTCAGCGAACCGGCCGGGCGGCGCAGTGCTGGTCCTTCGAGGACATCGCGGACGGTTGCCTGGTGGATTGGGAGTGGCCGCAACCGCCGCCCCAACCGTCGTCGTTAGGGCATCCTCAACTCCGGTACGCAGAATACACACCGCAGTCATCCGAGGAGCAGCAACCGCAACAACACCAACCGCAAGCACAGCAAGCAGCAGCACCACCACCTCCCCAGCCGCCTCCAACCTCTCCAGCTTCCTCAACCCCAGCTGGTGAAGCCCCTCCACCACCAGCCCCACCACCACCAGCCCCATCCCAGCAGCAACCCCAACTCCTCGACCACCCTCCACCCCCGCAACCCCCGCAACCGCAATCCCCATGCCCCTCCACCTTACCCCAAGCCCGCCCCATAAGCCACTCCCCACCACCACCACCGCCACCACCACCACGTCCGTGCCCCCCGCCACGTCCCCCATTCGATCTGGTCGTCTGCTCCTTCGCGCTGCACCTCTGCCCCCCGAGCCGGCTGTACGGCACCTGTACGGCGCTGTCGTACGCCTCCCGCTGGCTGCTGGTGCTGGCGCCGCACAAGCGACCCGTACTGAGCGCTGCCGTACACGGGTGGCGGCTGGCGGCGGTGAGGAGGGTGGAGCGGACGCATGCGCGGCTGTACCGGTCGGTGAATGTGGGGGAGGTGGGGGAGTGAAGGGTGAGGGGGTGGGAGTGGGAGTAGAGGTGGCGGCAGTGCCGGTGGTGGTAGGTAGGGGAGGGGACTCGGTGAAGGGAGCTGGTCTGTGTGCATTCAACTGGCTGCAAAACTGACACTGACGGGGGCGCCAGGAGAACTTACTGCCACAGTGGGTAGGCCATGTGAAGGGTCAGGCTGCGTATATGCACGGGCTATGCATAAGCGCAGGCGTATAAAAAGGACCGACGAGCTGATTGCATGCTAGGGTGGTAGCAAGCAGGGGAAGAGGAGGGGAAGTGGGGGCGCGGGCCGGAGGATGTGACGGCGCGGGACACGCTGGCGAGGAGGTAGGGGGGGCATGGTTGCATGGGTTAGGAGGACTGCGGACCGAGGTGTGATGATGGGGATCATGGATGGGGTAGATACCCCCCGTGAGCATGGGTTAGCAGGCGGCGTGCATGCAGACGGATAGGAGGAAGAATGAACCATTTATATGCATTGGTAAGGAGCGTTGATGGGCGTGGCGGTTTAGCGGGGTGTTACGGTTGGCGGGGGCGACAGCCGCATGAGAGGGATGGGAGGAGTGGAGAAGGGAAGGAAGGTTACTGCTGACTGGTAGACCAATAGTAGCAAGTAGCCAGCTGACAATTGGATTAACATGCCTTGGTAGGGCGTGCGTTTCGGAGACGAGTTATTGTTACGTGGACATGAAGCGGAAACGTGATGTGGGCGAGTGAGAGGCACTGCGACATGTCGCATGCTCCTAGGCCACGTGGGGACCCATCGGTACAGTAGGCCGAGGGAGGCGGGTGGCATCCTGATGAAGGGAAGCCACGGACCAAGCTTTGCTGAGATGGTGCCGAAGTAGTATCGCTTGTGTGGTAGTGTCTGTACCTAGTCTCTAGCTTCCCTAATCTCTATCCTTTGTTCCTTTCTTCCTTTGGAACTTGCGCGGCTCCGTAGCCAGCTCCGAGACTGGGCAAAAGCTTCCTCACCGTTGTTGCTTTTGGCAATGCGTAACTCTCTTTAAAAGAATAGCTTACTGCCCTTGGTTGTTGTCCAATACTACAGAAGACCATCCAAGCTTGTCGCCGAACATTTGTCAGGCTTTTCGCGCAACGTATGTTACAATGACAAAGCTAGACGGTGCACTGCAAAGGCATAACGAGATTAGGACGGCTCTTCGCTTCTTTCTCAGCTCTTTGTACAAGCACAAGCAATCAACTAGCGTCGCGGAACCAAAGGAGGTCCTTTCTGAGTTCCTGCGCTTTAAAGCGTACACGTCTTCTCTCCAGGTGCTTCACACGCCGCCTGACGTGCACAAGGAGGAAGGCGGAAAGCGTAGCCGAAAGCGGTCGTGAACCGCTTAAGACTGCAGCGGCCGTCTGATAAAGTATAAGCCATGAGCTCGACAGATCATGGCGTCGGCGGCTTTGGGCATATCTTGCAGCAGCACTTATCCAGTTCGCGGCTTGCAGCGGACAATCTAGTTAGTCTTCCTGGCCAGTGGGCTGCGTCTCTCCAAACATTGTGCAAAGGCGGCTGGGCAAACCGTATCGTGCAAGCTGGTGAAGGACGGCGTCGCGATGATGCCGGACAGTGCTTGTCAGCTCGCCCGGGACAGAAGCCATGGTCTAAAGCATTTGGGGCACAAAGGCCTAGTATAGTTATCAGCAGCCACAGATCTCCCTTCGCCTCCATCACAGGCAGCAGCACTCCCAACACCACTCCCGCCCCAGCCAACACCACCAGCCCCTTCCCGCCGTCTTCTCCCCTTCCTAGTCCCCTTCCCTTATCTTCCACCACCATCTCCGCACCCCCTCCAGCCATCTCAACCTCCTCCCTCTCGGTTCCCACCTCCTCCGCCATTCCTCCATCCCCATTCCCCGCACCCTTCCCAGCCAGTCAAGCTCCCTCCGCAGCTGCCGCAGCGTCTTCCTCCTCGGTCAACGCAGCCGCAGCCGCTGCCAAGGCCGATCTGGGTCGCGCCACCTGGACGCTGCTGCACACCCTGGCGGCACAGCTGCCGGAGCGGCCCTCCCGGCAGCAGCAGCGGGACGTGGCGGCGCTGGTGGACTGCCTCACGCGGGTGTACCCGTGCGGGGACTGCGCCAGGCACTTTGCGGAGATGGTCAGGTGGGTGCCGCCGTGGTGCTGACCGGCCTTGGCCAGCCAGGGTAGTGGTGGAGGAGGGAAGGGGTGGAGCAGTGGGGAGCCTGATGTTGGGGTTTGGTGGGGCAGTACAGGTTACCGTATGGACAGAAAGGAACGTGCTCGGATGGCTTCGGCTCGGGCACGCTTCGCTCTGCTTACGGTGGGAGGGATCTCATCGCCAACCACTTGGTCTTCTTGCCCCTTCTTTCCTAACACCCTCGACAGGCGTGATCCCCCCGTGGTTCGATCTGGGTCGGAGTTCCGTCGCTGGCTGTGCGGCATCCATAACCGCGTCAACGCGCGGCTGGGCAAGCCGTCCTTCAACTGCGAGCTGGTGGAGGCGCGCTGGGCGCCGCTGTCGGGTTGTACGGCAGGCGCGGGAGGGGAGGAGGAGGCGGGTGCGGGTTGTGAACTGCTGGGTGTGGGGTCGGGGCTGGGGGTGAAGAGGCGGAAGGGAGGGCGGTGATGGGGTGTGGGTTGGTTGGTTGGTTGGTTGTTGGCATGAGGATTATGGGGGACAGCCGTTGGGGTGATGGGGTCAGTGACGTGGGGGAGAGAGCTGCTAGAGGTTTTGCATGGGAGCATGAGGTGTAGAGTGTGGCGGGTGGCTTTAAGTTGGGGTCTTGTGCGTTGAGGCGGACCTGCGCCCTTGGCTGAAGCCCTTTGGAGCTGAAGAAAGGACGAATGGGCAGGGTGCCGATTACCACTTCGTCCACCGTAAAACAGAGATGCGGGAGTATGTGTAAATGCAGTACATCCTGATGCCGTTGGTACGGGATGTAGAGATTTCAACAACTATTGCAGCTGCACGTGTATGCATGCTGGCACGGATAAGAGCACCGAGTTATCTGCTAGTATAGGAGAGATAAGCTCTGCTAGCTAGCCTTGCATGGCGCGCTGACGTATCCGTGCAAGATAAGCAGCTTGTGCAGTAAGCAATTTGAGCATATTGCTACATAGCAGCGTGTACACAACCACGCTTTGGCCGTTTTGAGTCTCCAGAAACATGGCTATACACTTGAGTTCCATCCCACTCGCACAATTGTAGACCGGTACCCGGTAGCCGACGTAAGCTTGGCTTAACAATGTATGAATACATCCAAGCACCTGTTCTGGAACTCGTAGAGCCTCTTCAGGGCGCACTGTTATACCTGGACGCGGGTGCTGGAGAGATCGCTCACACGACGCTCGGGCTTCCCTTTCTGCTGGGTTAGTTCCAAACGGGAGCTGCCTTGTATCCTTTCTCGTCGTTTCATCTTATCGTTCTTTCCGGGCATGCGTACACCTGCATTCCAGGCCTGGGCGTAACAAATGTATGCTCGCTGGAGCTTGCATCGCCAAACGATGCGGCCCTGTCGCTGCTTACTAGCGGCAACCCCCCATCCCGACTGGTGATCTTCACCACGCAGCTGCTTACGGAGGTCCACCAGCACATACTCCGAGCAGTCCTGGTGGGTGTTGGGATGTGGATGGTTCAACAGCAAAGTTGAGGAACGTCGCATTTCATCGCTAGTTGACCTTTGCTGTGATGTAGTTGTGTCTAAACCCACTCTCCACGTGTCTCCACCTGTCTCTCCTACGACTCCTCAGGCTCATCCCTCCGTCACATCGGTACACATCTACTGCTCTGTCACCCAGCACGCGCACGCCTGCCTGTGGGGCTGCGAGCTGGGGGTAGAAGCGTACAGCGAGTATGCGGAGATGCTGCAGGTAATCGGAATGAGTGGCAATGAGGAGGAAGTGGGTGTTGTACGGTGTCGTACGGCACATCTCTTCATGCAGTTGCCAATATCTGCTGCCAAGCACACCGTACAAGTCGACGCACACGTTCCCTTGGGTTTGCGCGTTGCTTTCTCAGAATGGATGCTGGAATTGAAGAAAGAGATACCCCGTGACATCACCCGTGAAGGCCACGGCGGCGCTAGGGCAGCGCTAGCGGCCCAGCCTAGGGCCCGAACTAGCGGCCCAAGCGTATCCCTAACCCCTTGCCCCACCGCCGCTCCTTCCAACCCCCCTGTGCACTTCACAGGACGACCTCCGAAGGTCCGCCGCACCTCCCTCCACCTCCACCCCCATCCCCGCCCCTGCGCCTCCCTCCCTGCGCGTGTCCTTCCTGCCGCTGCTGGCTTGCTGCCTGGACCCGGGGCTGCTGGTGCTGCCGGCGGGGGGTGCAGCGGCCAGGAGGGGCGTGTGAGTGTGGCATGGGGCCGGGGGGGTAAAGAGGAAACAACTAACTGACTGGGGGGGGGGTACAGGACAGGGAGGTGTTGTGGCAGGAGGTACCTCCGGCTTGGGGTTGGGGACTTGGGATTGGAGGGCAGCAGGGGGCTTTTAGAGCAATTAAGAGGGGTGTAAAGGGAGCTAGCCATTCCCTGCCCCCCCTGCTTCCTCCTCCAGCCCCACCCTGCTGCCGACACTGCCCACCCCTGCAAGCCCGCTGCGTTGCCCGGTTGCGAACTACCCGCCGCACACCTCCCCCCCCTCACCCTGCCATGCATGCCCTCCCCCTTCCCTCACTCTCCCCCCTCTCCCCCCCCCATCCCTCCTTCCCTCCCTCCTTCCCTCCCTCTCCCTCTCCAGGTGCGGCCCACTGGCTGCCGGCCTGGGACCCCTGCACCCCTCCGCCCCCCTGCACCCCTCCCCCTCCCCCTCCCCCTCGGCACCACCCCCCTCCTCCTCCGGAGCAACAGCAGCAGCGCCGCACAACAACGGCGCCAGCAACAACAACACCAGGCACCAGCACCAGCAACAGCCCTCTCCCCACCACCACCACCACCGCACCAGCTCCCAGCCGCCTGCTGCTGGCCCCCACCCGCTGGAGGGAGAGGGCGGGTCGGAGGGGCTGGCACTCACCGCACATGTGCTGCTGGCGCTGGCGGCCAGCCTGGGGGCGCCGCGACCCGAGACCTTCCCGCTGGGGCCCGTCAGCGCGGCGCTGGGTGAGTGGGAGTGGCAGTGGGGAGGGTGGGGGGGTGAGTGGGGGGTTGAGTGGATTCCCTGCCAGGTATCTCAGAGTTGGTTCCAACTAACGGTGTTGGTTCTAACTACCTCTTCTTGGCCGTTGGCGGTTTCTTTATCACCTTCCTGTCTAGTCGCACCCCCTGCCCTACCCCGGGACCTCCCTCTCTCCCCCTGCGCTGCTGGTCTCCCCCACCTCACCCCGGTTACTAATGCTGCTATTAACCTTGTAATGACGACTATTATTACAGGCTAGCCCGACTATCCAGCCTAATGCGGAGTATGTATCCCTACTAACCGCACCCCACCCCCCGCAGCTGCGGAGATCGCCTCCCTGCCCAGCGTAGCCATCTCCCACTCGCTCCCGCCGCACCCCTCGGACGCTTCGTCTTCCTCGTTTCCCGGCTCCTCGTCTTCCTCCCCCGCCTCCCTGGCGCTCATTTTGGTGGACCGATCCCTGGACCTGGCCACACCCTGCAGGTGGGGGGTTGGGTGAACTTAACCGCGAGGTGGGGCAGGTGGGGCAGGAGGAGGGGGTGGTGGTGGGGCGGGAAGAGGAAGAGGGAGTAGTGAAGTGTTGGGCAGGAGGACGAAGGAGGACGAAGGAGTGGTGTTGTGTGTGGTAATCAGGACTGCGAAGAGCCTGGGATAGGGGGGATGATTGGCTGCCCGCCAACCCGGCCTACCGACCCTGCCGCGTATGTGTATTACACGGTTCCCCCCCCCGCCCCGCCCCCCCCCCCCACACACATGCAGCCACGGGGATCACCCTTGGGACTTGCTGCTCGCGGCGTCAGCGGCGGAGCAAGCCATGACCAGCGCTGCAGCGGCAACCGCAGCAACCGCAGCAGCAGCAGCTAACAAGGGGGCCGGTACGACAGGAAAGGCAGCAGCCCCCACGGCGGCGGCGGGGGCTGCAGGGGCGCCTACCAGCGGCAGTGGCAGGGGAGGTGGCGGCACCGGTGGGCAGGCGCAGGGAGTGGAGGCTGTTTGGAGGTGCGTGTGGCCGACTCCGCACCTCTCCAACACCCACATCACACACCACATTGGATATTCTTTTCTCCCCTAATCCGGGCAGGGGGGTGCTGGAGCTTCGTACAATGCTAGAGGGGGGCTGTGGCTGAGCAGGGACGAGTAGCGTAAGGAGGTGTTGGGTGGCCTGACTAGGCGTCTTCTCCTCCTTTCCGCTTATTCTTTTCCTTGGCCACCCGCCACACGCAGGTCGTTGGACTGGTTGCGAACCCCCCTGCCACCAAGCGCGGAAAGCGAGACCGCTGTTAGCCTCAACTTTCCATGGCAGCAACAGGCATCGGAGGAATCCCAACGGTCAACTGCAACCACCACCGCTGTACGACCAGTCCTCGTCACCATGCAACCGACGTACAATTTGTACGGCATGGAACTTCTCGATCCAACGGACCGTACGGCAATCAGTCGCCTGGAAAGCATTGCTTGGCGGTCAAAATCCCGCCGAGAGAGCCTAACGGCATTACGTAAGGCACTCAAGGAGGCCCTACGTACGGAGAAGCTGACACCTGCCGTACGCAGCAAAGCGGGTGCCGTACAGCCGACGGAACTTAGAGGCCTGGCGGAAGCCCTGCTGGGATCTCCTGGTGGGTCTGCAGTCGTACACACACACGCTCAGCTACACAGCCTTTTTGAACCCTATATATAAATACGATCGCAAGCACCGCGCTGTTTTACGCTACATGGTTAGCTTGTCGTAGTCGTCGCGGTGACTTCCTTCCTGACCAATGTACACATACGTAGATACGTTTGGTTGAGCGTCTCGTTCCTCCTCCTTTGACCTCTCTTGTCTCTTGTACGACAGGCGCTTGCTCACGGCATCGGAGTACGGCAGCTCTCGCGCTAGCGGTGGCGGCGGCGCTGGAGTCGACGGCGGCGGCAGCGGCCGACGCGGCAGCGGGGATCTGTCGTACGATCCTGGCGGCGTTGGCTGGCGATGGAGGCGGTGGTGGCGGCGGAGGCGGCGGCGGAGGTGGAGAGGCGGCGGCGGCGGTTTTGATGGATGCGTTAGCGGCGGCTAAGGAGGGGTACGTGCCTGGGAAGGGGAGGTGGACGGAATGTGAAGGAAGCGTACGGGGCAGGGAAGGGCTGGGGATGAGGGTTCGGAGGGGCCTCTTACGGTGCTGGTAGGATGCATGAGGTCAGCAAGGTAAGCAAGAGTTAGACCCTATACATATACAGTCACCCGGCAAGCAAAGGAAGCCTGAGTTCCTGCTTGTTTCCTTCTCCCCTCTTGCGTTACGCCATGTGTACGGCAACCACAAAACCACCACCACCACCACAACCACCCCAGCAGTCGCGGACCCCTCCACGTCGGCCACATCCTAGACCTCCTCCCGGCAGCCTTCTCAGCGGCTGCAGCAGCCGATGGCGCCGCCACCGCTGGTGATGATGACGTCAGCAGCGGCTACGGCAACAGCGGTACGGCAGCGGCGGCGGGCATCACTGGTAGTAGCATGAGTCATGCGCCGTACACACAGCAGCAGCTGGCGGCGCTTCGCGCGGCCTTGACGGAGGTGATACTGTCTTGTGTACGACCGACGGAGGTCCTCGCCGGGAGATTGCCGTACGATTTGGTGGCAGCGCTTGCCGTACGACAGGAACGGCGGCGGCAGCGGGTGCAGCAACACGGGGACCAAGATGGGAATGGGGTGAAGGGCAATGCGGATGAGGAGCAGGAGCAGGATCACGAGGGGCAGGATGAGGAGCAGGAGCAGGATCATGAGGGGCAGGATGACGAGGACGATATGGTTGTACGGCAACGGCTTTCTTCCGTACTCGACGTCCTCTTTGCTGGCCTGCAGTACGCAGCGGTCGCCCGGTCGCGACTGAGTACCTTCCGAAAGGTAAGAGGGGGGGAGGGAGGGAAGGAAGGAGGGTGCAGGAGGGAAAGGAGGGCAGGCGGAGTGTACCTGCAGCTAAACATCGGCAAGCTTGGGTTGTTTAATCCCATTTGGGGGCGAATACGGTAGCACACCTAGTGTGCCATCATGTTAATAAGAGGCGAAGCTTGTACGACAGTATAGATGTCCCTGTAGCAGCCTAAAATCCCTGGCGTGCCGTACAACCATACGTAGACACAAAACCCCGATCCCGACCCCCTCTTTCACGACCCATATGGCGCCTTCACCTCCCTCTCTCACGACTGCCGGTTTGTGTCGTACTGCTCCGTACTGCAAACACAGGTGACTCACACGGACGTCTTCGCTGAGAACCATGGGTCGCTCAACCCGCTGGTGCGTCAGGTGGTGCGGAAGGTGCTGCAGCGGGCCGACACGACCGACTGGTCCATGGGGCATCAGGTGGGGTTGGGGGTGGGGTTGGTTCTGTCGGTGCAAGTGGGTGGCAGAGAGGAGGCTGCAGGGCTCACGGTAACACCCTCTTGTACCGAGTCTTGCACCACCAGAGAAACAAGGGCGTGCCACCCCTCCTTGTCATCAGCCCTCTCCTTACGCACGCCTTGACACGCCTTTACCTCTCCTGACCCTCACGCCTTCATCCTCTCCTAAATCCTCACACCTGCGGCGGACTCGCCACATATCCCACCAACCGCGCCCCCACCCACCTGTTCCACACCTCCCACCCACCCACCCCCTCACGCCCACTCGCACCCAACAGGCCTCAGGACTCGGCGGCCTGGCAGGTGGCATCACGGGCGGGGGCGGGCTGGTTCGGGGCCTGCTGGGGGGCCTGCTGCAGGGCGCCTCGCGGGCCGTGCTGGGTGGCGGTGCGGGGGCAGGCGGGGGCAGCGGCGGGGGAGGCGGGGGAAGGGGTCACAGCCCCGGGGAGTACGGCACGGTGCTCGTGTTTGTGGTGGGCGGCATAAGCCCTTCGGAGGTGCGGGAGGTAAGCGAGGTGGTGGGAGGTTGGGGTGCGGGGGGGTAGTGGTGCGGGAGGGAGGTTAGAGGGTGAGTATCGGTATCAGTGCGCATGAGGTGATATATCCCATGGGAAGCTGCAAGCTGGAATTCCTGGTACCGGTACCGGTATCTTCACTTCATGTCACATCTTGTGCATCTCTCGTGGGCCGCATGTGCCTGCGTGCGCCTGTCCTCATCGACATGGGTAAAACCCAGATCGCACATGGCTTGCCGTACACTCCTACTCCGCCTCCCTGTCTCCCTGCCGTACAACACCATGTGTGCCCCCAGGTGCGTGCGGAGTGTGAGGAGTATGTGGGACCGGGCAAGCCGCGTGTGCTGCTGGGGGGCACTTCGCTGCTGGTGCCGCAGGTGGGAGGAGGGGGGGTGTTGGTTGAAGTGTGGGGTGGTCATGACATGGGGTGACACCTGGGGGCACACCGGGGATTGGGCATCAAGAGAGCGGCCGCGCTTAACTGCCTACCGCCGTACATGGACACACACACGGGGGGCCCTGCCGTACCGTGCAGTGTGACGAAACACACACACCTCCTTTCCTGACCCTCCTCTCCTCTGTGGCTTCCCTCATCGCCTCCTGCAGGACATCACGATGCAGCTGTGCGGCGGCCCGGCGGGTCCCATGCTGTGACCCATGGGTCTCTGGTGTAAGGAGGACAAGTCCGACGGAATATGCAAATATGCACTGTAGCGGTGTCAGATCCTACAACGCGCGTAACGTCCCTTAATAGACTGCACATCGGGCCCTGAGGGGGTGCATAGGCATAAAGCCCTGATGTGATATAAGTGTACATCCGTGCTCGTTGTCGTGCTCTGACGGGGTATGGCGTGGCGTTACTTCAGGCATGCTTGCGCCAGAGGGATTCTTCTAACCGGATGTCGCACCAACAATACATAGCCACAAGATAGTCAAGGAGTCACGTCATAAGGGGCTTATGATCTAACCTCTGTGGCCGGGGCACAGGACTCTGGGGTACGGATAGCCTGTACGACACGGAGTTGGATCCTGTCCTTTGTCTCGTTTGTGATAATTGGATTTAGGCAGTTGGCTTGAAGACAGCGGTTATGAGGATGACGGACCTACGCTGGTGCGAGGCCGAAGGTTGTAAACAGAAGGTTGACAGATTGTAAAGCCGCCGAGCGGATTTGACCCAAGGCAAGGAAAGGCGGGCGTGGCCCAGATCCACATGGCATCTTTTGCAATAACCAGCTATGCAAGTCGCAAATTGCACAGTAGCTTCGCAGAGTAACCAACTACAGCCCACTGGTAATACATGAGTACCTAGGACGTGCGTCGACTTGCGGCCATTCGGTTGAGCTTCTTACGCCCGATTAACCGCGACCTCATCGTGTTATCTTAGTCACATTCTTGAACCCCGCTCTGCATATACACGGCGTTGTAGCTGTTCTATTTGTTCTTTACCTATATAGGTCTTGGAACTTCATAGATACCTAACTTGTGCATGCTAGACGTTTAACTGCTCGGCAAGAAGAATGCAAAATCAGGTCTTACGCAGGCCTGCTACATGCAGTCAGCCTCAAGCTGCTGCTGGAAAGCCGGCCGTTCCTTTGAAGTTTAGCAATGGACGAATTGCCCGTCGGCTTCCCTGCGCGGCTGGCGCGAAACAGCCGCAAGGTTGTGGCGCCCAGCCGCTGGAGTCGCGAAGCAGCCTGGCACCCTTCGCGCGCAGCCAGGGACGCCTTTTGACCGTCGCAGCAAGCGCAGCGGTGGCAACGGAAATTAGCACTCAGGTCCGCTTGCAAACCGCTGGCCGGCGCTTGCCCTGGCTTTCTTGAATAAAGAAGCAACACGCGTTATGCTCTCAACATGCAGAGGGTTTATGTTTTTGGCAAGAGCAAGAGCGAGGGCGACGCCTCCATGAAGCAGCTGGTGGGACTTAATTTGCAGAGGAATATTCAAAGCGCACCTTCCAATCTGGCTATGAAATTTGAGCGATTGATAATTACAACGGCTTGTTACCCCAAGGACGTTGCCCACTTTCTCGCCATGCGCACTTTGGCGGACTGAACTGGCCTGGGGCTGACCCAGTAACTTGAACATCTCTGCACAAAGTGGTGTTGATTACCATTCATGTGCGCCCATTTAATCGCAGCTTGGAGGCAAGGGCGCAAACCTGGCAGAGATGTCGCGCATCGGCCTGTCGGTCCCGCCCGGCCTCACAATTACCACCAACACATGCGCGGACTTCCACTCCAACGGTGAGGCGATGAGGGTGGCATCGAAGCGGCTGGACTTCATCGGGGTTGGGGTGCACATGAATGCCTCACACTCTATAGACGGCACCCCTTTGCAGACCCGTCCTCGTGAAGTCCCCAGCCCCCCCCTGGTTTCTCCCGCCACCTCACCTTCCCTTCCGCTACCCACCCTTCTTCCTCCCTTTAACGGCTCCACCATCCTCCTCTGCCCACTCCATTGCTTTGCCCTAACCAATGGTTTTCCCCCCTCCTGCCACCCCGCCCCCAGGCCGCCAGCTGCCCCCCGGCTGCTGGGAGGAGGTGCTGGCGGGGCTCCGGGCCGTGGAGGCGGAGATGGGCTGCAAGCTGGGCGACCCCGCGGCGCCGCTGCTGCTGTCGGTGCGCTCAGGAGCCGCGGTGAGGGGGGGGACGCGGGAGGGGGGAGGGGGGAGGGGTGCGTGTGCTAGCGGTTTCATCCGGTCTGAGTCCTGCCGTACACCATCCTCCCCCCATTTAATGCACGGTTCTTCATCCCCCCCTCCTCCCCCAGGTTTCCATGCCGGGTATGATGGACACGGTCCTCAACTTGGGCCTCAACGACGCGTGCGTGGAGGGGCTGGCGGCGCGGTCGGGCGACCCGCGGTTCGCGTACGACGCGTACCGCCGCTTCCTGGACATGTACGGCGATGTGGTGATGGGCATCCCGCACCACCTGTTTGAGGAGCAGCTGGAGAAGCTCAAGGTGTGTGCGTGGGGGGGAGCACGGGGTGGGGTGAACTGAGGGGTTTAATAGGGATGAAGATTCCGCATTAGGCTGGAACTGAGGGGGGTAAAGATGAAAGAACTAACTGAGGGGGTGGGGGGGTTGCGGGTTGGGAGGAAGGGGATGGCTGGCTAACCGTGCGTCATGTCATTCCACCATGGGGTGCACGGCTTGAGGGGGAGGGGGGCTTGCCTGCCTGGGGGGCTTTGTAAGTGAGGAGAACTGCTTTGATGATGTCCAGAGGTTGGCGTCAGGTTGGAGTGTTGGGGACTGCATCCTCTCGGTTCGAGAAAACACTGGAGAAAACACTGGAAAAGGAATTGCGGCTCGCTGTTGTTTGCCACCCCTATCCTCCGCACCACCATTCCCTTCCTCGGCTACCCCCCCCCCTCTGTTGCATTTATTTATAATTTTCCCCCCCTCCCCCCCCCCACCCCCAACCTGTGGTTTCCTATCGTTCGGTATGGTCTCCCCCCCCCAAGTCCGAGCGCATGGTCAGTGAGGACACGGCGCTCTCCGCCGCCGACCTGCGCCTGCTGGTGGGCCGATACAAGCAGGTGTACGGCAGGCTGGGCAAGGTGAGGGGGGAGGGGGTGGGGTACATAGTGCAGGTGCAGACTTTGGTGTTTCGTGTTGTACGGATGGATGCCGTCCGAACGCCCCCTCCCATTAACATGGACACCACCCCTCCCAACACAACCCCCCCCCCCCCCCCCGGTACGCAACATTCATTCCTCCCCCCCCCCCCAGGTCTTCCCCGAGGACCCCTACGAGCAGCTCCGACTCGCCATCTACGCGGTGTTCGACTCCTGGCAGAGCGAGCGAGCCAACGTGTACCGCTCGGTCAACGGAATTACCGGACTAGCGGGTACGGCAGTCAACGTACAGGTACGGCATACGGCAGGGGGGGCAGGGGGCGGGGGTGGTGTTTGATGAGGTTTGTTGCCTCCTGACACAGCTACAGAGGAGCTGTAGGAGTCAGCTTGCATGCAGGGTAAAGTTTGGGCCTCCCGCCCTCTGCCGCACAGCCTCGCCCGTCCTAATTCCCCTGCCCCCACCTCCCCTGCCCCCACCTCCCCTGCCCTGCGCTGGTCCCGTCTTCCTGCTCCTCCTCCTCCTCCTCTCTGTGACATATGATATGTCCTCCTCTCCGTGACATCGCATGACACATGTGCCGTACGACCCCTCCCCTGCCCGCTGTGTCCCGTGTTACTCCTTTTCCTCTCTCTGTGCCGTACGACACCGCCAGGCCATGGCGTTCGGCAACATGGGGCCCACCAGCGGCACGGGTGTGTGTTTCACACGCAACCCCTCCACCGGGGAACGCAAATTGTACGGCGAGTACCTCATCAACGCTCAGGTACGACGGATTGTACAACGTTTTATCAAACGTACGGCATATGGTTGGTGGTGTGTTGTTATTAAGAGATCCACGGGCGCATGACTTTAGGAACACACCTGTCCCGCACATGGGGGTGACGATCAGGCTAGTGTGAAATTATGGAATTGGATGGCGTAGATAGGCTAGAGAATGATGAGTTCCCCAAACTTACCTCCTCCCTACCTGCTTCCCTCCTGTCCTCTCCTCCCCCCTCCTCCCCCCTTCCTCCCCCCCCAGGGCGAGGATGTGGTGGCGGGCATCCGCACCCCCGAGCCCATCGAGACGCTGGCTCGAACCCTGCCGGGCGCATACCGGCAACTGATCGACAACTGCGCCCTGCTGGAGAAGCACTACAAGGACATGCAGGTGGGTGGGCGGGGGGGGCTGCGGCAGGGCAGGATAGAGGGGGAATGGAAGGGGAGACGTGTGTGTTTTGCATGTGATACACACTACAAGGACAGGTGGGAGGGCAGGGTGGGGGAGGGAGCTGCGGTGAGGCGGAGACACCTGCCTCCTGACCAAATGATTCGTTCCCTCATCGCTTCCTTCCCCTCTCATTCCACACGCGCACAGGACATTGAGTTCACGGTGCAGGAGGGGCAGCTGTTCATGCTGCAGTGCCGCGGCGGCAAGCGCACGGGCGCCGCGGCGGTTAGGATTGCGGTTGAGATGGTTGAGGAGGGGCTCGTGGATCCGGACACTGCTGTACTGATGGTGGAGCCGGGGCACCTGGATCAGCTGCTGCACCCGCAGTTTGCGGATGAGGCGTCGTACAAGGGAGATGTGATGGGGACAGGTGGGGAGGGGCGGGGTTGGTGATGAGGGAGGAAGGGTTGGGAATGAAGGGAGGAGGAAGAAGGGTGCATGCATACAGTCGCACAGTGCGCTTCCCTTCTGCATACCGCTTCTGGCGACGGCAACCCATCCCTTCCCCTCCCAATCCGCAACCGCGCCCAAACCAGCCCGCCACCTCCCCACCCAACCCCCTCCCCACCTGCCCTCTCTCCACCAACGCCATACCTGCAACCTCATCTACCCCCAACCCCAGACTCCTCTCCCCGTCCCTCCCTCCTCCCCCCCCCCCCCAGGTCTCCCCGCCTCCCCCGGCGCCGCAGTGGGTCAGGCCGTCTTCACCGCGGAGGACGCGGAGGCGTGGCGCGCCAGCGGCCTGCCGGTCGTACTCGTACGGCGGGAGACGAGCCCCGAGGACGTGAAGGGCATGTACAGCGCGGAGGGGGTGCTGTGTCAGCTGGGCGGCATGACGAGCCACGCGGCGGTGGTGGCGAGGGGGTGGGGGAAGCCCTGCGTGACGGGGTGCGCGGACCTGCAGGTGGGGGGTATGAAGGGCGGGGGAGGGATGGGGGAGAGGGGGGGGGATGTGTGTGTTTTGCATGGGGGAAGTGCATGGGTGCAAGGGGATGCAACAACAGACAGCGTCCCGACCCATGGGTCCATCCACGTTGGTGAGATCTCATCATGGCGCCAACCTCATGCGGTGTACTACACATTCGATCTTTATGAACCCCAACACGACCAACCAACCGCCAACCAACCAACTACCGGCAACCAACCGCCATCCGTGCACAGGTGGACGAGCACAACAAGGTGGCTCGCATCAACGGTCACGAGATCCGCCAGGGCGACTTCATCTCGCTCAACGGCTCCAGCGGAGAGATCATCCGGGGCAAGCAGCCGCTGGCGCCGCCGGAGCTGGCGGGGGATCTGGGCAGGTGGGGGCTGAGCTGTGGAAAGGGAAGTAGGTGGTGGGAGGGGAAGTAGGTGGTGGAGGTAGTCTGTACCCAGGCACAAGCCCTGCCCTACGACTTTGGTTGGATACTGCATGCGTTAACCCAAGCCCGCATCTTGCTGTTGATCAGCCTTCACGAGCCGCATGAGCCCCACCTGCTCCCGGGTTCACCACGGGGGGGGCTACATGCCAGGCGGCGGCAGCACCCGGGTCCCCTCACCCACCACTCTTGGCAACATGGCACCCCCTGATACACATCAGGGCGGCACCAGGGCGGCACCACGCACAAGTAGTTCCCTCCCCCTCTTCCATTCCCCTCCTCTCCTTCCACCACCCACACCCCAACTCCCCTCACCACCACCCCACCCCCCCCTCAAAGGTTCATGGCCTGGGTTGACGCCCGGCGGCGGCTGGGGGTGCTCACCAACGCGGACACTCCCGAGGATGCGGAGGAGGCGCGCAAGTTTGGAGCCGAGGTGGGGCAGTGGGGGGGCCGCGTGAGGGGGTGGAGGGATGTGGGGTGGGGTTGCATGTAGCCCGGGGTTAGAGGCGAGGCGCTGACTTGCATGGAGGGAGCACCGCTGCCCTCGCTCCTGTCGCGACAGTGTGGTGTAGCTGGCCTGGGAGAAGCAACAGCAAGAAGCAAGAAGCCCCCAACACTCCCTGCGCACACACCAGCTCGACTCGCGGCCAGTCTTCTTAACACCAGCTCCGCACCCCGACCCCAAACGTGCGGCGGTCCTCATGAAATCCCAGACGTGTGCGCCTGCGCTGCTGCCTGGCGACGCCCCGCTATGGTTGGGAGTCCACTTGCTTCAATCCCCCCTCCTCCCATGCAACCCCCACACGCAGGGTATCGGGCTGTGCCGTACGGAGCACATGTTCTTCGCCAGTGAGGAGCGCATCGCCACTGTACGGCGGATGATCGTGGCGCAGGTGGGGACCCCGGGGGGGGGGGGCGGCGGGCGGTGCGGTGAGCCTGGAAGGTCTAGTCCGGGTTCTAGCACCCCCCCCCCACACACACACGCTTCACGAAGTACGGCATCCGCCCCCGTTCCTGTTTTCCTGTTCCTGTTCCAGCTTGTCGTACATCGATACGATATGCGGGTACTGTCCGCGCTTCCTTCTCGTAATATCGGGTCTCATCCATCCACGGCATGGTATTCTGTGTTTCACCTCCTCCTCCCTCCTCCCTCCTCCCTCCTCCCTCCTACCGCACTCCCTCCTCCCCCCGCTCCCCCCCTCAACATCCCCCGCAGACCAAGGAGGCCCGGCTGAAGGCGCTTGCTGACCTGCTGCCTTTCCAGCGGGCGGACTTTGAGGTGGGGTGCTGCAGGGGAGGGGAGAGGGCACCCCCAGGTGTCCCCCGTGCCATGGCCTCCTGGCATTGTCATGCACCTTACCCCACCCTCGCATGTTCTCGCTTGCCCTTCCCTTTCCTCATGGCTTCCCCACTTCCCCTCCTTATGCGCTCCTCTGACACGAACCCCCCCTCCTGCACCGCGTCCGCCCCCTCCCCAGGGCATCCTTCGCGCCATGGACGGGCTGCCGGTCACCATTCGGCTGCTAGACCCGCCGCTGCACGAGTTCCTGCCGGATGGGGAGATGACGGAGGTGGGGTGGGGGTGGATGACAGTAAGGAAGCTGTGGGGAGATGACGGAGGTGGGGGTGGGTGGGGTTGGGGGTGACTTGAGGAGAGGGAGGGGAGGGACCGCACAGCACTCTGTCATTTATCCCGCCTACACTTTAGAGACCCTTGGCACGGATATAATATTATACCCCCCATCCAACCGCCCCCACCCACCCCGCTCAGGTGTGTGAGGCGCTGGCTCGGGACGCGGGTGTGACGGTGGACGAGGTGTACGGCACCATTGAGAAACTGCAGGTGAGGGCGGTTGGGGTTGGTTGGTTGGTTGTTTCCGGAAGAAATACGGAAGAAATACGGAAGTATCAGGATTCATGCTCGAGTTGCTCGAGTACTCATCCAGTATACGGCTGCGATACGGGTATCACATCTGGTACTTGTGGATCTGGTACTTGAAGTGCTGACCCCACCCCCTGCTGCTGCTCCCCCTCCCCCCCCCCCCCAGGAGGTGAACCCCATGTTGGGTTTCCGCGGCTGCCGACTGGGTGTCACCTACCCCGAGATCACCGAGATGCAGGTGGGTCGGTTGGGAGGGTGGTTGGTTGGGAGGGTGGTTGGCTGGTTAGGAGGGTGGTTGGGAGGGCGGTTGGTTGTTTGGGGGAAGATTACCTAGTCGGGGGCACAGTTCCGTGTCACATGTTAGTTTCCAGAAGAGATCAGAAAGGACGGGAATATTTTGTATTCACGTGCACGTGCTTTTACATTTCAGGTTCGGGCAATGTTCGAGGCTGCCGTACAAGTGATGAACAGCGGCGGTGTCGTACAGCTCGACATCATGGTACCGTTGGTCGGTACGGCAGCCGAGCTCCGAAACCAGGAGCAGTTGGTACGGCGAGTGGGAGAGCAGGTGAGCTGTCTTCTCATTAGTTAGTTGTGCGGTATTGACAGTTCGCGGAAGTTGATTTGAACATAGCCTTCCTCCTCCTTGCAAGCGAACAGAAAGTGCTTTCCCTTACCTGTATATCCTGTTTCCCAGTCCCCCATATTGCAGTGCATGTGTTAAAACGTGTGGTAAGAAGACTGACCGTGTTCATACATGTTTATGTACGATGCTTGCGTGTGCCTGGTACGGCAGGTGATGTCGGAGCACGGCAACGTACGAGTGCCGTACCGCGTGGGTACGATGATCGAGGTGCCCCGAGCGGCGCTGCAGGCGGGCTCCATCGCGACGGTCGCGGAGTTCTTCTCCTTTGGAACCAACGACCTGACCCAGATGACGTGAGGCCTCAACTAGGATAACACACAACCACATCCAGTGCTGTCAACCCTGCTGCAGTGCTGTAGCTTTCATGCTGGGAGATTTACCGTCCGCAGGGTTGCCTTTGTCGTCAGGTGCCGCTAGCAACAACAGCCACGTGCATGTGTATGTCCTCCAATGTGTATGTCCTCCTCCTCCCCAATGCATGCCTGACGCCCCCATGCCATGTCATGTCATGTCGTACACAGGTTCGGCTACTCTCGTGACGACATTGGCAAGTTCCTGCCCACCTACCTAGAAAAGGGTATCCTGCCGTACGATCCCTTCCAGGTACGACATGGGGCCAGCCGTGTACTGCACTACTGTCGTACACTGCCGTACTGCAGTACTGTCGTACATGTGTTTTTAGCCCGACGACATCTCCAATCGCATGCCGCGGCGGCCCCTCGCATTCTGTTCCCTTTTGAGCTCACCGATTCCGTCGTGCTACTATACGGCAATGTACATCAGTGCTGTGGGCTTTGTGGCACATTGCAAGCAGAGCATCGTTATTTGGTGACCAATCGGTGACGTACCCTATCAGTAGTAAGCTATATCGGTACACGTGCCGCCTTTCCATTCTCTTCTCCCTTGTTCACCGCCACCACCTCCCTCTTTCAACACCACCTCCACCTCCCTCTCTCACCACCCCCACCACCACCTGTCTTCCCCCAGGTTCTGGACCAGGAGGGGGTGGGGGAGCTGATCCGCTTTGCAGTGGAGCGCGGCCGCACCGCCCGACCCGACCTCAAAATCGGCATCTGCGGGGAGCAGGGAGGCGAGCCCAACACAGTCGCCTTCCTGCACGACGTGAGGCTGGCTTCTTGGGGGGATAAAGAGGAAACAACTAACTTCCTGGGGGGAGGGGGGCTTGCACATACACCACCTAGGTTTCCTCGCGGCGGGTTTCTCAAACACCACGTGATGTCCTGCCGCGGCCCGCCCATTACTAGTGTGTACTCTGCTTGGAGGTCAGATGCCATGCTGCTTGCTGCACGCCCCTTGCTTGCCCCTCTATCTCTCACCTACACGCCCCGCCCGCCTCCTCCCCCGCAAGAGCTTCCCACTCCTGCTGTCGTTACCCTCCCCTCCCGCTGCATGCATGCATGTGCGCCTACCCTACCCCCATTGGCCGGGTACCATGTAGCAACCCATGGTGAAGCCTCGTCATACAGCTCGTCAGTTTCCCCTTTACCCGCCCACCCCCCAGACGCCAGTTGCCGCACTTATCATGTATCCCCCCCCATCCCCCCCCTCCTCCCCCCCGCATGCAGGTGGGTCTGGACTACGTGTCCTGCTCGCCCTTCCGGGTGCCCATCGCCCGACTGGCGGCGGGGCAGGCGGCCATCAGGAGTGCTCGCAAGCAGGCGGCAGCGGCCAAGCAGTGATGATGGGGTGGTGAAAGGGCGGAGGTTTTGCGCGTTTGCAAGCCTTGCGGGGGGGACAAGAAGACAGCGGGGCAGGAATGAAAGGAGTAGGTTGCGGGCAGGGGAAGCTGCGTAGGGGTGATCTACGTGTCTGCGTGCTGCTTACTGGAGGGAGCGCGCGTCGTGATACGGCAACTGCACTTCGGAGGGATACCGGTAAGAAAGGGTTGGAAAGGAAGGTTGAAGAAGCGAAATAGCATTGAGAGTGGCTCGTAGTCGTGGTGGGCGGGGCTGAATATGCACATACACTTCTGCCGGTTTGATGAAGCTGGCGTCCGTTAGCAACTGAAGCTTGTTATCGAGAGATGGAGAGACTCGAGAAGTAGGGAGAGGGAGGGAGTGGCAAAGAGTGACGAGCCGTATACCGTACATGTGCTAGAAGAGAGAACAAGGGGCCACGAGTGTTGGAGGTGACAGCAGTGGACACGCGCGCGTGGGGGCCGTTGCGAAGCATGGTAGGCTGGATTGGCTCTCTGAGGTCTCTGGTTGCAAGTCCAATGTATGTCAGTATGAGTGAGAGGAATGCAGCACTAGCGATACATGCCATGTGACGAGCGAGCTTGTGTGTGGTGCACATGGGGGGTGGGAGCTTGCTTGCTTGTAGCGTGTTCTTGTTGGCACGACGGAGTGGCGGAGTGTAATGTGACGGCATCGGGTGAGGCGGTGTGCCGCCGCTCAGTGAAAAGATCAGGCTTCGTGCCGCCGATCGGTGAAAAGAGGGGAGTGTGTGCTTTTGAGGGGGAGTGTATGCGTGTTCATGTTCAGTAAGTGTCCATGACTTGAGAGCAATGTGGTTGACCTGCACTGCTGTAAAGGAGCTGCTCGTGAAACCGGTAACCAGCTGCCGGGTCCCAGTGCGTGTTGCGGTTGTTGAGGGGCAAGGTCAACAGCATGTGAGAAACAGAACAGAGCTTCGGCAGTTCGTCACATGGCAGCACATATATATACTGTTGCTACATACACACACACACACAGAACCTAATGTATGCGGCTCCAAACTGTGCCAGCCGTGGCTTGCCAGAAGGCTTCTAGAGGCAGGTTTACGGGACTAGGGCACCCAGCCACCCACCCACCCAGCAGCAATCCATATTGCACTTGGCGCCCAGATCATCCTGTATGTTTGCAAATGTCTAACGTTGCTCGTCACCTGCTGCTGCTGCCTCCGCAGCCACTCCCCCACCCCAATCCGTCATAGTGTTATGGTAGTAGCTTGCCCCGCACCCCAACCCGGTGGCAGGCTGGCACATGACAACGTCGAGACGGGGTCGAAAGTCATGCCGTTCGTTACAAGCTTTAAGAGTGTATAGAAGCTATTGCTCTACTTCATATGCATAATTTACTAAGCAAGTTTACAGGGAAAGTTATCTGCGCTTATGGGCCTGGATCCATAGATGTGCACTTGATGATTTACCGATAAGTAGTATACCTCATGAAAAAGTGGCTAAGATATTCAAATGAGAACTGGAGAGAAGCGAGAAGAGGCACATTACCGTTCTCATGTTACAATGGACAGTTATCGACAAGAGGTCATACTGGAAAGTAAGGTTATCCTTATATGTTAAACAGATTAAACGTTTGTCCAATGGTGAAGGTGGTGTTGAAAAACACCGGATAAAGAGAGAGTTGCTGTTGACCCCGGAAAGATGCTCTCGCGAACTTGGACGCGGGAGTTTAGCCGCCGAAGCCGTAGAGGGTGCGGCCCTGACGCTTCAGAGCGTACACAACATCCATAGCGGTCACAGTCTTGCGACGAGCGTGTTCGGTGTAGGTGACCGAGTCCCTGATAACATTCTCAAGGAATGTCTTGAGGACGGTACGCGTCTCCTCGTAAATCAGGCCGCTGATGCGCTTAACGCCACCACGACGAGCGAGACGACGGATAGCCGGCTTGGTGATGCCCTGAATGTTGTCGCGAAGAACCTTGCGATGACGCTTGGCGCCACCCTTGCCAAGACCCTTTCCACCCTTGCCGCGTCCTGACATTTTGCAAGTTAGCTGATTTGTTTGGAGTAAGTTAGTAGTAATACGTTTGGGAATGAGGAGCAACGGCAGACAAGCATATATACGCATGGAAGGGCTTCAGGGTCAGAGGGCATTCGCACTCACCGGGGCAGCCGTACGACAACTACCGTACGGATTCCTGGTTGGATCGCGCCAAATTGAGCTATATAACACCAGCTGCTGAAAGTCAACTTCAACACCAGCTTGTTACCTCATATACACTTCTCTAATTCAAAAATGGCCCGCACCAAGCAGACTGCCCGCAAGTCCACCGGTGGCAAGGCGCCCCGCAAGCAGCTGGCCACCAAGGCCGCTCGCAAGACCCCCGCGACCGGCGGTGTCAAGAAGCCCCACAGGTCAGCTAGTGCCATATCCACAATAAGGGCCTTCGATTTGCTAAAATGATTTCCTTAATAAACCTAGGAACTTGTTAAGGAATGCTGTGTTTCCTGACTATTGGCGCCCCCACACCTGCTGCTCCCTGATCGACTGCCACCCTGACTACTGCGCTTAACTAATCCCATGCAGGTACCGGCCGGGGACGGTCGCTTTGCGAGAGATCAGAAAATACCAGAAGAGCACTGAGCTGCTCATCCGTAAGCTACCCTTCCAGCGTTTGGTTCGTGAGATTGCCCAGGATTTCAAGACCGACCTGCGCTTCCAGAGCCAGGCCGTGCTGGCGCTGCAGGAGGCTGCTGAGGCCTACCTGGTGGGCCTGTTCGAGGACACCAACCTGTGCGCCATCCACGCCAAGCGTGTGACCATCATGCCCAAGGACATCCAGCTGGCCCGCCGTATCCGTGGCGAACGCGCTTAAGCCTGTGCATTGGAGTTAAGTCTTTGACAACAAACAAACGGTGTTTTTTAACACCACCCAAACCTGGACACAGTCTCATGCACCACCATAGCCGGCTCCCTGACACGAACTTCTGGTAACCCTGTACTGCTGCCACACAGCAACGGGAATGCTCTCCTGTAGGCTGCTCTAGGCCTTGCATCGCGGGATTGCGACAGTCAACGGCACGCGTGATGGCAGTCTAGTGTGGACGGACAACCGACATCCCCTCTTCTTTGGTTCATGTATCAAAACCGGGCTTCCTCTACCCTACTTGCTTGGTTGCTGTGCAGTCTGCGTAGCAACCGAAAGATGCAAAAGATCCCGTTTCCACATTGACGATGCCATAGACCACTAGTGCACAGTTGTACTGACATGGGTTGTTGATCCGGCCACGCAAATGGCCTCGCCTACTTGTTACCTCAACTGGTCCTCAGATGAGTTGACCCCAGATACCCCAGATGCTGCTGCATGGAGGCGGCGCTGTTGCACGGGTCACAGGCAACTGACCATACTTCTGTCCTGCTCGCCAAATGGGTTGCCAAACATGGCTATCAAGCGTAGGACGCCTCTCCTCTGCCTTTGTGTACATGGCAGCTTGGCACATACACTGTTGTACCCTCGAACACCTCGCGTGGACATTATGCATGAGTTCCAGGAGTTAAGTAGACGCCGAGAGTTCCAGGAGTTGATGCGGATGATCGCCCACCCGGGGACGGCAGCACATGTGGTGTCGTGAGTTCTTGCACGTTGACAACAGGAACTTGCATGTAGGTGCTCATGAGGGATGCCAGAAGGGCATGATTCGTTGGGCAGACTCGTTTCCATGGATTAAATGCATCATCCCAGAAGGAACAGGGCATGCGAGTAAGCAGCATGGAGGTGTGTCATTTCACAGGAACTGCAAGCAAGCGTCCGTGTTCCAAGGTGGTGTTAATAAACACCGGTGTTTGTTGTCGTGTCCGCCAGCTGTGTCGACTTATACGGCAGCAGAGCCGTCCTCAGCCTTGCCACCCTTTGTCTTCTTGGGCAGAAGCACAGCGTGAATGTTGGGCAGAACACCACCGGCAGCGATGGTCACCTCTCCCAGCAGCTTACTCAACTCCTCATCGTTGCGAATGGCCAGTTGGATGTGGCGAGGAACGATGCGGTTCTTCTTGTTGTCACGAGCGGCGTTGCCAGCCAGCTCCAGGACCTGAACACACCAGAAAGATACGTCGAGTTAGCTATCTTATGGGAAGTGATCAGAGGTAACTTAATGTAATTCGGTTTTTGATGTATTACCTCGGCAGTCAGGTATTCCAGCACTGAAGCCAAGTACACGGGGGCTCCTGATCCAATACGGTCGGCGTACTTGCCCTGCTTGAGGTAGCGGGCGATACGGCCAACCGGGAACTGCAAGCCAGCCTTGGCGCTGCGGCTAACGGCCTTCTTGCCAGCAGTCTTGCCCTTTCCACGGCCTGTCATTTTTGTATGTTAAGGCTTGATAAATTGATGTTAATTATCGATTGGTCTGATGAGAACACCTACTTACACGGCACCTACTTAACGTGGGTGGTTGGCCCGCTGACCCAGCTGTTGAGGGTTGGACGAGCGTGCGGTGACCCACTGACCCGGATTGAGGCTTTCATAAGTAGCCAATACCTCCATGCTCACCACATTGCGATTTCTGCGAACTTACACCCTCTATACACTTATCAAATACAATCATAATAATGGCCCCAAAGAAGGACGAGAAGGTTGCTCAGTCTGAGGCCGCTGAGGCCAAGGCCGAGGCCAAGCCCGTGAAGGCTGAGAAGGCCCCCAAGAAGGAGAAGAAGGCACCTGCCAAGAAGGCTGCCAAGAAGGAGCCGGCTGCTGAGGCTTGCCCCGAGGCTGGCGACAAGAAGGCGAAGAAGGCCAAGAAGGTCAGCAAGGCGGAGACCTACAAGCTCTACATCTACAAGGTGCTCAAGCAGGTCCACCCCGACACCGGCATCAGCAGCAAGGCGATGTCCATCATGACCTCGCTGGTGACTGACCTGTTCGACCGCATTGCCTCCGAGGCAAGCAAGCTCAGCAAGTACAACAAGAAGCCCACGCTGACTTCGCGCGAAATCCAGACTGCTGTGCGCCTGGTCCTGCCCGGCGAGCTGGCCAAGCACGCTGTGTCCGAGGGCACCAAGGCTGTGACCAAGTTCACTTCGCAGTAAGCTCCTTGAGCTTCAATGGAGGGGCAATGCCACAAAAGCTATATATACCCGGTGTTTCTCAACACCACCATACCTTTGGGCCAAGTGTCTTGCAATGGATAACGCTGGCAAACAATTCTTGTCGGCTTTATTGCACTACAAACTATTACTACAAACGTTTCGTTGCTTTTATAGTAAGAAATACTCGAGAACCTTGGCTCCTTGGCTATCAGTTGTTTCAGCCTGAGCCTGTGAGCCATATTGAGGCCGCTTCCCAAATGGCCTTGGCTTCTCAGTTCCAATGGTTCCATTATTATTTTGACAGATACATGTTTGGTTAGGCAACACCTTGTATGTCGGAAGGACACGGCTAGGTACAACTGTTTTCGGCTGTCCATGGAAGCAAAATGTTTTTTCCTGGGATAGGTCTGGTGCCCATACCATAACTAAATTGAAAAGATATATCATAAAATTACTTATGAGCTGTGAGCTCGAGCTTGTGAGCTTCGATGTGCACAAGGACCTGTCTGGATCCAAGTTAGCCCACTTCCTTTCAGTTCCTTCCCCCCAGCGGCTTTCCTAGGTACGCCAACTAGATGTGGCATCCACGGTCATCATACATACCATTTTTACTTGACAACAACACATGCAACAGCTGCAATGCCATCCATCATTTTTGTCCCGTCCCACTGCTTACATTACTTTTGCTCTTGTCGGGCTTCACACAAACGCAATTCCTGATGTGCCGGATTTAATGCATTGCTCCTTGCATCCAGGAACACTCAGCTGCGTTTTGTTACACGTATGGCTCAGTTCCAAAACCACGCACACCAATTCGTAACCAGCGCAAGCTTCGGTCACCAAGTCCAAAGCAGCAACCCCGAAGGCCGCATGTGTGGCTATGGAAGGTAGGCATGGCGTATCGCACGTGACTATATAGGCCGTACAATACAACACGTCGTTCCCACAGAAAAAGGATGGCACACGTACCAGCCACGCTGCACCTTCCCTTGCAGACGGCGAAACAAAAGTAACATCTGTACCATACTTGACGATACCAGCAAACATAAAACCACGGCCGTCGTAGAGTCGCACAGCCGCCCCTTAACGTGCACACTGCTTTTATGATACACACGCAGTCAATGACACACATACACACACGCAGTTGGTTAAAAACACGCAGTCGTCAGGCATGGAAACACAACCCGCCCTGATATGCGCACACAGCCGTGCACCTCCCTGTGCCGTGCGGTTTAATTGACTTGGCGGCAATTAGACTGGGCATGTTATAACAAATCCCCCGATGCTGCATGCAAGGACTCATGTGGTCTCGTTCGTTGCCCTCTTACGGGTGTGTTGGGTCATCGCTGCGCATTCCTCGACCTTCCCGACGGCTGAAATTAGGGACCACAACAGATCGAGAGCACCCATTCACCGTGTGTCCTCGCTCTCCTCCCTGGCCCGTTGCATTCCGCCGCCTGCATGCATGCAGACCCCCCCTCCACACTCCACACTAGTTCTTCCCGCCTCCTCCGCCTCCCCACGCGCGACTTCCTCTTGGCTTCTCCTTCTCCCATCTCCTACTTCTGACATCCCACCCCTGGATCTCTTCGACTTCACCAGGCGCTCCCTAGCACTCCTCATGCTCCCTACGCCCATCCTTCCCACACTCCTTCCCCGGACTAGCCCGTTCCACCCCTCTACACATCGGCTCGCCCTCGCAGCCTCTCCTTCCCCTCTGCCCCGCAACTTCCTCCTCCACAAACCATATCACCACCCAATCCAAGTGCCATGGCTGTCTTCCGCCCCTGAGGCAGCTTCCCTCTTGCCGCTTCCCTCCTGCCCCCCTCCGTCCGCCCCTCCTTACGCCAGGTACTTGAACAGCGTGGGGTTGTCCTTGTCGCGCTCCAGGTACTCGCGCTGGATGAGGTCCTCGATGCGCTTCTTGATGAGCTTCAGGTCGGGCTTGAACATGCGCTGCAGCTGCTGGATCACCTCCATCACCAGCGTCTGGTGCTGCAGGACCTGAGGGGGGGGGAGAAGGGGGGGGAGAGAGGGGGATTAGGTTAAGTGAGCCGTGGAAACAGGAGAGGGGAAGAACAATTTCCAATCCTGAGGAATGGGAGGGATGGGAGGAAACACCAAACCACAAGTGAGGTCGAGACAAAGGGGAAGGGAGGCGTCCGGTGGGAGACGAGGAGGGAAGGAGAGAGGGGGGAAGGGACATGACAAGTGTCTCATGGGGGGGATGCGTGTGCGGGGGGGCATGTGGGCAACAGCAAGGGGTACAGCAAGGGGTACAGCAGGAAATGGGAGTGCAGGGAGGACGTAGAGGGCAAAAGGGAGGGCAGAGCCCTGGTTGCGTGTGTGTTTTGTAGCAAGCGAGGAGTGACGTGGGTATGCTTGCGGGCGGTGCAGTGGAGGTATGGGACACACACCGCTCCTCCCCCCCCCCACACACACACCTTGCGGCTCTTCATGATGCGCACGATGGCTGCATCGATGGCGTAGCGCCGGTCCTTGTCCACGTCCTCCATCACCTGCAGGGGGGCGAGGGGGGGGGATGGGAAGGAGGGAGGGGGGGAAGAGGACAGTCGAAGGAAAGGGGGGAGAAGGGAAGGAGAAGAAGCAAGCAGCCAAGCGTCCAAGGCACACCCCGCGTTCGTTGGTGAAGTGACAGGCAGCAACGAGGCGTTCTGGTGACCTTCCCCCGGCCATCTGCCCACCTCCCCCTGCAAGGTGCAATGCTGGGCCATGCAACCCGCGCCCGCCACCACCCTGTTCCTTTTCGTACCCTGCTGCACCCACCTTCTTCTTCTCGTCTAGCGGCGGCAGCGGGATCTTGATGCGCCGCATCTTGTCCGTGAAGCGGTTGTTGAAGCTGCGCGGGTTGGGGCATGAAGCGGGTGGGTGAGCACGGAAGCCTGGGTTGCGAAGGTTATGGCAGTTAACAGTCTGCACGCGTGTACAGTGTGTCCGTACGAGCCAGCGGGGAGGCCAAGGACACTATGAGAAACGGAGTCAGTCCGAGTCAGGTCCCCTGCGGGCCACCACTCAGGGTTCAGGTGATGCCTGATAGGCATGCGGGTGTCCCAGACACGCGGGTCTCCCAGGCTCGGCTCAGGTAGCTAGCCAAACAGCTGCAATGCCAAACCCCCCGCTCCCTCCCCACCTGAACTTGTCGCTCTTGCTGATGGTCTTGCCCTCCGGTTCCTTCTTGATGATCTTGTACTTGGCGCACACCAGCGAGTGCAGCAGCCGCTGCAGGTCGTCATCCGGCAGCCGCAACCGCTCCTGGACCTGCAAGGGGGTGGGGGGGTGGGTACGACACATGTGGGGCGCACGTATGTGTCATTAGGTCGCACACGTTAGGGCGCACGTATGTGTCATTAAGAACACAGGTCGCACGCATGTGCATACCATATTTGACAGAGGGGTGCACAAATATGTTGGCTTTGAGCTTCATGGTACGACACAAACCTCACTCTTCTGCCGTACAGTACACCCCCCAACATACACACACACCCTCCTTATGTAACTCCTTTATAGGTACACTCCGCGCCCTTCCCCCCCTTACCTCCTGGTACGACAGCTCATCCACATCGTTCAGCAGCATGCACAGCGCCGCCTGCAGCGTGTTCATCTGCATCTCGATGGGCTTGGAGTCGAAGTTGCCTCGCAGTACGGCAGTGCCCAGCGTGTAGATCCAGGTCAGCTTCCTGTGAGTGAAGGGGGGGAGGAGAAGGGGGAGGAGGAGGAGGAAGGGGGAGGCGGCCAGTTTAGTGGTGGGCGAGTAGGGCGCGAGAGTGCAGGGCACGACAAGGTGAGAGGGGGGGAACAGCAGCGTGATAAAAACACGTCACTGCCCCCCTGTCCTCTTCCAATACTGACGATACTTCCCAACAGAGCGGAGTAGCAATTGCAGACAAGCAAGGTGCTGCCAAGATCAGCCCCAGCCTCCAGCCCCCAGCCCCACCCTCAGCCTCAGGCCAGGTCAGCACCCGCACCCGCCGCGCCCCCCACACCCCCACCTGTGTTTTGAGTCCATGTCGTAGTAGCTGCGGTACACCTCCACCCCCTCCACCATCTCCCGCGGCAGCGCCACCTCGATGGACTTGTAGGTGGGCCAGAAGCCCGTGGTGAGCACCGTCACGGACAGGTCGATGGACAGCTTCTTGCCCTTGTCCTGGGGGAGGGGAGGGGAGGGGGGAGGGGGGAGGGGAAGTGGGGGGGAGAGGGAAGGATGAGGAAGAGGGGCCGGGTGAAGCCCAAGGCCTGTGCCGCTGTGCGTGTGGGAAAGCTGGGCGAGAGCACAGTAACGGCCGCACGACATCTCTTTCTCCCTCCCGTTCCAAAGGCGCCGTTCCGACGAAGCCATGATAAGCAGAGCCCCCTTGCCCACCCCCGTCTCCCTCATCCACTCACCCACCTTCGTGCCCCGCCTTGCGCCATATCCCACATGTTCGCTGCTTTCCTCCCCACCCTTCCACCTACGTCACCCTCTTCTCACCTCCCTCCTCACCCCAATCCCCAGCTTGCGCGGAATACCCACCTCCTTTTCACCCCCCTCCCCGACCTAAAACACAGTGATCCGACACGCACCTTGAGCCAGTCGTCGAAGTGCTGCTGCTTCTCCTTGGCCAGCTGCAGGTCCGTGACCATGCCCTCCATCTGGGGGGAGGGGGGAGGGGAGGGAGGAGAGGGGAGGAAAGCAGCGGAGGTTTTGGACATGGCTCAGCAGACAGGAGGGAGGCGAGCGCGGGTGCAGGACTGACCCCTTTCACCTCTTACTTACCCTCACCGGCCTCTCACATCCCCCTGGCCTTTGACATGAACTGCCTCCCCCTCACCCCGCCCCTCACCGCCCCCACCTTTGACATGAACTGCCTCCCCCTCACCCCGCCCCTCACCGCCCCCACCTTTGACGTGAACTGCGCGCCGCACTGCTGCTTGAGCCGCGACAGCAGCGAGCGCTCGTGGTCGTCGGAGGCGGACTTGTCCTGCAGCAGCCGCCGGGAGAGCTTCTTGCGGTAGAACTCTGGGGAGGGGGGGAGAGGGAGGGGAGAGGGGGTGGTGTGGAAAAAGAATAAAATATGCAGGAAGAGGTAGGTGGTATGCTGGGCTTGAAGGAGGCCGACGGTGTGATGTGGGGGTTCAGGGGTTCATTTCCAAAGGTTAGAGCAAAGCAATGGGGATAGAGGGCCTGGCATGGCATGTAGCACGCACATGCTTATGATTACACACGATTCTCTCTCCCTCCTTGTCGTCTTGTTTGTCATTCTCATTCGGCACATTGGGTATCGCGCCCCTTCGGGTGGTGCGGGACGGGCCGGCCACCGAATTGCACCCCATGGTGAAGCCTATATGGCACACGGTCAGCCAAGTCCTCATCTTCTTTCCCCCTCCCCTCCTGCTCCCCCCCCCTCACCCGCAAACATGTCCTTGTCGCTCACGTACGCCAGCAGCTTCACCACCTTCTCCAGCGTCTCCTCGATCGCCTCGTCAGACAGCTTCTCCGAGCCGCCCTGTGATAGGAGGAGGGGAGGGGGTCAGGTGGTGTTGAGGGGGTCAGGTGGTGTTGAGGGGGTGGGAGGGTTGGGTAACCAAACCCCTCCCAAGCAAACCGAGCAGAGCTGTGACCCAGGTCAGCTGCCCCAGCCCTCGGGCCACCCAGAGGCTCGCACCTCCCACCCGCCGTTCTTGGGGCAGCTGACCAACCCACCCCCATTCCCTTCACACCCTCCCGATGTACCCAAGCTGCCAACCCAAGCTGCCAACCCAACCCCCCACCGCCACCCCCTCCCGCCCCCTCCCCCCTCCCCCACCTTTTTCAGCAGGTTGTCGCAGAACGACGCCATCAGCTCCGCACTGGTGCTGCCCGCCACACTCTTGTTCACAAAGTTCTCAAACGCCTCCTTGAGGCTCTTGTGGAAGAGGCTGCTGTTCGCGAAGCAGGTGCCCACGTAGGCCAGGTACTTGTCGTGCAGCTCGATGACGCAGCGCACGTACTGCTGCTCCGAGCTGCTGCCGGTGTCGCGGGAGGGGCCGGACTTGGCGGCCTTCTCCTTGGATAGCTCCACAGCCTCCGTGACCTGGCGGGAGGGGGGAGGGGAAGGGGGGGGGTTTAATTTGGAAACAGAAATCCGCATTAAGCTCGATAGCTGGGTTAGCAAATAACTGTAGTTGTTTTATAGTTAGTAGCATCAATCAATAACAAACCGGGGGGGGGGGAGGGGGGGAGGGAGGGGGGGAAAGAGGAAACCATCTGAGAACCGTGTGATGAGGCGCCATCATGGTTTGCAACATGTGAGCCACCCCGACCCGACTGGCAAGCTGTATGACGTGACGAGGATAGCTAGGCGACGTGGGTTCGAGGTTGATACCGGGTAAGACGGACGTGGGAACGGCCACCCCTGAACACCCACACGCTCGCCCCCCGCTTAGCCCTCCCCTCCAACCAATCCTCCCCCCCAACCCCCACCCCACCCCCCCTCACCTCCTTGACCAGCTTCATGCCCTCGCTGTCCACATGCTCCTTGAAGATGTCCGCCACCGGGTCCAGCCCCTTGGGGATGCGCTGGAACAGGCGGTACATGCGCGCCAGGTCCTCGGTCTGGGGGGGGGAGGGGGGGGGAAAGAAGAAATTCCAATGTGTGAGGGAGGGAGGGGAAATAAATTAAAAAATGAAGCAACGGAATTCCAATCCCAGAGCAGGAGGGGGAGAGGGGGGCGGGAGAACAATACCCGATGTGAAGAGGGGGAGGGAGAGTGGGGGGAGGGAGAAGAAGAACAAGGGGAAAGGGTTTTTAGCGGTTCAGAACATGTGATGTAACACATACGACTGCGCCCAACCGTCCCTCCTTCACCGGTGGGACGACTGACACAGGGCAGCCACTCAAGCGGCGCTTCCCCGCCCCTCCCTATGCGCGGTCCGTCTCTCCCCAGCTCCCGCTCTCCATCCACCTTGCTTCCCGCCCACAACCTTGCATGAACCCCACCCATCCACCCATTTGCTGCCCTCTTATCCCATTCCTCTGCCCTAACCTGTCCACCCACCCTAGTCACCTCGTTCCCTCGTTCACAGCACTAACCCCCACCTCCGCCATCCGCCATCCGCCGTGCAGCCCCACCCAACCAACCTTCCCGCCCCCAACCCAGCATGACCCCCCTCACCCCGGTAGCCCCCTCCACCTTGTTCGTACCCCCCCCCCACCTTATCAGTCGTCAGTTCTCCTTTGTTTTGCCCCCATCTTATCTAGCGCCCCCCCCCCCCCTCCCCCCGCCTGATCTAGCCCCCCCTCCCCTCCCCCCACCTTATCGTCCTTGAGCAGCGCCGCGCAGCCGCTGTGTTCCTTGGTGAGCAGCCGCTGCTCGTAGTTGCTCAGCAGCTCCGCCTCCACCTCGCGCAGCAGCTTGGGCCGCGTGGAGGCGTGCAGGTAGGTGTCCACCCGCTCCTCCTCCAGACGCAGACACTCCTCCGCCTTCAGCATGTAGTCGGGGCAGGAGTCCTGGGGGGGGGTGGAGGGGGGATGTCATACCAATTACCATAGGGGGGAGGGGTCAAGAGAGAAGCCAAACCAAATGAAACAACATGGGTGGAGGGAAGGCGGATAAGGGTTTGTTGTGGGAGCGGGGGATGGCGCTTCAGCCGGACCAAATCCCGCCGCTTCACAAACGGCCTTTCCCAAATCCCCTTTTCAAAGGCCCAACATGATCCTTGCCCTATGCGCACGCGTAGTTGGTTTCCTCTCCCACCTACCACTCTCCCCACATGCTTTCAGTCGTTACCGCCCCCACCCCCTCCTCTCCGCCTTTCCCCCCGCCCCCACCCCCCTCTCCCCTGCCCCCTGCTCCCCCCCACCTGCTCGATCCACTCCGACGCCTTGCGCCTGTAGAACGCGCTCGTCTCCGCCAGCAGCGCCTCCTCGAAGTCGCGCTCGTAGCACTCCATGGCGCCCATACCCAGCTCGATGAAGATGCCTGGGAGGGAGCGGGGGGGGGGGCAAAAAGGAGCAAATGTGAAGGAAAGCACGGTTTAGGGCGAAACAATGGGGGGATGAGGCGGCAGGGTGCCACAAGACGGAGTGATGGTGGCGTGGGGGGGGGGGAGAAGAGAGGGAGGGTTTGGCTCCTTATCACAGCACAGCGGTCGAGGCAACAGCCGGTGGAACTCTTCTTGCAAGTTCTAGCTCGCCCACATAACTGGCACTCACCCAGGATGTCCCCACCACCACCCCCTCCCAAGTCTCCCCACCCTCCCCTCATACGCTCACCCTGCTATCCAGCCTAATGCGAAACACGCATCCCTATCAGTCCCTCACCCAGCATGTTCGCCCCCACCCCCACCCCCTACCCCCAGCCTCCCCAGTCTCCCCCCCTCACCCAGGATGTTCTTGACCAGCGCCCGGTCCACCAGCTCGCCCTCGCGCTCCTTCTCCACCAGCGCCAGTACGGCATCACGTGCGGGGCGCTTGATGGAGGAGTACACCAGCTCTGGGGGCAGGGGGGGAAGGGGGAGGGAGAGTAGGGGGGGAGGGTGATTGGGCAGGCGGATACAAGAGGACATGCGGCCGCTGTTGGGACCGAGAGGAGCGGAGAGGGCCGGGAGGAGGGGTGCAGCAGCCCGCCTCATGCTGGCACACCTTCTAGTTTGGGTGCGATTGACTGAATTGGTGTTTGGGCGCAGGCTTAACGCATTCGGTGTGGCTCGTGTGTCATGCTTTCATTTCTCTTTGTCTTCTTGTGTGAAGAGGGCTCCCTCCGACCCACATCTCGCCAACCCACGCCCAGCTCCTACTGCAGCCCCCGCTCCCCCTGGAGCAGACGGAGGGCTGAAACCCCGGGCGGCTGCTGACACCCGCCCCGTAGGCAGCATAAGCCGCCCCTCTGCTGTTGGCCTCTCCATTACTCCCATCTCTCCCGCCTCACTGCTCCCATATCCCGCTTCATCCCCCATCTCTTGCTCTCTCACTCTCACCCTTGAAGCACAGCAGGCCCACGTCCTTGAGCGGGTGCAGCGAGTGACGCAGCACGTAGTACCTGGCAGGTGTGTACGAGCGATTGGAGAGTTGTGCTGCAATCTGTACGACATGTGCTTAGCGGGGCGGAACAGCAATGACATGAAGGGATGTGTGTACCGGCGATAGTATCGTTGGTGACCCAGATCAACTGCATGCGGCAAGAATCCTTACGCAGGGGCACGCTAAAGGTGAATGGGTACAGCGTGGGGAATGAGGGGTGATAACGGCAGGGTTTAAACTTACCGGTCTAGGTAGTTGAAAAACCGTGATAGCCAGCGGACCATGAGCTTGTGGTTGTTCCATCGCTGGTAGAGCTCCTTGAGCAGGACGTCGTCGCGATGCTCCAACAGGGACGGTAATACCTGCACACCACGGTATAACCCCTCGTGTAACTGGGTTGCCGAAAGCATATCTTCCAGGTTAGGAGGCACCGGATCTGCATGAGCTCGCACCCTGTCTTTAATGTAGTTGTTGAACGCCTCGCGGTACTTTCCGTAGAGCTGCTCGGAGTAATCGTGCGGAGGTTTTTGCGTACACATGTTGTAGATAGTCCTGCAAGCGCCAACAAGGATGTGACCTTGCCGACACAAATTGCTGGGCCGTGTAACAAAGTCGCTTACGTATACAGGTGCATATACTGCTCAGCGTTAAACTGGTCCTCAGGTTCTCCCTCCAATAGCCGGATGAGCTTCTGGATGCCTTTCTGCGGGTCCAAGCAAATTTGGGAAAGTATAGATCTTCAGCCTTAGGTCGCCCCAACCAACGTTTGTTTACGAACATCAGAAAACCAACTGTGTTTCTAGTACACGGTCATGAAATTGAAGCACAAGCTGCAGGTTGGATAGGGAATCCAGGCTAACTCATCCAGGGACCGCAAGAAGACCAACGCATCTGCCCACCTCCATAAAGGACCATCCTTCTGCTAGCTCAATTGGTTTGCGGTCCGCCATCGTGGCGTCGCGCAAGGAACCGCCTGCGATGCTCCGCCCCCGCCCTACTCCTCTTCACACTGCCAATGGATTATCAGGTATCTTAGATACTTGCAAAGCGGCGTAACGTTACTGTAACTGTTATCTATGTATGAAGGATGCGGCCTCGGCTGGACCGTCCCACACGCAACACCGTTTACTTATGAATAGGGCTAAGCAACGCAGCAGCCCCCTGCGCCCTTTCTTCTCAATAAGCACAGCTGAAACCATATGTTCCGTGCTTACCAACTAATCGTAGTGCCGTGCTTTGTACGGATGCGAATCCCGGCATGGCGTTGCACGGGAACATGACACACTCCAGCCAAAATCCAATGCAAGGGAAGTCCACTATCGCTATCCTTGACGGCCTTTATTGTTCCTAACTTCCTACATATGTTAGCGCGAAGCTTTCGGGGCCTTCTGAATGCGTGTAGTCCAGTGGAAGTTACTTGATGTTTATTGCATCTGCCTAGATTCTTCCAAGAAAAGGGAACCCAAAACTTTGACGCCCCTTGGCACTGCCACATGATTTGGTGAGAGTTACTTGCGGGACCGGATGGCCGGACCTTCGCAATGATGGGCATTGCGAGTGGGCGTGGTGGGTCACACATGACATTGGCTTCCCCCGATCGGACGCGTAGGACCATGTCTGTCGTCCGCTACTCCCACTCCGTGGCGAGGCTCAAATTACGCCCAAGGGCGGGTGCCAGTTCAGCCGGCGTCTAGGCGGGCCGGTAGCAGGTCGCGTACTGCGCAGACGGGCCGGCAGCAGTTCAACTGTGGCCCAGATGAGCTGGTTGCAGGTTAGCGTGTTAAGCACACGGCCCGGGTAGCTGACGGCTGACGGCGCCTAATACCCAGTGTAACCCTCGCGCCCTAAACCCGGCGTGAGGAAGCCGCGGGGTCAGAGGGCGGGGGAATTGGCACAGGCGCTTGAGGGAACGCTTGCAACCGCTCGGGCTCCTCCCTTCAGCTTAACCCTCGACCCCGTCCTCGTCCTTCCCTCATCAGGCACACATCCGTCAGGGCGGCAGGGCAGTGGGCGCGTGGAGCTGGAGTCCCAGCAGCTGGTAAGCAGACGCCCCCGAGTGACCCACGGGTCGCCAACGCTGTTAGGTACGTGTTCGCTTGCTAGGCATGTGCCAGCTAGGCGCCTGTTGCGTGCACGCATGACCCGTGGGTCGTTGTTTGTCCTTTCAGCGGATTGGCCGTGGGTCGTTGCCCAAGGGCCCGCGACGCGGTCGCGGCTGCCCACCTGGAGGCCCGTTGCGAAGGATGGAAAGTACCAAGGCAAGCTGGTCGGCACCTGCTTTCTCGACTGGGGGCCGGCACCTGCTTGAGTGACACGAGCGACATCAACATGAACGGCAAGGAAGACGGAAGCATGGGGGGTTTACGACAAGGTAAGCGTGTTGCTAAGGGAACTAGGGGGCTGATTGGTGGGGTTGCAGAATGGAACGTAGCGAGCAGGGGACTTTCAGCCCCAGCCTGTTTGTCAACCAGCCAGCCAGCCCCGTCCACAGCGCGCAGCAGCAGCAGCAACCAGCAAAAAGCAGCAGAGCAGCAACAGTACGGCGGACTTGGGGGATGCGGGCATGTCCTGTGTTTTGGCTGGGCAGTGCTTGGGCCTCTCGAGCATGGCTCGTGTTGCAAACGTGCAGCCCCACTTTGCCCTCCACCCTCGCATGGTCACGGGGCGCACGTCATTGGGACGCTGCAGCCAAGAGGGAGCCCCGCCGGCGCCCATGTAAGTTGGGACAGTCCTTGGGTAATAGGGGAGCGTACGACAGCAGGGGAGGTGCCCCTGCGTAGATGGTTTGCTGACCTCGCTGCCCCTCCGGCCGCTGCCCGGGAAGGCCTGGGCAGCTGGAGGGTTCAACTCCCTCGGGGCCAAGATAGAGCTCCAAGGGGCGAGTTAGACTGAGCGGTGTTGGCTGATCTTTGTGCCGTCGGCGGCGTGTTGGCGTGACGTTTCGGGTTTCCGGCCGTTACTTACGGTAGTTACGAACTACACACGTGGGTGCGGCCCAGGGGTCATCATGTAAAGCTCGTAGAGTTGCTTGGGTGTGCCAAGGTGTTAAGTATTTTGGCGCTAGGAGATGTTTGAGTGGTTGTCGGGCTGTTATCGGAGTAGAGCCGTTTCACACGCAAGCTTTCGACAATCTTGGGGCCCGCTTGCCTAGAGCGCCAAGCCGCTGTTTGCCTTCTGGTATACTCGCACTATGTATTGAGCTGCCTGCCCTTCCCTCCAAGCGCAAGAACTTCGGTGTGCCTCCCATATTGCATGGCACGTGCTGCACGTAGCTCAGTTGAATCTCAGGCCGCAAAGCATATGCAGCAGTAGCAATGCTATAACATACACAAACAGGCCGGCCTCGTCCCACTTCCTAGTCCTTAGGCTTGCAGAACCCTAGCCCGTCAATACAAGCTACCGTGCCCCCTGAGAGGCCGTGGGCTAAGCTAAACACACCGAGACGGCGTGGCGAGGTTAGCCCGCATATCCTAAGATTTTAAACGTTTGGCCAAAAATGTATCCCGGCATTGCATGGCCTAGGATTTTGCTTAGTGTCCAATGGTAGTTGTTCGGGGCTGCCAAGCCTCCTGGTGTACGGCTTGACGACTGTTGCATGAGAATTAATCGACTGCTCGTCCAACCGCAAGGATCCAAACAGTCGTACACGCCTGAATGAATGTTACTCTACGACTTGTAACGCAACGCTCGCAGTGCGCTACTGTCCGCTATGCTTAAGTGACAACACAGGCACCATTTCGCATCCCACTACGTTGTCGCTCACTGCGCCAGCCAAAGATTTTTAGCAGTCAACACCGCAATCTAGTATATAAGGCTTCTACTTATCACCTGGAGAACTCAACGGGACCCGAGGACAAGACCGAGTCAAGACCAAGTCCGACCGCCTACGCCCGTCAAGATTCAAGACGCAATGATATGGCTCCCTCGCGAGACGCCTGCTAGGTTACCAGAGCTGAACTTGGGAGGTCATATTGGGCAACTAGGGTCCAAGAAGTGCCACTAGGCTCGCGAAGAGAACCGTAGGAGCCTACCGGCGGGTCAACATTCGCACCACCGGGCAACCCGTAGCTTCCCGCGAGCAGACCGGCCCATAGCAGTCTTATATCTATCATCTCGTTGCTATACAGACTGCTCTGCAAGACCACCGTCTGTAGTTAGGAACCTAGCCAACATTCCTGGCTTGAATTCCCATTGACTGACCTCGAGCACTCAGGACCGGGCCAGCCGACGCCCTGCCCCGCGCTCTGTTTCCCTTACCCTATTAACGACCCCGGTTTCCCGTGCACCTATCAGGCCCAACGGCAAGACGCCCTCCGAGCGGCCGCCGATGCGCAGCTCCACGCCGATAACGACCAGCAGCAGGCCCAACGGCAAGACGTCCTCCGAGCGGCCGCCGATGCGCAGCTCCACGCCGATAACGACCAGCAGCAGGTGAGGGGAGCGGGTGCGCGCCCGGCTTGTGTCCCCTGTAGTATGCACTTACTAGCCGCCAGAGGCGATCTAGGTTAGGACCCGGCAGAGGGGCCCTCTTCCATACGGAAGCAGGGGGGTTTCGGGATATCGTTGGCTCGCCTTCAGAGCAGCCCAGGGTAGGACCCGGCAGAGGGGCCCTCTTCCATACGGAAGCTGGGGGGTTTAGTTAGCGGCAATGCGCCACCCAAGCAGTCTCCCAGCGGGGGCATTAGGTAAGCCAGCGCGGCCATAGACGCTAGCCCATGCGGGTGCAGCAGCAATGCCCAGCGCGGCCATGGGCGCTAGCCCATGCGGGTGCAGCAGTAATGCCCAGCGCGGCCATGGACACTAGCCCATGCGGGTGCAGCAGCAATGCCCAGCGTGGTGATAGCCAGTCATTGCCATGCGACAGCAGCTAGTAGCGCTAACCTGGCTAGAGTTTCCGTAGCCGGCGCGGCACCATTAGGCCGGGATGCACGCTAAGCTACTCACCAACTGAGACCCCGCTCGCACCATTGCTTGGTACCGCAGGAGCAAGAAGCAAGGCTGCAGCCCTCCCCGGCAAGATTCCCTGCTGCGAACCTTGAGCAAGACGTTCGGGAGCCGCCGCCTGGCTCCGTACGGCCTGCATCCGCCCAGCATTACAACCTGCGCACCGGGGGAGGACGGCACCTCCGCGCGGCTCTACCCCGCCGGCTCTAGCGGCAATACTGGAGCGCGACGAACATCCCCGCAACCTATTTCCGGGCGACGGATCGGCCGCAGCGGCCCCCGCGGGTGCTGACCCCCTCCCAGCGAACGCAGCCCTGCCGGCCGAGCCAGCCGCACCCCCACCCGCAGGAGTCCACATGGCCGCCGCCCCGCCTGCACCCTGCGCTTCTGCGACAGCCGTCGCCAGCGAGAGACCCAGCAACCCCCGCGAGGACCCAGCTCCTTCCCTGGCAAAGAACGACCTGCAGGCCTTCCTCTGGCAGGCGCTGCAGAGCATCCAACGCACACGGACGGTACCTCCATCCCCGGCAAGCGGCGACCCGCCTAAGCATTCAGCACCCCGCCCTGCTCCGCGCCAGCACGCCGCCCAGCGTCCCACCCGCGACCAGCATATCCCGCTGAACTGGGCATCCCGTTCTACCAGGAGAAGCCTGCCTCCCGCCTCCTGCAGACACTTCCCCGCACCGCGCAAGCAATCCTGCAAGAAGAGTTCAGCGCTCTCGTTCAAGAGCTGCAGCAAAAACACATCGCCGACAGCGTCCCAGCAGAGCACGCCAGCGTCATGGTGACCAAGGCTATCAGGCGCTTTGCGGACTCCACTGCGGCCAACAACCATGCGCCCGGTCAAGATGCACCTCCGGGCCATGAAGGATTGGGCGCCCCTCATCAATGGCACCAACCCGTCCGCGGCCCGCCGGCTGCGCATGCTAGTCCAGCGAGCCGAGGCTCATTCCCGGGGAGACAACAAGATGGGGGAGATCCGCGACCACATGTGGCCAGCTGCCATCCACTTCCGCCGCGCCCTGGCGGGCATGGAGGCTGCCCGCAACTCTTCAAGGAGCCTGTGATGCAGCAGCTGGTCGAGGCCATGAGCAGGGCGCCGCATGCCCGGGGCCCCAACCACGGAGGCACCTCGCAGCCCCCCCAGCCGCCGGCGCAGCCGCAATACCAGTACCAGGCGCCCCCACCGCAGCAGCACCAGTACGGCGGCGCCCACCAGGCATGGCGGCAGGGCCGTGAGGACCCGATGGAGCCCATCCGCGCAGCAGCAGCAGCATCCCGCCTGGGGCGCATGTCGGATCAGCAGCTCAGGCAGGAGCTGACGGTCCGCAATATCTGCCTGGCAAGGCAGGGGTGTGCGCCGCGCGTGCAACTAAACGCACATCCACCAGGGCCAGCTGGCGGCGGCACTAAGCCAGGACCCCCGCCACCGGCGGCGTGGCCGGCGCAGCCACCGCCGCAGGCAGGAGGCCAGCCCGCGAGCGGACGCTTCCCGGCGGGGCCGCCTCCGGGAGCTGGAGCGGCATCAGCAGGATTCCAGGCATGTCGCAGCCCTGACCATGAGCTCTGGCGCCACGAGTTAGCGCAACGAATGCAGAGGGCTAGGTCCTTGGGGTAGCTTTTTCGGGCGATGACAGGCTCAACTAGGCATAGGAGTGAAGGATGTTACGGGACTACTCGGATACCTTGGCCCTGAGGGGCTATGCAATGGCGGAGATACTCACTTGTTGCGCTGTGTGGCTCTATGCATGCGCAGACATACGGGACTAGGCAGCGGCTCGAGTGCGATGTAGGACAGCGTGTCGGTCCAGGCTGTCTTTTGCCCTCGGATCTGGAACAGGACGTAGCATGGAAGGCATGCGGTGACCCCAGTGAAGCCTGGGACTTGGGCACGGACCCATTGCTGAGCCCGGCGCTGGCCACCCCTGTTGGTAACAAAGCAACCCCACCTCTGACCAGCCTCGTGCCACCAACTCCGCTCCAGCCCCTGTCATACGCACAAAAAGCGCATTGAATGGCGACGGTGACAGACGCCCTCCAGCAGCTAGACCTCCTCCATTCACCAGCTGGCCTCGACTTCACCCCCGACCCGGTGTTCGAAACACAGCTTACAGCCCTCCTGCCCGACACCGACTACTTCCTGCCGGGCCGCCTGCAACAGCACAGCGACATCTGGCGCCTCTACCTAGAACTCGCATCAAACAACAGCCTATCGAGCACCCAACGCGCCATCCTACACATGGTTGGGGATTGTCACGCAAATGCTACAGCAAGCCCTCCCAACCTGCAACCCCGCCGACTACCTGGCGGCGGACCGCCCACGGCCCGTGCATTTCCCTAACCATGCCAGCGCCCAGCAGGACGCAGATTTCGATACACCGGAGCTAGCCAAGTGCGCGCAGTCAGGGATTATCACTGAGTGAACAGCGCCCACGCCACCAACGCTCATCCTGCCTCTCTTAATGGTGGAGGGCAAGAAACTGCGCCTGTGCGTCAACCCCGTGTACCTCCTCCTCCGTACCTCCTCCTGCGGTACGAGCCCTTCAAGTACGAGTACCCGTCTTTACCGCCCCGCATGACTTGCAGTGGGCGGCATTGCCGCAGCACAGGGCGCCTAGCAGCGGGCAAATCGTCTTCCTTGCAGCGCACGACTCTCTAGCAGTGCTGCAGCGGGCGACCCGCCATTTCCTCAGCACTCAGCCCCCTAGCAGCAGGTGGCTCGTCTGTCCAGCAGGGCATGCGCCCCCCCCCTAGCAGGGGGCGGCTCGCCTTTCCCCGCATTGCATGGCGCCCTTGGCAGTGGGCGGCTCGTCTTCCCAGCAGCGCAAGTGGCGGCTCATGTATCTCGTGGCGCCTGGGGGCATCCTCCCCGCAGCGCATGCCCCCCCCCTAGCAGGGGGCCGCTCGTCATCCCAGCAGCACAAGAAGACCCCTAGCAGGGCCGTCCCGTCTTCCAACAGCGCATGCCCCCCCCCCCTAGCAGGGGGCGGCTCGCCTTCCCGCAGCGCATGGCCCCCCTAAAAGCGGGCGGCTCGTCTTTCCTGCAGTGCATGACTCCCTAGCAGTGCACGGCTCAGCATTTCCTCAGCGCATGGCCCCCTAGCAGGGGGCGGATTGTCTTGCTTGCAGCGCATGACGCCCTAGCACTGCGGCAGCGGGCGGCCCGCAGCACTCAGCCCCCTAGCAGCACTCAGCCCCCCTAGCAGCAGGTACCCTTTTTTTTATCGTGCTGCAGCGGGCGACCCGCCGTTTCCACAGCACTCAGCCCCCCTAGCAGCAGGTGGCTCGTCTGTCCAGCATGGCATGCCCCCCCCCAGCAGGGGGGTATGGTCTTTGACCCCCCCAGCAGGGGGCGGCTCGCCTTTCCCCGCATTGCATGGCACCCTTGGCAGTGGGCGGCTCGTCTTCCCAGAAGCGCAAGTGGCGGCTCATGTATCTCGTGGCGCCTGGGGGCATCCTCCCCGCAGCGCATGCCCCCCCCTAGCAGGGGGCCGCTCGTCATCCCAGCAGCGCAAGAAGACCCCTAGCAGGGCCGTCCCGTCTTCCAACAGCGCATGCCCCCCCCCTAGCAGGGGGCGGCTCGCCTTCCCGCAGCGCATGGCCCCCCCTAAAAGCGGGCGGCTCGTCTTTCCTGCAGTGCATGACTCCCTAGCAGTGCACGGCTCAGCATTTCCTCAGCGCATGGCCCCCTAGCAGCGGGCGGTTTGTCTTGCTTGCAGCGCATGACTCCCTAGCACTGCGGCAGCGGGCGGCCCGCAGCACTCAGCCCCCCTAGCAGCACTCAGCCCCCTAGCAGCAGGTGGCTCGTCTGTCCAGCAGGGCAGGCAGCCCCCCCCCCCAGCAGAGAGCGGCTCGCCTTTCCCCGCATCGCATGGCGCCCTTGGCAGCGGGCGGCTCGTCTTCCCAGCAGCGCATGCCCCCCCCCTTAGCAAGGGGCGGCTCGCCTCTCCAGCAGCGCAGGAGACACCCAGCAGGGGCGGCTCCCGTTCCCCGCGACGCATGGCCGCTTAGCAGGGGATGGCTACCTTACCCGCACCACATAGCCCCCTAGCGAGAGCTGCAGTTTTTCCAGCGACGGATTGCCTTCCTAGCAAGGGTGACTCGCCTTCCGTCAGCATCATTGCCCCCCAGGGCTGCTCGCTTTCCTGCAGCGCTTGGGACCCCCAGAAGAGGTGACTCGCCTTTCCTCAGCACATGGCCCCTAGCAGGCGCGGCTCGTCTTTCCTCAGCACATGGCCCCTAGCAGGCGCGGCTCGTCTTTCCTCAGCACATGGCCCCTAGCAGGCGCGGCTCGTCTTTCATCAGCACACGGCCCCTCGCAGGCACGGCTCGCCTTTCCTCAGCGCAGGGCCCATAGCAACCGGCAGCACCGCTTTCAGCATTGCTTCCACGGCGCACTGAACCCTAACAGAGGCCGCTCACCTTGTCGCAGCGCATGCCCCCACCCTAGCAGAGGGCGGCTCGCCTTCCCGCGAAGCATCGATATCCGCCTCCCAGGGGTGGCTGGCATCCCATTTGCATATCGCTGGTCTAGCAGCTAGCACAGCTCCCTCCCGCAGCACAGTACCAACCGTGCGGCCGTGTTTCCCCGCACAGTGCCGGCCTAGAAACAGGCGGGGTAGTTCCTCCAGCGCAATACAAGACCTAGCAGCAGGCAGCGCTCTGTCCTGCAGCGCATTACAGGCCCGGCAGCGGCAGCTTGCGCCATCTGCGTATTGCAGCCTCAGCAAGGGGCAGTGTCCTCTACCGCGGCACATTGCCTGTCCGCTGTCTCTGCCTCCCTAGCAGCGGTCAGCACGCATCCCAATCACAGCCTAACAGAGGGAGTACAACGGCATCTCCCCGACGGCCCGAGCAGCTTACCAGCCCGCAGAACACGGACTCCACAGCATGGTCAGCGAGCCTTCCGGCGTTCTCAACCCGCACATTATTGGCCGAATAACGTCTGCATGCCGATCAGGGGCAGCTTACCTCCCTGCAGTGCATCACAGTCCCCGCAGAGGGCATGCCGCGCCCTTCCCCACGGCTCATGGCACGCCTAGCAAGTGGCAGCTTTCCGGCCCGCATTGCATCGCCACCCAAGCAGCGGACGGCTGGCCATCCAGCAGGGGCCTAGCAGCACATTAGCGGTCTAGCAGAGGACATGCAATATCCTCCCCCACGTCAGGGCGCGCTTGGTCAGGCTACCGGTATGGAGCTATGGACAGATGACCGTGCCACCAGCACGAGGCAACGTTGGCCATGCATTTTCTGAGGCTGCGGGGCAGTGTCGTTGGGAGGGGGTCAGTCTTCCCCGGATAGTAGTAACGCGGGGACATTAAGCTGTGAGCTGGAAGGAAGGCGGCAGGTCATGGGGCGGGGGAGGCACGGCGACATAAGAGAGGTATGGGAGCGAGACCCACGGGCCCTAATTACACAAGAGGCCGCAGGGCGGGGTAGTTTGGGCGACTTTCCTAGGCGGTGCCCAGGCAGACAGAGCAATAGAACGGGCCCATTAGGAAGGCGCTCGGAGGCGCCCACTCAAAGTCAGCACACTGTACGGTGGCGGTTGCTGCACTCTGACAATGAGAATTAATCGACTGCTCGTCCAACCGCAAGGATCCAAACAGTCGTACACGCCTGAATGAATGTTACTCTACGACTTGTAACGCAACGCTCGCAGTGCGCTACTGTCCGCTATGCTTAAGTGACAACACAGGCACCATTTCGCATCCCACTACGTTGTCGCTCACTGCGCCAGCCAAAGATTTTCCCCCGCCCGGCCCACCCCTGAAGCGACAGCGAGCCCGCCGGCCGCAACACCCCCTTACCGTGCCCAAATGGCAACGCAGTCAAGCAAACCCGCTTAACAACGCAGCCCAGCGCAGCAGGGACTGGTCGACAACACAACCCCAGCAGCCAGCGTCACGCAGCAGCCCGGCAGGGGTGACCGCCACCAGGCCCGCACTGCCAACTGAACCCAGCAAAAACAGCGCAACCCACACAGCCACCCGGAGACGTTCCTGCATGCCAGCGAAGGACAGCGGATACCCCACGCGCACACGAGGCCACCGCCCACTCTCGCAACCCCGCAACTGCCCCCCCGGCCACTCTACGCCAACGCGTCGCCGCCCGGGCCCAGGACCACCGGACCAGCAGCCGGAGCGGCAGCACCAGCAGGGGAGGAGAAGTGGCGGGTGCGGTCCAGGCCGCAGCGTACTGTAGCATGCCGCGACGGAAGTTGTGGCTGGCCTCCTTGTGGTACAGGCCCCAGTCGCACAGGTAGTTCCGAAGCCGCTTCGTCACCTCATCGCTGCCCATAAACACCTTGCCCTCCCCGTCATCGTCGCGGGCACGTCCGCCACCCGGCTCCAACACACTGAGCAGCCAACCGTTGATGGGCTAGCAATTCTCAACGCAGCACGCCAAGTACTCGGCCAGCGCCCGCACAAGGCACAGCTCAGGATCGGTGTGAGGGAGCAGCTTGCGGGCGGGAGCACGTTTGCCCCGGTACGTCTTAGTGTTGAGCTGGGCCACGACGAGCGCATGATCAACGGTATAGGAGGTGGTGGGCGGCAAGACTGGCAGCGGAAACCCGCGGTACTCGCGGCCGGCTGGGTCGGCAGGGCACGGAAGTCGTTGGCCCGCAGGTGCCAGCAGCCGCCCCCTCGACCCGCAGTGTTCCACATGAACATGAAGCAAGCGCGACCCTGCAGCACAAGGAGCCGGGCCAGGCCCCCGAGACGCAGCGCATGACGGTGCAGCAACCGCACGAGGACGTCATACTTCCCAGGCGTAAGAGGAACAGCCGAACGCTCCTCTTAGCCATCCTCCGCTGCGCGCTGCGGGAATCCCCGTCGGTAGAGGCTGACCTCGGCAGAGCGACAGGGGATACCCAGCTCAGGCAGCTCGTCAAAAGCGCTGTCCTCTCTCGGGCGGCAGAACCTGCGTAGACAGGAGGGACAGATGGCCGAGCACGCTGCTGAGGCTAGGCGAACCGGCACCACGACCATGCCGAGGAATTCAGTACATCTCCATGTACACCAGTACCTGCACAGGGGTACAGTTGCGCAGGGTGCGACCGGCACCGTAGCGCCGCAGCCACATGGCAAGCTCCTCCCTATGACGGCTCAGCCGACGCCGCGTGTTGAAGGCATGGGCGCGCCGCTGAACGATCTGCAAACCGTCGATCATATACTGCCCGGTCTCGGCGGCAGGGGCGGCGGCGACGGCCTGGACGGCTGCGGGCACCATCTGCTGATAGCGAAGCTCCCGGAGGCCCATCAGGGCCGCCAGACAAGCCGGTGCAGCAGCAGGACGGGCACGCCAATGCAAAACGCAACCCGACTCACCGGATCTCCTCGAGCGGGGGCAGAGGGCTCATGAGCGGCCACAACCGGAACCGGCTGGGCAGGCACCGCCTACAACCACGGCAGCATACGAGGCAGGACAATTAGAAAGCGGTATCACGTGCAAGCGTGGGCACCAAAATGCAAGGCGTCCCTCTATCGAGAACCCACCGAGAACGCCGGCAAGGCGACGACGCCTTCCGCACCCGCATTGCGGGCAACGACGGGAAGCACGACGCCAGCAGGCATAACGAGTGCGGACGTAGGGCCCTGGCGGAGAGCGTCCGGACCGGTTGCACCCCACCAACCCGGGCACCAAGATACCGCCCGACACGGCGAAGCCGACGCCGCAGGAGACACCAAGAGCAGGACCGAGAAAACCCAGTAAGGATGGGAGGTCGGCGGGCCGCGGCGCCCAGGAATGCGAAAAGAAGAACGATCCTTAACATCCGGTAAATGCGAACGGAGAGCAAAGCGCCGACTCACCGAAAAGCTCACAGGCCACATGGCCAGGACGCCTGTGTCATCACTACACTATGACGGCGCTTATAGCTTATGGCGCGACGACGCAATTCGGACCATGCACGTGATGTGACCCAGATGCAACGACGAATCGCCAGGCTGGGCTAATAGTATGCGAGCACTATAGCGCTTTGAGCAAAACAGGACCCGTCTTTGGCGACCGACGCGATCGCTACCGTACAAAGATGCTCAATTCTCGGGGCGACTTTCCTAGGCGGTGCCCAGGCAGACAGAGCAATAGAACGGGCCCATTAGGAAGGCGCTCGGAGGCGCCCACTCAAAGTCAGCACACTGTACGGTGGCGGTTGCTGCACTCTGACAATTGAAGGACCGCTCGGGTTAGTGTGAGGTGTCACTTGCGTTAAACGCGTATTGGATTGTAAGTTTACGTCCGCACTGTAGAAAGTTGCTCTTTAGGTCAACAACGTTGGGCCGGCCTGCGCTTATCTCGGTCAGGTGGATACAGCTTCCCTGATATGCTCATAAGCTTTTGAACATTGAAGATTTAAGAGTGAACACATTACAGCTGTTGGGACTCTAGCTGTGCATCGCTAGTCTCCTATTAACTATGAACGTCAAACATACATTGCATACGTTTCTGAAGTCTGCAGTGGAGACGTTTGCTCCGCCTCTGTCCAAAAGCCAATTCGAGGAGAAGCGGGTGCGTTGGCATTTGCCTTTGCAGGAAACCCTTGTCTGGTCGGTTGTATGAGGACCTGGCATGTTGCTTGCAGGTTCTCACACCAGATGAGTTCGTAGCTGCTGGTGACTACCTGGTTCACGCCTGCCCGACTTGGTCATGGTGAGCGGCATACAGCCATACATCCTCGTCATGCCGCGGTCGTTCGGATGGTCCTAGCCCCTCACGTTTCGTTCCTGACCTATACCTTTTGTTCTATTCTGCAGGGAGGGCGGGGATCCAAAGAAGCGGCGCTCATACTTCCCGCCCGAGAAGCAATTCCTAGTGACACGAAATGGTACGTGCTTTTTGGCTATTTACACTAGCCGGCGCGGACTACTCCGAGTAGCCCTGTTCTTGCGAGGGGTCTGATCCTCTCAGCGGTGCCACGCCCAAATCCTTTCCTACGTCTGCCAGCCTTCCACCACCGCCATGGCCATTCCCTACCCCGTCAGCCATCTCCACGCTCGGACGCCCATCGTGTTCACAACCACCCTTCGATGACCACTCCTCCACCACTCCCAAATCCCGCCCCTTGCCCCCTTCTTCCCGCAGTTCCCTGCCTGAGGCGCGCGGGCGAGGTGGAGGGCGGCTACAACCCCAACCTTGAGTTCGCAGTGGAGGGCGGCGAGGCGGGCGAGGAGGGCTGGGTGGCCACCCACCAGGACCCCTCTGCTGCTGGTGGTGCTGGCGACGGTTCGTCCGCAGGTGCAGGGCGGGGAGGAGCTGCGCAGGGGCGAGGAGGACGAGGAGGTGGAGACGAGGAGGACATTCCGGACCTGGATGATGCGGCAGCGGGGACAGCGGGCAGGGCGGGAGGAGCAGCATGCGGGCGGGGCGAGGGGGACATTCCTGATATCACGGACCTAGAGCTCGATGAGGGGGAGGATGAGGTGGGTTGAGGGTTGTGTGTGGGGGAGGCGGGGCTTGCGTGGGGCTTGTTTGAAGGGGTGGGAGGGGGTTGGGGCGTGGGACTGGTCGGGAGGGATGGGAAAAAAGAAATTCCAAAGTGTGGTAGTGTGGATGGGGGGGTCTGGGGTGTTTGAGGGGCAGCGTAGGGGGCTGGTGAGGGGGAGGATGAGCCGCGGAGATGAGTGGCTTGGATAGGAGGGATGATAGGAGGTCAGACGTGGAACCCCTGTGCCCCCGCCCCCCAAACCGCAGGCCGCCGCCCCCACCGGCCGTACGGCAGCCGCTGCAGCCGTTTCGTCGTACCTGCGGTCCGAGGAGCCGGCGGACGACAACATCGTACGAACCCGCACGTACGACTTGTACATCACGTACGACCAGTACTACCAGGTAGGGTGTACGACAAGATAAGAGTGCAGTACAAGAGGAGCGGGGCGTACCTGCCCAAACTTGTTCGAGCTGGCGACGTGCAGTGTGTCCCCTCAGCCGACCCTTGCAGATCCCCTCCCGTCCCTTCCTGACCCCTTCCCCGCTCTCGCCTTTGCCGTAGCTGATCCCGGTATGGGGAGTGGGCTTCTGTCGGCTATCTCTCCTTCCTCATTCTCCCATCCCTCTTTCGCTCCTCCTCCTCCCCCCCCTCCCCCGCTGCCCCAGGTTCCCCGCTTCTGGCTGGTGGGGTTCGATGAGTCGCGCCAGCCGCTGCTGCCCAAGCAGGTGCGGGGGGGTGGGGGAGATGTAAAGATTAAGAGACACTGACGAGGCAACTACCGGTAACGAGCTGTATGCCCTGCGGGGTGGGGGTGGGTGGGGGCGAGGAGAGCGGTGCTGGAGGGGCCGCAGGAGCTTGCATGCATGGCGGGGTGGGGTGGGAGGTTGGGTTGGGGGACGTGGGGATGGTGCCGGTGCTGCTGCGCAGGCAGGCAGGCGTTGGGTGATGGGCGAGTGTCACCCCTGGTGCTCTCACCACCTCCCCTTATCCCGCACCCCTCCACCTTCACCTCCGCCCCTCCCCCGCACCTCCTCCCCCGCACCTCCCACTTATACGCTACAGACTTTCTCTTTTACTGCTACTACATGACTACTACATTCCTAGCTGCTTTCACTTACTTACGACGTTGATTACAATACTTCGAAGTCTGGAACACCATCAAGCAATTTCCGGTAATCTACGGTCAGGGTCAGTGTTTCCGCGGCTCAGTTTATCTAATCCCCCTGGTTACGCAATCCCCATTGTTTATCAATCCCCTACCCGCCCCAACCGGTGTTTCCCACACATCTCTTGCCCCCCCCGCTATCACCACCCCATTGCTTTGCCCTAACCTGTGGTTTCCTATGGTTTGGTATGGTCCTTGACCCCCCTCGCTGTCAGGTTCTCGAGGACGTGTCTGAGGAGCACGCGCGCAAGACGGTGACGGTGGACCCGCACCCGCACCTGGGGGGCGGCCTGTGCGCCGCCTCCATCCACCCCTGCCGCCACGCCGACGTCATGAAGCGGCTGGTGGACCGGCTGGTGGAGGCGGGGCGGGAGTTCAGGGTGGAGCAGTGAGTAGCGGGGGGGGCGGGGGGGCCGGTGGAAGACTAAATGAAAAGTGAAGCAACGGTGTCCCGGGGGCATGGGGGGGGGGAGAAGTGGAGGTGGGTGGTAAGGAGACCCGAAACCCTGGAATAACGTCGGAGCCGAGCGTTGGTCAGTTGAGGTTTGGCTACTGGGTTTGTCACACGGTTCGGGATGTGGGTCCCGACCTGCACCTCCTCCTGGTGCTCCTGCCGAATACCTTCATGTCGGGCGGTACCTTGGTCTGGTGTGTACTCCCTCGCCTCCCCTGCCTGCCTCCCTCACCTCCCCGGCCTGTCTGTCTGACCTCCCCTGCCTCACCTCCCCTGCCTGCCTCTTGCCTCACCCGCCTCCCTCCCCTGCCTCCCTCGCCTCCCCTGCCCGCCTGCCTCCCCTGCCTCACCCCCCCTCCCCGCCCCACAGGTACCTGGTGCTGTTCCTCAAGTTCATCGCCTCCGTCGTACCCACCATCCAGTGAGTCCAGGGGAGGGGCGTGGATGGAAACACCGCGAGGAAGCGGTGCGGGGACGCAAACTAGCTGGGGGGGACAGCGCTGGTTTTGTTATACAGAGCACGGGGGGGAGGGGGTCGGGCCCGTGGGTGGGGAAGCACACGTTTTCATGACAGTTGGCTAACGGTTGTCTGGTACTGCTGCCGGTGTGCTGCCCTGCAGGTACGACTACACCATGTCAGTGGGCGGCGAGTGAGGAGGTGGCAGGCAGGTGGACTGCTGGCTGCTTGGCTTGCCGCTGTCCTGCTGCGGCTTCTCTGCTGCCGCCGGGGCCCTGCTGCTGTCGGCGCATGCGACGCCATGAGGAGCCGTCACCAGGCGCCCGGGTGGTGACGACGACGACGTGTATTAAGAAAACTGGCCGCGAGTCGGAACGTATTGTGACGACGTGTGTGTGCATACGAGCCAGCAGCCTTTGTAACAGTACCTAGCGTTTGGCGGTGTTTGTACGACGTGTGTGTAGGGGCCCTTGTGTGCCGTACGGGTGTTCGGGTGTACGACAAAAGGTAGCTATACACGGCTGCTGCAGTTGTTTGACGCTTGTTTTGTTGGTGGTGTACCGCAGCTAACAGTGCCCTGCAAGCACCGTAGTCGTACGTTGGGAGTTATTCGGTTCATGTGACGCCGTGCGCGTCAAAATGGAGAGATGCCTGCTGTGGTGGAGGGTGTACGACAGTGGACGGCAGATGTACGGATTGGCGGTACGACAAGGCTAGCTACGCTTGGCAAGAGGGAAGGAAAGCTCCTGAGGGCGGGCGGTGGCTTATTGTTTGCTTGGCCGATTCTTCTAGTTTTCCACTGCTGTAATGCGTGCAGGAATAGTTGCTTTCGGAGATTGTCTTGACCATTGGACACAGAAGCACATCAGTAGATTGCAGAGAGGCGACAAGCCAGGGAAGCGGGAAGGGGTCTCTCCATCCCTCCCTCTTCTGAAAGGATCAACAGTAAACAGGGCAGGAAGCAACCCCACGTGGCTCCGTGTGTGCTGACTCGGTTATGCACATAACTCCTTACTTGGGTTGTTACTTGGGTTAGAGGAGTATGGTTGCGTGACAGGCGCGCTTACTTGGGATCGCCAGCTGTCACGGCGTGGCTGGCATCTCCGGGTTGTTCGCAGCCTTAGTCGCTCAAAGCGAGCTGACACCATCCCCTTCCCCCACCGAGATGCTTACGGTGCCAAAGGAGACAAGATCTCCACAGACGGCTGCGGCACTCCACGCTAGTTGCCTGGGGTATCCGGTCGGCTCCTTGCAGGTCGGCTGTTAGTGAAGGGGAAAGCGCGGGAAAGCCGCAGCAGGAGAGGGAAAGCAGGAAGTTGGAGCGGAAAAGACACGAAAGGCCGACAACAAGTAGAAAGGATATTAAGCGCATAACCTAGCAATTGTCCTATCAAGGTGAGAAGGGGTTTCGAAACTTTGTCCCACGTGCCTTCCAAACACTTGCAATAGTATGTACGGACCAACCGCTATGCTAATGCAACGGGTAGGTAGGATGCAGGATGCAACTCCAGTGTCCACTTTTGGTAGTTTTCGTAGTAGTCCTTTATACCTGTTTCCTAGAGGAACTTCTATCCTTACGAAGTCGACAGGCTTTATGCGCATCGCGCATCATTGATGTACCCCGACGGTAGCAGCTGACTTGCCTTGCTAGTCTGTAAGAGCTTCATTTGCACACAGCTTACCATGGATCTGGAGTAATCGTCTCATAAATGTTACCAAGTGTGGAAGTTGCTGGTGTCCTGCCTGGGCCAGCCACAAAAGCAAACCGAGGCGCTGCGGATCTTCTGGAATGTCAGTTGTTCGCTTACGGAGTCGGATCTAGCGTGGCCGTGGTGGAGGTGAGGTAGTAGTGCATTCCGCAAGCCACCGACCTAGCATCTCACAGTCCGGGTGAGCTCCTAGCTCCCACATGTTGTCAAAGGACATGTGCGATCTTGCACATCCTGATATAGCCGTTCAACTAGCAACAGTTCAGCAATGTGACGGTTAGGTACCATCCTTGAATCCTTTTACAGCACACGCGTTCCTTCTACACCTTAAGCGGTTTGCCATACTCTTCCCTTCTTCTCCGTACGCTCATTTTCCTTCAGCAAGCAATCCCATAACTGCTCTCCCTTCGCGATGTCGTACAGGTTCAGGAGCTCCAGCTGTCGTGCGTGCTCCAGGGCGGTCACCGCAACCATGCGGTTACGGCGGTGAAGTGGTGGGTCGGTGGGACATGGGGTCCCATGAAGCCGTACATGCATGCATGCATTCGAGTGGGACCGGGGTAGTAGCTGCTACCTAGCAGCCCTTCATCAGGGGCAGCAGCGGCCCTTGCGGCAATGCGCTCCTTCCACGCTACTCCTCCCGCCTCTGTACTCATTCTTTTCCCTACTCACTCCTCATGGCCCCCTTCCTCTTCCTGGTTGCTGCTGCTGTTGTTGCTGTTGCTGCTGCTCCCACCCACCCACTTGCTCCCACCCACGCGGCCCCCCAGGTGTCCCGACTGCCACTCCCGGGACCTCAAGAGCCACAGCAGCCACCTGAGGTGAGGCGGGTGGGCGGGTAGGCGGAGGGTAGAGGGCGGGTGGAGGGTAGAGGGTAGAGGGGGTGGGCGGGTGGAGGAGTGATAGAACATGGGTAAGTGGGCCATGGTGGCATGTGGGCCGGGCTGGGGTGGTGAGAGCACTGTTGTAGCAGGCACAGTTCCTCGCAATCCTGCACCACCTCCCATCCGCACCCCCTGACTCCGCCCATACCATGCGCCCCCGCTCCCCTCACCTCCCCCTCCCGCCTCCCGCTCAGGCTAGCTTCCGGCGACTGCGAGGGCGGGGTGGCGGTGTGGTCGGTGCTGGGCGGCAGCGTGGCGAGCAGGCTGGAGGTGTGGGGGTCGGGGGGTGGGGGTGGGTTAGTTTGGGGGGTCATGTGAGAGAGTGAGCTGATGGTGCTGTAGGTGTAGGGGTTTGGTGGGGTTTGAGAGTGTGCTGAGCTGCTGAGTGTGCGAATAGCGGTTGGAGGTGGGCGGGGATCAGGAGGGCAAGCAGTCGGTTTCCCTAGTGAACCATGTAGGGTGATGTTTCCGAGTTGCAATGCCTCCCCGCTTCAATGCAACCTTGCATCCCACATGCCAAAACGCGCCGCAGGAACACTTTTCCGTACGAGAGTATGTACGGAGCGGCAACAGCAGCACCTCTAGTGGCGGCGGAGGCGGTGGACCAAGAGGGATGTACGGCAATGACGTCAGCGGCGGCAGTGCCGGCGGCGGCCCCGGTTACCTGGCTCCTGGGGGTGTGGCGGGGCTGGCTTGGGTGCTCTCCTCTCCGTCGGTGCTGGCGGTGCTGCTGACCCCTGGGTCACTGCTACTCTGGGATACCAAAGGTGTGCCATGTGACAATGACAATGATTGCTGGCTTTGGGTGGGGCAAGGTAGCGGGGTCGGGTGACCCACGGGTCATGTAGGTAGCTTGCATGCAACCTGTCTACAGCGATTACCGTTGGTTGCGGAGTGAGAACCTGAGCACACCATGACCCGCACAATGATGCGAACAGACTCCTGCCATGCATTCGTTCCGACATACCGGTAGATTTGGCGTGTCGCAGACCGGTAGCCCATGTTTACATGACACGTTGCGTTTTACAAGACTGCAGTGAAGATGGGTGCCGTATAATTCGCTGCTTGCGCAGGGGGTGCCGTACTCTGGAAGCGGGAGCTAGCGGGCCCGGACATTTGGCACAGCCTGGAGGTGGGTTGCGTGTACCATAACTGGGAGGACGTGTCACACGGGTCGCTTTGACGGTTGACGGTTGGAGACTGCGTGCATGCATGTGTACGGTTGGATGCGAATGCGGATAAGGTTGGGCATACTATTTGCGCTTCAATTCAGAAACCCAAGGCCTGAGTCGTCCTTCCATGCATCCTTTTCCAGTGCCATGTGCACATGGTACCCATTCCTTTTATTCTTAGTTGCAGAAACACATGCATGCTAACCGCCATTACCACCACATACCTACCAATTGTCACACCGTTAGGTGGATCCGTTGGACTGCCGGCGGTTGGCGGTTGGTAGCGGTCAAGGCGGGCTGGCATTACTCTCACTGGACGACCCGGCGAGCGACCGAGTGGAGATCAAACAGTACCGCATTGGCACCGCGGCGGCGGTTGCAACCACCAACAGCAACAGTAATGGAGGTGCTACTGCGGCTGCTGCTGCTACTGCGGGCGGCCTGGTCGGCCTGCGCTTCTGCGCCACTCGGGACTTGCTGTTCCTCATGATGCCGCGGTGAGACTGCGTGCGTGGCTACTGTGGACACAGAGTGTGTGTGTTTTGACACGTACCCACTACTCCCTGGCTCACCCCGCTGCCCCCTCCCCGTTCCACGTTGCTGCTATTACATCGCCTACTAACTACACAGCTCATTGCCTACTGACTGACAATCAATTTCATTGAGGTAAATCCTACTTACTCCACCCTATCCCCGGTCCCCCGCATGCAACCCCGCAGCGAGATCGTTGTGTTTGACACGGAGTTGGGAGCCCCCGCCGCCTCCCGCCCGCTCCCCCCCGGCCGGCCGCCCTTCTCCTGCCTGCTGGGGGTGTACGGCAGGGGGGTGAGTGCGGGCGGGGGCGACGAGGGCGGCTGCGAGGGGGTGTGGGCGGCGCATGTGGATGGCAGCCTGTCGGTGTTTGGACGCGTGGAAGGTGAGGAGGGGAGCGAGGGGGTGGGGGGTGGGCGGGGCGGGATGAGGTTTGGAGTAGGGGAAAGCGCGAGCGAGTGAGGGGCTCCACGTGTGCAGGAGCGAGAAAGATGGCCGAGGAAAGACCTACGCGCTCCCTCCTCCTCCCACCTGCTTCCTCGCACCTCCCACCTGCCTCCTCCCCTCGCCCTCCCCTCCTTCTGGCCCTCCCCCCCCCCCAGGCGAGCTGCGCTATCAGTTGGTCTGCTCCGCCCGCCTCACCCCGCCCCCGCAGCGCGCCTCGCAGCCCTCCCCGATGACACTCCTGGCGGCGCGGGCAGGGCTGATGGGGGTGGCAGGGGCAGGTGGTACGGCAGGTGGTGCGGCAGGGGGCGGTAGCAGGAGTTCCCCTGCTCCGTCCAGTCCAGCGGGAGAGGCAGCAGCAGCAGCCGCTTCAGCCGCCACGGGGCTGCTTCGCGCGCTGTTCACCTCCCAGGACCCCTCCGCGGTCGCAGCGGCAGCAGCAAGAGCAGGCACCTCCCACCGTGCCCCCCACTCGCATCCCCATCCCCAACACCAGCAGCAGCAGCACCTTCATCCCCCACACAGTGGCAGCCCGAGCAGCTCGCCGCACCGCCACCCACCTAATCCGGGGAGCAGCCCGGGCAGCAGCGGCAGCGGCGGTACTGTTGAGGCCGCTGCACCTGCTGCTGCTTCTAGGCTTTCCGCTCCCTCCTCCTCGCGGCCTGCTAACGATGGGGCCAGCATCAGCACCAGCAGCGCCAGCAGCGGCAGCCACCTCAGCCCCCAGCAGCCGCTGCTGCCGTTCGTCCACTCGCAACCCCGACCGCTAGCACAACAGCAGCAGCACCAGCAGCGGCCTCAGGCGCCTGCCTACCCGTACTCGTCTGCTGCTGCTGCCCCTGCTGCTTCTGTTGGCGGTAGTGGTGGTGGTGCGCCGGCGTCGCCGGCAAGGCCTCCGGTTGAGGAAGACAGGCAAGCAAACTCGTTGATCGACATGTGGGGGGTTGGCATGCATGCCACATGCATGGCTGGGGCGGGGTTCTGCTGCTCAATGTCTACAGCAGGCGCGTGCGGGGTCGGGACTGGCAGCGTGATTGGGGCGCTGCTGGGTTTGCTGCTAGGCTGTCCGAAGGGGTCCGGGAGGGGGGGCTCAGGGTCGGCTGGACGATGGAGGGCACCTCATGGGTTGGCGGGGAGCCAGGTTAGCCGTGTCCCCCATGCGACAACAAGGCGCCTCCATGTGGCGCACCATGGGGTGGGGGTGCGGTCGCGAGGGGGGAAGAGGGAGCAGGCGCTGCCGCTTGGCGCGCCGCTGCAGAGTCCGTGTGGCTTGGTGGTGGCTTGAGACCCACCTCCCACTGCCTCCCTGCCTCCCTCCCCCAGGTCTTCCCTGCTGATCGTAACGCTCACAGCGGACGGCGGCGTGTGGCGCTGGGAGGGGCCCCTGGCTCGCTTCCCAACCGCTTCCAACGACTACCTTAATAACCGCCACAACTACCAACAACAGCAGCATCAACCGCTAACGCCTGCGCCACCCCAGGCTGCAGCAGGCTTGCGACACCCTGGCCCGTCAACGGCAGCAGCAGCAGCGGCAGCCGGGCTGCCACCCCCGCTGCCCCCACCGCAGCACCCGCAGCAACAGCAGCCGGTATATGGGAAGGGAGGGGGAAGGAAGGGGGAAGGGAAGGATCACCACTTCACCAGACATGCAGCTTGATCAATGCTTGATGACGATCCCATTAGGCAGTTACTCCCAACCGAACACACAACGGATGCCCCTGCCCGCCCGCACATGCATATCCTCCCATCCCCGCATGCGTGCCCGCCCATGCAGCTGCAGGTGGTAGCCCACCCCTCCGGCCCCCCGCTCCTCTCCGGCCAGCTGCACCTGCTGCCCTCCGCCGCCACCTGCATCGCACTCTACCCCCGACCCGTGGCCGAGGCGGCTGGTGGTGGTGGTGGTAGTGGGGGCGGTGGTGGCAGCAGCAACAGCAGCAGTGTTGTGTTGCTGGGTGCTGCGGGGACGGTGGGAGGCAGTTTGGAGCTGTTTGCCGTGCAACGGGGGCTGGTGAGGAGGGGCGGGGGGGGAGGTGTATTGACAAGATGGGGTTTGGTTTCATTGAATGGGAAGTGGGGCGGGTGAGGCTACGAGGGCGGCAGTCAGTCACTGGTTGCTGTGTTTCAAAGTTGGAGCTGGTAGGGAGGGGAGCTGCTCTCTTTCATGCCTCTTCCCCTTTTCTTCTCTGTCCCCGGTCCCTCCTGACTACCCCTCACTACCCCCCCCCCAGGTGTCACCGCTGTCCGTGCACGTGACCTCCTCCCTGGCTGCGGCACACAGGCGAGCTCCAGGGGGGGGGGAAGGGGCAGAGCAGCAGGGGGGCATAAGCTGGGGTTTGGGACTTCCCTCCTCGATTTGTCTGGTCCGCCCTTGACTACCGGTATCGGTTTGTTGATGTTCCTCAATGTCTGTGTTCCTTTCCAATGATTCAAACATCCAATGATTCAAACATCCAATCCTCCAATCCTCCTGCCTGCCTCCTCCTCAACCCCAAACATCTCGAACCCCGCAGAGACGGCCCCATTCGCGGCGTTCGGTGGCTCGGCGCCTCGCCGCGACTCCTCAGCTTCTCCTCCGACCGGACCCCCAATGGCTCCGCCTGGCGTAACGCCCTCGTCATTACCGACATCCGAAGCGGTCGATCAATTCACCTTCCTCGCGACGGTTCATCTTCCTCTTCCGCCCCTTCGTCTTCCTCCGCGGGAGGAGCGCCTCCTTCCAGTCCAGGCTTCGGAGGAGGTGGAGGAGCAGCCGCAGGAGGAGGGGGCATGGGTGCAGGGGGAGCAGGAGTGGGGCCAGGGGCAGCAGCAGCAGGGGCGGGGGTGGGGGGAGTGGTGACGGAGGCTAGTCCGTTGCTGGGGGTGCGGAGCTCCCCATGTGGGGGGTACCTGCTGGTGCTGGTGAAGGGGGCGCCGGCGGAGCTGTGGGGGGTGAGCGGGGGGGGGTTGGGGTGGGGGGTTGGGCTGGTGGGGTGGGGGGTGGGAGAGGGCTCGGGTTGGGGTGGGTTGTTGGCGGGCGCCGGACGACAGCGGACTGGGGTCAACATAGGGTTGCGGGTGAAGGTCATGGAGCAAGAGGGCACGACGATACATACAGTGGGAACATGGGATAGGGGATGCTAAAGCTCCATTCTGGCATGAGACCCACTCATGATGCGGAAAGAACACATGTTTGTTTGTTTTTAAACATGTTTTTTTTCATGCATCATGCAGGTGTGGCCCGGAGTGCAGCCTCACCGCCTACGCCTCCTCGACCTCCCCTTCTCATGTGTCGAATGGGCCCAAACCCCCCTGCCGTACCACACCGAACCCGGGTATGTCGTACAACCAGATGACGTCACCGCCTGGGATCTATCGAAAGAGCCGCCGCCGCCGCCACACTCACATTCCCACTCGCATCCGCCGCCGCCGGCTGCGCCGTCGATCGCATTCGCCGTGTCGTCGCTGCTGTCGTCAACCTCCTCCGCGGCTGCTGGTATTCCCATCATGGATCACGACTTGCGCGGGTTCCGAAGCGGCAGTCACGACGGGGACAGCGGCAATGAGGGCGGCGGCAGGGCCAGTGGCGGCGGCGCCGGCGATGCGCCGTACGGCACTGGGCTGTACGGCAACAGCCTCAGTCGCGGCAGCGGTGGCGGCGGCGGCGGCGGCGACGCCGCCGTCACTACCGCGACGGATGGGGGTCAGCTTCTGTCGCCAATGCCATCGCCGATGCCCGCAGCGACTGCGGCGGCGGCGGCGGCGGTTCCGAGTGAAGCTCATCTGGTGTTCACACTGACGGACGGACGAGCGGGGGTGCTCTCGGTGGGTTTGGGAGTGGATCAACTGGGTGAGGCTTGGAGGGCCTGTCTTGATGTGATGATGGTTTACCTACATCAGCAGGCCGGTGTGCCGGGGAGGTGTCAGAACCCTCCCCAACTGGATGGAATAGGGAGAAGAAGCTCTTTATGGTCGCTCACGAGCCGTGGGGTCTGCGAGTTGGTGGCTTGAGGGCGAAATATCGGGATGATTACTAAGCTTTGTTATAGACAGTTTGTTACGGAGGCGTGAATCATTGCTTGGTAGCCCGTCTGCCCTTTCGCTTCATCCTAAATTCTGTGCTACCCCTAAAACCTTCATCCGTGTATGCAGGTACGAGGCCGTCGAATCGCCGACACGCGCGTGAAACGGCCCATGGCTGGCTTACTAAATCCGTTGGAGCTAACCGCCACGGCGATGGCGGCGGTTGGTCGTACGGCAGTTATGGGGGACAGCGAAGGACGGTTGGCGGTTTGGGAGTGGGGCACCGGCAGGACGACGATCATGGCGACAGGGTGAGCTGTACGACAGTGTACGGTTGTATGGGAAAAGCCGTACAGCACAGCAGGGTGTACGTTGGATTACGCGAAAGGGGCGAGGGGGAGGAGACGAGCTTAGAAAGGCCCTTGGGTGACGAGAAGCAGCGGACCTCTTGTTGTTTGCATGTCGCCTTGAGTACTTACTAGCACAGCTTCTGATTGGGGTTCACAGTTGTGTTGACTTTTCAACACTACCAATGGTTGTTGCTTTTCCTCATTTGCGTGCAGGCTGGGCCTCGTACGGAAAATCCAGATCCAGATGTGTCAACCGCCGGCGTCACAGCCCCCTGTCTACATCCACCGTACAACAACCACCACCGCTCCTGTTTCGACTGCGGCAACAACATCAACATCTGCCGTACATTCACCGTTCTCCACCACATCGGTACCCGCCACTGGAGGTGGCGGCGGCGGCGGTGCCAGCGGCGGCGTGTACGTCAAGGCGCGTGTCGCCGCACTGTTCGCCTCGGGTCAATGCTGCATCTTTGACCTCGACTCAACCAACAAACTGCGACCAACCGACGTCGGCGCCGGCGCGATGCAACGGTCCGGTGTACGAGCCGTACTGGATCTCGCATGGCTTCCGCTGTGGTGGCTCCCGCCGCCGCCGTCGCCGCTGTCGTACAGTTCTGACGTCAGTGGCGCCGTGGGCGGCGGCGGCGGCGGGTTGTCCCTCCTGGCCGTTGTGACGGACGAAGGAGGAGTTGCCGTACTCGACGTCGGCGTGGCGGCGCCGCCGTCAGGGACGCAGCTGCTGCAGTCGCTGCCGTCGGCGCCGTCGCCTGCGTACGGCGGGCGGGGGCCGCTGACGTCTGCGCCGTCGTCAGCGTCGATCTCATCGGCGGCTTCGGCGCTGGGAACGTTCGGCGGCGGCGGCTTATCGCCCTCCCGCCGGCCGTACGGCGGGGTCGCCATGGGCACCGCTGGGTGCGCTGGCATTGGCGGCGGCGGCGGGCCGCATCACCACAGTCGTACATTGGCGCTGAAACTGGCGCTGCAGCCGCAACCACCGCCGCCGCCACCAGTGTCCATGGCAACGCCTACCGACACTACCGGTGACACGGACACCGGCAAGGGGGGCGGTACCGCCGCCGCTGACGGCGCTGAGGTGCCTTGCAGCAGAAGCGCTGGCAGTGGCGGCGCCGCGGCGGGCTTGTGGCTGAGCCTTGCGCCCGCTCCTGCCTTGACCTCCTGCCTGCTGCTGCCGCGGCCGCTGTCGATGCTGCTGCGGCTGCTGCTGCAGCTGGGGGTGTCACAGGTGGGCCGCTGCTGCTGCTGTGAAGTTGCTGTTGCGAGGTCAAACAGGGGAGGGGGCCAAAGGGAACTGGCAAACTGGCAAACTGGCAACAGACAAACAACGCCTGTGTTCCCCGTCTTCTCTGACCTCCCTACCTCCGCCCGGCCCCATGCCCTACCTCCGCCTCCCTGCCCGCTGCCCCGCGCCCCTCCCCCCAGGAGCTCCTCCGCTACCTCTGTCGCCGGCCGCACCTCCACCACCGCCACCACCACCGCCGCACCCATTTTGCCGGACAAGACGGAATGAGTAAAGAAGATGATGGCGAGCTGGAGGAGGAGGAGGAGGAGGAAGATGAGGAGGCGGAGGATGTACGACATGAGCTGCTGGCCCGTGTGCCTCGAGCAGCACGAGGACCGCTGCTGGCCTTGCTGGCTGCGGATCAGCTCCGTCGTCATCAGCATCACCATGATCAACATCACCACCCCTATCACCAGCAGCAGCAGCAGAAGAATGGGCTTCATCATCCTGGTAGCAGTAGCAGTCCTTCCCAGGGCAGAGGGACGCTACCAGCGGGCAGGTATCAGCAACCGACCGCCCAACAGCAGCAGCCGCAACAACCAACGCAAGAAGCCATTCAACCACAACCCCAACTACTACAACAGCAGCAGCAGCAACATGAAAAGGATAAAACGACGACGCCACGAGAGGAGGCAGTCCATGCAGTTGGTGGCACTAGTGCTAGTGGTGGTGGCGGCGGCGACGCTGTCAGCAACGGCAACGGCGGCAATGGCAGCAGCAACAGTCTGGGTAGCGCGGCGCTGGCGCTATCCGGTAACATGCTGCGGGCGGTGGGGCTGGCCCTCACCTCCCTTACCTCAGCCACGTCAGCCGCGGAAACAGCAACGACGACAACACCAGCAGCAGCAGCAGCGCCGGCTGCGGGATCTTCTGCGGCGCCCATCGCTGCTTCTGCTGCTGCCGGCTTAGCAGTGTCAGGGACTCAAGCACAGCAGCAGCAACCGCAGCAGCAGCAGCAACATGCAGGGGTGTCTGCTGCTGCGGGGGGAGGCAGTGGAGGCAGCGGAGGTGGAGGCAGCGGGCTGTACCGCGGAGGGGGGCTGCTGCAGCTGCTGCGGCTGCTGGCGAGCATGCGGGCGCAGGTGGGCGTGCGTTGGATACTGGCACCCCCTTACACGACACCCCCATACACGACACCCCCATACACGACACCCACTTACACGACACCCACTTACACGACACCCACTTACACGACACCCACTTACACGACACCCACTTACACGACACCCACTTACACGACACCCACTTACACGACACCCACTTACACGACACCCACTTACACGACACCCACTTACACGACACCCACTTACGGCGCACTCCTATCACCCCGGTGCTCCCGATGTCAGCTGCTGCTGTACACCTCTGGCTAGGCCACCTCCTCACCATGATACGTCCCCAGCACCCATGGAACAATGTGCCTACCCTTTGTAGACCAGAGTTACAGTCACAGTCTGTACGTATGTTGCTGAGTTTTAAAGTGTACAGTCTCAAACGCTGCCCTCAACCTCCCCCCTCCTCTCACAGGGTCGGCTGCTGCACCCTCATGAGTGGCTGCTCTACAGCCGCGCCCTGGCCCCCGGCTGCAGCCCCGCAGACCGCATGGCGGTGGCAGCGGCGGTGAGCGGAGACAGCGCGGAAGCCGGGTTCTGGAGCCACCTGCCGGCCACACTGGCAGCGGTACGGCAGATACGGGTGAGTACGGTGGTGTATGAGGTGCACTGCCGTACATAGTGTACGAGGGCTGCGTAGAGGGCTGCGTAACTTTTGTCACTGCTTTATTGAATCCCCTCTCTTTTATTCCCCCCGCATGGCTTTCCATAATGGGAGGAGAGTACTGTCCAGCAGCCTCCCTTTTTCCTACATTTCTCGGACTCGCTGCTTTTACATGTTTGGCTTTGGGGGAGTCCATTGTACGTACTACAACCCACGTGTGTCATACGAACCAACCAACAAACAAACAAAACATACAAACGCCCCATGCAGGACGAGGTCACTCGCCTCCGCATCCAGGAGGCATCTCAGCACCTGCGGATGACCTCCAGGACGTCGTCAGCCGCCCCTGCTGCCGCCGCCACCGGCATTCCCTCTCCCAACCGAACGTCAGCGACCCATGGGTCATCACCCCCGTCATCGACATCCTCGCAACACCTCTCGGCACCGCCGGCAGCCATCAGAGCGCCGTACGGCAGTAGCGCAACATCCTCCGCAATCATCGCGCCGGCGGCTGCTACAGCTGCTACAGCCATGGGTCGAACGAGTGCTGACGGCAGCGGTTTTGTTGTACACTCGTCGTCGCCGACTGGCGGCGCGTCCTCGGTCGCTGCTACTGCCACTGCCACGGCGGCAGCGATTGAGGCCGCTACCGCCGCTGCTACAGCTGCGACGGCGGCAGGTTTGCCGTACGAAGGCGCCGGCGGAGGTAGCAGCAGCTGCACGAGTAACGGTGCCGTACGGTTGTGGGACGAGCGGTTGGCGGTCGCCGAGGCGCATGAGCGAATCAAGTGGCGGGAGGCACCTGGTCGGGCGGTGAGCGAGACGAGTGCGCTGCATCAGGTAGGGGGGGAGGGGGGGGAGAAGGGGGAGGGGGGAGAAGACCATGCGCTGAGTGATGAGGGAGGGGGGAGGGGTGCGATGCAATGCAATGCCCTTTGTGGTTTTTCTGCGAGTTGCTTAGTTGCTATACGGCTGCAGTATGTTGTACGGGGCTGAGGACGCGCTGCCTGCGGCAACCCACCGCGTGCTAACTTACCCATGATTTGCGCTCGCGAAGTGGGGTCACTTACTGTGTGCATGTGAGGACGTGCACACACCGTGACACACTGCTCCGTTTACCCTAACAGAAACTCCTGAACCCTATCCCCATTCCCCGCTCCGTTGCTCCCCCTCCTCCCCCTCCTCCTCCCTCCCCAGGAGCGGCGGCTGCTGGAGTACGTGGCGGCGGGGGAGCTGCAGACGGGGGTGGCGCTGCTGCTGGCCGCCTCGCCCGAGCACTCGGCAAGGTGGGGGGCGGAGGGGAGGGGAGTCCCGGTTGTGAGGGCGTATGTACCGGTAATGAGGAAACCAGTATGGACCAGGCACACCAGCAGGGGCGCGGTGTGGGGTTGGGCTGGATAGGGGCCCGGGCAGGAATGTGGTATAATCCACGCGGCAGTGGTGGAGGGGGCGGGGCTGTTGCCTTAACAAGCAACCACCCAACAAGCAAGGACCCACCCCGAAACCCGTACCTCTCCCGCTCTATCTCTCTGGGGTTCGGTAAGATGGGGTTCAGGAATGTGAGGCGGCGCATGAAGCGCCGTACAACACCCCTCCAGCACCTTCCCCTCGCTCGTCCACTTCCCCTCCCCTCTCATCACCCCTTCCCCTCTCCTCTCATCAACCCTCCCCCCCCACAGGTACTACCGGGACGCCCTGTGCACGGTGGCGCTGGCGGCAGCGGCGGCGGCAGCAGGTGGGGGGGAGGGGGGGTGGGCGGGGGAAATACGTGAAACAACGAGTCCCAATCCCATATCCCGACTCATGCACTGAGCGCATTCGGAGCCCGACATGGGCAGACATGGGTGAGGGATTTCCTTCACAGTGGGGGGGCAGGGACGGGGACGAGGTGCGGACCCCGCCGCATTGACTGCCCCGACGGTTCCCTACGTCCTACCTCCTACGCCACCTGCGTCACCTACACTTATGACGTGCCTCCGCTCTCCTTCCAACGACTGGTCAATGACACCGCTATACGCAACTACATGCACGTCCGGCCATCACAGTTCCCTCCACCCGCCTTCCATCCCCTTCCCCCCTCCTGCCAACTCCCAACAGCCCGAGAAGCAGCAGCCGCCCCCTGCCCTGGTGCCGCCTCCTACCACCACCACCACCACCACCCGGGCTCCCCCGCCGCCTACCTGCCCTCCTCCTCCTCGCCTGGCTCCCCATTCCGGGGAGGAGGAGGAGGTGGAGGTGGGGGAGGAGGAGCAGCAGCGCCCCCCGGCTCCATGTTGTTAGTACAGGTGGGGGGTGGGGGCGGGGAGGCAGACGACGAGAGGGAGGAGGGAGGAGGGAGGGAAGTGGGCGGGTGGGAGAGAGGGGCGGTGCCAACCTACCCAACGGGTACCTGCACTGGTTGGCCTACATGGGTCGGGCTGGGTGGGCTGGGCGGGTGGGGTTACCTAGGCATCATATGTTTGGTTTTCCTTACCTCTCCCCACCCCTCCCTCCCCCCCTTCCGCCTCCTGTCGCCACTGCTTTGCCCTAACCTATGGTTTCCTATGGTTTGGTGCGGTCTTTGACCCCCCCAGGCCGCCAAGGTGGTGTCCGCCCACGCCGCCAGCATCGGCGACCTGCTGCTGGGGGTGCCGCTGCACGTGGCGGCGGGGCTGCATGCAGAGGCGGCGGGGCTGCTGCAGGTGGGTGGGGGGGGGTGGAGGGTGCACGGAGCCCATGCATGCGACGAGGGGTTGGTGCGGTGGGGAGGCGCAAGGGGTAGGGGTAGGCAGGAGGAGGAGGAGGAGTGCCGTACAGGGACCTGACGCGGCTTTGGTTGAGGCCCTGCGACGGTACCGGGGCTCTAGCCGCCCCTGTGCCTCACCACGATAAACCCTTACGTCCTCCCCCCCCCCCCTCCCCCCCCCCCCCCCTCCCCCCTCCCCCCCTCCCCCCCTCCCCCCCTCCCCCCCTCCCCCCCTCCCCCCCTCCCCCCCTCCCCCCCTCCCCCCCTCCCCCCCTCCCCCCCTCCCCCCCTCCCCCCCTCCCCCCCTCCCCCCCTCCCCCCCTCCCCCCCTCCCCCCCTCCCCCCCTCCCCCCCTCCCCCCCTCCCCCCCTCCCCCCCTCCCCCCCTCCCCCCCTCCCCCCCTCCCCCCCTCCCCCCCTCCCCCCCTCCCCCCCTCCCCCCCTCCCCCCCTCCCCCCCTCCCCCCCTCCCCCCCTCCCCCCCTCCCCCCCTCCCCCCCTCCCCCCCTCCCCCCCTCCCCCCCTCCCCCCCCGCCCCAGGAGTGCGGGCTCTGGCGTCACGCCGCCACCCTCACCGCCTCCGCCCTCTCCCCCGCCTTCCTCTCACCCTCCCCCTCCTCCCACCCGCACCCGCACCCGCACCTCCTCACCGACCGCGCGCTCACCCTCCAGCGCTGGGCGCAGCACGTGTGGCGCGAGCAGGGCAGTGTGTGGCGGGCAGCCGGGCTGATGACGGCAGGGGGCTGCCTGGGCGGGGCACTGAGGCTGCTGCAGGTAGGAGAGGGGGGAAGGAGGGGTGTGTACAGGGGGAGAGGAGAGGAGGTCGCCAGAGCTACCGCGGCGCTCTACCGTTAGCACCATAACTGCATGAAACACCACCCGCATGACAGCGGAAGCAACCCGGAACCGCTTCCTTCCCTTATCGCTGCAAACCTCTGGACCCTGCTGTCCAGTCTGTCAGCCAAATGTGAACTGCCATCCTAACCACCTATCAATCACCTCCTAACCACCACCACTGCTGCAACCACCACCCTCGCAGGAGGCCGGTCTGCCCGATGCGGCCGCTGCTTACGTGGCATGTTGCCGGCACGCGGGGCTCATGGTCACCCTGCCCGCTGGGGCTGGGACGGCGGGAGGTGGGGAAGAGGAGGAGGAGGAGGAGGAGGAGGGCGGCTTGGAGGCGGAGGCGGCAGCGGCAGGAGCAGCGGCAACAGGGGCAGCGGCTGTGCAGGCGGAGGCCAGGAGGGGCGGGGGCGGTAGCGGGGGCGGTGGTGCGGGGGGAGAAGCCTGGGTGCTGCCTGTGAGGTCGGGGGGGAGCGGCAGTGTGGGGGGGACCTCGGCTGCAGTGCCCCTGCCCCCGCCTCCGCACACACAGCAGCAGCAGCAGCCTCCAACCGCAGGCGCTGCAACGACGACGACAACAACAGCAAGAGGAGGGGGAGGGGGAGCCGGAGGAGGCGGAGGCGGTCAGGATGGCGCATTCGGGGTGCCGGCTGCAGGCGGGTGCGGGGGTGCAGCAGGAGGAGGGGGATGCGGGGGGGTGGTGCTGCTGCAGGAGCTGTTTGATGCGGTGGAGCAGTCGCCCGCAGCCACCGGCATGCAGGGAGCGGGAGGGGGGCAGCAGGGCCTAGCGGAGCTGGGGCATGCAGAGGGGGGAGGGGTGGGGCGGGGTCCGGACGATGTGGTGCGGGCGGAGAGGGAGTTCGAGCGCTTCGTGTCGGACCTGCTCACGCAGCTGAGCCTGATGTAGGGGTGTGTGGGGGGCTGTACGGCAACACGTACGGGTGCCGAGTGGGTGGTAGGAAGGGCTAGGGTGTGGTTGTGGAATGACCTTTTTTTGTGAACCGAGTTGGCAGCCGTTTGTGCTACTGGGGGCTACCAGAGGGTACGAGGGACGTTTACTGTAACGTGTGAGCTTCTTACGGTTAGGAGCAATGACACGGTTGGCAGCACTTATCAGTTGTCAGGAAGAATATACCCATTTCATACTACGAGGGTGCGGTGACTGCTGAATGCCGTATTTCTACTGGACTGGTGGTAAACGACGTGGCGCTCTTTGGGGTTTTGCCGTGCAGTTGCTGTGGTGTAAGAATGCGATGCAGGTGAATGAGGCGGTTGCTGAGGTCGACATGAGCGCTATAGTGCTGAGAATGGGTTCAGAGAACGGTATGGTGTCATGGAACACTCAGCAACAGACCAAAGCGATTGCTGCGTGTCCCTTTACACGTTACGATGGGTGTACGCGGTTATGTACGAGCAATCCTGCAGTTCGTTCGAAAGCCTCGACGTGCCATGCTAAATGCGTCTGTACATCCTGCCATACTGCGACACAAACTATTAATCTACTTAGCAAGGCAGCACGGCAAATTTGCCAGTCTTCCATGGGGCCAACACAGCAAAGCAACCTGCGCAACCCCTGATCAAGGCGCACAGCAATAAAAGGCATGTACCAAAACATCGCAAAGTAACTCGCATAGGACGACTACTGCTTATGTTGCTCCGCCTGCGCCTCGAAGTACTTGCGCAGCGTCCCATTGGTGTCGTCGACAAGCATGCCTCCCTTCCAGCAGCCCGTGGCCTCGCCAATAGCTTTGTTGCGAGCGTACTCCTGCTCCACCTTCTCCTTGATGCCTTTCCAGCCCACGTACCGGGCTAAGCTTTGCGAGCCCAAGAGTTTTGCAGCATGCATGCGGATTTGCTGGTCATCCCATTTGCCGCCTCGCAGGAAGTCCGCAGCGATCTCACGCCATTTGCCAACTCCGTGTACCTCCAGGCCCTTATATAGAGCTTCGCGCTGCGCTGGGCCCCATTTGCTGCGCTGCTGAAGGACGACAATGCGCTTCGGCTTGAAAAAGTCCTGGTTAATACTGCCATCAGGGCTAAGCATACTTGGTGGGCTAAAGCGTCGCCTCATATCTATGACATATTGCTGGCGCTCGGCCAAACTTGTGAAACCTCCTTGACCCACTGCGACGGGGCCCGCTGCTTCCATCATTCCCTGATTATTACTCTATTTTACGTCTTGCTTCTTACACGTAGCCAGGATACAGACGGGTAATCCGCCTAACGGCTCAAGTTCCCGCCTTTCCCGCTCCAGAACTTGTACGGAGGCGCCTGCATAACGACATTCGGTTTTAATAAGAGGTTGGCCTAAAGCCTGTGCGAGTTCATTTAGGCACGATCACAACCACCCTCCAGCAAAATACACTAGTAATGCCCGCCTTCGGCGGGAGCTACCCGTAGCTCGCGGGAGAGAGCTGGATGGGCTAAGAGTAGGAATGGGAGGTGATGTCGAGAAGAAAGATGCAGTTGCACGCATGTACGGCGTGAGGATGCAGAGGGATGCTTGAATCACAGAAGGAGTGGCAGCGATTGCCGCCAAGGCTGCTAGCGTATGCAAACTTGTCCAACTACCAGCGCCTGCATGCGCATACTGGCGCTGCTGAACCACCGGCACCCACACGTTCGGCCCAAAGCCCGGCGCGTCCATGCAGTCCCCGCACTGTCCAACAACAAGCGTGCATGCGAGCAGGCATGCCCTCCGGACCTGTGGCAGATGCACAAGGCCCCATCCGCACGCCATAAGCGCTAGAAGTGCCTTTGCTGCGGCTGCTGCACAGGTCAACGCCCCGTCCTCGATGCCCGGATGTGCAAAGCCTTGCAACACAACAGTTGGACATATCCCCACGCACATGTACCTTTCTATGTCCTCCACTGCAGTCTCCAGGGCCCGCTTCCACCTCCCTTGCTTCCAGCCCCTACTCGAAGCCACCTATTGTCGAAGTCAACGTTCCTCATCATGTAGCTGTTTGCTCACCTCAAGGCTTCCTAGTTCCCTCCATTAAGCAACACTTTGCGTAACACGCTTATGCGCTGAGGCATGCACCATCACAATACTAAATGATGGCTCCCTGTGTGCGCAGCCATAGCCTTCTTCCAGAAATGCCGCTCATACATACAGTCATCCCGCCCTGCTAGTTACTGCATCCCCGCCTGTCCCGGCTATCGGCGCTTATGCGTGCAGACATCCACACGTCCTGCCAGAACTGGCTCGGAATGGACAGAGCGACACCGATAATCAGCGAGTACAGCCATAGTGGGTGACAGTACACGGCGAGGTCTGGTGCCGCTGGGTCGTCAAGCTGGATTACCAGCATGACGATGGTGAGATCGTAGGCGACGACGATGGCATCTGCGGAGGGGGTAAGGGGAGAGGGTAAGGGGGCGTGTGAACGTGGGAGTGTGGAGCGGAGGGGTTGTAGACGGGCAGCATGCGGAGATTAATGGTGGGATGGATTGATCCTAATAATAAGACGTCCACCAGGGTAGCCAGGAAAAGCGACGTGAGACTCATGCTTATGTTGGGCGACACGCTTGTTGAACTGGAGGCGCCGGCAGACAGTGCGGTTGTTAATGTTGACATCGCACACGATGGTAGCTGCGCAATCCGTGTCAATGACGCGCTGGATCTGGACGTCCTGCAGCCTGGTGATGAGGTCAAGGGTGTTGCGAAGGATTACGAAGCCAGCGGCGGCGGTGGGAGCGATGATGTTGAGGTAGTAGTCGTGGACGAGGTTGGGGGTGATGGCTTCCAGCGGGATCTGGTGTGTTGGTGGAATGTTATGGTATAGGATTGAGCGAAGACCAACAGAAAACGGAAGGTGGGAGCGCAATGGGCAGACAGCGCCGAAATGGGGACGGGTGAAGCAGACTACAGGCAAGGAGAGGACGGAAGGAGGAGTGGGGTGAAAACTACGAGCCTTACAGCTGCCTAGAGAGCCCCGGTAACCCGTACACGCCGCAGCTGGAGAGAAGAATACGGGCGAAAGGAGTGCGGTTTATCGCTCACTCATGCAGCGGCTACAATTGTATCTGGAGGACTGCATAGAGCGCGGCGCTGCCTGCAAGCGCGAGTGTGGTGGGAAAAGCTCGGAGCAGCGTAGGGATGAGGCCGTTGGTGAGGCAGTCCAGGCGGCCTGTTGGGGTGGGAAGGTTTGCCGAGGGGAGGCAAGAGGTTAGGCGTTGAGAACCGAGGTTGAAGAGGCGGGCTGCCGTTCAGGGGAGTCGTAATGTGCAGGAACGGATAAACCGAGGTTAAGGACAAGCGGATGGGAGCTGTTTTTCCCACACCCTCCTTTCCCTGCCGTGAACGGGAACACCCCTTAATCATTCTACGCTCATCCAACTTTGCCTGGGACGTACACTCAGAGGCACCCGAGCAGATGGTTCAGACGCTTCAGGAGCGTCGATCAGCATGACAACTGAACCAACACCCTGTGCGGCGACGGTGTCCGGTCAAGCGCAGGACGTGCCGATAACTAGTGAGGACCGGGCTGCAGACCCCGCCTGCGCATATCGGCTCAATGCAACTGACCGTCCCCTTTGCGATACCAGACGGCCTGCGGGTGCATTCGTCCACGCCCCAGCTGAACTGAGAGTTTATACCCGTCCATGCACTGCTGCAAACCGTGCGGATGCAGGTGTCCTTGGGCAGCCATCGGCCATAGTGGCTCCAACGGCCGTGCTGGACCACACCTTTGGCGCTATCACGTCGCTTGCAGTGGCACCGCAACAAGACGGATACGCCGGACCTTGGAGTACACACGTTGGGGCTGGATGAAGTTGAGGTGCATCACGGGGGTGCATACTCTACGTACGAGGTAAGGACAAGCCAGGAGTTACCTTCCACTTCCTGCGGGTCAACCATTACGTACTCTGTGCCCCTGCCAACACGCCCGCGCCTCAACAATTCGCCAATACCCACAACGTGGTTGACCCGCAGGAAGTGGAAGGTAACTCCTGGCTTGTCCTTACCTCGTACGTAGAGTATGCACCCCCGTGATGCACCTCAACTTCATCCAGCCCCAACGTGTGTACTCCAAGGTCCGGCGTATCCGTCTTGTTGCGGTGCCACTGCAAGCGACGTGATAGCGCCAAAGGTGTGGTCCAGCACGGCCGTTGGAGCCACTATGGCCGATGGCTGCCCAAGGACACCTGCATCCGCACGGTTTGCAGCAGTGCATGGACGGGTATAAACTCTCAGTTCAGCTGGGGCGTGGACGAATGCACCCGCAGGCCGTCTGGTATCGCAAAGGGGACGGTCAGTTGCATTGAGCCGATATGCGCAGGCGGGGTCTGCAGCCCGGTCCTCACTAGTTATCGGCACGTCCTGCGCTTGACCGGACACCGTCGCCGCACAGGGTGTTGGTTCAGTTGTCATGCTAATCGACGCTCCTGAAGCGTCTGAACCATCTGCTCGGGTGCTTCTGAGTGTACGTCCCAGGCAAAGTTGGATGAACGTAGAATGATTAAGGGGTGTTCCCGTTCACGGCAGGGAAAGGAGGGTGCGGGCCATCTGTTGGACATGCAGGCATGGTTTCCCTTGCTGCCTGAGACTACCGTGCTTCAAACAGACGGAGAGGACCCTCACATGCTGCATGCACGCCTCCCATGGCCGCCTCCGCCTGCTCCTGCTGCTGCCACACCCGAGCGTTGCCACCACGATCTCCCTCAAACGCAGCGCGCATGACCGTTGCCACGTCTGGATCATCTGTGGCCACCGCGTGAGTCACTAACGGCTCCGGCACCGTCGGCTCCGCGCCCAGAGAGTGATACTGCGGAAGTGCGCCGCGATCTAGCTGGGCCATTGGGTTCACGTGGACGGCCCACTCCGCCCATGCAGCAATAGCCAGACCCCGCATCTTCAGGCATGGGGCCTGCCGCACCTTGGCCTCAAGGTCCGAACGATCTTTTACGTCGTCAATTAGTACGACCTGGATGAAGGTGGGCAACTCCTGGGGAGCGTACGTAAGTGAAGGCTATCCGAAAGGGATCCCAGATAGGAGGCATGAGAAGACACACACGTTTCTCGCAAGCGCCGCCGCTGTTGGAGTTACCTAACAGCTTCGAGCTGCCGCACCCGCCTGGAACTGGTCGAATGTGCACCACCCCGCCCGCCCGCCCGCCACCGCCGCAGCCATTGCCGCCGCCGTCACCTCGAACGGCACGCCGCCCACCCCCTCCAAGCCGCACCCTCCGCACAGCGGCGTTCGGGAAGGGTGTCAACCCTGGCGCAGCACCAGACGCCCCAGGAGCAACGCCCGGACGCGCAGGCAGCAAGAACGCCGGACAAGCCCCTGCGACAGGGGGCCCAGTCGCAACAACACCCCATCCAGTGGTATATTGGCCGCGGCCACTGCAGCGCTCAGGCCCCACCCGCCCGGCACGGGCTCCGTCGGCGCCCCCACCTCGAACGGCATGCCACCCCTCCCCTCCGTGTAGGCCGCCTCCAATGGCCGCGCTGCTGCGAGCCAACGTAGGTTAAGGTCACCTACCGGCGGCGCCACCGCCACCGCAGCGCCCAGCGCGCCGGGCTGGAAGAAGGACGCACCAGGCGGCGGCAGCACCAGGCCTGGTTGTGAGGGCAGCGCCAAACATGCAGGCAGCGTTCCGTCAAGGCCACCTACCGATGCTTCATTGGGGGTTGGCACCATAACTGCACGCACTGCTCCATGTACAACCAGTTGGTAGGAGGCTACACGTCTTAAACACCTTTTCTCTCTTCTCCTGTCTCCTGCCAGCTGGCGGGGCTGGCGAACCTCGCCGGACCGCATAGGACGACCGCGAATGTTTTGCTGATTCTCAACTCCCCGCTTTAACAAAAGTCCGTCAAACATTGAACTGGCGAAACCGAACGAAACAGCGTGGAGCGTTTACAGCGGAAACGTGAAGAGCCGTTAAGATCATGCTGCTAGTGCGTGACGGCCTTTGGGTATGCTTCCTTTCGCTTCGCTCCTCCGAAACCGTATACTACGTATATATACGTTTTCTTCGTTTCGAGCTACGGGGATAAAGTTTCATTCCAGCCTTCCGGTGAAGGCACCGGAGAAGGCACATCGCAACCCCACTGCTTTGCAAACCGTAATACCCAGCACCAGCAGCTTGCGTGCTAGCCACCGCCAAGCAAACCTATCGGCCCGGAGCAGTGCAACCCATGGATCTTCGCACAGGGCCCTCACGCCGACCCTTCACAACACATCTATGGTTAGCGGGCTACACCTGCGCCCTGCGCGCCCCTCGGACGATGGAAACCCCTATGATGCTGAGCTGTTAGCCCGCTGGGTTGCAGCCGTGTGCTGCTGCTCTGAGCACTGCAGCTGCCGCTGCCAAGGTGGCCTAACCAGGAATGCTCGCAGCCACAGCTGCTACTTCAACACACCCTCACATGGCCGCCACGGAGCCGCTGCGTATACCGAATGGGCCCGCATCCCACTCACAGCCGCCGCCCACAGCCCACTCGCAGCTGGCCTGGTGCCCGGCCCCTGCTGCAGTCTTGCAAGAGGGACAGACCCCCCTCCTGGAACAGCCGGGACTGACATGTCTGCAGCTGTGCAGCCTCAGCCGTGACTTGCTTACACCACAGGCGCTGAGGCAATCCCCGCAGGCCAGTGCAGGAATCCAGCGCTTTTATCCGCAATGTCAAGGTTTGGGATGCTGCCGCTGCTCGGTGTAAGGCACAGCAGCAGCAGCTGCCGCACCTGCCATTGGCTTGGCTAATTCGGGCTGGGCGGGTCGGGCTGGCTCACATGTTGCAAACCATGATGATGCCTTATCACACGGTCAGTTACCGTAGTTGTTTCCTCTTTGCCCCCATGGCATCAGGGTTGGCCCAGCGCTGCCGGAATGCACATGCGAGTACAGGCTCACATGAAGACAGGCTCGTGATGTGGTGGTCTGGTTTCCATGAAACCATGCGGCCTTGCATGTCAGCCGCACGGTGTATGCATGTGGTCTCGTTGGGCTGCAGGAACCTGGTGATGCGTTTTGCAAGCTGCGGTACAAGCTGTGCGCCCAGTTGCGCGACTGCTTTCGCGGCTGCTGAGATGCCATATTGCCATTACTTCTATAATGAATGAATGACCGTTACAAAGGTGCCCTAAAAGGGAACACGGGTGATGAACCCAACATAGTAGCTGCCAGCTCGCTGCCAGCTTCCAGCTATCTTGTACGACAGCAGCCCTCAGCACACGAGCTGCAAACACACCCCGACACGCCCCCTCGCTGCTGCTCTCGGGACTAACAACAACATCCGGCGGCAGCAGCTCCATCTAATTCCTCTTCCCGCCTCCTCAGCAGCCCCCACCCGTCCCACGCTCCCACCATGGTGATGCCGCTTCTCGAGGGCAGTCCTCCCCTTGGAAGACATGCATGCATGCACCAATGCGTGCGAGCATGAGCCACCCCCGTATACATCTGCAACACATGGTGCAGCCTTGTCACAACATTGTTTGTTTTACTTGTACGGGAATGCCACCTTGATGCTCGGCCTGTTCCGTTGCTTGCCAACAGGCACCGCCCCAGCTACGACGTGCCACGCCCCGCCCCGCCGGGGCGTGACCCTCACGTCGGGTGAGAGTTGATGTTGTGGCGGAACACACAGTGAGGGTTTGCGCCAGCAACGCATTGCTAAGGACGGCCTTGATGAACGTGCTTTTACCACCAGCGTTCGGACCTGTAATTAGCATATTGGAAGTAATTGACTTTTGTGTCTTGTCGCTTGAACCAAGTACGACGTCATTAACTACAGCACGACTGGGAGCCATACAGGGATGGCGCAGTCCTTTTAGGATGAGCACTGGTGGCGCGCCGTGTGAATGTGTTGTAAAGCTGGGCCAACAGTAAGAGTCCTGTGAAGTAAGTAAACATATTGTGAACGCTGCGTCTACCTGGTACGCTTTTTGGGCGAGTGGCGCGTAGTCTTGCAGTCGGATATGTTTGAACGCTCGTAACTGAGTCCCAAAGTTGCTGAATACAGTGAAGGGATCAAGGGATACATCATCGTACGTATCAGCATCTGTTTTAGTGCATTGGTCATTAAAAACGGCGCTCCCAAGCAGTGGCGTCCACACCTCATCCACAAGCGTACGACAGGCCCGCACAAACCGAAGGGCTCCATTTACACGTGTGGTAAGGAGTGATGACACTTTGTATACGCAACGCGCACGTTCAAAACTGTTAAATATGCCCTGGAAGTAGAACAAAAGAGTAAATGCGTAGCTAATAGATTTTAGCTTTGTCTGATTGGAAAAGGTGAAATTGTTTTTGAGTTCGTTACGAAGATAATCTGTGAATGAAAAATAAACGCCAAAGGTGTAACGGATAACCAGGTAAGGTATAATGAAATGCACTATCGGCGTGAGGATGCCAATCAAAGGCGACACCAGGATGGAATAAATGTTGTTCATGGTGAGAGTCAAGTCATTATCGTTTAGCCAGCGTGTAAACCAGGTACGAAAGTAGACCATCTCAAACACATCTGTAAGGACGTCATCATGCTGCTCAAAAAGCCACACAAAGTCCGTCTCATTGTTGCGCATGAGCGCAAGCGCAGTGCGGATTGTTTCGGTTTGTGAGGGGATTGCTTTCAGCGCGTTTTGACGCGCGCGTAACATGGAAACATCCCCTAGCGGCGCACCCAACATGGCTTTGAGCAGCAGAGAACCGCCACAGGTCGAACAGCCTTTAGAGACTTCGGCAAACAGTGTGTCCTTTGTGTAGGTGTCCTTTGTGTCGGTGTCACTTTTGCCGACGTGATTGGCATTGTCAGTATATGGTCGAAAGACTTCCAGGTCTCTCATGAGGTCAGAGCCCACCTTGCATCCTGTTGCGGGGTGAGCTTCGTTGCAGCTGAGCAAGCCTGTTTGTAAGAGTTTTGGCGCAAGTTCATCCCACTGTGGTGCGCAAGATGTTACAAGGGTTTCTATAGCTGTTAATTTTTTAAGATTCTCTTGATGTAGCAACAAACTTCGCAAGCGGTTGTGAAATGAAGTACAAAACGGTTGAGCATCTCCTGATTGATGCTCCATGATTTGCTTTAAAGAAAGCTTTGGATAAATGCATGTTGAACGAGTGTAAGTGTGTTATTGTACCTTAACGAGCTTACGAACGATAAGCCAGTACACAAGCACTCCCAATATTACATACAGCATCATCAGAACGAACTCAACAGTAAAAAAGGGAAAACGTATGCTATCAGTGAGGTATAGCATGAACTGGATGGTAAGTTGGATGACGACCATTCGAATCACATCCTGGGCTACATCCACATAATCTGGGCCCAACTTAGTTGATATATCCAAAGTGCTCAACGTAAGCACAGAGCCTCCAGTTCGAACACCTGCGTATGGTACACTTTCCGTGCTAGTCATTTAAGCGTAAGGATTAAAAAGCTACCACAGACGCAGAAAAAGTTTGGATTAAATCAACGCTAAAAAACCATGTGTGCCTTTCATCTACTTGAGCATAGGGGGCGCATTCTACGCAGCCCTCCATCAACACCCACAGATATTGCCTGGTTTACGTTGAAAGCGTTGCGATTTGAGAGCGGTACGTCCGTGCTTGAAGCAGAGGGGCTTGGCCGCGCAAACCTTGCGCGTGTACAGCTAGGGTGTTCGTATACTGAAGATATAGAAGCGCGGATTAATGCGGTTGCGAAAGGTGTTTTGTATGAGTCCGCCGTAGCGCCCCCCTGTGACCTCTTTAGGTCAATAATACCCGTAGGTCAATAATACCCGTAGGTCAATAATACCCGTAGGTCAATAATACCCGTAGGTCAATAATACCCGTAGGTCAATAATACCCGTAGGTCAATAATACCCGTAGGTCAATAATACCCGTAGGTCAATAATTCAGGACGCTACGGATGTCGCTACTTAAAGCCTCGAGATCCGTGCGTAGATCACCGCCCAACCCGCCACCGTACTGACTACGACGGCTTCTCCATGCTTCTCTTGTTGGCGACGTGCTTCTTGTTGGGTTGAAGAAGTTGCTTCGGGATGGGGTTCGGGATGATGGTGTTCGGGATGATGGTGTTCGGGATGATGGTGTTCGGGCTGGAGGCGAGGTTCGTGTCCTTCCATTGGGATCGGATTTCTTTTCTTTGGTGGATGCCAACGCATGTTGAGCCAAAATGAAACCAACAGGAATAGCCAGGTTGACGAGGTTTGACGCGAATTCCGCGCCCGCACTGCCACCATGGTAACGGCTTGCGCTGCATGTGCTTGCGCCACCCCGATATGCGCCACTCCGATATGCGCCACCTTGATATGCGCCACCTTGATATGCGCCACCTTGATATGCGCCACCTTGATATATATGCGCCACCTTGATATGCGCCACCCCTACGTCCGCCACCTGTCATGGGTGGTATATCTACACATGAACACGACATATTAGATTATATTATTAGCTACTTGTAAAGTTGCAAGATTTTTTTCGACAGCGCTGTGTAAAAAATCACATGCATTTAAGGGTTGATTATGTACTTGTAAATTGGAATGAAACAAGCATTAAGTTAAAAAAATGATATACGACGACTACTTGAAGGTCCAAACAGAGTATCGCACCAAGTTTGGCCAGCAGGTGTTGGTCCTCATAGATGTCGGCAGTTTTTTTGAGATTTACAACTGCGACCACAACCTTGGGGCGGATGTGAAAGCCATAGCCGAGTTGTTAAATATGCAAGTGTCAAGGAAAGATAAAAAACAGCCGCTTTCACACAATAACCCCCAGATGGCGGGCTTTCCGAACCATGCACTTCGAAAACACTTGCCCACACTAATAGACGCTGGTTACACAGTGGTGCTGTATACACAAGAGGAAGGTAAACAGGTGGGTGGGTGTATGGCGCGGCGCGTAACGGATGTTGTTAGCAGCGCAACATATGTAGATGCGCCATCAGCATCAGAATCTACCTGTCTGCCACGCCACCTAATGGCGGTGTATGGGGAACATGGATGTGACCCACGTACACGCCGCCCTGTCCTGGCAGTCGGGGCTGCATTTGTAGACCTCATGACCGGGCACATTGCAATATTTTCTGCGACTGAGATGGAAAGTGCGGGGAGTTGCCCTCTGGACGAGTTGTACAGCGCCACATGTAGCTTTAACCCTGTAGAGGTTGTATTTGTTGGAGAGGTGGAATGGGCTGTTCCTGTTATAGCAAAAAGGGATATAAGGCGGGTGCGCGACGCAATTGCATCTTGCAAAGCGAGTGGTCCCTGCAGTCATCTCTCTCCAGTGGAAAGTCCGGTCCTTAACGAACCAAAAAAAGCGAAGCGGAAGGCCAATTAAGCGTCAGGTAAGCGTATGAGAGCACCTGCGGGAAGCTGGACTGTGAGGGTCTTTCCGGTCTCAAGATGTTTTGTTGACTCCCTGGACGTCAATCGGCTTGCCCAAATGTAGCTATGGAATACTGGGGCGTCTGCTTGAAGTTCCGCCCCGACTACTTCCAGTTCATTGTGCCCGATGTGCCTGGCGGTGCGGTAGTCGGTGTCAGCTATGAGGAGGCATCGAGCGAGATTCACGAGCAGATAGAGGCGGTCCTCCCGGACTTGGCTGAGACCACCGGACTGCCAAAGCCTTCGGGGCGCGACAAGGCTCTTGAGCTGGCGCTTCAGGCTATTGAGGATTGCCGAGCCGAGTTCCCTGGCAGCTACAACGAGGAACCCGTAGAGACCACGCTGGCGCTGGTGAAGGTCAACACGGTGCAAAAGCGTTGCAAGCTGTAAGTTGTTGCAAAACGTTTTGGCGCCTCTGGACTCTTGCCCATTGCCTACCGTCTTCTTTGTTTACAGGGGCCTTCGAAGCTGCAAGCGCAGCTGCCTCAGCGTGGCCTCAGCGTCCTCTTCGGACTGATAAGCCATGGCGGCATGTGGGATAAGCGGTCGTGTGCTGAAGGCGTTGCCTTGCAAACGCAAATGAGTGGATATGCCTGGAAAGCAGCAATCGGTGTGTCCAAGAAGGGTGAGTCGACTGCAGTGGTTGGACAGGGGCAGATGGGTATAGATTCGGATGACGATGCAGATGGGACAGTTACTCGTAGTCGCAAGGATCGCGTTGTACATACGGTTTCGCATAGTGGGCATAGGGTTGTCCCTGCTTGCGACTACTGGTCGCTATTAGAGGAAGGCAAGACCGACACGTGTAGCAATGGTAATACTGGTAGGGGCTTGTGTGTCGGGGAAGCCAATTGCTCCCCCACAGTATGCTAGCGCATCATGCATGTGTTCAATCCGTGGTGGCCAAGGGCCATGATGTTATCAACTACCGGTAGATTGCATGAGAGGTTTGGATGTGTCCGTACTGTACACACTAGTGTATGGCAAACAGCTGCACGTGTGTCTTTACGACAGGTGTTCAAATGGCGGCCATGGTAGCAGACAAGAGCGTATCTTTCTTTTTGGGTTGATGCCAACCAGGCATACTTGCGTGTAAATCCATATGGTCAAATGCATACAATCTCCGTCCATCCATGATTTGCGTATCCACGCGGTTTAACGATTTTTAAACCATGCGAGCAGATGCAAACCACAAACGTATGATGCAACGTCCAACCACCCGTTCAAAGAAGATCAACCAACGTGACTTCAAGCGTACGGCAGTGGTGCTGACAGCGCCAGAGATCCCCACGTTTCGAAAGATCGAAATAGCCATGCCATCCATGCACCTTGAGTTTGTTTTTTATGGACTTGTCACACAGCCATACAGCCGCTCTCCTGAACTGCATTTCGTACTTTCCAGCTATCACTGAATCACCCTAACTGCATGCTGCCTGCTAGCTGGAGCCTACCACTCCTTACCGACGGAAGCGGGGTAGCGAACGTGTAACCAAGCTGACGTCCAAACTACGACACGATACCAGACAGTACACACTCTCTTCGAAGTTTCACTAGCAGCAATTGGGACTCCCTAAGCATCTGTGCCTTACGCCAACGGCCCCTTACAATACCAAATCCCGCAACGCTGCATGCTGCCTGACGTAGCAACCTCTTCAATGCCATCCATGGCTTCCCCTTAGATGCTCTCTTTCCAGCATACGGCAGCGCCAACCCTCTCACATCCCTATCTGCGGACCCAAGGACTTCGTTAACGCTACCAACCTGCTGGGACAGCAGACTTGGCGGCGCCGTGCGCAGACGCTTGGCTTGTGGTACAAACCTGCAAGGGAAAAGGCATGTATAATGTTAGCCCCGCATCCCCGCCCCGCCCCGCCCCGCAATGTTACCTTCCGTTACGACCAGCCTGAAGCAGCCCAACAGTCCACACCAACCCGCATCCGACCCGGTTGCCTCCACGTCCCCAACTGTCGCAGAAGTCTGTTTACCCCATCCCGTCACATCTTCCTCTCTCCTTCTCCTGCTCCTGCTCCTAACCCTGCTCCTCACCCCCTTCCTGCTCCTGCTCCTGCTCCCCCCCTCCCCCGTCATACAGCTCGTCAGTTGCTTCGTCAGTGTCTCATCATATATATTTTTTACCCTCCCCCGTCGATTGGGACTGTGTTGGTGGAGGGTGTTGGTGCAATTTATAATTTTCCCCACGCCCCAGCCGCCTTGCCTCACACCGGCTGCGTCGCCCCCTTGGCGTAGTCGATCTTCTCCACCCGCACCTCGCCCTCCACCAGCTGGTACACGTACACCGTCACCTGGAGGACAAGGGGAGGGGAGGGGAGGGGAGGGGAGGGGAGGGGAGGGGAGGGGAGGGGAGGGGAGGGGAGGGGAGGGGAGGGGAGGGGAGGGGAGGGGAGGGGAGGGGAGGGGAGGGGAGGGGAGGGGAGGGGAGGGGAGGGGAGGGGAGGGGAGGGGAGGGGAGGGGTACGGCGCGGGGTAAAACACACCGCACGCATGCAGAGGGAGAAACTCATCGGGGGGACATGTATCTATATATGCTTTTCACCAGCTGGCACGTGCACATGGAGACGTGCAGCATGAGTGTCGCGGAACAGGGTCAACACGCCACTATCGGCCGGGGGCAGCGGCGCACCTCCGCATTCCCCGTTCCCCGCCGCTCCGTCAACCCATTTCCCCCAACATACACCGTGTTGCCTTGCCACACGGGCCGTTTCTTCCTCCCACCCCGCCTCCTCTCTCCCCCCTCCCCCTCCCCCCCCCTCCGCCCTACCTTGCTTCCGTCCAGGTCCATGAGCACGAAGGAGGGGGTGGGCGGGGGCGAGGAGGGCGGGCAGGCCACATGGTAGGCGCCTGTGGCGGAGCCGGGGTTGAGCGCCAGACAGGGGCCGGCCTTGCGGGCCTGGGGGGGGCGGGAGGGGGGAGGGGAGGGGAGAAGGGGGGGAACGAGAGGGGATTGGGGTGCAAAGTGGTTTGTTTGTGTTTGGGAGGAATGTATCGGGGCCGGGCCGCCGGAGGGGAGGGTGTGTCGGGCGGACTGAGCGCAGTACAGGGACCGATACCTGCCCCCCCTCCACCCCCCCTCCCGCCCCCTCTTCTCCCCCTCCCGCCTCCCCCCTCACCTCGAAGCGGTGTGTATTGCCTGTCACCAGGATGTCGGCACCCATTTGGCGCTGCAGCAGCGACACGGCGTCGGGGTCGGACCAGGGGATGATCTGAGGGGGAGGAGGGGTAAGAAGCAGGAAAGGCTGACGGGAGGAGGTGGGACGGGACGGGACAGGGAAGGGCATTTGGGTGTCACCCGGGATACCCCCCGCCCCGCCCCCACCACCCCGCCCCCGTTCCAGCATACCGCTCGTTAGTCTCCTCTTTCTAGCCCCACCCCCTGCTCCCGCCCGCCCGCCCGCCCCATCCCCATCACCCACACACCCGCCCCCCAGCCCCCCAGCCCCCCAGCCCCCCAGCCCCCCAGCCCCAGCCCACCAGCCCCAGCCCCCCAGCCCCCCAGCCCCCCAGCCCCCCAGCCCCAGCCCCAGCCCCCCAGCCCCAGCCCCAGCCCCAGCCCCCCAGCCCCCCAGCCCACCTGGTGTCCATGGCACACGCCCACTTTGAAACCCGCGATATCAACCACCTGAGGCGGGTGTGGAGGAGGGGGGAGAGGGGGGAGAAGGAATGGGGGGCCCAGGCAAGGTCGTCACATGCAGGTGGGGGTGGTGTTGCGGGGCGAGGAAACGGGGAATACAGGAGCGGGCCTGAACCCTATCCCTCCTCCCGCCCCGCGACCCTACAGCTTCCTGTCTCCGCCCCTGATCCCTCCCCGACCCACTCCCTCTCCTTCATTCCCACTGCTGCCCGCTCCCCCTTCCCTCTGTAGCCACTCCTGCCCTCCTCCGCCTCCTCCCCCTGCTACACCGGCTGCTTCCTCCTCCTCCACCCCTTCCCATACCAGCGGCTCCCCTCGTCCTCCTCCCTCCTCCCCTTCTCCCACGCCGCCCCTCCCCGCCCCTATTCCTCCCCCCCCCCCCGTCCCTCTTTGTGTACCTAGGTACTTGTTCTATCATGTGTCGGTCCGTGTTGTTTTTTATGAGTGCTCGTGTTGTGCTGTTCCGGCTGTTTGCCTATGCCCAACGGCGCGGTGGGTCTCCACCTCACCTTCAGCAGCCTCCACACATGCCCAAGCCTATGGTAAGGTTCCTCCATAATTGGTAAGTTCGGTAAGTTTAGCTCGCTTTGCTTTAACCACCATTTCGGCTCGACTCACGGTTGATTCCACCAGGGATTGTCAGCAACTTGTATCATTATCACACCACACTTTGGAATTTCTTTTTCCCCCCCCGTCCCCGGCCCCCCTCCTGCGGAATGTGTTTCCCTATTAACCCGCCCTCCTCCCCACCAGTTGCTCAGGCGCGGGGAACTCGTCAAAGTCCCCGGCAACAACGTGGAGCTCCCCGGATATGGTGCGGAGATAGTCCAGGAACACCTGCGCCGGCCGGATAGGAGGGAGTCGAGGGAGGGGCGAACAGGGACTGGTTCTAAAAAGGAACAAAATGTGAGGGGGGTGTCGAGGGGGAAGGAGGAGGGAGATAAAGGGAGCTGTAGAGGGAGAGAGGGGAGGGACCGGTGCTCGTACGGAGGACGGAGGACGGGGTCGAGGCAAGGAATCGGGCTGAGGATTGGGCCTGGCGTAGTAAGACGATGTTGATGCTTCCCCTGACAACGGTGCTACGTACGCACCTTGCTGCAGACGTTGCCAACGCAGATGGTGGTGTGGATTTTGCCAGGCTTCAAGAGCTCCTTGAATTTAGCTGGCAGATCAGCAGCTCGGTGTGGTATATGAAGATCGCCAATACAAAGTACAAGTACCATCCTAAACAGACTGCGCTGCGGACACCCGCTCAACCACTAGGCAAGGATTATATCAGCGCAAGCGGACAGCGTTGGGTTTCGCTGTTGTATGTGCTAATATGTTTATCGTTCTTTCAATTAAAGTTCATTAGGGTGCCAAGCTCGATATGTGCATACGTACTGTACATCCGTTCGTTGCTCATTTTGGATGGATCAAAGTCTGGTAACTTAGCCGGCATTTACACATACAACGACAAAGCTTCAATCTAACAACTCAAAACCTACTGATAGGTCCTATTAAACCCATCTTCCGACAACGAGAGTTGGTATACCTTCGACGTGGAAGGTATCGATAAGCGTAGCCCTTCCAGTTTCAGGCCTAGTATATTATGGAGGTCACTGGAGTGAAGCCGGGCCAGCTTAACCCTATCAGGTCAGCCGGGCCGCGGAAGCAAGGGTTTGGCTTTGCAGGGAACACGTCGAACGTCCCCACCTGCCTCCATACAGGGGAACTGGGCCCGCTCTGAGCGTAGGGGAACGCCTTAGCATGTGCGGAAAGTTCGCCATCAGCTCGGCAGGTGAGAACTCAGGGCTTCAAGTGCATGGCCTATGTCCACTAAATGCACCGAAACGTTCCACCCTAAAAGTCCCACCTTATTGTCAACCTTCTTGCACGCTCACCCGCCGTTTAGGAAGGTCTGCTAGGAAGTCTGTTGTCCCGCTGACGCCGCGGTGCATGCCTTCCTTGCCATACCCATGCCCCAACCTCCGGCTCTCTGGATCACGAAGCCCAACACGATGATGCTTTAAATAAAATGCGTAATGGATTTCTCCAGAGCATGTGTCGAAAACTATTTAAGCCTTCACAGAGTTCCCACCATCCCTGACGCCCACACCTGTGTTGTTTTGTAACCCACACCCTACGCCTCAAACCTTACCGTTTGCCGCCTCCCTGCGCCATCCATTGCCGCCCCCCCTACCTTAACAAACAGGGCAATGGCGTGAGCTTCCATTCAACGAGCAAGTTCCCAGGGCGCCAGAGTTTGGCGGTGTTTGCCCGGACGGGAAGCCCATGGCAAACCCGCCGCGCTAGGAGGGGGCCATTGTTTGGGATGATGACGGCGACGTGTTTGTGACCTCTAGAAGCACGTGATAGGACATGATGAAGGGGAATTGGGAAAGGGGACGACAGGAAGCAGGCGGGGAGGAGTACAGATGACAGGGCGCGGTGGAGTATAGGCAGGTAATGTACTAATGTTTGCTTTGTTGTAGCGGTGATTGCCGGTTTGTGATGACCGGTACCAACTTGTGCTGTGCACACATCTTTGGTGTGGAGGGCATGGCCGTGCTTTGGGCTTGGTAGGTGGTTAGGTGCGTTGGGCCGTAGGCGGATTCGTGCTTATCTAGTATGCAAATAAGGTAATTGGTTACTACTGGACACGGCTGCGGAGTATGGCAGATGAAGTCCATGGGTAGCCGACTGATCGATGTTTTTGTAGGTGTGACCGGTACGTCCGGTGCGTCTTGCGGTAAGCTCGCAGCGGGGTATGCTGTGGCCGAGGGATGTGAGGGCGGAAGGAGGGATATGGGGGCGCGCTGCGAACAACACGTTGCTTTTGCCGTGCATTACAACCATCTTGCAATTGCGGTGCCGGGCGTGTCTACACGTGTCGTACACACCCCAAAAGGGTGTTCCTTCTTCAGGTGCCCCAGGGCCCTAAACAAATCGCATACCCAGGGGCCCCCATTGGGGCCAACTACCTACCCTGAACGCCCGCTGCACGATCGCCCGGGGGCTGAGGCCTGCGAGGTGAAGGAGCGTGGGCAGAGCTAAACCGCTCAGCGGTAATTCCCTGGCTCATGTTGGTTTTCATTGCTCAATCCCTCCTACCTGGCAGGCACTTGTTTGCCTCACTCGACAAGCCCCTGCTGGCAAGGGTAGTACCTGCAGGCAAGCAGGCACAGGCTTTGTGCAGATGCAGGTAGTGCTTAGCTGAAACCGTTTCGCCACATGGCACGTAGGGTGCTGAATACGTGATGACTGCAGCACCTGTAAGCACACGGTTCCGTGTAAGGCTGTGTACGTGCAGGCATTGACCGTAGCCAGCTATGGCGCTTAAGGCTTTCTTCCCGTCATTAAGGGTGCGGCAACCTGCAGGCGGAAGTATACCGGTGGCCACCATCGAAGGAGTTCACGGTACCGGATATCAGGCAGAGACATGGGGTTTTAATAGTAAGCATCCGTCAGCGACCCGTGGGTCGCAAGGCGCATTCCACAGCAATGGCGCCCCTCCGTTCATAACTTACTGAACGCCAAGAGCTTACTGCGCTATCCTGGCATTGACACCGAAGGCAAGCGGCGCCGTAAAATACACAAGGAGAGGTTTTTAGTACCTCCTGCGTTCAAATCCGTCGTGCAAATGCCGATAGGTCGAATGTTCTAAAATGTGGACTTGGTAATACATGCACGGCCGTACAGCGCAACCCCTCCCCATGCATATTCCCCTCAACCAACTCCATCTTCCCCATGTATACCGGTGCTGTATACCACACGAGCGACATACACGCTCCAAACACACACGCACGCACAATGGTACGTTCCTCCTCTCGGCCAGTTTTGTTAGTACCGGTACAAGCATTGCACTGTCACCGTCCTCCTAGCAGGACCGTGCGCATGGCACCGGTCGGTTACCGCCACACACACACGCTGGTCGCTACACGGGTGAATACAGTAGGTGTGCGGGGAAACGTCCCCAGATCGCACAGCCCAAATCGCTACGTGTGTGTATTTCACCCCATGCAAATAGTCGTAACCTCGAACCAACGACACAAAGAGGCCTTTGGCGCGCCCGCATGTAGGAAATGACAAGGTCCCACCCACCCAACCACTCACCCTAACATGGCCCGTCTTATCCCTCCACCCACCCACCCACCCTCCCATTGCAGGTCCCCCACACAGCAAGTCCTAACCAGGGGGCACCCCCCTCCCCACACAAAGCCTCCCTCTCTCAGAGGCTGCAGACCCGGCTGATCCTGCTCGTCACGTCACGCCAGAATGTCACCTCGCAGCACGCAGGTACGACACTTGCTTGCCTCTACCACTGCTGTGAAGACCAGCAGCAGCAGTACGCTGCGAACAAAGGGCCATCGTCTTCCGGGACACGCCGCTAGGCGCGCTCCTCTCATGCAGTGCCCATGCATGCCGCCCCTCCGCACCGTGCCCCCCCCCCACCTCCTCCTTTTCCTCCCCTGCCTCACACCACACACCCCCACCCCCACCTCGGCACGGCCCCCCTGCTGCTGCTGCTGGTGCTCAGGTCCGCATGGGGGGCTCTCCGCGCCTCAGTCCGCCGCCCCTCACCACATCATGTCCGCTCCTTGCCGCCGGTACGCAGCTGGAGGGGAGGGGGAAGGCGGGGCGCGGGGGGACGTTGGGTAGGTTGGGAAGTCGCGTGTAGACGTGTGCTTAGGGATGCATGGGGCAGCATGGGCTGTGGTGCACAGCTGGCACAGCTGCGCACGGCTGTTCAGTGGTCAGAGGGCGGGACCTGCGGCGCAGCAGATGTGATACACCCACACGACAAGCCCTCACCGCTTGAGGGGCTTCCCAAGCCCCACCTGAAGGCCCCAACCGCGCTCTCATACGTCACAACCCCCACAACCCTCCACCAGCTCTCCCCTGGACCCGGACTCACACCCCCGCACCTCGCATCCTCCCCCGCATCCTTCCCACCCCCCACCCCCCACCCGCACACTCACTTCCCTCACCCCCCCACCCGCACACTCACTCATGTAGAAGGTGGGTGGCAGCAGGTACTGCTTCAATCCGCCGCCCCCGCTGCTCCAGGTGCCCCCGCCCGCCACCGTGCCAAACCCACGCCCCGACAGGTTCATCACCCCCGCCGCCCCCATGATGGCTGCGGGGGGCAGCACCTCGGGCTGCCGGCCGCCCTCGCCTGCAGCACCCCCCTCGCTGCTGCTCCCAAAGAAAAGGTCGTTGAAGGCGGAGGAGCAGCGCACGAAGGCCTCGTAGTCGGAGCCGCGTAGGGCGGCTTCCAGGGAGGCGGGGGAGGTGGGGGAGGTGGCAGTGGCGGGGCCGATCCTGCAGGGGGGCGGGGGTGAGAGGGAGATACCGGTAGCGTGTTAAGGAAACTGGCCGCGAATAGGAACGTACTGGATAGTGTGTTAAGATAACTGCCGCGAGGAGAGGAGAGAGGAGATGGGTTTCTGTCTCCATCGTATGCTTGCAGCGGTAGCGGGTTGGGATTGCAGCAGTCGTGCAGGCGGGTGGAGTCCATAGCCCCGCACTAACCCCAGGACACGAAACCGCTAGCCCCCAAACGGCAACACCCGAACCGGAAATCCCGGAAAGACCGAATACGGTTTCCTAAAACTTTGTTATTACGAGATTCAATCTTAGTCGTCCTCTTACCTGCCGGTCCGGGCGGAAGGTGAGGACGCCAGACCTCCCTCCTGCAGCTCGTCAAACCGGAAGTTGGCTGCCGTACTGCGACCGATGAAGGATCCAGCCGCCGGTACCTCGGGCAGTTGGTGGTTGGCGCTACCGTTACCGTTGTTGTGGTAGGGTTGCAGTACGGCATCCGGCTTGAGACCCACCAGGGAGGGGTTGCGGGCGGCGGTGGCGCAGAAGGAGAAGAACCTGCGTGTGTGTGTTTTGGGGGTGGGAGGAGCAGCACGGGGGCGGGGGAGGTGTGCGATGCGGGTGCGGTATCGGAGGACTCTTTCGTGCCGTGTGTCGGAGGTGTGTTCAGCTGGCAACAGGCAACTAACCTGACTCGACGAACCTGACCAGAGCTCTGCCCCTCCTCCCCCTCTCACCCCAAGCCCCTCCCTCTCCTCCTCCCCCCCCCCCCTCCTCCCCCCTCCTCTCCCCCGTCCTCCCCCCCCCCCCACCCTCGGCTCACTTGTCCACATACTCCACCGCCCTCGCGCTGCGCAGGTTGTAGCGCCCGAACATCAGGTCGAGTGCGGCCACGTAGCCCCCCGCCCCGATCAGCGCACCAGCCAGATCCGGCAGGCTGGCAGCGGCCCCGCCCGCACCCGCAGCCACGGCGATCACGGTTTCGGGGCGCAGGCACATGAAGGACTCCGCAACCTGGGGGGGGGGGAGGGGGTAGCGGAGGGGGGCGGAGGGTGGGGGTGGGTGGCGGAGGAGAGGAGAATTGTGGGGTGTGTTGAAGAGGGCGTCGACGTGCGGCGGCGAGCAGGGAATGAGCCTAACAGGGTAGCACAGCGTGTCACAGCCGATGTCGGCATGCCGGTGCGGCGTTGTGTGCGGTGAGTGCGATGAGTGCAATGTACTGGAGCGACTGCAGCCTGCATGCATGTCATTTGCATGCATGGTTGTCATGCATGCAAGTCTGCCGTACGCATGTGTGTATGTCTGTCGTACCATCATAGCCTCGCTGCCCGAGGCACGTGGCTGCAGCTCCGCGATGCGGGGTAGCGCGGAGTCGTCGCCCGGAACCACCCTGGTGTAGCCCTGGGGGGGGGAGGGGGGAGGGGAGGTGAAGGGGAAGGTGGTGGGGTACGGGTAAGGATGCGGATATGGGGGAGGAATGAATACCAGGTGCGCTGCTGCGGTGTTCCCGGGCAGTGGCTGGCTGGGGGAAGCGGAGTAGGTGACCAGGTTGGCGACTTGTTGGGGGGGGGGGTGCGGGGGGCGGAGGTGGGCGGCCCTCTCACTCCCCGCCGCCCCAGACAGCCCCGGGGGTTCCCCCGCTCCTCCCGCCCCCCTCCTCCTCACTCCCCACTCCGCACGGCTGCAGCGTCGCGAGCTCGGTCCCATGCTTCACCCCGCCGCCCGCCGACCGAATTCCCCCCTACCTTCCCACTGCATAAAGTTGGGCCCCAAGCTACCGAAATCCCAGTGCTTCACCTCTACTAGAGTACACCTCCACAAATACCCCACCTCCTCACCTCCCCCCGGGTATTCTCCCCTTCCCCCCCCTCACTGTGTTGTTGCACTTAACTATAATTTTCCCGCCTCACCTCCTCCCCCAGCACCGCCAGGTCCACCCCGTTGAGCAGGCTACTGCCCAGCACGTCCCTCCCGCGCAGGTAGGCGTGCTCGAACAGGCGCTACAGAAGGGGGGGAAGAAGAATATCGAAATTTAGGGGGGAGGGATGTGAGAAGGAAAGGGGGAAGAAGGGATGGAGGGGAAGGACATCATCGGAGCCTCGGAAGTTCAGCACAGCAGGCGGAGCGCGAGGCTCTCGATCAAACCGGGTTTGATGTGCCGTACCTCTCCCTCTCCCCTCTTCTGCCCCTCTCTCTCCCCCTCTTCCCCCCCCCCCTTTACCTGCATGTTGTAGTTGGGCATGAAGGCAATCTGCGCCGACAGTGCCACCACACACGGCCCCCCCGCTGCTGCCCCTGCCCCTGCTCCCTTGCCCCCCGCTGCTGCCCCCCGGATGGCCGCCAGCGCGGTGCGCAGGTCCGCCACCTCCCCGGCCCACGACGAGGGGCCGAGCGCGGCGTTACTCAGGAAGTTGAGGGCGGGCAGACCCACATCGGCTGGAGGGGAGGGGGAGGGAGGGGGGGGAGGGGGGGAAAGTTAAATAAGTGAAACAACGAGTCCCAATCCCATATCCCGACTCATGCAGTGAGCGCATTCGGAGACACTATTCGGAGGGGGGGGCGGAGCAGGTGTTCGCATGGAGTGAAGGAGGGAAGACGCCCTGAGTCGGTGCCTGGAAGAGTTGGTGCTTGGAGGAGCGAGGAGACGTGAGAAGGATGCCATGTCTACGATGCAATTGTCAATGGGAGAGACAGAGACCCATGGGTCAGTTACGCAGGGACGACCAACAAGAAGCTACCGTAGCACAAACGACAAAGGGGAAAGAGGAGGGGAATGTAGTTAAGCAAGGTGGGTGGATGCCGTGTACGACAGCATGCGGTCACGCACATGCGGGTGATGCGGAGAAGAGGCCCCCGGCTCCCTTGATGGCGGCCGCATCCGACTGGTTGTGCACCACCCACACCGCCTCCAGCTGCACACGGCGGGCGGACTGGGGGGGAAGGTGGGGAAAGCGGGAGGGGGGAGGTGGGGGAGGTGAGGAGGGGGGTGAAGAGGGCGAGAGGGGGAAGGGGCGGGAGAGGGGGAAGGGGCGGGAGAGGGGGAAGGGGAAGTAAGGGAGAGGGGGAAGGGGCGGGAGAGGGGGAAGTAAGGGAGGGGGGATGTAAGCTCAGGCGTGTGTGGATGAGGAGAGGGGAGTTGGTGGTGTGGGAGGGCAGCGGAAGCGGGCAGGGCGTGAGGGGAGGGGTGGGGAGGGGTACGACCCACATGGCGTGCGGCTGCACACGAGGAAAGAGGCGTGCGGTGGGGCAGCAGAGGACTGTAGGGCTCCCTATCCCGCCCACCAAATCGCACAGCCCCAGAAACATGACAACCCAACACACTATACACACCCATACACACACGCAAGCCCCACCTGTATGGCACGCAGCAGCCGTACGAGCGCGGGAACCCCATCCAGCGGCAGCAGCGCGGGGACGGCGACACCCCCGGCGGAGGAGGCAGCCGCGGCGAGCGCACTGCCGGGCGGGTGGTGCGGTCCGGAGACCGCGCCGCGCGCGATTTCGGGCGAGTAGCCGCCAGCTAGGATGACGACATGGAGGTTCTGAGGGGGGGGGACGTGAGGTGAGGGATGGGGGGATGCGTCTTTGGATGGAGGTTGAAGGGGAATGGGGGATATGACCAGAGGTGACTTAGAGTTGGGGCAGGCTGGAAAGCTAAAAATGGGTCGGAAAGGTAAATATTAACACTGGGAGCTTGTATATAGGCCGAAATGCGCTGGGTGAACAGGACGACTGGGAATTCGGAGAAGTCTAGATGCGGCCATGAGGAGTTACCAGACAAGAGAAACGACTACGGTTATGAAAGGACCACTTAAGCATGTGCAACAGCAATGGTTATGCGTAGTACGCCTGAGAGAGCGCTGTGTGGAAGAACACTCAGGCAGGATTTCATCAACTCAAGTCGATGTTCACTGTTCACTGTTCGCACGCACCTTCACCATGATGTGCTACAGGGCTTTATCAGAAACTTTAAGAAGTTGTCAATATACAATTGCAAGTAAGCTGGCGTTGCGATAGAGCTAGCACGCCAAATGTAGGCAAATGTCGATGCGCCACAAGCTTCGACGCCGACGGAAGCAGCAGAACACGTCCAGTAGCGGCGGTGCTTAAAGCTGTGGTAAGCGATAAGTAAGCGATGCAGGTTCTTGCGCCTGTGCTGAACAGCTTTGTAAGCACCTTCGGATGAAGCGCACGTGGAGTCCTCAGCAGTCACGCCACTAATCTCTACGCAATAAATCGGTTAAGCCTCCCAGAGCCCCGAGAGCGTGCTGCGCTCCTTCTCGCCCGTTGTACGTCCCGTAGGGCCCGACGCCAACCGCCGCAGGTAACAGCTTCCAAGCGAAAAATTGCCGCAAGGTGTGCTCCTTAATGCGATATACTGACCCGGTGGTTGATTTCGATTTGCCTTTGAGATACGTTAGCAAAGACTTTACATTATTGGCTCTGTCGTTAATTATACAGTAATATCGAGTACTTATTAAGGCGTAGGCTAACAGAGCTTTGTGCTTACAACTGAGGCAGCTATGGCCTCAGAATACGGTGGCGATGCTGACGGCGGCGTGGCCGCCGAGGTTGCGCAGCGCTATGGCCGTTCTGCGCAGCCTGAGTCGCAGCAAGTCGTCGCGGTGTTCAAAGCTATCACAGATGTCATCCGCACCGAAGGTCTTCCACTCAGTCCAACCAGCTACTTTGCAGCCATCATGTCTGCGCTCGAGAAACCTGAGACGCAGACCTCTCAGCAGGTGTGCATATGGGTTTCAGTCTTGATAGCGTAAAGGGAGCAGGTTTTAAAGTCGCTGCTGTTCTAGAATCAAAACATTGACATGGGAGCTGCTAGGGTTACGTTCCACAGTCAGGATGCAATACCACGACGAAGTTGCTCTACTACCAAGCTAAAACTGAGAGTCATGAAGACACAAGAGCCTTATGCATTCCGCAGCAACCCAAATCGCACCGACCCCGCCCGGAACCCCTAACTGCCCTCCTCTCTCCCCAGCCCCACCCCTACCCGCCGCCTCCCTCCATCCCCGCATGCTTCCCCTTCCCAATCCCCGAAAAACACACACACGGATCTCCCCCTCCTCACACCCCCCTCTCCCTCCTCCCTTCCCCCCTCCCTCCCCAGGTCGTCCTCGCCATGCTGACCCTGCTGTCGCTGGTGCTGCCCCGCCTGCCCGCCCACGTGCTGCGCTCTCGCTTCGCGGGCGCCGCGGAGCTGGTGGGGGCGCTGCTGGCGGCGCACGGAGCCGAGGCGGCGACCGCCAAGGCAGCACTGGGCTGCCTGGCACAGGTGGGGGAGCCGGGGTGTGCGAGGGAGCCCTGGATAGGCCCCAGGGAGCCCGCCTGTAATAGCCCTAGTAGGGCCCGCGGCTTGTGATAAGGCCCGCAGTTTGAGCCTGACCTTGAGGCCGTTGAGGGGGTCGTCACGGAAGACCGCGCTGCACAGAAGAAAGGGTAGAAGACAGCCTAGGGGCAGCCCAGTGGCCGGTTTCCCTGACACACACACATTCCTCCCCCTCCCTCCCCCCCCCAGGTCCTGGCCGCTGCCGACCCCGCTGCCTGGCTGGCTGCCGTACCCGCCTTCAACCAGCTGCTCACCTTCCTCACGGACGCGCGGCCCAAGGTGGGGGAGGTGCAGGTGGAGGGGTGGAGGTGGAAGGGTGGTTTAGCTCGGTTGCTGTCTGAGGGCGATTTGGGTCGGGCTGCTGGGTTACACACAGGGAGTAGCTGGGGGCATCTGAATGGTTTGGCTTGGGTTAGGCTGAGGCTTCCCCGCTCATCACCTCCCCTCCCTCCCCACCCCTCCTGTCAGGTCCGCAAGCGGGCCTCCGGGGGTCTGGTGGAGGTGCTGGCGGGGCTGCAGCGGAGTGCGGCACTGGGGGCGGCCAGCGAGCTGGTGCTCAAGGGTGAGGGAGGGGGGTGGGTGGGAGGGCGGGTTTTCATGTCAGGAGGGGGGTCGAAGTTGGCATGGGGCTCAGTGGTGTGCAGGCGTGCGAGGGGAGGGGGGCAGCTACCGGTGTTGGGGCAGTGGCGTGCTGCCTGGAGTGCACGCCCGGGGGTGAGCGCCCGGCCGCCACAGCCAGCAAGCTGCAGTCACGGGTGGGCGGACCCACACCCTGCCCCCTCCTTCCCTAAACGCATGGGTCTTCTTCCCTCTTCTTCTGGTTTGCATTCTCATTCAACACATTGGGTTATCTCCCCCCCTCCCCCCATGCAGCCTGCCAGCGCATCCTGCCCGGCCCCGCCGCCGCCGCCCAGGCCGCCGCGTCTGCCTCCAACAAGCAGCGGGCGGCTGCGGAGGCCGCCATCACCGCCGCGGTGGCGGACGCGCTGCACCTGCTGGGGGCACTCAAGGGGGGCCTGCCGCTGCTGGCCACACAGGCTGCCAAGGTATGCAAGGGGTGGGGGTTGGTGGAGCGTTGTGGGTTGTCCAGGGAATATCAAGGTTAGAGATTGCATGGTTGTTGGTTTGCATGGGACATGTTGTGTGCAGGGGGGGGGGTACGCTGGAGCTGTGCGGGGACTTCCCGTGTGCCCCGCCACTGGCTATTCGGCTGGGTGGCAAACACGCTGTACCCTACCACTCAACGCCCTCCCTTACCTACCACTCTCCCCGCCCACCCACCCCACCGCCTCCCCCACCCAGGTCGGTGGCGGCCTGTTGGTTTGCATGGGACATGTTGTGTGCAGGGGGGGGGTACGCTGGAGCTGTGCGGGGACTTCCCGTGTGCCCCGCCACTGGCTATTCGGCTGGGTGGCAAACACGCTGTACCCTACCACTCAACGCCCTCCCTTACCTACCACTCTCCCCGCCCACCCACCCCACCGCCTCCCCCACCCAGGCCGCCACCGAGCTGCTTCTGAAGCTGTACAGCCTGCGGCAGCCGCTGCTGGACCGCCACGTCACGGAGGCGCTGGCGGCACTGGCGGGGGCGCAGGGGGCAGCAGCAGCCGGCAGCAGCAGCGGCAGTGGTCTGGCGCCATCAGACCTGGGCGACCTGCTGACGGTGGTGACGGACACGGAGTCGCTGTGGGTGGGCGGAGGCAGGGACCCGGGGCTGCTGATGGCGCTGGGGCGGCTGCTGGAGGTGGGCTGGGGGGGGAGGGAGGGGAAACGGGGGGGAGAGAGAACGTGTGTGTATGGCACGCAAGGGGATGCCGGCCCGGCTGTCTCCTTGACGAACAACACAACACGCCTCACTCGCTGCACGATCCACCCTAGCTCAAGGCCCTTTGCTCCTCTTCCCCTTCCTTCCTCCTATTTCTCCGAAACCCCTCCCCCCTATCGCCAACTCCTTTGCCTTAACCTGTGGTTCCCTATGGTCTCCCCCCCCTCACCCCCCAGGGCGGCTTCTCCCGGCTGGCGGAGGTGGACCCTGCCGCCTGCGCCGCCCGCCTGCCGCGTGCCGTACACGCGCTCGTACCGCAGCTGGCAGCGGAGCAGGACGGAGTGCGGTACGGCACTTCGCAGGTAGGGCAGGGGGGGAATTGGGTTTCATGGATTCAGGAGGATTAGGGGGGCATACCGGCATGCCATTCTGACCTACACGCCTTGCCTCAGTCCGGCTTCTCAGGCTTATCACCCACTTTCCTCTTCCCTTCTCCACCCTCTTTCCCCTCCTCTCCGCCCTCTCCCCCCCCCTCAGGCCCTCCGCACGCTCATCACCGACTGCCTCACTGCTGACACGGTGGCCGCAGCCCGCCGCGCGCGACCCACGGGTCCCTCCTCCTCGGGCCCCACCCCGCTCGCCTCCCTGGTTGCAGCGGTGGCCAGCACCCTGTCGGCGCGCTACCAGGACGCCTGGGGCATGGCGCTGCCGGGTAGGGGGGGCGGGGGGGGGGTTGATAAACTGAGCCGCGAGGAAACACTGACCGTGACCCTAGGAAGACCCGTTGATGATGGCGTCCAGCAGAAGGGGGGGGAGGGGAAGGGAGGGTGAGGGGCGAGGGGGAGAGAGTAGGACACGGGGGGACTTGAGCTTGATGTGTAGTGAGGGCCGCTGGGGGCGCATGGGGCACCTGGGGTATGGCTCGAAGTCGCCTCTCCTTCCTGTAAACCCTAATCCCTCCCTCCGCCCTCCCTCCCTCTCTCCCTCCTCCCCCCCAGTGGTGGGCACCCTGATAGAGAAGCTGGGTGAGGTGGGCGCTGCTGACGTGGCGGGGCCGCTGCTGGTGCCGCTGGGGGCCATCTGCGCGGGGGCACTGGACGCGGTGGAGGATGCGGACGCGGCGGGGGCGGGAGCGGGAGGGGAGGAGGAGGAGGGGGGAGCGGCTGGGAAGGCGGCTGCGGCGGCTCATGCGGGTGCGGCTGAGGCGACGTTGGGGACGGCGCTGCGGGCGCTGGGCCCGGAGGCGGTGCTGAAGGTAAGGGGGTGAAAGTAAGGAAACTGACGAACTGTATGACGAGGCGTCACTAGGTGGGAGAGAGGAAGGAGGTGGAGGGGGAGGTGGAAGGGTTAGGCAGTATGAGGGTGGTGGGGGGTTGGGTCAGCCCAGCGGGGTGATTGGGTGTTCCTCCCGACCCCTCCCCACAGGGTGAAGCCACATGGCCACAGGGTTACAGCTTTCCCCTTTACTCTCTGCATGCCATTCACACTGCCCCAACCACCAATTCCCCAACACACCCCCAATCCCCCGTCAAACCCCCTCCTCCCTCCCCACTCAAAACACACACACGCAGGTGCTGCCGCTCCAGATCCTTGAGGGCCTTGCGGGTACGGCAGAGCCCCGTACCTGGCTGCTGCCCCTCATGCGGCGCCACGTACGGCACTCGCAGCTAGGGTTTTGGTTCCGCGAGCTGCTGCCGCTGGCTCAGTCGCTGGGCGGGCGGGCGGCGGCGCTGTCGGCGGCGGGGGGTGCGGCGGCGGGGGCGCTGGCACTCAAGTGCCGGGCGCTTGAGCTGCAGGTGGGGGCGGGGGGGGCGGGGGGAGGGGCGGGGGTACAGAGTGTGCGGCCTATGCTTGGTAACGCGGGTAATCGTGCATCCGGCTGCCTAGCCGAAGTCCCTCCTTAATGTTATCTTGTGTACCTGGCTTGACTCCGTGAGGGCGCGCATGGACCCACCTAACCGTCTCCCTTACCACGTCGCCCCCTCCAACCCCCCCACCCCCCCCCGCCCAGGTGTGGCACTGCCTGCCCGCCTTCATCTCCTGGGCCACCGACCTGCCGACAGCCTACCCCGCAGCGGTCAACTCGCTGGCGGCCGCCTTCGCCAACCGCCCCGACCTGCACCCGCCCATCTGCATGGCGCTGCAGCGGGCAGCAGCGCAGGTGGGTTGTGTAGGGGTGGTGATGGTGGGGGTGGGGGTGGTGGTGCCCTGCTTCTTACTCTTCATACGTTGGATCCCTCGTGCCACCTCCTCTTGCTTGCTGTACGGCAAACTGACGGCATGCCGTTTCCATCCCCGTACTGCAAAACATACACACGCAGGTACGACACGTCTTGGCGGCGGACGGACGCGGGTCGGAGTTCATTGGCTTCGCGGACCCCGCCGCTCACGGACCCACCAGTGGCGCCGCTGCCGCCGCTGGCGGCACCGCCGGCGCCGACGACGATGACGACGACGGCGCCGCCGCCGCCGGCATGGCGGAGGACCCCGCCGTCGCCGCCGCGCATGGCGGCGCGCCGCCGTCAGGGTACGACACTGCGGCGGCGGAGGCGGCGCTGACGGCGCTTCGTTCGTATAACAAGCAGTGGCTTTCCGTACTGTGCAAGGCCTATTTGGTTTCGGAGCCGGAGGGTCGGTTGCCGTACTCTGCTGCGATTGCGGCGGTGTCGGCGGTGACGGAGGCGGGGGTGGTGGGCGGGTACTTCCGCTCCGCCATGCAGAAGCTACAAAAGGTGAGTTGCCGTACACATACTGGCATGCCGCTTGCATGGTGGTAGAGATCACAACAGCGTGCCCTGCCACTTCGCCTCAAGGCACTCACATTGCGGGTACTCCTCTCCTATATATACTCCATACTGACACCCTACTGAACTCGCAACTTTCCCTTCCCCTTCCCTTGCGTGCTAAAGAAGACCTGTGACGCTAGTACTGCCCCCACCACGTTTTTGTGTGACCTTGTTTGTGTGTATACCTCGCGCCCCCTCCCCACCCAGGTTGTGCTGGACGAGTCCGCGGAAGTCCCCCCGCCCGACCTGATCACTGACGGCGGCCCCGACCCCGCCGCCCGCCGCAACGCCTTCCTGGAGCTGGCGCTGTGGCTGAGCTTCGGACTGCCGGAGGGGGCGGTGGACGCGTTGTTCCGGGTGAGAGGGAGCAGGGGGGGACGAGTATATGTAACGGAAGAATAAAGGGAAGAGAAATGTTTTAAAAGACAGCGTAAACGCGGTTCTACGTGTCAAGGCAAAACCCTAAAACTCCTTACATCAACTCACCCCCGTCTTGCCTCCCCCCACATATTTAATTTTTTTCCCCCACCCGCCCAATGCCACCACCACCCCCACTCCCCCACCCCATGCAGTCGGTCAAGGGTGCGCTCACGCACAGCCAGGCCGCCGTACAGAAGCGCGGCTTCAAGGTCCTTGCCGTACTGGCGGAGGCGCGGGGCAGCTGGCTGGCGGGGAACCTGGGGGAAGTGATCAAGCAGGTGGGGTATTAGCGGGGGAAGGGATCCTGTGCGTGTGTATATATATGCTGGCTATGTCAATGAAGGTCTTGTTGGCTCTGAGGGGAACATCAACAGCAGCCTTAACCCACGATCTCCAAACTCCACGACCTGACCCCCCCGCCTTCCCCCGGGTTTCCCCGCACGTACGACATACACACACGCGCAGCTCCTGGGCCCTCAAGCCACCGCCACCCTCTCAGCGGCCCGGCGGTACCGACTCCGCGTCATTCGCCCCGTCATCATCGCGCTGCAACAGCTGGATCCGAAATCCGCTGCCGCACAACTGCCTCGGGACTTGCTGGGCGGCGACGAGGAGATGGCGGACGGCAAGGACGCGGATGATGATGATGAGGAGGGCGAGGATGGGAAGGGGAAGAGGCATCAGGCGGCTTTCCGGCGGCAGCTGGTGGCTTCCCTGGTGGCGGATATCGTACTGTGTACCAAGGAGTCGAATAAAAAGTGAGTTCGATGCGTGTTGTACGGCATTACGGCACGGCACGTACGCTACCGATAATGCATGTGTTCAGTCTGCACGAAGACGCTGGCCTGCCGGCTCCTACTTGGCCGCTTCTGCTGTCGCTTCTCTTGCAAGTGCATGGATGGATGCATCTTTTTGCAGTGACTTGCAGTGATTGTATTTGTATATATATCTTCGAATTCATTTTTGTCGTATACCAATCCCATATTCGCCTTGGACTGCCCACTCAGGACTCGCGCCGCCGCGTACGACCTGTTGGTGGGTCTCGCTCACGTTATGGACGAGCAGGAGCCCGGGCAGCTGGGGGGCAGCGAGGAGGAGGAGGAGGACATGGGGCAGGAGAAGGAGGCGGCGGGATGCAAGGTAGGACTCGTTTGATGGGGGTTAAGGGCGCACACACTTGATACTCGCGACACGCGGGGACATGGGTGTCGGACATGCACGTTGCTTTTCTTCTTCGCGTGCCTTCTCCTGCTTTCCCTTACCTTATAAGGTTATAACCAGCATCGATGCCTGTCTTGGGATAGATGCGCTCAAGTTTCATTCCCGAGGATGGTTGTTATACGCCCCCAACCTTCCCTCTCGCATCTCCTCGCCTTCTCCTCCCCTCCTCCCCATCTCCCCATCTCCTTCCCTTCCCCCTCCTCCCCCCCAGGGTGGGTTGTACGAGTTCTTCTCCATGGTTATGGCGGGTCTGGTGGCCACCACCCCCCACATGGTGTCTGCCACTGTGATGGCGCTGGCGCGACTCACCTACGAGTTCGCGGCGGCCATGCAGGTGGGGGGGCGGGCAGGGTTAAAAAGAATACCCAATGCGTTGATTGATTGCAGGGTGGGGGCGGGGGGGGGTGCAAAGGGGGTAAGGAGGAGGAGGAGTAACTGACTGACCGCGTGACAGGGCTGTGTAGAGGACTGGGCTGGGGGCTGGGGGCTTCGCTGGAGGCAACCATTGTGGGTCAGTTCTCCACCGGCTCAGTCTCCCTTTAGGCTTGAGTTCGGGTCTTCCTTCCTCGTCCTTCCAAGCGACGACTTGGCAGCGCCACCCACCCCGTATGCTGCGGTCACGGTCAGCATGTAACCCACCCGCTCAGTCCTTCTAACCCACCCACCCACGCACCCACCCGTCTGTGCCGCCACCCACCCTCACACAGAATGTGATAGCCTCGCTGGTGCCGCCGGTGCTGTCGCTGCTGCGCGGCAAGGCGCGGGAGGTCGTCAAGTCCGTGCTGGGCTTTGTCAAGGTGGGCGGGGCGGCGGGGGGTGCCGTGTGTATGGAAGCGTCCGTAGGAACGTGTACGAATGTGGTACGGGAGCGTGTGCCGTACGTGTACGAATGTGCATGCAGGTACTCGCATGTTGCCCCCCCCCCATGCGTTTGCCCTCGGGGGATGAGGAGACAATCATGGTATCTCCCACTTGCACCTCCTCAGCGACACACACTAAGCCTTCTTCCCCCTCTCCCTAACTCGTTGCTGCACTTATCACTTATTTTCTTTCTCACTTATTTAATTTCCTCCTCCCCACCTCCCCACCTCTCCCTCCCCCCTCCCAGGTGTGCGCCATGCGGCTCCCAGTGGACCTGCTCACCCCCCAGCTGGGCCCCATCCTGGAGGGCATCCTGCTCTGGTCGCAGGACTCGAAGAACAAGTTCAAACTCAAGGTGGGGGCGTGTGTCGGGGTGGTTGGTCGGGTGGCTGGTTGGCTGCCGGTGTGTCGGTTGGGTAGCCCGGCGATGCGGCTAGATCCTTCCCTTCCCAACAGTCCCCGCCAAATTGCAAACCCTCCCCTCCCCGCCCCGCCCCCTCCTCCCTACCTCCTCTCCTCACCCCCCCCAGGTCCGTGTCATTGTGGAGCGGCTAGCCCGGCGGTGCGGCTTCGAGGCGCTGGCATCCGTGATGCCGCCCTCCGAGAGCCGCCTGCTGGCTCACATTCGCAAGGAGGCGGCTAAGAAGCAGCGGAGGAAGGCGGGAAGCCAGGCGGGAAGCGAGGTGGGGGAGGAGGAGGAGGAGAGGGGAGGGGAGGGGCTGAGCCGCGGAAACCCCTGACCGTAGTATACCAGGGGATACCGGAAGGGGGGGCTGGCCAGAGGGCACCTCGGAAAGGGACATTTAGGCGGCCAAGATTCAACCACCCTTGACTCTTGTGCATCTTCCTCCCTTGTCCTGTGGCACCCTGCCGCCTCCTACCCCCTTTGTCTCGCCCTTACTTGTTAGCTTTCCTTTGTTTTTTGGCCTTCATCAATCTCCACCACAACCCCCCCCCCTCCCTGACCCTCCCACCCCTCCCACTCCTCACTGCTTGAGTCGGGATTTGGAATTGGGACTCCTTTGGCTCACTTTCCCATTGTTCCCCCCTCACTCCCCCACTCCCCCCGCCAGGCTGGCGACGTGGAGGGCGACCGGCGCTCCCGCCACAGCAGCGGCCGGGACTCCCTCGCCCGCACCGCCCGCGCCTCCCAGTGGGGCCACACAGCCGTCTTCTCATCGGAGGCAGGGGACGATATGGAAGAGGACGAGCAGGAGCTGGCGGGCGGGGCCGGGAGGAGGGGTGCGGGCGGGGCCAAGAGCGTTAAGAGCGCGGGCGGCAAGTCGGCTGGGGGGCGTAACGCCAGCGGAGGGGTGCGGCTGGCAGCGGGCGGCAGCGGGGGAGATCCGATGGATCTGCTGGACGCGGCGACATCACGGCAGTTGGTGCGGAGCGCGGCGGGGGTTGTACGACAGCCTGCGGCCGGGCGGGAGGAGGCGTTCAAGCGGGACCCCTCGTCGGGCAAGATGGTGATTGCGGAGGAGGAGGACGATGATCCGCTGGGGTTGGGGAAGAGGGGAGGCAACAAGAAGCGCCGGAGGGGAGATGATGATGGATACAACAGCGACGACTCGGATTACGACGATCTCAAGGTACGACGATCAGGGTTTTGCCGTGCCGTACTTGAGGGGTGTTGCCGTACATGCATGGGTATTGCTTTATTTGAAGTTAAGCGGGTCTATTTTGGTTGCACATTAACTACCTGATCCTGCATTATTCGCATGCCGCCGTGTTGTAATGAGGTTTACCTCGCCACTCATGGCCCATGGGTCGCTCGCCCAGCTTTCCAAACCATCCTCACCACCCTAAGCTCCATCTCTTCTCACCTCTCACTTGTACCCCCCCTTGGCACACATACGCGCATACACAGGGCGTGGCGGATCTTCGCCACGCACTTCGCAAGGCCGGCGAATCCAAATCCGTACGGTTCGCGGAGGCCGCCGCCGCCAAGTCCGAGGGCGGTCGCAGCATGGGTGGTCGCAGTGCGGGTGGTCGGAGTGCGGGCGGGGCCAGCAGTGTGGGCGGCAGGAGCGCCGGGGGGCGCAGCAGCGGCGGCGGCAAGGGGGCGCACAGCGGGGAGCGGTTCAAGGCCAAGGGGGCGGCGGGTGACGTCAAGGGTGAGGCGGGGGTTGGGTGTGTTAAAATAACTGGCCGCGAGTAGGAACATACTGGGATGTCGGGGGTGTGTGTGTGTGTGTCGGTAGAGTGGTCGCGGGGTTTGGGCGTTTGTGTTTGTGGCATGTGCCAAACACTTCCAAAGCGAAGAGTGCTTTAAGCCATGGGCCGGCTGGCAAAGCAAAAGGGGTAAGGTTATGGCATTGCATGTTCGCCCTCGGTTTCTACCCTGTCGTATGTGTATGGCTCCTTTTACTTTTCCCGTTTCATCTAGAGTCCCGTAGTCTTCCAAGATCGCCCTGACACGTGCAGTACACATCTTGTTCGCTCCTAAACAGGCAAGTCCAAGATTGAGCCGTACGCGTACTGGAGCCTGGATCGCCGGATGCTCAACCGTCGCAGGGGCAAGCAGGTACGGTATACGGCACAACATAGTGTACGGTATAACATGACAAATTGACATGTAGGCCCGTACGGCATATGCGCGAGGGCAGCACAAACAATGTTATGAATTCGAAATAGGTAACGGACATAAGTTCATGAGCTTTGAATTCCTCTCGTGTCAACCAGCCACTTCGTACTGGTATCTTTCCGCTCGTCCTCCTCGCCTCTACAACTCACACCACCCCCTCCCCACCCCGCCAGGCCGCCGCTACTTCCAAGTTGGAGTCCATTGTCAGTGGGGCCAAGGTGGGTTGGTTGTTGGTTGGTTGGTGGTTGGTGGTTGTTGTGGGAGGGGGTAGGGGTACCCGACCTTCACCCGGCTCCCAGACGTCTGAGTCGCCGTTGTTCTCAGCACCACATCCTCATCCTACCTGATTCCCCTGCCCCTCCTTTCCCTCTTCACCCCTGCAGGCGGGTGCGCTCAAGGGCGCGAAGGCCAAGCGGCAAGCGGCGGCCTCCGCTGCTGCTGCCGGGGGTCGGGGTGGCGGCAGGGCGGGCGGCAAGGGAGGTGCCAAGCGGCAACGTACCTCGGAGTGAGGGGAGGAGGAGAGGATCGGGTGGAATGCGGGGCGGATGGCGCATGATGGGAATCAGGAGAGCCGGGGTGGCGGGGCAGGGGAGCTAGTTCCACAGCTGCGATGGGCGGGAGTGGGGTTCCTTGGGAAGGGGAACTGGTGATAGTAGCGGGGGAAGTTGGGTTTAGAAGCGGGGGGTTGTACGAATAAAACGGGTTGAGTTGCTGTGGATGGGGCATGTGGGAGGGAAGCGGTGTGTTATTGGAACCCTGCTTGAGCTTTTTGGGTGAAGACAGGACAGTGAGGGGTGTCGTGGGGGAGTCGAATGCGGAAAGATACATACGATACAAACTGGATAAATTAAGGACCATCAACCTTTAGCGCGTAATGTACGTCTTCGTGCCGTACCAAACTTCTTCACGTGTACGGTATATGGTGTAGGACAATTTGGCATACAGTTGATATCCCTTTTGAGCTTCATGGCTTGCGAAGATGGTACTTGCAATGTTACGCACAAGTGGCCTGGGTCCTTGATATGACTCATGAGGGAGGAGGAGGAGCGCCGTGGATTGGTGAGGTACTTTTGGAATCCAAGACAAGGGCTGCCACTAGACCGAAGTGCGGTTGCTATCCTGCCATAATCCTGTTTGGATGCAACAGCCGTTATGTTATACAGCCGTTATGTTATGTTGTACGGCATATATACGGCGAGCGGTTAACGCAAATTTTCCCGCCACGGTAAGAGGGGGGGTTTGTCCCATGTTAGCATGCCGTACATTGGGATGATGGCATGCCGTACGTTCGGATGATGGCATGCCGTACATTGGGATGATGGCATGCCGTACATTCAGATGATGGCATGCCGTACACTTTCTTCTTTACAAAGCCGTGCAGCGCCCAATCGTCACGGAATCTCCTGCCGCATCTCCTGCGACCAGTAATCAGCACGCATGGAAGAGCAGTAGTAGCATGCAGCCGGAGCCCTCACCCCCCAGGGGCCTGACACCATGATGACGCGCGGTCAGTTGTTTTTTCGTCTTTACCTCCAGAGGCCTGAAACCGGGTCCGTGGTTCGCCGCGCAACACCCGACAGCGCAAGGTACCACACCCGACAGCGCAAGGTACCGGCACACACGACTTACACATTGAAGCTGAGTGCACATCAAGCAAGGGCGCGGCTTGGGGGGAGGTTGTTGTTCCAGTGCCTGCTTATTGTTGGTATTCCCCGAGTGTTACCCGACTAGGCGGAGGCGAACTGGCGGTGCTAAGGGGGTGCGGGCCCTGTGGGTTGGACGGAGCGGCAGAGCATACATGTGGGTCGCTTGGACTATCGAGGACAAACCTCTGAGCGAAACGAAAATCGCGTGCCTTGCGTGTAGTCCATGTTGAAAGGATGTACGTACAACATGCGTAATGTGCGTTAAAGCTTTTTCTAGCGCCCGACGCCTCCACAAGTTTAGCTCTGTGATTACAGTATTTATACCGTAGCAGTTTTGTATACCAATTATTATTGCTGTTGCCTCGCAAGAGCTCGCAATGGGTGTTCCATCACGACTGGCGGTCTTGGACACAGGCTTAGAGGCCAGGAAGCATTGCAAACTATCAGGAACTGTCGCCTTGACTACTGGAATAACGCTCGCGTACCAGGTCTACGAGCTCAAACCGCAGCAGCATGAGCTCAGTATGCAAATCGGCGCAGGCGTCGAGGCTCCAAGCAGCAGCACAGAGGAACCAAAGGACAGAGTAATTATGATTATGGGTAAGTCGTCCTGCCGCAAGCAACTTGCGGCCTGGCCAGTCTTCGAAGCAGCACGTTGACGTTCAAATGTCGAGCTTCCCTCGTTTGGTCCAGGATTCGCGTGCACCGGATCCGCCTGGCTCCCCTTACTGCAAAACCTCTTTTCGCGGGAGCAAGGGGACAGCAAAGAGGTATTTGGCTGAGGGCTGGGTGGACGGGGAGGACATGGTTGGCCTTTTGACCTTCCATATGCCAGGGCGGCCGCCACGTCCTTACCCGTTCTCCCCTGCACGCGCCCCCCTCCTCTTGTAAAGGCTAGTGGACCCCCCACCTCTGCTGCTGCTGCCGGGCTGGAGATTGCAGTGTACGACAATCGCGGCATCGGCTGTAGCAGCTGTCCGACGCAAAAGTCATCGTACAGTACAGACATCATGGCACAAGACGCGCTAGGACTTATGGTAAGCCAAATTCCGACCTTCCTTGACACACTTCCGCCGTTCAAAAAGAAAGCAAATGTATTGGGACGACGCTTCCATCCCCATCCGCGTACATGCGATTCCTTGCCGTACGTCAGTGCCGTACTTATGTGCCCATCTGCCGTACATCCATACAGGACTATCTGGGTTGGCGGCGAGCTCACGTGGTGGGGCACTCCATGGGCGCCATGATCGCTGCCCGGCTGGCTGTTGCGGCTCCGGAGCGGGTGGCGAGTTTGACGCTCATCAGTACGACAGGTGCGGGTGGTCTTGATAACCCATGACAGCTCCTTGGGTGTGTAGTTGAGCGGAAACAAGAGCAAACATTTGGGATAGGTTCGCATGTGAACCGCAAGTACAAGCAAAACAGAGGTAAAACAGAGGTAACCAAGCCTGAACCATTATGCAAAACTGTTTAAATAGCTGGGGCTGGATGTAAGAAGAGCGGTGTGTTGACGACGCATGTCGGTGATGCTGATGGTGTCGGAAAAACTAAAATACTACCGAGTACCTAGCCCGCTCCTTGGGTGTGTGTGTTTCGGCTTGACGCACATCGTTGGCCGACCCAAAACAGCCCCCCCCGTCCTCTCTTCCCCTCTCCACCCACCCAACTTCTCCCACTGTTTGGTCTACTTCTTTTGCACTCACCACCTCACTCACCCGAACCCACTGCACCCAAACTGCACCCTAACCCCAACCCCGCCGCACCCCCCTACATGCCCCCAGGCGGCGGCTCCGAAGCCATCCCCCTCAACCTGCGCGCCCTCAGGGCCGCCTGGCGCGGACTACTGGCCTCGTCCGCCGACCCGCACACGCGCGCCTCCGTGGACCTCACCTTCCACTTCGCTCCCCAACTGCTGGCAACGCAGGTGAGGGGGCGCGTGTCTGGTGGTAAGGGTGGGTAAACAGGGTGCAACCAACCATGTGGCAAGACTCCGCAATGGGTAGCTGCGTCAAGGAGTGAGTTAAGCAAGCTGGGAGCCGGGTGGGTGTTGCTAGCCATGGTCCTCCTCGTACCCCCCCCCCACACCACTGCATGCAAGCCCTCATGACCCGCATCCCCACCACCCCCACTACCTCCCCCCCAACCCCCAGGACCCCCACAGCGGGCGGCGGGTGAAGGACGTCTTGAAGGAGCAGTACGTGTTGGGAGGCAAGGTGGGCGTGCGGGGTAGGAGGCGTGTGGGGTAGTCCAGCATGAAACACGGACCGTGACCATACGGCGTGAGGATTTGGGATGGGGCGGGGGGGGCGGGACAGCGGCGCTGCGAATGAACAGCGGAGTGTTAATAAGACTGGCATTAGAGTGTAGGTGTTGAAGTGTGTACAATGCCGTTACAAGCATGGCGGACAAGTTGATCATGTCTGAGCAGGAGGGTGTTTGCGGGTACGTAGGGGTCCTCTCTCCTCGCCGTGCTTGAGGTCTCTTGCCGTACAACCCCTATGTCTTGCCGTACACAGGAGCACGGTCCGCAGCCGCCCCACGGTCAAGAGGGCCATGCAAGCGCCGTACTGAAGCACGGTGTTAACAGGCGGGAGTGCCGTACGCTAGCAACGGGTACGGATGCCGTACGTGCACTTGCATGGCATGTGGGTCGCAGTGTACCGTACTCGATGTGGGTCGCAGATCACCCATGTGGGTCGCAGCAAGGATTTTGGGCCTGCAAAGAGTGCAACCAATCGTCGAGAGCGATACAAAGGCGACATGGATTCACACGCATGCGGGGGGGGGGGGCTGGATGCTTTCTGATGTCCTTATCCCCCTGGCTCGGCGGGGGGGCTGCTGGATGCGATGTTGCGCCTTGGCCCCCCTGGCGTGTACGGACACACTGTGCCCCCTACTCTTGTCAACCCAGTTACCCTATGTTAAGCTGCTCTTTCCTGGCCATGACATTAATGTCCCTCACCCCCTGCCCCTCACCCCTACTCCCAGCTGGTTTCCCCATCAAGCTGATCCACGGTTCGGAGGACATCGTGGCCGCCCCCCGCCACGCGGCCCGCTTGGCTGCCCGCTTGGGGGCGCCGCTGGTGCTGCTGCCGGGGGGGGCGCACTTCATACCCCGGGACTGTGCAGCGGAGGTGGGGCCGGGGGGAGGAGGGGCGCGGTGAGGGTTAAGACTGGGGAGCATGTGGGGTGCATGCGTGGGGGCGTAGGCAGGGTGGGGAGGGCGCGTTCCGGCACATGTGTCTGTAGCGGTCCGGTGCGAAACCAGACCTGCCGTCTTCCCAACTGCCTCCTAACGTCCGGCGTTCTTGTACTTGTACGGCAGATTGTGGACGAACTGCTTGCGACTGTGGAGGCTGTACGACAGGGCTTTACCCACGCGCCGGTCGTACATCGTACGGCAGCTGCCGGTTCCTCCTTGGACGATGCCGTGTCGTACGGCGAGGTACGGCAGCCTCGCTTTGGGGCGAGCTGGTGCTGCATGTGCTGCAGTGCCTAATTTGGAGCTGCTGCCAGTGGTGAGGTCATTGCCGCCGTACGTCGCATTGTCGTACGGCTGTTCAGATGCCGTACAATAACATGTATGGGTTCACGCCATGCGTACGGCAGCAGCAGAATTGTTGTGGGTGCGATTATCGTGTATGTTATGGGTTGGTGGGAATATGTGTGAGCTGAGCGGGGGAGGATCGACATCTTCTCGTGGTTTTTAGTACTATAGCTGTGAAGATGTGATATATTTGCTCCATCCTTGTCGGGTTATGTACCGGAATGTCGGGTCCTGTTTGATTGTGTGTTCTTCATTATGCTTGTTCGGAAGACCGGAGAGGGTGGATGCTGCTGGTGTGCAGATACGGTATAGCTGGCAAGGACGCAGGAGTCGTAGCATAACGTGCCGTGGCCTCCTTCCCAACCTTGTGAAGTCCTTATGAAGTCCGTCTACGCACGAGTGAAGTAAGTATTAGACTGATTGGATGAACGATTTAAGTATAAACGCTGGCATGTATTAATGCCGTATAAATGAATGATGAAGATACTCGTTGAAGGCTGGCGGTGGTTGGGATGGTGAAGGTTATGAGCATGCATGCATGCATGCGTGCGGGGGTTGTACCTCTTGTATACGGTTCCAAGAGGTGGTTTGTGCAGATCCAATACGTTAGTTTGTTAGTGGCATATATGGCGGCCTTGGCGCCTCAATGGAGACATGAGCGGCGGGTAGCGATGGGTGCAATAGGTACCTCTTCTTGTGGTTCCTGTGATCATACATGTGACAGGTCATGTGGCTTCTACCCTCGTTCTTTACCTCTCTTGTGGTTACTGTTGGGTTCTCATGCCTGTTTCCTGCTGGCCCGTTGTGGTGTTCCCTTTTAGGGAACCATTGTAACGGTCATTTATCCAATAGGTGAATGGCTGGCACAGCGGTTCACAAGGTAGCAAACACTGGAGGTGAACCGGACCCAACGCCGCACGGTGGTGCAGGGTAGTGATTGACCGTTACACCGCCTGCGTTCTCATTCTCATTGTAAGAGCCCTTCATTTACCGGTATTACCAAGCCCTTCATTCGGTGCATTTAGCAGGTGTAAGGGGCGGGGCGTGGACTCGCAGGGTGCGAAACGGCAGCATCTGATGCTGGATGTGCTTCGGGAGAACCATGGTTCAGTCAGCCATGGCACGAAATGATGGCTGCACGAAATGGAGCATGCGTATACCGGTCAGCATCACCGGTATTTAAAGCGTATTAGGGAATCCAAAGGGGTCTAAATGGTCTTGCATGGAAACACAACCGCAAGGATTTCACGCTGCAGGTTTCGTTTCCGGAGCAGAAGCCGGTCATGTCGTGTTTCCACCGTCCGAGGGAGGCCGCTGGAAGCACCCGATAGAGCTGCGGGCCAACGTCGCCAAAGTTAGATCACATGTAGATGTAATGATTACCGGTACGCCAAGGCGCTCACCCAAATATCCTTCCCGCCATTGTGCCGTTTCTATGGCAGATCTTCCACAAGCTTGCTCCAGAGTTAAGGCAAACGCCGGCCTCTGCTAATCTCATTACAATATTCAGCAACACGCCACGGTTAACAAATTGTCATCGCCTGTGCTTGCCCCCGACTGCGCCTCGTCACCTTCTCCTGGCCCAAGAAACCAAATGGACAAAGCAAGCAGCTCCGAAGAGCCTGCAGAGCCAAATTTTCTCCTTCTTCTTCCTGAGCACCTCCTCTTCCGCATCTTAACCGAGGCAGCCACCGGTGCAGCGGGCGCCTACGCCTCCTGCCGCGCGCTTCGCGATGCCTGGCAGGCCGCGATCAGGCAGCCGGGCGGCGCCAGCACCTACCTGAGAGCTCGCTACGGCGCCCAAGATGCCTTGCTCAAGGTCTACACCTGCCCCGGCTTCCTCAAATTCCTTCTGGCCGGCACTCCCGCAGCCGAGCACGACAGCGCGGTTCTGCAGCTCATGAAAACGCTGGACGAGCACTGCAAGCAGGGCGTTGGGAAGCAAGACATGCTGCCAGGCAACATAGACATTTCTACTCCGCCGGTTGCAGAAGCCGGTGACTCGGCTGCGCACACAGCCACCACCACGACCACGTGTATCGCTCCGAGAGCCGCGGCCGCGGGTCATCTGGAAACATTGGAATGGCTTATTCAGCGGCTGCCTTCACGCACAGCATCGCCAGCTGTCCTTCGCGACTGTGCGAGGGAGGCGGCACGCTGGGGACAGCTGCATGTGGTGAGGTGGTGGCTGCGGGAAATGGTAGAGCATGCAGCGAAGGATGACTGGGAGGAGGGGCAAGGCGGCGCCACCGGCATGGGAGGCGGCGTTGCTGGCTGCCATGCAGTGTACGACGCGCTGGCTGCTGCCGCCCGGTACGACCAAGCGGAGGTGGTGCGGGAGCTGGTGGAGGCGGGCGCTGACCCACGGGTCGGTGACTACGAGGCTCTGCGGGAGGGGTCGTTTTGGTGAGTCATTCCGTTCGTGTTGCAAATAAAGCATAGGGAATTCTGTAGGGGGTCACCTGTGCCACGCATAAATCCGATTGGGTCGCACATGTTACTTTGTTTTCTTCTGTCACGCTCTGTGATAGCGTTCCCAGTGATTGGGTGTTGATGACTTGCAGCGTCTGACCCTCTGTGGAGCAAGTGGATTGTTTCAAGACAACTCGAACATCCCCAGCGCCCGGCCCACTCCTCAGGACCCTAAACCCTTAAACCTTGCATTCCCCGAAATGTCTCTTCTGTTGTTTCCCGCCTCCTCACGCGCGCCCCATTCCCCCAATAGCCAGCACACATGCCCCATTCCCCTCCCCGACCCTAAACCTCCCCATTCCCTGCCGGCCGTGTTGCCTCCACACCCCGTCGCCGCCCGATCGCCTCCAGGGGAGCTGAGGAGTCCGTAGCGGTGCTGTTAGCTGCGGGAGCGGACGCCCGGGCCCATGGGAACGAGCCCTTAGTCAGCTCATCCCTGCATGGACATGCAGGCATCGCGCGGCAGCTTCTGGACGCCGGCGCCGACCCCACCGCGCGAAACGGCCTCTGCATGAGGCTCGCATGCAGCCGCGGCCACAAGGAGATCGTGGGGGTGCTGCTGGATGCGGGCGTGCCGGCGGGCAGCCTGGAAGTGCGGATGTGCTTCGCCATTGCGCAGGGAACGGCGGCGAAGGCACGCATTGAGATAGTGGAAATGCTGCTGCAGAGGGGCTGTTTGAACCTGGGAGCCTGCTGCCAAGCGGTCGCTTCTCTGGCTGACACCCACAGTGTCGTGCAGCTGTTCCGGCTGACCTGGATCTGCCTGGCGGCCTCCTGGCGGCGCAGACAGCAGCGCGCAGCAGCAACGCGACCCATGGGTCACCAGGTCCTCGCCCTCCTCATTTGGTGCGTCCAGGCGGCTGCGTTGCTGTTTACTGTGGCTGCCAACACGCTTACCGGGCCGGTAATAGTCCTGGGTGAGGTCGTGATCGTGCGGTGGAATGAGCGGCTGATGAGGCGGCGGGAGAGGCGGCGGCAGGAGGGGCGGTGGGTAGAGCCGAGGTGGGTCACGGGGCTGGCTTCGCTGCTTGCCGCCGCTGTTTACTGGACGGGCATGCTATGCTATTCCAACCTTGTGGTTTGGGCAATGAGGGCGGTGTTTAGGGTGTTGAAGAGCGCGCTGGGGTTTGTGTGAGGCGTCTTGGGGGAAAACGTGGTGCGTACGGTTGTGGTGCGGGACCCGTGTTTCTCAACATTCGGGCTACTCTTCTTGCTGCGAGGTGGTGGGTACTTGCCGCGTGTCCAGTAGTGCATGTCAGCATGTGGCTGCAGGCACGCTTGGGCTCATGGCTCTGGCGGCATTGCATGCCGGTGTTTGGGAGGTTGGCAAGACGCGCCTGAGGGCACGTGTACACGGAGTGCACCGTATGGTAGGGTGGGTTTTGTTCGGTTACACTGTACGGCACAAACGGTTCCTAACCCAGGCTGATTTTTCTCGCTGACATGGTCCATGTGACTGTGTTGTTCTCAGTTTCTTTTCTGGAAACCTGGAAATTGCGGGTGAGTGGTTGTCATAACCCACAAGCGCTAGCGTTGCTTTTGAGCCTGTGCGTGCCGGTAGTGTGTGGTGCTTAGGAGCGGTTGTTGTTGTGGTTGCCCTGCTGGTGTGGCGGTTGTGCGGGTGTGCTGGGGCCTGGGAGGGGCTAACATGCAGGAGTGCTGACTTCCCAAGTAAGGTTGATGAAGGCGCCAGCGTTACGCTCCTCTTGTAAGGTTACGTGGTGTGTGTGGGGGGGGTATCCATGAGGGCTAATAATCGCTGTCCATGTTATTCCGGATGTTTCTTGGGATGCCTGGTCATGCAGCCCAGCTAAATAGGTGCTGCCACGTAGACTCCAAGCAACCATAAAAAGACCTCAGGCAGATGAATGGCTTTGTTAATGGCTCTCCTCCTCAAGAGAATCAACACAGCAGTAGCTACAACACAGCAGTAGCAAGTTGTCAGCGCGTCAGCGGTGTACACGCCAGGCTCTCAAGAAGGACAGATATTATATCCATGTACCACACGTCCACAAGACAAGTGATGCAAACCTAACCAAGGGAAGTAACCGGGTTGACCACAATGACAACAGAGCATTGTACTTGGAGAGAAGCTTGTGCCGCCAAACCGACCCGGCATCCCCTCATGCATGGCGTCGTGGCGTTCTCGTCCCACCGTGCTCTCATCCGCGGGGACCCTTGTAACCGTTTCTGTTAGGTATTCAGTAACGTTCACGACTGAAATCCCCTGAGCACCGTGTCCTTCAAACTATTACCCCTCGCATGTGTTCTTTTCTAAACCCCGCATGCGTGGGGGCCCGGAACTTCCCGGCACCGCGGTCCCTTACCACAGCTACCAGGTACTGCGCCCGCACCGCTACCCCGGGCTTACACCCTCGCATCCCGCTCGCTGTGCTCGCAGATGGAAGGGGGCAGCAGCTGCGCGACGTGCGGACGCAGGTGCCCCTTGCTTGTAGTCTGCCCGTATCCTTCTCGCACCCTCCACCTCTCTACCCCCGCACGCTCCCGGTTCCCAACACCCTCTTCTGCATTGTTCGCAGGGTGCCTAGCTGCTAGCTGCTTTGAGAGTGAGCAGATACGGGTGGTCGCACACATAAGGGAGACAGGAGACGATTGGAGGTTTAACACGTCGTATTTGGGTTGCTTGAAGCTAGTGTGGTTGGGGTATGCACGGAGAGACGGGAGGAGCAGCTTCCTGAACCCTGTAAAGTACGGTTTATAAGATGTATGCAAACAATGTGGACCGGTGGTTTGGTGGCTCGATCCCTCTTCTTCAGGGAAATCGCTGCGATTCCCTTGTGCAAGGCCCATGTGAACGGAAGGTTACCACCTAAACAACTTCCTCATTTGTCTTAATTTCCCATTATCAACGGATACAACATTAGAACCTACGTTATTGTAAGGGAGGAAAGCCAATATAAGAACTCACATCCTCCGAGCCCAGCACCATGGTTGACGTAGCCGCGGTTGACGAAACGTTTAAACGTTTGCAAAGTCACAAGGGTGTGCTAGGTATAATAGTTATTAACGCAGACGGTATTGCTATCCGCACGACCTTTGACAATGACCTGACCGTCCAGTACGCGGCACTCGTTTCCCACTTCACCGTCAAGGCGCGATCGGCTGTGAAGAAGCTGGACGGCGATAACGACCTGAAGTTCCTGCGGATACGCTCCAAGAAGCATGAGATTATGATAGCGCCGGAGTTCGAGAAGTCGCACGAGTACTATTTAGTAGTGGTGCAGGATCCATCGAGAGACTCTTGAGGCGTGGCCGGTGAGGATGGGCGGTGAACGCTATGTACATATACGGCTGAGTTTTAGAGTGGTAGTGCCTCTCATGGCTTTCCTCCTTAGGGCGGGCCGTTTCCGTGCTGCGCAGCAGGTGACATGCCTTGCTGATGGGGTCAGAGGGCGCGAGGGAGGGTAATCCTTTGTACCTCAAGGGTTGTACCTCAAGGAAGCATGCGGAGGGGTTGCAATGGTGGAGGGTGCTCATGGGCATGGGAGCGAAGGGTTTGGTCGTTTCCATGCACAGTAGCCGACGTGTTGTATTAAGGAGGTACCAGGCTCTCGCGTGCTAACTGAAGCAGGCGACTAGAAAACAATGCTGTATGCTGGGGATTGGGCAGGGGCTTAGGGATGCCCCTGCCTTGTCCTGAACAAATGACCTAACCAAGCGAATGAGGGTCGGTGGCGTCTAAGATCGCAGGGCAGTAGCTATGCGTACGTGTCTCTATGGCAAGACCAAAGTAGGTGTTGGGGGCCCTGCTGGGCAGTTGCCGTGGCTTTGACCATGGCAGTCCCCTGTATTTTAGGTTGCAGAGGCAGCTGGCAGAAGGGGAGAAAGCTACGCTCCCTGAATGAATGACCGCTACAATGGTTTCCTAAAAGGGAACACGGGTGATGAACCCAACTCCCTGCAGTTGTAACACGGAACCACTCACAGTCACGGTTTACACGAGTGTACGGTGCTTCAAGTACGCACCAGGACAGCCCAAGTATGCTGGCCATATTATGCGGGAAAGCGTGCTGAGGCATCACATACTCACATTACACATGCGAGGGTGACTTGCAGGGGCATCCATGAGCAAGACGGCTCAAAACATGCGTCAGGTTTAGCCGCAGGGTGACACATGAGGTCTTCAGCCGTATGCATGACCAAGCTGTGCCTCGGCTTGAGTTTCTAAACCTCAGCATCCAGCCCGACAGGGAAGCCTTGACGCGTGTCCAGATTGCAATGCATCTGCCTGGACTATGACTATGGAGTTTCAGCAATGAATCCGCAACCTTGACAGCAGAGCCTGTGGAGCGTTACGGTTGGAAGTGTGCCAGGCCATTCGGGTACCGGTACGCATGCTGCAATGCAACTTTACGGACTGCAAAAAAGACAGATCTTCCTGGAAATGGCTTAGAGGAGGCTGCCCTTAGAAGGCCACGCTTCTTACAAAAGGCGTGGAGCGTGTACGCGATTGAAAGGCGGTTTCGTTGGAAGGTACGACGGGTCAGGGCCCGCTCGCTTGAGCAACCCATATTTCCTATCGGCGACTGGTATAGATAGAGGAGCTGAGCTTAGTATGCTACTCGCGCTTACCTTGGCTGAATTCCCTGCTCTTTCGTAATGTGACGCAGCGGTTAGCCATACTTCGCTCTTTGCTGGCCATCCCATCCTCGGCTCCTACCTGATAAGCTCTAACCCATACGCCTATTCTAACTAAAAATGCTCTCGGAAGAAGTTCTGGGCCACCTGGAGAATGGATGGTGTAGGCAAATCTTTGGCTAGCCAACCTGCGTCTGACCATGCGCGAACTATTTTGCACCTGTTTTGGGTTGTCTCGGCCCAAAATACCTGAGGAGTATCTTCGCCCTCAGGGCCTTTATTCGCTTGAGCGCGTCGACTTAAAGAAGCTCAGGCGCCTCATACGCAACCAACAGTTGGCACCGTGTCATCCAGGCGTGGAAGAGTCGGGTCCGGGACAAGACGTAAGGGCTTTGGGGCTGGTTTGCCGGCCCTGGGTTTCTTGCACAACCGACCATTATTCCTTACGTAGAGTCTTTACCCTCTGCCTCTCTACGCAGCTGGAGGAATGTCCAATTTGCTTTCTGTACTATCCGGTGTTGAACAGCTCTTTGTGTTGCCAAAAGCGCGTCTGCACGGAGTGCTTCTTACAGGTTGGTTCCTTGTTAGTTCTGCCGCAACACCTCTTAACCTAGCCGCACGTTTGTTTAATTTGTTCCATGGCTGTATGCGATTTCATCGGCGTGCGCAGGTGCAAACGAGCACGCCCCCACATCAGTTAAGCGTGTGCCCTTTCTGCAAGGTAACACGACCAACCGGCTACCTTGTCAAGGTAAGGGCGCTTTTGTGCTCTAGCGCACGCCTATGTGGCGAATTCACCTGGCGAGTTCACGAGTTCATGCGCCCGTGGTTCCCGTTTCTTACATCGTTGTGCTGAACAGCTCATCGGAGTCAGGACTGTGGAGGAAAGGGAGCAGGAGCGAGCAGAAGAACAGAAAGTCATTGAAGCGAGGATCCGCGAACGCGAGGTGCGGAGGGGGGGAATTGCTGGGTGGCGGCATGGCCCTGTTGGGGCATGTGTATTGTACAACCCATTTTGACTTTGGGGACCCCATGGCGACGACGTGCTGATGCCGACAGCTCGTTCCTTGCAAGGAGACTGCGTTGTGTTCGGCATGGCGCCTTACGTTGTCCCATGCCAACCTGGACGCTCTCAACCGCACCGTACATACCGCCTTCCGATGGCCTCCCCTGTTATGCCCTCACTTCCCATAGAACTGCACTGCACTGAATGCGGCCAACTTGGTTGTGCTGCCCGGCACTGCTTCATAGCGCAACAGCCCCGCAGGTGGCACGCCCCAGCACCTCCTTGCTCCTCGGCTTGTCTCTTGTTGCCTTACACCTTATCGTACAGCTCGTCAGTTTCTCCCCCTTTTCCCCTCTTTTCCACCCCTTTTCCCGCTACCGATCCACTTATCAGGAGGAAATCCGTCGCGATCAGGAGCGCGCCTTACAGCGTCAGCAACAGCAGCAACAACAGTCGGCTACTGCAGCCGCCGCAGCTGCAGCCGCCAACACACTCACTCGCACACCTCCCCGAACCGCCGCCTCAGGAGGCAACACTGCGCCCACCTCGGCCTCAGCATCCCCAGCCGCAGCCGCTGCTGCTGCTGCTGCTGGGTCCCCTACATCCGCAACCGCTGCAGCTACTGCCAGCGCTCGCCGGCGCCGCAGCAGCACGGACCCCGTTCCTGGTGCTGGCGGCGCAGACCCCCTTGGAATCTTGCTGCTACACCAGCAACAGCAGCAACAGCAACAGCACTACCATCAGCATGTAACCCACCATTCCAGCCATTACCGCTCACAGGGCGGACCCACAGCAACGTCAGCGGCGGCGGTGGCGATTGGCGGTACGGCATCCCCGTCAGCCGCTGCCGGCGCCGCCGCCGCCGGAGGTGCCGCCGGTCATGTAGGGGACCACCGGGGCGGTGGGATGTACACGGCGGCGCAGCGCCGCAGTACGACAGCCACTGCAGCAGCAGCGGCGGCAGCGGCCGGTGGCGGAGTGCATGCGGCTGGGGGCGAAGGCGACGGGGATGGAGGCGAGCAGCAGCATGAGCATGCGATGATGCGGCCAGGTGGTGGGGGCGGAGCTGGGGCCGGTCACTACCCCCACCGGCGGCGGCAGGTAGGGCTGGTGGAATAGGCGGGTACGTTTGGCAGGTGGTGGGTCTCTCACTGGCTGCGTGGCGTTGCGGGGGCTCAGCACGTGCCGGGGCTTCCTGGACTTCCAGGTTTGGTGTGGGGCGGCACCTGGGGGGCCCGGTGGCATGTCAGGGCACTCGAAGAAGGGCGCACGCCGTGTGGTGGAAGTGGGGTCGCCTACCACACAAGTCTCCCCGTTAATCAAGAGCTACTTGCCACACACCATTCACTTTCAGGAGGCCCCTGAAAGCATGCGTGTATACATGACACCGTAAACCGAAACCGACCTGTACTGGAGCTGCACTCTTTCGTTTACCTTGCGCCCCCCCCCGTATCCTGCCCCCATTGCTTTGCCCTAACCTGTGGTCTCCTATGGTTTGGTGCGGTCTTTGACCTCCCTCCCCGGTATCCTGCATGCCCGCCTCCTCGCGCCTCCCCCTCCCCTTCAGAGCGCCGGGAGCCGGAGGTACCGTCTGACGGACTACATACCTGCGGGGGTGGTGGACATCGCCCTGGGGCTGGACGACATTAACGACCTCATGGTACGACAGAAGGGGCAGTTGGGGGAACTGTCGGGAGTTACACAGGATATCGCTCCTTGCTGCGTATGGGTGGTGTTTTCGTGCCAAAGTTCGTGTAAGGTGTTGTGGCCTAACGAGCCCGGACTGCCCCTCCCAGACTAGAGCCTTTTATCATGTTGGGTGTCCTGTTTGAGAACCATGAAACCCCGCCCTTTCCCTTCCTTTTCTTTGACGTTTTAGTTGGAGCAAGCCATGTACGAATCCCTGGCCGCCGCAGCATCATCTCCACCTTCTACACCGCCGCCACCGCTGCTGGAGCAGCAGCAGCAGCCGCTATCACCTTCCCCACTTCCGCCAGCTGCGGCCACTGCTGCTGCGAGCGTCGTACATTCAACCGCATCAGCTGCTGCAGCCACTGCTGCTGTTAGGGCCGTTAGAGCTGCCAGGGCATCACCCGCTGTAAGGGCTGCTGCCGCTGCCGCTGCTGCTGCCGCTGCCGCCGCGGCTACTGCCGCCACAGATGATGGCGGCGATCGCCGTACAGATGGGGATGTAGAATATGAGGCGGCGCTGGCGGCGGCAGTAGCAGCCAGCCTTCAAAGCACCGGTGGCGCTAGCCCTGCGGGTGCTGCCAGGATTGCTAGTAGAGCTACTGCCGCCGCTACTGCTGCTTCAGCCGCTTCTGCTGCTTCAGCCGCATCAAGAGTGGGCGGCGGCAGTCCCTTGGGACCTTCGCGGCGCAGCGCTGTGGCTGTCAGGAGGCGCGAGTAAGTGTGTGTGGTGCGATTACCGGTATGACTTGGGAAGGGATGACTGTATAATGGGGGCCAGACAGGGTGGGTTGCGGCAAAGGATTGCTGTGCTCAGCACCAGCTGCTCATGTCCGTTTGCCGCTCTCACCACTCTGCTGCTCCCCTTCCGATTATGCTGCGGTCCTGCCTTGCTCACGCAGGCCGCCTGCTGCCGCGAGCGCTCAGGCCACGACGATAGCGACCAGGCCAGCATCCGCATCCGCATCAGCATCACGCACGACAGCAGCAGCGCCCGCAGCATCGCCCACAACAACAGCTGCGGAAGCCGTGTCTGGGCTGCCTGTGACGAACCCACCAGGAGGAGGAAACAGCGGCAGCGCTCCGACCACAGCAATCACAACGTTGACAGCCGCACCGGCAGCAGCGGCACCATCATCATCGTCACCAGCAGCAGCGGCAAGAACCGCAATAGCGAGTGGCGCAGCTGCTGCCGCCACGGCTGCCGCTTCAGAAGATGCGCCCATGCAGCCTCGGCCGCTACAAGTGCCGCGGCCAACACCACCGTCGTCGCCGCCTTCGCAGGCCCTGACGGCGGAGGACTCCCCTTCCCGGGCTGCTGCCACTGCTGCCGCAGTCGTACAACCGGCGGTGTCTGCGGCCTCCGCGGCGGCGGCATCAGCAGCCGCTGGAGGGTCACGCGGGAGCTTGAGCACAGTGGGGAAGGCGGCTGCGTATGGCGATGATGATGATGAGGAGGGGTCACGTCTGTTTAGCAGGCGAGCAGGGACGGGACCACTTGCGACGGCGCCGCACCACTCACTAGCGTCATCGTCATCCCCGGTCGCAGTGCCGCCTTGCGCCCCCGCCGCCGCCGTTGGCGATAATGACGACGGCGGAAGTGGAGCTGCCGTTGGTCCTGACGCTGGCCGGCTATCGGAGGCCCCCGATGGCCAGCTGTCGCCTTGCATGGTGAGCCCAGTCGCCGCCACTGCCACCGCCTCCAACGGATTGGAAGGCGCGGGCGAGGCGGCGCCAGTGACGGGTGTAGCGACGTCGGGAGCGCACACGCCGCGGGAGCAGCAGGAATGGGAGCCTGCCGTACGTTTGTCGGCGTCGGCGGCTCCGAAGTCTTCATTTGCGATGATGGCGGGCGCTGGAGCGACGGTTGCGGCGTTGGCTGAGTTCGTTGTGGAAGCCGTTAACGGCGCCGGCGACGGAAGCGATGGCGGCGGCGGTGGCACCGGCGGTGCTGCCGCCGCGACGACGGCTGCGACCAGCTCCCGTAGCGCCTTCACTCCCGGGTCGCTTTCGCCGGTGCCCTCCGGCGGGGGCGCCGTCGCCGCCGGCGGCGCTTCGGAGCTGCTGTCGTGCGGTACCACCACGTCAGCTCATGCATGTGAGCAGCACATGACTAATCCGTTGTACGACGTCTGGTCAAACAGCAGTAGTACGACAGTGAAGCGATCTAGCGTTGAAATGCAAGGCCACGCTGTAGCAGCAGCTGCCGCCGCCGCCCTTGCTGCTCGCGGCAGTGGCGGTGGCGGTAGCAGCGGGGGGATAACTGGCGCTAGCGGCTGTGAGTGTGATGATGCTGACGGCGACGCGGGTACGGAAAGACATACTACTGTGACCTCGGAGCCTTGTCGTACAGTCGACGAAGGGGCTGTTGCGGCGGAGGCCAGTCATGATCTCGGGAAGCCCACCGCCCGCCCTTCGGGACCCAACTGGCGCATGCCGCTCCGGCCGGCGCCGCCGCCGCCGGTCCTGCAAATCCCCTCCGTCAGCAGCGCCGCTGCGACGCCGGCGTCGACGTCATTCACGGCGTCGGCGTCACATCCGGCTTCCTTGATGTGCTCTCCAGGCGGCCCGTTTGGCAGTGTGGTAGCGACACCGAGCCCTCGCCTGGGACTTCCACCCCTGCCGGCGTTTGCCCTACAGTCGCTGCCGCCGGTGCCCGCGTCATCCGAGGCCCCGGCTTCCGCCGCTAGTACGGCGATGTTGCAGCCAGCAGCAACGGCGGCAGCGCCCGCTGCCCAAGACAACGAGTTCGCAGTGACACCAACTGACGGCGCCGCGACGGCGGCAGCTGCCGCAGCGGCGCCGCCACCCACAGCCGCCGGAGGTGCGACGACGACCGTTACGATTAGGTCGTTGGCAGCCGAGTTGTTACGCCACAACAGCGGCTCAAGTGCGGCAGGCCGGCTTGCGACCCACGGGTCTTCTTCGTCGTCGGCTTCTTTGGGCGGTGGCAATGGCGGACAAAGATCCTCGTCAAGCGAGGCGGCAGTGTCTACTGAGCAAATTGTTGTTGTCGCCATGGTTTTCCAGGCTCCGGAGCGACCCATGGGTCCTGCGCTTGTGGAGAATCCTGATGGCAGCCTTCAAGTGCTGCTAGTGCCGCAACAGCCACCGACGTCAACCGTTACCGTTGGCGCTGTCGCTACGACGGCGAGTGTCGTTGCCGCTGCAACGGCCGTATCCGTAGCAGGAACATCTGGGAGCTTGTCCTCTTCCGCCTTGGCTATCGATGACGCTGTGATGTCGAATCTGCCGTACTATGACTACAGTTTGGACGAGCAACCGCAACTACAGCAGGCCTCGGTTGAGCCCGTAGCCGTACACATTTCTGAGGCAGCTCAGCAGCAACAGCACCCGTCGCTTAGCAGCCCGCCCGCATCATCCCAATCGTCGCTGCCGTGTAGTACAGCAACAGCAATGTACGACAGAAATCTTATACGGCATTGCAATAATTCCGACGCGGCATTGGTTGCAGCGCTGGCAGCGCACGATGCGGCCGTGGCAGCGGCGGTGGAGCGCGGGGATGTGGAGTTACGTCGTGTGTGCGGCGGCGGTGGCGGCGGTGGCGGTGGTGGCGGCTGCGCTTAAGGTGGCTGGGAGACGGTATCCTGAGGAATGCTTGGCATGGAAGTAGATGGTAGATGGTTCGCGTGTTGCAGGGCAGTTGTTTTGAGGTGCAGGATGGTTTGCGAAGGGAGTGCAGGTAGTGCGGCTTGCTGGCATCCTCGTGGGACGATCTCTGGTTCTGGTTGTGAGGGTGGTGAGGGTGGTGCGGGTGGTGCGGGTAGTGAGGGTGGCCACACCGGCAGCAGCGGCAGCGTGGGAGCACCCCGCAGTATACGGGTACGCATGGTGGGATGTTGGCAGGGTGGAGCAGTTGGTGGCTGTGTCAGAGGCTTTGGCGTGCGTGGTTTCGTAAATATCGTGGACGATTTCAAACCGGGTTGGGTTTTGGGACCTTTGACAGCCCAGAGCGGTGCTGGCAACACACCCCTAATCTGCTCCCGCTCATAGCCGCGACCCTCGCTTTGCGGTCCATACATACATTTACATGCGCGCTCTTCTCCCCTGAAGAGACTCTGATCAGCTGTGCGAGCTTACCAGTCTCGCCGCGTGTCCCAATCCCTCTCCTTGCGTCTTGTCCTTGCTGCAGTCGGCGGTTGGTTCCCTGTTCTCCCGTCGTGCAGGTTCTGGTGGTGGTTGTGGCCTTTGCTTGGTGGGCCCGTGTTTGTGGGTTGTGCGTTTTGGTGGGTCCTTGCGGAAACGCACGACCTATACCTTGTTTGGCGTGTCGTTGCGCGCCGCCATGCCGTGTCGCGTTATCAGGTACGAGGGGCGGAAGGAGGCAGGAAGGAGAAGGAGGGAGGAAAGCTGCTGTGGCGTTTTGGAATGAGGCGCCGCTCACTGTATGAGCAGTGGAATAAGACCTGTGGTTTCAAGTGTCTTTACATGTTCGCATTGACAAGTTCTTAACAGAACTTGGTTAACAGTCGGCAGCCGAGGCTTGGCGGCATCAAACGGGGTACTCTGACAGGGGCGCTTTATCGACGCCTCCCATCCCGCCTTCTTATGTGTGTGAGGAAGTCCGGGACCGACAACAACTCTTGAGCATTATGAGTTTTTCCCGGCCGGATGGTGTTAACTTGGGTTACCTATGACTTGCTGTTGTTCCTTCCCTGGAAAGCCGCAAACAAGCGGTTCTTTTCCGGTAGGGTCCTGAAGCCATACGAGGGATACAACCCTGGAAAGACGCGGAACCCTGAAGCAGAAGGTCGTTTCTTGGCTCGGTGGGTGCCTAGGTTGTATGTTGGGTGTCGTGAGTGTCAACAGCTAGTGCGTCATCCTTTGGTTGGGAGGCGGGTCTTTCCGTCCGGCATGAGAGGCAACTCTTCTCGGAGGCTTGGTGGTGTTTTGCCTTCGCTGTTTGTTCCGCCTGGAGTGTTTGTATGCGCAACAATACGGAAAGCAATGCAAACGAAACCGTTTGCTGTAGTGCTTGCTGTTGGGCAGGGGGTCCTGCGAGGTTCTCTGACACGATGCTGCGGGTTTCCCCGTGCACCGGGGGCTCGTGCGTGCGGGTTCGAACATGGCGGAGTAGGGCGCATGGAGGTGGGGGGGGGGGGAGAGTGGTGCGGTGCAGTGTCAAGTGCTGGGGCGGAACTTGCCCAGCGTCTCGAGCAGCTTGAGGGACGGCTGGTTATTTTTCGGGCAGCAAAACTATGCGCGGATTAGGGGCAGCTGATGAAGAGTATTGGGGGACATGGTGGGGGATTGAGTTGGGGGGGGGGGGGGGTAAGATGACAGACACATTTAATAAATGTGTACCGGTAATACGCAGTACAAATTGTACGACATTTGGATGTATCAGACATGCAGTAGCGGTATGAACCGGCGCTTTTCATCCGTGTGTCTTTCCATAAAGCCGATGGGCTACTAGTTGCATGGTTATGTCCCATCATTCTTTATGGGTCTTGTTGGAGAGGTGTTTGCATAGCCGAGGCCCCAGCCTTAAGCAGGATTTGCGTTTCATATGTACAGTGTGTTTTGATGCTACTGTTGCTGCTGGCTTAGGGAGGCGACTGCCACTTTCGTGCGCTAGCGCTGTGTCCGTTAGCAGAAGCTGTGGGAACAGGACTGCGAATACTTTTGCTGCAGCGGACTTAATCGCTGTGATCTCCAGTCTCCACTTTGTTACATAGCCTCTTAGCTCCTTTGGTGAGGTATAAGTAGCAGAAAGCCCGTAGGAGATAGCTGTGCAACTCGTCGTTGTTGTTGTATTATATGGAAGAGGGTACGTAACCGCGGTTGTAGCTGGTTGTAGCGGGTATGTCTACTATGGCCTTGTAATTGCATACCGGTAAGTAGTGGACCTCATCGGGTGCAAAATTTTCCTACAGGGACAATTGACGCTTTACACAATAATGCGCAGTGGCTCCGCAAGCACAGCGCATTATCATGAGCATGCACCATCAGAAAGCACATCAATTAGTTACAGAAGGACATGTTGTCGTCAGGTCAAGCCGTGAATGGGGCCCACTCTCTCACCCACATATAGAAAGCCAAGGTATGGTAACAAATGATGAAGAGGCTTGGCGTGCGGCTCTCGGTCACTATACAAAGTTGCAACCGCCCAGCATATATGCAAGAGTACGAGGATTCCAATCAGCAATTCTTCAGTTATCCACATGCCCACGCTTTTCATCTTCTGCTATCCCCCAATCCCTTGGCTCTACCACCCCTCACATAAAACAACTCTCGGAACCATCTCCCATAATAGCGGCTCCCCGTCATCGGCCCGCCTTCCACAACACACCCTCCTTGCACCGCCCTCACGCAAAGAAGCAACAAACTGTGCTTCGTAGAAACATTTTAGTCCTAGCAAAAAAGCAAAAACACGACCCAACAAAAAGGAAGCGGCGAAAGGAAGGCCCTTGCACACTGCATCACCGTAACGTCGGTCATGCATCGCCTACGTATTTATCACTATCTATACCAATGAAACCATTAACCGCCTCCTCCAGCCACATCAGCATCCTAGCCACCTCACACAGGCGCATACCACAGAGCACCGCATCAGCAGCGTCCTGAGCGCCGCAAACCCGACACGTACTCCGACTCCAAATCCGCCACATCTCCTCTATATCCACCTCCACTGTCTTCCTAGTTTTTACCCTCTTAGAAGACCTAGACGCGGACCGTCCCGTCTAAAATCGGCCGTGGACGCGCCCCGACCCTGCGCACGTAACTGCAAGACTGCGTCATTAGGCGACCTTGCTTAGCAGCGCATAGCAGAAGCATAAGCGCATCCACCATGGAAGAAACCCTCTTAACGTGATGCCCCTGCCCTTCACGTCCGAGATCAGAACCGGGCACCACCATGACCACCTACACTTTATAGTTTACGGCCTTACCACCGCTGCGCATAGGCCTAGGAACGCAAGGATCTTCTCCGATCTAATTTCGGAGAAATTTAAATCTTCCCGAGTCCGAGTCCTGGGATCCCTCCACTATCATGTACCGGTCCCAGCACGTTTTCGAGGTCGGTAAAACTGATGCAGGAGTAAATAGTTCCCGCATTAACCCCGTTAAAATTCCCTCTCCTAACCCCCAAACACCAAATCGAAGATCCCGAGGTCACATGTATGTAGTCGTCGTTGTGGTTAGCGACTTGACGCTAGTACACGATGACAAAGGAAGAAGAACACGCCACACACGCATTAGTCAGATGCCATTGCAGCAGACCTATGCCAAACCTCCCCGTACCACCCCTTGCCTTTACCGCTTTGCCTCCTGCCACCTCCCCCGCACACTTCGAAAGTCTACTCCTTAGAACGCAGGAGTTAACCTGACTCCAATAATGGACAGATCCCAAACCAAAATTGTCTAAACAATAGCGTCGTGCAACCCTTACAGTGGCATACCACCGCTCATAGCCTCCAGGGGCCCTCACGTCACCCAATCCTCCTCTCAAATCAGCCCCTCCCTTACTCGTCCTTGGGACCCTCCGCGGCCATGCGACGGAGCATCTTGGAGGCGTGCGGTCCCGTGTCCTCAACCTAGGAAGCGCGAGGAACCGGGGGAGGGACGGTTGTAAAAGATGATAACACACAGCATAGCACCAAGCTTACGTGACGGAGGAAGAGGAAGTCGGGAGCACGATCGGGTTGTTAGGAAGAGTTCTACAGACTCCCCGTGCCCAACCACCTCACCACACTCCTCTCCCTGCACCCCCTTACCATCCTTATGCGCCCCCACGCCCCTCCCTCCCGCTTACCAGCTTTGTAAAGAACGAGGCGGGGTTCTGCAGCAGGCTGGTGGGCGTGTCAAACTCCTTGAGCTGCCCCGACGCCATGGCCAGGATGCGGTCGGAGAAGATGATGGTGTCCAGGCGGTGCGCTATGGTGACGGTGGTGCGGTCCGCAAAGGCCTTGCGGATGGTCTTCTGGATCAGCGCGTCGGTCTGCGCGAGGGGGGGAAGAGTGGGAGGGGAGGGAGTGGGGCAGGCGTCAGGGTTGAGGGGACATACGCACCGTTACCAGCAGTGTGTGCTCTTCATTCAACCACTCTGTCAGTAACTCAGTAGCTCAATAGCTTCAATACCCTCAGGAGCGAAATGGATAAGCCTTGATCCCGCAGTGTTTTACTCCCGCCCGTCCCCACCCCCCCATCACCACCCGCACCCCACCTGCAGGTCCATGGCCGCAGTGGCCTCGTCCAGCACCAGGATGCGGGTGCGCTTGAGCACACAGCGCGCCATGCACACCAGCTGCTTCTGGCCCAGCGAGAAGTTCGAGCCGCCCTCCGCCACCGGGGAGTCCAGGCCGCCCAGGTCCGACACAGCCTCCTTCAGGTGCACCTGGGGGGAGTAGGGGTAAGAGGGGTAAGAGGGGGGCAGGGGAAAAGGAGTTGTTAACGAGGGTGGCGGCTAACAAGACGGGGATGGGAAAGAGGGCATAGGGAGGGTGTTGGTTGGTTGGTGGGGGAATGTAGGCATAAACAAAGGTTTGGATTCGAGCCGCTCAGGACTCACTTCATCACATCCGTCACCTCACCCAAGCACCCGTTACCTCACTTCCTTCTCCCAAACCCCCACAGACGCGCAAAACCTTTCCCTCCCCCCTCCTATTCCCCTCCTCTCACCAGCTCCAGCGCCCGCCACAGCTCGCTGTCGGGCAGCTCGCCAAAGGGGTCCAGGTTGGAGCGCACGCTGCCCTTGAACATCACTGGCTCCTGCGGGATGATGGCGATGCCGGCGCGGACCTGGCAACAGCGGAAAGGGAAAGATGTGGGGGTTTATAAAGAAAGGTTAGCGTGGCTTATAGCTTGGAAAACTGTGACCGCCGTACAAAGTGTCAGTGGGCATGCACGTATTGTGCGCTAACAAAACTGGCCGCGTCGGAGCGATCCGGTACTGTGCAATGCACATGCATGCACGCGCGTGTCGTCCGTGTCCGTTATGTGTCCTCCTTATCTTTACCTTTTGCAGCTTGATGGTAGCGAGGTTGATGCCGTCAATCACGATGCGGCCGTACGCGAGCTCGAACATGCGGAACAGCGCCATCAGCAGCGTGGTCTTGCCGCTGCCCGTGCGACCCACCACACCGACCTGGACAGCAGACAGGGGCGCCGGGGGAACGAAGATGGGGAATTGTTGAGTGGAGGGGTTGTGGTTTGTGCGGTTCGTTACCGGTGGCCCGACAAAGACTCCATCATCTCCCAACACAGTGTAACCTAATGGTCCTTCTTGGCCCTAAACGCGGTCAGTACCCAAACCACACAAGTTGGCATCATCCGCGCACGCGCCCACACCTTCTCTCCATCCTTGATGTGGAAGCTCACGTACTTGAGCGCCAGAGGGGCGCCAGGGTAGTAGCGCAGGCACACCTTCTCGAATCTGGGCAGAAGTGGTAAAAAGGTGCGAGAGGTAAAGGATGGATGGATGGATGGTCCAAACCTCCCTCAACACTTCGCGTCTGCAACCCCTGCCACCCCTTCTCCACTCATACGGTCACACCTGATGTCACCCTTGGCGGGCCAGTCCTTGGGCGGCTCGCCGTCCGGATCGGCAACCTGAATGTACGGCAGCATGATGAGGAGTAGTGATGATTGAACTACGATAAATATGATGAGAGTAGACGCGGGTTATCTCATTCTACCCTCATCTCCCTTCTCGCCCCCCGGCCCCTCTCACCCGCGCCCAACCCTTTCTTCCCTAGCTTGGCTAACTTCGGTCTGGCTAGGCGGATTCGGCAGGTTGGTTTGCCCCTAGCCTAACGAGTGGGTAACCACCCCTCTCTCACCCGCTCCAGTCCGTCCACCTTGATCTCGACCAGGGAGCGCTCAGCCACCGCCGGGGGGTGGTGGTTGTTACCGTTGGCGCTGCTGCCGTTCATGGCGCTGATGTTGTTGGTGCTGGCGCCGGGGAGCGTCTGGGGAGCAATGTCGGTCTCCTGCATGCCACAAGGTCACAAAGGGTTCGTGGAGGGTAAGAGAGAAAGAGAGGATGAGTGCGACGCCGATACAACTCGTTTACCATCACTACACTTTCCCGGTCGCACCCAGGTTGCTCCGTAATTAACAACGTCATATGTAACTCCACTACTCTCTGACCCATGGGTCACCCTGCCCTGACCCTGACCCAATCCGCCTTAGCCCGCACAGCCCTCCGGCCCCACCTGCGGAACGTTGGTGACAAAGGTGGCCACTCGCTCCACCGCGTCCCACATGGACACCGTGTCAGCGGCGCCGCGGACCACCCACGTGAAGAACACAAGCACCTGGGAGCGAGCATGGAGGGAGTGCGGGAGGGACAAGGGTGAAGTTAGAGAGGAAACCGGATTGAGTTGGGTTTCGTAAGAAGCTGAACCATGACGCAGCACAGCAAATGAACAAGGCGTAGCGGTAAACAGCACTAGACAAACTCTCCTAGGCACCACCATACCTGGATGGTGTTGGAGATAGCCAGGCCCACCGCCGCCGGTCCGACCTTCTCCTTGTAAGCCACACTCAGCAGACACGTGGCGACCACCATGATAGCGCCGTACAGGTCGCACCTGTACGGCATGGAGGGGGAATGGGAGGTCGAGGTTGGCGGGTGGAAAAAAATGCCATAGTTCGCAGTGCCGAAGGTCCGACCCAGGGACCGCCGAATCCTCCCGAAACGTGGATTAGGTGATGCGATGGCATATACGAACGATACAAGGGAGAGGTGCTTAGGCAAAGGCACTTCTATGGGCCCATTCAAAGACAACACCCAACAGCTCAGACTCTCCGCCGTTCGCAATCCCCAACCCACCAGAAGGCCAGCCACAGGTGGCACTGCTCGGTGTTGAAGAGGGCCAGGTGGTGCACGTTGATGCGCCGGATGTTCTCCTGAAGAGGGGTGGAGGGACGAGAAGGGAAAAGAAAGGATACGGGTTTTCAGGGCGGCGCAAGAGTTGGCTAAGGACTAAGTACGAGTACCGGTATCACTGGGCAACCCCCATAGCCCCAAAGCCAAACCCCAGGCTGACCCACGGGTCTCCCCACCACTGTCCTAACAGCCATCACCTCACCAACCCACCTGCAGGAAGTAGTTCTCCGCATCAAAGGCCTTGATGACCTCCATGCCGTGCAGGCTCTCGTCCACGTGCACAAACACCATGGAGGCAGTGTCACCCGCCCAGCGCTGCGGGAGGAGGGCGGTGCGAGAAGAGGGGAAGGAGGGAGGGAAGCAGAGGGGGGAGGGAAGCGGAGGAGATCAACCTCGTTCATGGGTTGCGTTGCAGTGTGGAAGGGGCACATGGACGTTTTGCACACCCTCCATGATGGTACCGGTGCCCTGAATCCCCACTTCCCTCCCTGGAAACACTGGAAAGATAAGAACTCCGATTCTCCTTCCTTCCTTTCCCTGCCCACCTTGAGGATGGTCGCAGCGGGCAGGTACAGCTGCTGCATCATGAAGAAGGCGAGGAAGAGCGCCCCGGTGAGGGCCGCGTAGACGTGCAGCGAGGCGGTCACGATGCCCAGCGAGGTGAGCAGGATCATCAGGTAGATGAGCGACATGTGAAGGGTGTCTGGGAGGGGAGGGCGGAGAGGGGGTGTGACAGAGGGGAAGAAACATGGTAAGATTGTTGCGGTTTACCCTATACCGAGTTGCCGTTCACATTACCAGTTGACTCTTAACACATTCCCCCCGCCGCACTGGCTCACCCGGAAGCGTCTCGTCCAGGGTGTCCTGGTCCTTGGCAAAGGCGTTCAGGATGTCCCCCACAGGCGTGCGCAGGAAGAACAGCAGCGGCGCACGCAGCACGCGGTAAAAGAGCTTGTTGTGCAGGTTGGTGGAGCCGCGCAGGTGCCAGTAGGAGAAGCCGGCGTCGCGGGACAACAGGCAGACCATGAAGAACATCACAAAGCCAAAGTAACCCAGAATGTAGACCTGAGGATGGGGATGCGACATGGAAGAGGGGGAGATGGTGAGAGACAAGGAGGCTACGTAGCGCGCTTCTGCTCAACACGCTCGAACCCAACCCCCAGCATGCACCGGAACCCCCCCTGGCCCCCTCCACTGTTGCTTGAAGTACCTGGCTGGCCTTGTCCATGCTGTCAAACTTGGGGTGGGGGTTGATCTGGTTCTTGTACGAGTGCGAGGGGTAGAACTTGAAGCGGTCGGGCTCTGCCCACCAGCGGATCCAGGTGTCGGACAGAATGCGCACCTGCGCGCGATGCAGTAAGGGAAGCATAAACGGCTGTTAGCATTGACGGCCACGGCAGAAGGAGACCGCCTGCACCAGCTCGGCACCCTGCACCTGCCGCGTACACTTCACACAACACACATCCCTTACAGCATCATCAACCAGCGACCCACGGGTCAGACGGCCTTCCTCCCATCTCGCCCCGCCTTCCTCACCGTCTGCGTCAGCATGAAGATCATGATGGACAGCACAAACAACAGCACGCCGCCCGACTTCACGTACACGCCAAAGCTCGCCATGGCGCTCAGGCGGCGCGGCACTCCGTTGAACAGCGCCGCAATCTCCTCCGGCGTCTCCTCCAGGTTGGGGTTGGCGTCCTCGCTGACGCGACCCAGGCCGCGCGAGCCGCTGCGGCGCGTGTCCTGGGAGCGCGCGGCCTCCACCTCGGCCTCCTCCTTGGCGGCCTCCTGGAGGGGTGGGATGATGGGGAGGGGGAGGGAGGCCGGAGTTGATAAGGGTTAGCAGCTGCAGATGGATGTGGGTTTGACGGTACAGAGTGGTGTAACCCCTATATGAATTGGGTACCGGCCACGCCGGTACCGCTGGTCCTTTCCTAGGACTAATACTTCGCAATTCCGCTACCGATTCCTACAACCTTTTAACTACCGCATTCCGCTGCCGATTTCTACACTTTGTTTGCCCCTTCTTCCTCCACCCACCTCCCGCGCCAGCTTGTCCATGCTCTCCTGCACCGAGTCGCTGGGGCGGATGCCGGCCTTGCTGGAGCGCTGGAAGGACTTGCGCCCCTCGTTCTCCTTGTGTTTCCAGCCCTCAGTCAGGCCTGCGGCAGCGTTGGAGCCGCCGGCAGCAGGGGCAGCGGCGCCGTCCTTCTTCTCACTCTCAGCGGGCTTCTGTGGGGGTGAGGAGGAGGGAGGGGAAGGGGGTGAGAAGGAGAAGTTGATATGGAAAGGGAGGTGGACGGGGTAATATGGATGGATGTATCTGCTTGACATCTGTTCGACACTACCGGTATGGTCAGTACAGTTACGTAGCTCCGTTGACCAGACCGTGCACAACCATACACACACGTTTCCCCGCACTTCACCCCACCTGCACGCCGCTCTCCCCCGCCTCCACCGTCGCGAACAGCAGGTGGTCCACGGGCAGGTGGTGGTTGAGCGCCTCCGGGTCGTACGGGCCGAAGTACAGCGAGCGGCCGCTGTCCGTGATGCAAATGTTGGTTACCTAGGGGCGGGGATGGGAAAAGAAGAGGGGGCGAGGGGGTTGATGCGTCTTTGGAGAAAATTCGTATCGCATGGGGTAACCGTTCATATGAGCGCCTTTACCCTACCCAATGCAATTTTTCTCGGCGTTCCTCGCATCCCCAGCAGCAACTTCTTCACTAGCCAGCAACCCAACTGCAACCCATATGACCCCGTCCACCTCCCTTTCCATATCATCAAAACAGCATCCCTCCACCTGAACAGATACACCTCTATTTCATGCCTACCAACCAGCACCCTACCAGGCCTCCCCCTCCCCTCACCTCCGGCAGCAGCTCCAGCTGGTGGGTGATCCAGATGACGGCCTTGTCGCGGAAGATGCCCTTGATGCACTTGTCAAAGATGTGGCGCGCGGTGTGCTGGTCCACGGCACTGGAATGAGGGGGACAGGGGGGGGAGAAGGGAAAAGTGAAGCAGTTGGGAGTCTCAATGCCATATCCGACAATTAATGCGGTGAGCGCATAAGGATGTGCAGCGGGGTACATCGGGGTTTGCGATGTTTGGCAACAGATCAAGAGTAGGGGGACGTTTAATGCGCATGTGCACAAGACATGCAGCTTTCACCTCAGCAGTCCCCAGTCATGGCCGCATATGCGCATTAAACGTCCCATTTTCCTCTTCCTACCCCTTCTCCCGAACACTTCCTTCTCCCGCCCACCTCTCTTTCTCTCCCCTCACCTCAGCGGGTTATCCAGCAGGATGAGGTCGCAGTCGTGGTAGGCCGCACGCGCCAGACAGACGCGCTGCCGCTGCCCGCCGCTCAGGTTGATGCCGCGCTCGCCCGCCATGGTCTGGTCGCCCTTGGGCAGGATCTGCAGGTCCAGCTCCAGGGCGCAGGCGTGGATGACCTGGGGGGAGAGGGGAGAGGGGGAAAGAGGGGGACCAGGAGGGAGGGATAAGAGGGCAGGATGGTGTGATAGCCGTTGGGCGTTTTTTGCTCAAACGCGCATACGTGGAAAGGGGAGGAGAGTGTGGTAGGCTGGAATGGGAAAGGGTCCGCAATAGTATCAGATTCCATATCCTAAAGCAACCCTGTTCCTCACCTGCTTGTACTTCTCCTCATCGTACGGCAGTCCAAAGAGGATGTTGTCCTTCAGCGTGAGGTTCTGCACCCAGGGGGTCTGTGGCACATAGGCCATGGAGCCGCCCACGTGCAGGCCGCCCGAGTCGAGGGACATGTGGTTGAGCACCGCCTGGAAGATGGAAGACTTGCCTGGGGTTGGGGGAGGATGGGGATGAGCGTTTTTTACGGTATTAGGCGTGTGGCATGGAAACATGCCCTTCCATTCCTTGTTCTTGTGGAACACGCCCCTCCCCTTCCTCCCACTGTCCTTCCTCCTGCGCAGTACCGCTGCCCGCCGTTGCCCTTCCCTCCTCCCTCTACCCACAGTACCCCAACCCATTCCCCACCCACCGCTGCCCACGCGCCCAACCACCGCCACCACCTCGCCGCTCTTCACCTCCAGGCGGGGAACCTGCAGCTTGAAGTCGTCCTTGCTGCCCGGGTATGACAGCACGGCGTTGTCCTGCAGGGTGTGTCGTGTAGTGGATTAGCAAAAGTAGATAAGGCCAAGCGGCGTGGCAACAAAGCACCGCCGCGTGTAACAATAAGGAGGTGGCGTTAGGTAGCTCTAGCGAGTGATTGAGTGGGAGCCAGTCGACCTCGCATGTGCTTTTGCCAAGATACGTGAGCACACCTCCTGGCCTTCATGATCGTGCTGCCAGGCGTGTACAAAACGTGCAACTTTGAAGAGAAGGATTACCGAAGCCCCCAATCCAAGTGACCCATATAAACAAAACGTAGTGACTTGGCTATTCGGGCTGGACGGGGACGGACTAACTCAAATGTTGTAAACCATGATAAAGCCTATTCCCACGGCCAATTAGTTGTTTCCTCTTTACCCAAGTGACTCACAAAGCGCGCCTCCACGATCTTGCTCTTGGGCGGGTCGTCAAACTCGTCCAGCAGCAGATACTTCTCTAGCCGCTGCAGTGAGGCGACGGCCTCTACGTGTTGGGAGGAGGGGGGTGGAGGTTTGTAAGCGTGTTAGCATGAGGCTACAAAAACCCGACGTCCAAGTCTGGCCCAGATACTCATGAAAACCTGGCATCGGCACAAGCCGACAACAGATCAATCCTGTCATAAATATCTACGTCATGCGAGAGCATGTTTCATGAGTCATTATAGCTGTAACGACCAGTAAAAGTTTGTATGCTATCGCCATGCGTGCAACCACGAGACCCCTTCCACACAATGGGTCTGAATCGCACCGTGTGGTTCAGAGCCAGAAGAAGCCTCATGGGCTGCCCATCACCTCAATCCATGACCATGACAGGACCAACGCATGCTACCCCATGACCACCCCGACCCACCCGAGGCGCCGCGCAGGGCCTTGGGCAGCACCACCAGCGGGAAACGCAGCGTGTTAAACAGCGAGAGCACAGTAAAGGCAAAGGTAGAGTCGAAGGGACCCTTGTTAAAAACGTAGGTTGCGTAGATGACCAGCGCAATAAGAGGGGGTACGGCGAAGACGACGCAGAGGTTGATGGTCTTGATAACAGCGGTGCGCGACATGAGGCTGATTTCCTCCGAACGAACCTGTGTGTGGAGAGTTAGGAGGAAAGAAGGCGTCGGGTAAGAGATAAATGCAAGCGTTGCAATGGGCACGAGGGCATCATTAGGTTAACGACGAGGCCACGTTGTTGAGAGTATATAGCTAGGTTACGGAGGTTGCATACATAAGAAGTAATGAAATAAAGCAGTGGGTGAGGCGACTTACGTCGGAAACCTGCTTCGCGAAGGACTTCTCCCAAACGTAGAACTTGACGAGCTTGATGGCCAGAAGCACTTCGTGCATACGCTGCACACGCGCATCCGATACCTCCACGGTCTCAAGCTTGTAGCTTGCGATGCGATAGCCAAGGTAGTACTGAAGCGGCAGCACAAAAACGACGACACCCAAGGCGGGCAGGCCGTAGGTGCCATTAGTCAGATACAAGAGCAGCGCGATAATCGCCACGGCTTCCAGAGGAGCTGTCCAGACGTTCTGCAGGTGCATAACGCCCTCGTAGAGCTTCGCACAGTCAGTCGCCACCAGGGAAACGACGTTTTCCTCATGTACTGAGTGGATTCTGAAGGTTTTTCGGTAGACTGCAGCCATCAAGGCGGCCCGAATTTTAATGCCTGCGCGCACGCAAGCATCCCCCATGCGCTGCAGGGCAATCCCGACGAGAATTGAGTCCAGGAAGAAGGCACATGACAGAATCCAGCCGACGCCCTTATGCGGCATAGTTGACCGGTTGTATAAATTGCCCTGGCGGCTAATGGGTGTCACAAACTCCACCAAGGAGCGCACAAAGTAGAAGGCGCCAACCAGCACAAAGACGCTCCAGGTGATTTTCCATGCTGCGGCGACCGCGACCTCCACGCCGAAGGACCGGCGCAGAGCACGCAGAAGTGACGGCTTCTCCTTAGGGTCCGTGTTGCCACGCAGCTTCACCTCCTCGGCCCATGCTGCATCGAAGCGGCTTGTTGCATTTTCTGCTGCCTGGTCAGAAGGCATACGCAGCTCATCCTGCGTGATGGTGCCCTTGCGGCCCTTCGCCACCACCTTGTAGACCCAGGTCAAGAAGAGCCGTGAAACAAAGGTGTCATTACGAACATTCTCATCGGCCAGCCGGGCTTTTTCATACTTTGTCAAGGCTACCATTTTTGTATCTGGCACTCCTTATGCGGCGCCCTATTAAGCCCCCTGCCGCTGGGGCCTTGCAAACTAAGCTCGTCTAACAGAGAGCTCCGTGTTGAAAACAGTCGGAAGTTGAAAAGGGTTCTATGTCTATGGTGTGCGGGCCAGGCCACAAAGGCCAATAATAAGAAAGGGTCCACGAATTAACAACAAATTATCGAGTCCATTTTGCGTTTCAGTTTATACAACGCAGACCGCTATTTTTGAGCGCGCTCGTCTTCTGCCGTGCAAGGCATCCCGCATGGGAGGATTCGGAGCGGACGCAAGAGCAGAGCAGAGCAGAGCAGATAGCTTTCCTCCCAGAAATCGGTGCGGGTGATAATTAAAGTAGGAGGTTCTGCCCTGTGATAATATTTCTCACCGCGTGTGGCACCCGCTAGGCGAGGAAACTGCTGGAATATATCGGGTACGGTAACCTACTATCGCAGTCCTAGTCAGTCATGCATTTCTGCTCCGCGGTACCCTTTGTATGGAACATTACTACCTTTTCGCATTTTCAACGCATGAAGCCGTGAAATCAAACCAGCGTACTCCACACACTAAGCAACCCGTGGTTGAGTAAGGAATATGCTTTACTACTAAGCAATCTTGTTCACCATGTCCTGCAACATAATTTGAGTCCGTCCCTGACGGACACATATTTTGTACTTAGGCAGCCTCAGTCTCATGCACGCTCCTCAGTTACAGTACCGGGGTTTACTGGACCAACGCCCCATATGGCGGCGGTTGCTGAGTATGCCATAGGACTTAAGCCTGGATATGGTGCACTAGCCTGCCAGGTTGCGCCCCCGGTGGCTGTTGGGCTTACTAACAGCCATCAAGCTCAAGCAACGGTGCCATTAAGTCAAGGCGTACAGTGCATGCAGACGGCCCTTGCATATAGTGTGGAATAGCTCTCTTGAGATCTTAATGAGGCAAGATCGAGCAGCGTAATGTTGCACAAAGCAGAAGAACCCTAAGCAGGCCTTGGAAGCCTTTGAAACGCCCCGTGAGTACCGCTTTATTCGGGAATCACCCATGTATACAGGATACCCCACATTGCCAATGACGTCTTTTACCTTACGCAGCTTGCTGGGAGAGCGACCCAAGGGTCATTTGGTCAAGGGCAGATCTTACACAGGGCAAACATTTTACGACATTTTACGGGCATGAAGCCAATCCACGTGTTGTATAACTAGAGGAAGGGACGGCAAACAGTGACATGGCCCCTTCCTTGCCCCTATGTTGGCATACCTCTTTAAGGACCGGACAAGCTCCTAGCGTCCTGGTAATGGTGCGGCATAGTCCGTACCGTGTCTTCAATCCGTATCCGGAGGCCTCACGCGGCTATTTGCCTTCCCAGCTGTCAACACATGCCCTCCTGGATTACACTCGCATCAAGCCTCCACCCTGCCTTTTCAGATGTACACGCACATGCTGATGCGCCTGCTGGTTATAGCAACAGCCGATCACGCCCTAGTCATGCAAGAGCGGGCCACGCCTCCCTAGTAAGACCAGCATAGAGGCAGGTCTCGTCTAATCACCAAGCCTGTCGCAATTCGCAGGAGGCATACCGCATGCGACGTTCGGGGCGTTGCGGTTGAGAGGAATCCACCCTGAACTCTACAGGCAGGACACAGGGATACGGCAGGTCAGTATAAGTAAGCCGCATGGCAATACTGCTGCAGTTTATCCTCTTCCGCACCGGGGCCCCTGCTGCACAGGCATAGCTCTTGACGTCTTGAGGGTACTTGACAAGGCATCTTTCGAGTTCGGTATAATTACAATGTAGGCACCTGCTGTATGCTTCAATAAAGTATGCGCGGAATACATAGGAACAGCAGAACACAGCACACCATGCGTACGATGCCCCTTTCCGCACAATCATATATACAAGCGGGTGCATTGTACGACAGTACTACACGGCCGCCATTAGGGTAGCCAATCAAGTATAGCAACACCAGCAGTTCCCCATCAATTCTCTTAGGATCTCCTACCCACTCGGGTGTGGTCGCCTGCTGCCTGCCTGCATGCATGCATGCATGCACGCATGGGCTGCACGGTAAACACAGCTTCTTCTCCCAAAGAGGAACCTTTCCTTCCTTGCTTCCTTCCTTCCTTCCTTGCAAACGAGGTATAAATGGCCTCCAAACCGGGGACCGTCTCCACGCCTCTCTCTTCCTGCAATTTTGCCACCCGACGCAAACCGGACTGCAAATAAATGACACGCTCCACACAATCCACCCAAGCTCCCCAAACCCCAAACCGACCTCATCTATAAAACATTTTTGTGAGCAAGCCTGGAAGGCAGGCCTCCTTTACATAGTATAGTGTACTGAACAACCCGCGCGACCGGCATAGGCTCGAACGTCAACCTTCTCAGCACCCGTGCTTCGTCACACACATAAAAGACCAGTTGCTGAACACGCACCTCTTACGTTCCTCCTCGTGGCCCTCCTGACACATGCTCTCTGTCTACTACCTAAATCCCCCAACTTCTCATCCAGCCTCCAACCGGCCACCTCTTTCCCAAAATTGAGACCCGTGGGGCGCTGTGGGAGTTAAGTAGCCAAGCACTTTTCAATAAAGTACGACAACACCTGTTCGGCACTGCCTCTTCTCGCCCACATTCCTTCCACACCCAGACAGAGACAGAAGAGGATTTTCAGCATCGTCACCCCACCCCGCCCTTCCCTACAAAAGCGCCTCCTGCGCACATCCAAATCCATCTCGCCAGCCGCAGTTCAAGGACAGCACCAGACGCCTGCAGCGAGCCGGAAGACCCACTCGAAGGACCGTACGGCAAACCCCATGGAAGACGAAGGGGCTCCGACCAGACCCCCATGGAAGGCGAAGGGGCTCCGATCACCCACCCCCCTTCCACTGCACCACCACCGCCCCCCTCTTGACGCCTTATCCCTCAGTCAGTTAGTTGTTTCCTCTTTGCCCCCCTGTTGACGGCTGCTCACAGCGCGCGGACCGCGACGGGGTCCGAGGGGTAGACCATACCCACTGGCGGGTTGGACAGTAGCGACCTGCGGGGGGGGGGCGGGGACAGCGGGGATGAGCATGAGTAAACCGCGGGGAAAGAAAAACACCGTGCCAGGTGTATGCGCGCCGTGTCCGTTGACCAAGCAACGACCTTCGAGAGCAACAAGGGGAGATGGGAAGGGTAAAAGACGAAGACCCAATGTGCTGGCAAGACGAAGGGAGAGGAGAAGCACCTGAAGGAAACGCCTGCAGATACCGGCATAATGCATTGACAGCGGTTCAGGTTCACGCTCTCCGACCCTCCAACTCTTCGTGTACATGAGGTCATCATCTGCCCATGAATGCAAATTCACGTTAACGTGTGGCACCGAGTGCGGTGACCCACGGGTCGCTTCGGCCTTCCCCCTCCTCCTCCCGCCCACCTCAGTCCAGTCTCCAGCTTCTCCTTGTTTGAGCCGGTTTGCGTATACACGGGCTGCCCCTGACGCAGAGTGATGAAGCAGGGAGTGGAGCGAACCTGGAGGGGGGGGAGCGCAGAGGGCAGGAGTGCGGGGACAGGAGGAAAAGATCACCATGGAAAGGCTAACCAGAAGACTTCAACATGGTTGTAACATGGTTGCCGACTTTATCAGCCCGACCCAGATGAGGGAAGGAGGAGGGAAACATGTTGGAATTAAGGAGGGCGGCGGAGGGCGGTTAGGCAGTGTGCGCATTGGGCGTAAGAGGGGGAGGTAGGGGGCGGAAGGAATTGCGCACCGTTATTTGCACGGCGAGCAGGGAACATGGAACGCTTCAACTTCATCATATCACGACTCTATTTTCACACAACGCAAAAAATGTTACAGAGGAAGGGCGGCAAGACCAAAACCACGGGACTCCACTCAAGACAGCACTATCCGGTCCCCCGGCCCCCGCCCCCCGGCCTCCGTTGTTTCACTTATTTTATTTTTTGCCCCCCGGCCCCCGCCATCCCCCACCTGGAACCGCTCCTTGAACATCTTCTTGGTCTGCTTGTTGGCGTTGCCGAAGAGCTTCACGAACACGATATGGTCCTTGTAGTGCTCCGCCAGCTTCTGCGGGGGCCGGGGGGAGTGGGGGAAAGGGAGGGGTAAACAAAACACACACCTTGCCACGCGTGGCGTCGACAACCACCCCCTTCTCCTGAACCCTGATGCAACCCTTGGTGGAAGCTTGTCCAAGATTACTAAATTTCCTCCTCTTTACCCACTTGCAAAGGTCGCTGCGGGGCCGGCACCGGGTGAGGGCGCCTTTACCCTCCCAAGTCCCAACCCCAAATCCGACCCACGGGTCCCCCGTCCCCACCTGCACGGGCCGCTGCATGGCCTTGCAGGGCCGGCACCAGGTGAGCGCTCCAAACACCACGACCAGCTTGTTGGGGTTGGCGGTTATGATCTCGTCCAACTCCTGTTCGCTGAAGATAATCGTCATGTCGCCCTCAACCGCCTGCGCAGCGCAGGACGTCAGGGGGAAGGGAGGGAATACTGCTCACAGGGCCCCCGGAGGTCCCCAGGTCCCCAAGCCGATCCTATACCACCACGTTTGCTGAGCGCATGTGTTAGTAACTTATGGCAGCTGGTAATGCCCACCCATCCCCGCTTGAAGAGCAACAGCCATTTGCAGAACCTGCAAATAAAATCTTCCACCGTGCCCCGCTCCACAAACCCATCCTTCTTTCTTGCTCTGTCCGAAATACATCCATATCCTCGACGCCCCCCCTCACTCATAATATCCCTCCCCCGCCCCAACTTGTGGTCTCCTATGGTTTGGTATGGTCTTTGACCCCTCCCCCCCCCCCCCGCCCCAGCACTTATCTATAATTTTCACCCCGGCCCAGCCCCCGCCCCCGCCCCCGCCCAGCCCCAGCCCCAGCCCACCTCCACCACTGCGCCGGTTCCGGATCCCATCTGCACACCGTCCAGCTCCTCGTTCGTCATGTAGGAGCTCATGGCGCGCAGGTCGAGCAGGTTGTTGCGGAACATGACCAGGAACTCGTTGAACTCGATCTGACCGCTGTCGTCCTTGTCGTACATCTGGGGAGTTGGTTGGGGGTGTCGTACAGTCGTTCTGATCCCATTGGGAAGAATGAACTACGAAGATAATGGCTTTGTTAAAAAATACAATTGTAGGTACTGTAACAAAGGCTTTGGCAGCATGCCTAGATCAGCGTGGAGATCGAGAAACCGCTTACCACCAGCCGCTGTTTATTAACTACCAACCACCAGCTGCCGCAGCTCACCTGCATGAGGTCCACCAGCTTCTCCGGGCTGACGGGGCTGCCCAGCTGCGCGAACAGCTGACCCAGCTCCGTGGCGCCTGAGGAGGCATGAAGTGTGCGACACAAAATTCTGAAATTCACACGGATCCAAGGCACAGGGAGAGGAGCACAGGTACAGCTGGTCGCATCAGCAGCTATCTCCAACGCACGGTTGCCAAACTCCTTAAAGCGGTCTGGTCCTCAAACCTGACAACAGCTACGCCGTACTTTCAACTGGGCAAGCGTTGCCCACAGTCCTTCCTCGTTAATGAAATCATCGTTGAAGTCAACGCCCACACCATGCCAGCCATGCAAACCGATGTGCGGCGTGCGCACTCACCGATGGTGCCGTTGCCGCTCTTGTCGATTGCCTTGAATGCCGACTCGTATTCCGCAAGAGTGCCCTCCAAGAGAATGCCGTCGTACACCTGTGTCGTACAAAACAGTCGAGTTAGGTTGGTGGTACGGCAGGTAGATATAGGCATAATGCCAGGAACAAGATTACCTGGTTGTTGCAGGGGGAACGGGAGGAGCTGTTTCGTACGGTAATCTTTGTCAGCGGTTAGCAGCCATGGTAATGGTACCAAACCATGACGGGATTGCTGAATGGAACGAAAGATACATGGCCACTTTTAGGAGAAGTGCTTGTGCCAAAACGTGGAAGCTCTTGGCGAAGCTTGCCAAAGCTTTCAGTGCTACATTGTTTAACCTGCTTCAACACGATATTCCGTACAGCCGTGCACGAAGCACACACATTGCATGACACTTACGATTTGTTTGAACTCCTCAAAGGAGATGACGCCGTCCTTGTTGGTGTCGTAAGTCTCCATGGCCCGATCCAACTCGCCCTCAGGAAGCCAGTGCTGTGTGCATAAGGGGGAAATGGAGGATGTACGACAAAGCAGACGATACGAAGTGGGTTGGACACGTCAGCAATGCATGACGATGGGAGTCACACAGGAAGGAACCCGATTGACTTATGTCAGGGCCGGCTCTGGAGAGAAATCACTGAACTGCTTTCCGTATTGCGTGTCACATTCGTTTCACGACGGCTGGCTTGCGGGGACCTTCGGTTTCTGGCGAGCCCTAAGCGGGGTGAGGGTGTGGTGCGGGCTTTGCAGGTGTACGTGCAGGAGTACTTGGTTATGTCCTAGACAGCTGCTCAGTAGGAAACCCTGAATTATTGGTTATTTGGATTACGCCTGGGACTTGTCGCGACCTTCGACGTCGCCAAGCACACCTGGGACAGCATGTAGACTTCGCCACTCTCCATCGACTCTAGAAGGTTGCGAAGCTCCTCGCGATCAATATAGCCATTGCTGCAGATAGAGAGCAAAAGACAAAAAAGCATTCAACAAATCGGCGAAAGAAACACCACCACGCGAGTGGCCTACTTGCTTGCTCGTCAACAGACGCGACAAACTACTTGGCTATCAATTTTGCAATATGCGTTTCCGCGATGCAATTTCAGTTCCGTAAGCATAATCTGGGGCGTAAGCGCGTGTAGGCGGGGATGATTGCACCAGTATGCTTGCCCTACAACATCCACATTCTACGCTTACCCGTCGGCATCGGCCATTCGGAAGCGCCGCTCCATCTCCCTCATCCTGGCCTTGCTGGCTTCGTCCATGACCCCATCCAGATCAGCCCGCGCGACCAGGCGAGCACCCCGTCTGATAGCGACCGACCGATTAGCACCGCGCAAGCAAGCCACCGATGGTCGGCATTTCGCATGGTTCAGACCACCAATAGAGCGCGTAAAGCGAATGCTGGTAGCCATCACGCGTGCTAGAAGAAGTTGGCTGGTAACTAGATGACCGTGTGAAACTCACGCCGAAGAGCCAAGCTTGGAATAAGTTTCCGGTTTACTGGGCTAAACGGTTATAGAAGCTGCAACCTGAAGTGCACATCAAAGCGTAAAACACGGCATTGCCAGCATTGCCGTACGCCGTGGTTCGGTACTGAGTGACCTACTTTTCACACAGCGCATATCAGGGGCACCAAGTTCTCCGAATGAAAAAGAAGCACGGCGGAGGCCGCCGCTCCCTTCTTGAAGGGGGTGGTGGTAGCCAACTGTTGGACCGTCTGTTGGTTCCTCGCATAGAGCAGTATGGCCTAAACAACAACTACACAGATGTTGATGAAGTTGCGGATTACCTGAGGCGAACCTACAAGGAGTACCAGCGCCGTCAGCTGGGACCTTTCCGCAACATGGTCACCCGTGCAATCGGAGCCATCCAGCGCAAGGGAGGCGTGGCGAAGCCGGAGCTACAGCTCCAGGTTCGTCCCTGTTCGATTGAAGGGCACGCTCTTGGCGATGACGGGGCGGTATTTGCTGAGTGGGAAGCGCCATGCGGCGGCGATGACTGCTGGCGGCGTTGTGCTTTCTGGCCGGACAGCATATGATGCGTGTCCTTGAGTAGGTGTCTGCCATCTGGACTGGCTGACAGCGGCTCGGGCTTCGCCGCTTGTCGGAAGCCTTTTTGCAGCCTTGCTGTCGGTAAGAGCGAAGTCGCTCCAGTCCTTGTGTGTTTTCATGACATCTTTTCATTGTGTCGCTCAATCGGGCGGTGATTCTTGCTTTCGACTTTGACGCTGCTGTGCGGGTTGGTATGCATGCCCGACGTTGCATGACCCTTCGCGAACGGATCTTATCCAGCAAACGGATTTATCTTGAGCCTCGCCGGAATATATTGCAACGAAGTTGCGCCTTTCCCCTGCTTTTCGGCCTCGCAGTCACTTGAGGCCCAGCATTTGGCTGGGAAATCGAGAAGCAAGTCATCCGGCGCCAAGGAGCACGGCGGCAATGCTGACAGCAGCGATGGTGGCAGCAGCAGTGACGAAGATGACAATGAAGCAAACGGCGGTACCGGCAGCGGAGGCGATGGCGATGCCCCAATGCGAGATCGAGGTAAAGGTTCAGCCTCTGGCTCCGAGTCAGATTCAGAACCCGATTCATCCGGGTCGGGCAGCGATGAAACCAGCAGCGATGGCGGCAGCGGTAGCAGCAGCGACCCTGAGCTCGACCCCTCACATTCCCGCCTGATGGCTGAGGCGGCCAACAATGCTGCTGCGGCTGCGGCGGCTGCCAGCAAGAAGCATATGAACAACTCGTTGCTTAACATGTACGCAAAGTCGAGTTCAGCTGCGACGCCTGCAGCTGCGGCACCACCGCCGGCATTTGCGCCACCTGATGTTGTTGCGGCCGCGGCAGCGCGGGCTCTAGCCAAGGAACGGGCGGAGAAGCAGGCTGCTGCTGCTGGGAAGTCGGGTGCTGCGGGGGGAGCAGGAGGCAGCGGGAAAGGGCAACAACAACAACAACAACCGGGTAGGTGGCACGTGAAGGGCTGAGGCGAGACGTCCCATGATAAGTAAGCCCCCCTTCCCGCAGGCAGGAAAGCCCCTTGTTGCTGTTTGCTGCTGTTGCTCATCCTCCTTGCCCCTCCACCCCCCTACCCTCCCATGCAGACCCGGACGGCCCCTCCACCAGCGGTCGCACCGCCGGACCCAACCCCACCGCACCGGTCGCCCTGCCCAACCGCGCCCCCATCTCCCTCACCGCCGCCGGTGTCGTCGGCCCATCAACCACGCCCGCTACTACCACCACCCCGGGCCCCGGCGCCGCCGCCAAGCGTCCGCGTGAAGAGGGCACCGACGGCGCCGCCGACGCGGCAGCTCCGCCGGCCGCACTCCCCAAGTCCGCGGCCAAACGCGCACGAAGGCTGACCGGTATCGGCGGCGGCGCCACCGGCGCCGGAGGCGGAGGCGGCTTGTCCCGCGGCGGCGGCGGCGGCAGCAGCAGCGCCGTCACCGCCGCCAAGCCCGTGACGTACGCCGATCTGGGCGGTGTGGAGGAGGTGTTGGCAGACATCCGGGAGCTGATCGAGTACCCGCTGAAGCACCCGGAGGTGTATGCGTGGCTGGGGGTGGAGCCGCCGCGGGGAGTGCTGCTGCATGGGCCGCCGGGCTGCGGCAAGACGGCACTGGCGAATGCGATTGCCAACGAGTGCGGCGTGCCCTTCCTGCGGGTGGGTGGGTGGGTGGCGTGTGGGGTTGGGTGGGTTGGGGGAAAGGATAGGGGAGGGAGGGGTGGTATATGGGGTGGCAAGCGTGCATTGGTCACGATGGTGATAGTAGTAGTGGCAATCATAGTTGATGTCGGTGTACGTACTGGGTGTATGTATTGGGTCTAATCCACACACGCAGCCTGTGTTTATCCTCTGCTGCCGCCCCGTCCTGTCCTGCCCGCCCCGCAGGTCAGCGCCCCCGAGATTGTGAGCGGCATGAGCGGCGAGAGTGAGGCCAAGTTGCGGCAGCTCTTTGCGGAGGCGCGGGATACGGCACCCTGCATCGTGTTCATTGGTGGGTGGGTGGGTGGGTGGTGGGTTTGGCGGGCAGCAGGAACAACATGACATGTGGGGGTGATTGCACTGTGGTGTGATCACCGTGGTGTTGGAACTTCTGTACGGTACCGGTACTGTACATGTACCCGGTGCCGTACAGGGACCAGGCTGTGGGGAGGGAACCTGCGGACCCCACAGCATGTCCAGTATGCATGCAGCGCCTTGGGGTTTTAGGAGGACAGTGTAGGGGTTCACCGCGTCTCTTCCATCCCCGGGACTGCCAATCAGTCCATGGGGCCAGCAGCTCGCGAACACCATCACACCACCGGTTGTACCGCCCATTCGGGATACCCCATCGTCCTGTTGCAAGAGGGGGCATCTGCACGGGGTTGGCCGCCGCCTCCCATCACGCTGATCTCTCATGGGGTTGGTGGTTGGTGAGGGGGGCGGTCGTACCGGACATGCCGCATCGCACATTAAGCTTGGATGCTATGAGTGGGCCTTGCACATTTCACCTCCCATCCGCGTCTCTTCCATCCCCGGGGCCGTTTCTCGACCCATGGGGCCAGCAGCTCGCGAATATCGACGGGCAGCCTTCTCCTTCTATCGATGCCAGCAGTGTTTTGGCACTTGCTGGTTTCCCCGCAAGCGGTGTTTTGCCGCTGCTTTGCGGTAAGCTGGGAGAGTGCCGGTTTCTACCGGCAGCCCTACACTGCCTTGGCTCCATGCAACCGACATGTAACAGCAACATACACTTCATTGCAGCTTTACCCAACCGAACCATGATCCATGGGTTACTTGCAGTGGCAACCCCTCCCATCCGCGTCTCTTCCATCCCCGGGGCTGTCTCTCAGTCCATGGGGCCAGCAGCTCGCGAATAACAATGCACTGATGCGCTCCCAACCGACCAGCGCGTCTCCCTCTCTGGGTGTCTCCTGCTTCTTCCCTTCTCGAAGGGTTTTATGCGGGGGAGCCTGGGGAGGAGGGCGTTGCTGGGCGGTTGCATGGCGACGGAATGCCGCCTCTTCCGTCGCTCCAGCAAGGGTGTATCCACACGCACTGACACGCACCTATTTTTGGATCTACTTGCTTTCCGGTTTCACAGCATAACCGCCACATGCTCTACTTCCCCCCTCACTCTGTTTCAGCTCGCCACGGACGCATCTGTCCCCCTGCACCGCGTCTCTTCCATCCTCGGGGCCGTCCGACACACTTGTTGGCCCAGGGGCCAGCAGATCGCGAATATTAGGACAGGGATGTGCCGCTGAAGATGGACGCGTTCTTTGTCTTCTAGACAAAGGACGCATATCCACCTCACATGTGCCGTTGTAGGGCCTTTTGCCACCCTCAACGGCCCTTGACAGCCCCACATGCTGATTACTAGTATCCCTGAGCGCCCAGGGCCCTGTTGCCCCTCTCTTTCCACTTGCACTCCCCATCTGTACCTCCCGCTTGCACTTTCCGCTCAGCTCATGCATGCGCATTCACCCACCCAACTCCCACTCATCCCGGTTACTTAATCCCTTCCCCCTCATACGCACCTCCTGTCCGTCCTCCTGCAGACGAGATCGACGCCATCTTTCCCAAGCGCGAGACTGCTCAACGCGAGATGGAGCGCCGCATCGTGGCCCAGATGCTCACCTGCATGGACGACCTGGCGACTGCCGTACCATCGGCGGGAGAGGGAGCGAGTGCTGCTGCTGCGGGGGGTGGTGAGGGGGCGGAGGAGGCTGCGGCGCCGCCGCCGCCACCGCCTCATGTGATTGTGATTGGCGCGACCAATCGGCCGGACGCCTTGGACACCGCCCTGAGGTGAGGGATTGGGTTGGAGAAAGAGGGGGGCCACGCTACTACAAGCGAATGGCGTGTACTTTCGCTGCTGTTGGGCTCCTGTTGTTGCCTTACTTGCAAGGGTCATCTGATATGGCTTTATCTCCCTAAGATGATTCATTGTCTCTACCCCGCCTGACCCTACGGCTGCAAATCCCCTTGCTTCTGCCCTAACCCCCGCCTCCTTTCTGTTCTGCTCTGCTGCAGGCGTGCGGGGCGCTTTGACCGTGAGATCGCTCTGGGCATCCCCACAGAGGCAGCTCGCGTCAAGATCCTGCAGGTGAGGCGGGCAGGGGCGGTTGGAGGCGGTTAGAGGCGGTTAGGGGCGGTTGGAGGCGGTTGCTGGTTGCACGGCGGATCTCGAGGGTCCGTTTGGCGGTGTTGGCTGCTGCTAGTCCATGGTTGCTGTAGACATCACACAGACATCATAGGACAGCATGTTTCTGTTTGGGTCTTTGTTGTTTTTCGATGTGGCAGGGCACCGCATGTCCCTTCCATTCGGCCCTCTCTTGCCCTCATGATTCCCTGACGCGTGCTCCTCTGCCCACTCAACCCCAGCTAGTTCTTTCCTCTTATACAAACCCTCTCCACCTCTCCACCTCCGACGCACCTGCCGCAGGTCATCTCCCGGCGGCTGCGTCTGGAGGGCAACTTTGACTTCCGCGCCGTGGCCAAACGCACTCCTGGCTTTGTGGGTGCCGACCTGGCAGCGCTCACCAAGGAGGCCGCCGCAGTGGCCGTCACCCGCATCTTTGCGCAGATGACGAGACAGAAGGAGGAAGAGGCTGCCGCTGCTGCTGCCGCTGCAGTCGCGCAGGCCGCTACCGGGGACGCTGCTGCTGGTGCGGATGCCACCACGCAGGCTGCTGTGGCAGCTGGGGCTGCTCTCACTGCTGCTGGGGCTGCTGCTGCTGGTGACGCCGCTCCGGCTGGGGGTGCTGCTGCTGAGGGTGCTGCTGCTGCCTCGGCAGCAGAACCGGTGGCAGCGGTCGTAACAGCACCAGCTGCAACGGCAACCGCAGCAGCACCAGCGGGGATGAGGAGCATCCACGAGCGCTTCGGCGGGGGTCCGCTTGGCCCCACCGAGCTGGCCGGCCTTGCAATCACCATGTCAGACTTCGAAGCCGCGCTGCCCAAGGTGCAGCCCAGTGTACGACGAGAGGGCTTCACAACCACCCCCGACGTCACATGGGACGATGTGGGCGCGCTGGCGGAGGTGCGGGAGGAGCTCTCGTTCGCGGTTTCGGAGCCGATTCGGAATCCGGAGCGCTTCGAGGCGCTGGGGCTGCCGGCCGCTACGGGCGTGCTGTTGTACGGCCCGCCTGGGTGCGGCAAGACGCTGGTGGCTAAGGCGGTGGCGAATGAGAGCGGCGCCAACTTCATCTCCATTAAGGTACGTGTGTTAAGAAAACTGTGGGGGGGGGGCAGGAGTGGAGGGCAGGAAGGGGGCTAAAAAGCGAACATTTTCAACCAGTCAGCGTGGTTTGGACGCGTCAGCAGTGGGTTTCTGTTTGCTTGGGTGCACAGCCGGCTTGCACACTCTTGTCACGCGGCGCTGATGATTCCGCTCCTCACAAGGGAGCGTTGACCGACTGCTAGTCCCCTCCACGAGGGGAGCGATGCTGCAGCTCAACACTCCAATGGATCCTTCTGAGCCGTTGTTAGTAGGAGTGGGGGGCGAGGGGCGTGCACAATGGCACATGGGCTGTGTCGTTGACGTCGGTGGTCCTGGTGGGCCTTCTCCCCCACACACATCCATCTGCCTGCGTCCCCCCTGCGTCATTCTTCCGGCATTCATCCGGCATTCCCTTGACTCCTACCGGCGCTGATGACTCCGCTCCGCAAGGAGCGTTGACATGACTGCTAGCCAGCCACCCATTGTGACGGCAATGTTGCAGCTCAATAATCCAATGGATCCTTCTGAGCCGAGTCAGCAAAGGGGGACCAGCGAGCCATCCATCTGCATGCGGTTGTGGTTTCGATGCAGATGTTGCCAGCATGCGTTGTAGGGGCGGTCGTAGTGGTGTGGTGGTGTGCAATTGACGTTCAACGAATTTACAGTGTATACAACTCTCACGCTCTTGTTGCCTGCATGTGTGTTTCGCCATTCCTTCACAACCAACTACCGGCGTTGATGATTCCGCTCCTTGCAAGGGGCGTTGACCTGACTGCTAGCCAAGGGGCAATGTTGCAGCTCAATATTCCAATGGATCCTTCTGAGCCGGCGTACTTTTTCCATTTCTCACCACTCACACGCACACCCGCCACATGTGCAGGGGCCCGAGCTGCTGAACAAGTACGTGGGCGAGAGCGAGCGGGCGGTACGGCAGCTGTTTGCGCGGGCCCGAGCGGCGCACCCCTGCGTGCTCTTCTTCGATGAAATGGACGCGCTGGCGCCACGGAGGGGGACGGACAACAACCAGGCGGCGGAGAGGTGGGGGCGGTTGGTTTGTGGGTTGGTCAGTTGGGCTAGCGGTTGGTGCGGGCGTGTGTCTGTGGTGAGGTATATCAAGTTTGTGTCTGTTTGCACAACTGTACGAGGTAACGGATATAACGGCTGTGATGAGGCGCCACCTTGTGTGGTGTGAACGTGTGCCAGCCTGGCAACCAGGCGATGTTGCAACAACACATTCCAATGGATCCTTCTGAGCCGCCGCTGGGCCGCATGCCCTCTGCTACCTGCATGCAAAGCTGTGTGTCGTGAGTTGTGTCGGCAGCCCCATGCATGTACTGCTATCTCGACGGCTGTGGGCGCGCAAGGGCAATTCCTCCTTGGCACTTCTTGCGGAATCCCATCCTCCTTTCTGTCCCACACACCCCATAATTGGATCACTCTCCACTCCGCCCCTTGGACCGACCGGAAACGCCTCCATACCCCTCCATTCATCCCCCAAATGCGGCATGTGCATCCCTATTTGCCCCCTCCTGCCAGGGTTGTCAACCAGCTGCTCACCGAGATGGACGGAGTGGACAGCCGGCAGGGCATCTTCATGGTGGCGGCAACCAACCGCCCGGACATGATTGACCCCGCGCTGCTGAGACCTGGGCGGCTTGACAAGGTGAGGGGCGGCGGGTGGGGTGGCGGTGTTTGCTGCCCACATAGGGGTCGCTACGTGGCCAAGTTTCATATACGGTATGCATGGTCTCCTTGGTACGACGTAATGATGACGACCGACTATGGGTTGGACTTTGGGCGCTAACCACAAGCTTAGCGCCCCACACGGGAGCCCCCAACGAGGAACCCCACCACCAACCGCTCCTCTCCCCTGACAGGTCCTGTACGTGCCGCTGCCGCCGCCGCAAGACCGCGTGTCCATCCTGAATGCCCTAGTGCGGCGGACGCCCATGGAAGCTGACGTGGACCTGCGCGCGGTGGGTCTGGACGGCCGCTGCGAGGGCTTCAGCGGGGCGGACATGGCGGCGCTGGTGCGGGAGGCTGCCGTACTGGCGCTGAAGGAGTCCATGGCGGCGGGGCCGGGGGCGCCGGCGCCGCGTGTGGCTGCTCGGCACTTTGAGAAGGCGCTCGGACGGGTGCAGGTGAGGCGGGTTTGAGGGGTGGTGAGAGGCAGGGGGGAAGGTTGCGATGCGGTTTGGTCGCATGCAAGCTGGGTTCGTTGGCCTAGGGCGGTGGCGCCGGTGTGTGCTGTGGCATCCGGCAGGGATAGAAGAGAAATGTCAACACGTTTGACAGCGAAATTTATATTGTCGGAGCGTCATGCCTAAACCAGGTGGACAATCCCTAGCTGGTTACGCTTTGAACCAACTGCTCGTCCAACCACACGCCTGTCCCCACGCGACCCATCACGCCCGCCTGCAGCCGAGTGTCAGTCGTCGCGACCGGAGGGCCTACGAGGCGTTGCGGCTGCGGCTCCGGAGCACCCGATCCCACATCCAACCTGACACCGACACGGCAGCTGCTGCCGTCGCTGCAACCGCAACGCCAGCAGCACCAGGAGCTGGGGCCATGTCGGCGGATGATGACGACCGTACGACACCAGCTGCTGCTGCCGTCGCAGCGGCGGTGTCGGATGAGGGCGATGTCGTACTCCGCATGGATGCTGACGATGACGGCGGTGACGCATTGCTGGAGGACGCGACCGGGGGGGCGGGGGCGCTGGGAGCGGCGGGAGGGGGGACAGGGGCGGGGGCGCCCTCTTTGGGTGGCGCATGCGGTGTCGGAGGAGAGGGCGGCGATGACGGAGAGGGGGACGTCATGGAGACCGCGTGAGGGGGGGATGCGGGTGGGGCGGTTTGTTCGGCGGAGCATTGCTGGGATTGGAGGATTGGAAGCGCGTTGGGGTGGGAGGGGGATGCTAGAGTGGTGTAGGAACGATAGGAAGGGTTGGCGGCGCGGGGGTAGTACTGAAGTACGGTAGCTGCGGTGCGCCGACTGGGTGGTTACTGGGTTGGACTTGGACTGGGAGTCGTACGACAAGCTTGAAATATACGGCTCGCTGTGAAATTAGTACGATCCACTGCCGGTATGAAACCAAGCGTTCAGACATGTAGCCGTGTGGCTCCTCTGCCTCTTGTGATCGTGTCCATAGGTCGGTCTTGTTGAAGCTCGGGGTGTGATGCGGTGCGACGGGGTCATATCATACACATGTAAATAGCCATTACCCCAAGTCTTGCATGGCTCTGCCCCCATACATGGCTGTTTTGTTACACCCCCGCCGATCAAACTTCCCCAGCTGCCGTGCACCCCGGCTGAGGTCCTCTTCAAAAGGCCGGTCCCACGGCGTTGTGTTCTACGTTACGTTTCGACGTTGCTTGCAACTGAACGCAAACGTAGGCATGGGGTAGCGGTCACAGTAGCAACGTTTTGAGCTACGTCCCCCGTAGATCCATCCCTGTATTTGGAGGTCGTCAATCTCATGGTCGCTGGCAGAACAACCAATGTGGACGTTAGCCTTTTAGTGGTAGTAAACTAGGAGCACACGCATGCTAACTACCATAACCAAACTGTCGTAGAACACATGGGTGGCCAGGCCGTTGTGGCCGCCTCATACAGCCCCTACAAAGCAACGGGGCAGTAGTAAACTAGGAGCACACGCATGCTAACTACCATAACCAAACTGTCGTAGAACACATGGGTGGCCAGGCCGTTGTGGCCGCCTCATACAGCCCCTACAAAGCAACGGGGCAGTAGTAAACTAGGAGCACACGCATGCCAACTACCATAACCAAACTGTCGTAGAACACATGGGTGGCCAGGCCGTTGTGGCCGCCTCATACAGCCCCTACAAAGCAACGGGGCAGTAGTAAACTAGGAGCACACGCATGCTAACTACCATAACCAAACTGTCGTAGAACACATGGGTGGCCAGGCCGTTGTGGCCGCCTCATACAGCCCCTACAAAGCAACGGGGCAGTAGTAAACTAGGAGCACACGCATGCTAACAACCATAACCAAACTGTCGTAGAACACATGGGTGGCCAGGCCGTTGTGGCCGCCTCATACAGCCCCTACAAAGCAACAGGGCAGTAGTAAACTAGGAGCACACGCATGCTAACTACCATAACCAAACTGTCGTAGAATACATGGGTGGACAGGTCGTTGTGGCCGCCTCATACAGCCCCTACAAAGCAACGGGGCAGTAGTAAACTAGGAGCACACGCATGCTAACTACCATAACCAAACTGTCGTAGAACACATGGGTGGACAAGCTGTGCCTCGCTTGCCCTGTATATGGGACGTAGAAATGACGGCAGTCAGGCCGTTGTGGCCGCCTCATACAGCCCCTACAAAGCAACGGGGCAGTAGTAAACTAGGAGCACACGCATGCTAACTACCATAACCAAACTGTTGTAGAACACATGGGTGGACAGGTCGTTGTGGCCGCCTCATACAGCCCCTACAAAGCAACGGGGCAGTAGTAAACTAGGAGCACACGCATGCTAACTACCATAACCAAACTGTCGTAGAACACATGGGTGGACAAGCTGTGCCTCGCTTGCCCTGTATATGGGACGTAGAAATGACGGCAGTCAGGCCGTGGTGGCCGCCTCATACAGCCCCTACAAAGCAACGGGGCAGTAGTAAACTAGGAGCACACGCATGCCAACTACCATAACCAAACTGTCGTAGAACACATGAATGGCCAGGCCGTTGTGGCCGCCTCATACAGCCCCTACAAAGCAACAGGGCAGTAGTAAACTAGGAGCACACGCATGCTAACTACCATAACCAAACTGTCGTAGAACACATGGGTGGACAGGTCGTTGTGGCCACCTCATACAGCCCCTACAAAGCAACAGGGCAGTAGTAAACTAGGAGCACACGCATGCTAACTACCATAACCAAACTGTCGTAGAACACATGGATGGCCAGGCCATTGTGGCCGCCTCATACAGCCCCTACAAAGCAACAGGGCAGTAGTAAACTAGGAGCACACGCATGCTAACTACCATAACCAAACTGTCGTAGAACACATGGATGGCCAGGCCATTGTGGCCGCCTCATACAGCCCCTACAAAGCAACGGGGCAGTAGTAAACTAGGAGCACACGCATGCTAACTACCATAACCAAACTGTCGTAGAACACATGGGTGGACAGGTCGTTGTGGCCACCTCATACAGCCCCTACAAAGCAACAGGGCAGTAGTAAACTAGGAGCACACGCATGCTAACTACCATAACCAAACTGTCGTAGAACACATGGATGGCCAGGCCATTGTGGCCGCCTCATACAGCCCCTACAAAGCAACGGGGCAGTAGTAAACTAGGAGCACACGCATGCTAACTACCATAACCAAACTGTCGTAGAACACATGGGTGGCCAGGCCGTTGTGGCCGCCTCATACAGCCCCTACAAAGCAACGGGGCAGTAGTAAACTAGGAGCACACGCATGCTAACTACCATAACCAAACTGTCGTAGAACACATGGGTGGCCAGGCCGTTGTGGCCGCCTCATACAGCCCCTACAAAGCAACGGGGCAGTAGTAAACTAGGAGCACACGCATGCTAACTACCATAACCAAACTGTCGTAGAACACATGGGTGGACAAGCTGTGCCTCGCTTGCCCTGTATATGGGACGTAGAAATGACGGCAGTCAGGCCGTGGTGGCTGCCTCATACAGCCCCTACAAAGCAACGGGGCAGTAGTAAACTAGGAGCACATGCATGCCAACTACCATAACCAAACTGTCGTAGAACACATGGGTGGCCAGGCCGTTGTGGCCGCCTCATACAGCCCCTACAAAGCAACAGGGCAGTAGTAAACTAGGAGCACACGCATGCTAACTACCATAACCAAACTGTCGTAGAACACATGGGTGGACAAGCTGTGCCTCGCTTGCCCTGTATATGGGACCTAGAAATGACGGCAGTCAGGCCGTGGTGCCCGCCTCATACAGCCCCTACAAAGCAACGGGGCAGTAGTAAACTAGGAGCACACGCATGCCAACTACCATAACCAAACTGTCGTAGAACACATGGATGGCCAAGCTGTGCCTCGCTTGCCCTGTAAATGGGACCTAGACATGGCGGCTAAGTGAGTTCACTGTCACCCCAAGCAGGGAACCAAAACCTGCCAAGCATGCTCAATAGCCAATGGAGGTGGGGTGGCAAGCAATTAATAAGAAACACCTCCGCAGCCGCCACCCAAGCCACAGGCACTTCAGTCAACAATGTCTCAAGTGACAGCAGGGGATCACGACACCTAGGCAGGTAACAAAGAGCACAGGGAGCAGAAGAAACTGGGTCAAAACACTGACAGTCCACATGTCATCAAAATTGTTCAGTTGAGCCAAAGCAGCCGCACCCACTACCAAGAAATGAAGGTCATGGCAATGAATGAGGACTGGATAGCGGTGTTCCAAACTTAACACACGTGACTGACCTGTCAACCCCACAAAGAAAGGGATACCCCACAAAGGAACACCCCAATACCAGCTCCCCAGTACCAAAGGATCCGACCCTATGTCAGCAACAGGTGGTAAAACCGCTATAGAAATCACTACACGACGAATATCCTCTGGCAAGCTACCCACCCCCATCCAAGGCCCTGCCACCATCCAAGCGCTAGGGGACCAAAAAATCTGGATGCAAACACCGAAGGAAAAACACCAAAGCACGCTACCAGGGATGCAAAGAGCCCCTTGACAGTGCAGCTTAACAAACAAAACAGGCATCCCAGCAAGCAAAGCAAGCCTTGAAATGCTCACTTAAGTGCAAGGCACCAAAACCACTTGCCCTGGCTGGGGTGCCCAGCTAACAGCCTACCCGGACCACCCATAGCATGCCTATCCTGTGGACCCTGGTGCTACCTTGAGACTTAACAGTCCGCTTCACTAGACTATCCAACTAAGCACCAGGCGGCAGGCCTGAATGCTCCATGTGCCAAGTGGCTGTTTGCAGAGCATATGCAGCTGCACTGGTAGCTAGCCCTAACAGAAATGGAAAGGGTGAAAGTGAACCAACTTCTGTAAGCAGCCCTCCACATCTAGGAACCTTTTGCTCCAGTCAAGGCACGGAGCTGGATCCGAGTTAGTAAAAGGCACCTTACCCGTCATCTGTACGAACCATTGACACACCCTGAACAACCTGCTGCCCCTCAGTACCCGATGCAACCCCAATGGGCAAAAGCTCTACTTTTCTCTAGTTCAAGTATTGACCCGACGCCCAGGCAAACATCTCCATGCGCTGGAAGAAAGCCAACCTAACACCCTTTGGTATCATCAGTGAACAGAACCGGGTAACCTCCCACACAGGAACACCAACTGCTACAAGTTATTATGTCGGCTAGAGCCAGGCCAAGGCGCAACACAAGAACCCTAGCAAGAAGGCCATTATCTGTACACAACAATATAGTAGGTACATCATACCATCATCCCCTAGTGTCAGCCTTTGGCCATGACAAAACCGCTAAGGTGCTGCCTGTAGCCAAAGGTCCCTGTCTTCTTTGGCCCAAAGCTCTACTATACCAGCATTTTTTCCAACTTAATCATAGGGATGCAATGGGTTGTAACCCGGAAGGTCACTCACCAGCTAGAACAACATTTGCAGCAGAAGGACATTATGCAAAATCCCTGTGTCACACAACCCACACCATATGCCTGATACCCAGATGCAGGCTGCCACTGCCTTTGTGCACCTCAAGCCCAATCCCTTACAGGAGTCCAAAATCCCGAGTCATTACTTTAGAACAAAGCCCAACTCTCACTATCTGCCACTCTCACTTTTTAGCATCCACACAAAGTTTCAAAGATCGGGCGCTGCGTTTTGTGTCAGGGTGCTCCTCACCCAGCAGCTTGGTGCGCAGCTCCAGCACCCGCCGGTACATGCGCTCTGCCTTGCTGTACTTGCTTTGGTGATACATGCAGTCGGCCAAGTTATTGATAGAGGTGATGGTGTCAGGGTGGTTTGTGCCCAGCACCTTGGTGCGCAGCTCCAGCGCCTGCCTGTACATGGGCTCTGCCTTGCTGTACTTGCCTTGGTCCTTCATGCAGCTGGCCAGGCCATTGATGGAGGTGATGGTGTCACGGTGCTCTGAGCCCAGCACCTTGGTGCGCAGCTCCAGTGCCTGCCTGTACATGGGCTCTGCCTCGCTGTGCTTGCCTTGGTTACGGATGCAGCTGGCCAGGCCATTGATGGTGGTGATGGTGTCAGAGTGCTCTGTGCCCAGCACCTTGGTGCGCAGCTTCAGTGCCTGCTTGTAGATGGGCTCTGCCTCACTGTACTTGCCTTGGTAACGGATGCAGCTGGCCAGGCCATTGATGGATCTGATGGTGTCAGGGTGCTCTGTGCCCAGCACCTTGGTGCGCAGCTTCAGCGCCTGCCTGTACATGGGCTCTGCCTCGCTATACTTGCCTTGGTTATGGATGCAGCTGGCCAGGTTATTGATGGAGCTGATGGTGCGAGGGTGCTCCTTACCCAACACCCTGGTGTGCAGCTTCAGCGCCTGCCTGTACATGGGCTCTGCCTCACTGTACTTGCCTTGGTCATTGATGCAGCTGGCAAGGTTACTTATGGAGTTGATGGTGTAAGGGTGCTCTGTGCCCAGCACCTTGGTGCGCAGCTCCAGCGCCTGCCTGTACATGGGCTCTGCCTTGCTGTACTTGCCTTGGACCTTGATGCAACTGGCCAGATTATTAATGGAGGTGATGGTGCGAGGGTGCTCCTCACCCAACACCTTGGTGTGCAGTTCCAGCGCCTGCCTGTACATGGGCTCTGCCTCACTGTACTTGCCTTGTTTACGGATGCAGCAGGCCAGGTTATTGATGGAGCTGATGGTGCAAGGGTGCTCTGCGCCCAGCACCTTGGTGCGCAGCTCCAGTGCCTGCCTGTACATGGGCTCTGCCTCACTGTACTTGCCTTGGCCATCGATGCAGCTGGCCAGGTTATTGATGGAGGTGATGGTGTCAGGGTGCTCTGCTCCCAGCACCTTGGTGCGCAGCTTAAGTGCCCGCAAGTGTGCTGCCTTTTCATTGAACATTGAGTAAAAATTAGCAAGGCAAGCTGCTAGAGGACCATCACGCAGTGCATTAGCTGCAGTCCCCATACTGCTCCAGGTTTCGTAGAAAGCGGGTGTCAGGACACCACCGACATCTGACAGCAAGGACTCCAAGTGCCAAGTTGCAGATCGCAACACCAGTTCCAACATTTTGGGTGCTGTTGTTGATTCTGCTGCTGCCATCTGGATCACTGCCAAGAAGTCCGGCACATGCTTCCGTGCTAGGCGCAGTGCCAACAGAGCATCAGGCGTCATGTACAATCATCCCCATTTTTTGAAGGAGGCCATAATGTGCCTCACGAACCGCTCACGGGCACAGGACAGTGCCCTGGATAACTGCTGCTGGTCTTCCTTCTCACTGCTGCTCGCGGTGCTTTGACTGGCTGCAGCTGGATCTGATGCTGTTGCCGCAGAGGCCAACCTACTGGCCAGTCTCACTGCAGTGGTGCGCACAGCCATGTGCAGGCTGTATGTGTTGTGAGCCACATTTCGCAACACCAGGCCATGGCTGTACAACACCAAAAGCTGGGCGCGAACATGTGAAACATCACTGCTGTCACCACACACCACCACTGCTGCGGCTGTCTCGTCAAATTGGGATGGGAAGACAGAGAGCTGGGCTAGGAGCAGTTGTTGGGGTAGCGGCAGAGATGCCAAGGCAAGGTTCAGGGCGGTGGTGCTGTCAGTGTTTGTGTAGGCGAGTGCAGCCTTCAACGCCTGCATGCATGCATTTATGGGGTGGGTGGGTGGATCAGCGTGATGGTGATACCTTGTTATCCTGCCATATGCAGGATTTTGAAGCAGACATTGCTAGTTGAGCATGCTCCAGGAAATGCATGCAGAGCTGAGAGCCGCCCTTACCCCAAATACACGATTATTTCTACTACATCCATGGTCAGCGGGAAAGATGCACCCATATATACGTACCGCCAATGTGACCCTGCCATGTGCCAACGCATCAGCACATGTGCGCAGCAGCAGCGGCACCCCCCGGCACATATCCAGCAGGGCGTCCACATCAGCCGCTGCCAGAGGGGAGGCATCACCCCACAGTGAGGCGACTAGCTGGCGGCTGGAGCCGTCATCAACACCACGTAGTGGGTGGTCAAGGAACGTGTTGCCACTGCTACTGCCAGATGACCCTGTGGACATGGGTGCCCGAGATGTGACCAACACCATTGCAGCCGTGGACACCTGCCGGACAACAATGAGAAGGGCACGAAAGCATTATATGAGAGTCACCCATAGCCTTCTAAATGGGGTTGATGGGGTACCGAGTACCCTTAGATGAGTAAACCCTCCCAAAAGTGTGGCGTCCTTTTTTCCAAAAAAAGTCCCTAAAAATTACATGCGTTCGTACAAGTACCTCGCGGCTGGCAGAAACATGCTTTGCACTGTGTTGTTTGTTGCAGGCAGGATTTCCCTTTTGAAAGGTCCGGCTTTCTTTAGTCTGTACTGTTTTTCGCGGCCTTGTTTGGCGCATGTGTCAGCATTTGGGCGATGCCAGTGACGTTTGAGGCAGTAGAGGAGAAGGAAGGCTACGATACTCAACCCTTACGTCAAAGAGCCGGCTATCGGCAATCAAGTTCACGGCTAAAGTTGAGCCCTAGACCTGATGAGCCTGGCGGCGTCGGCCGCCGGAGCCGCCAAAACCGAGAACGCCTGTAAGATGAAACAGCAGTACTTTGATACTGTGAACTTTATGGCTTCTTTCTTATGTGGGGAATGGTTGACAAGGTTGACATGGTTGAGGAATTACTGACAACAAAGCCGGAGCCATGGAGCGGCGTTGTGACAATGGAGCTGTAAAGACACTTCTTTCCAAGACACCGCCATGGCCTTCATTACCCTAGTTACCGCGCACAGTCTTTAAGTGCGCTGAACAGTCTATTGCGTCGGCGAACTTCCATATCCTTGCGCAAACATCAAGACGGGCTGCCAGCCACACCGCGCTTGGACGCTGTATGAGCCTTTGGTGCTGATAGCACACAGGCCGAGTTCACCCGAAAAAAGGAGTACGACCAAAAATAATTTTTGCCATAATTGTTGAATTTTTAGGTACAACTCACATGAAAGCCAGTAAACCCTCCCAAAGGATGAGTACCCTTACTCCCGTGTTCAAGAAGAAGGGCGATGTGTTTTTTTATGGTAATTATAGGGGTATAGCAGTCGGCGGGGCCCTGTCCAAGTGCCATGCCATGGTGCTTGCCTGACGCCATAATTCGTATACTGAGTGAAACGGCCTGCACCCAAGTGCCCAGGCCGGGTGCAGAGAGAAGCATGGGGACATTTAATTAGTAAGCATACAAGGGCTGACCCTAGCCCCCTTATCATTATGCAAAATTGATTTTGCCAAGGCTTTTGATTCCGTCGATCATGAGACGCTTTGGGCCGTGCTTGAAACCCTGGGCATCCATGGGCGGATGCTCGAGGCGCTCAAGTTGAGTTATGCGGACGTTAAGATGCGTGTCAAGGTGAATGACCAGCTCGGCCCCACATTCTCCGTGGGCCGAGGGGTTAAGCAGGGGTGTTTTTTTAAGTGTCACACTGTTTGGGCTATTTATTGAGACACTCGCGCGCTACATCGATGCACATGATAGGGACCTCAGTGAGGGGGATGGTCACGAGTGGGAGCTGATGAAGGGTCAAAGCCCCACCCTGGATGGAGTGAGCCTCATCACTAATTTGCTTTTCGTTGACGATGCATCCCTACTAGCCACTGGCCATGAGAGGGCCCAGATGCTTCTGGATATCCTCGATAGGTTTTGTTGGGCTACAGGGATGGCCATTAATACTACTAAATGTGAAGTCCGCGTGTTTGGAGGCACTGCGGAAGACCGTGTGAGCATCAGGGACCGCGGATTCACGCTGGGCGGCACACACCTTGATGTGCTTCCGGAGCAAGACAACGCGGCCTACCTTGGAGTTCGGTACGGCCCGGGGCGGCACTTCGCTGCTTGCACCAGTGAGCGCCTTGTGGCTGGTAGCAAGCTTAAGGCTATATATTACTCGCTTAAGGCTGTGCTCCGGTCTAAGGGTATTCATACCCCTAAGACCTGTATGGAGCTGTTCAATTTGTTAGCCCTCCCTGTTATGTCCTATGGGGCCCAGGTGTGGGGACCTGACAAGCTGGTGCTGTCCTTTGAGTCGGCAATGGCCGCCCCCATGGTGGAGGAGCAACGGACTTTCATGTCGGGGCGAGGAACCCAACCATGGTCTTGCTCTACAGGGATTTGTCGCAACTCCCTCTGCAGTACCATTGGGCCAAAATCACCCTACAATTTTGGAACAACCTCATGATCTCCCTCATGGACCTACTGCAAAAGCTCAGGGAACCCTTGTACTCACGACGTAGCTCGTCGTAGCACGGACACTCCATGAAAACATGCATCTCATCCTCAACTGCGTTATTCTCGTTGCAACACTTGCAAACTCTCTCAGACCTAGGGCGGTTCCCATGCGGGTTCACCTCAATACCGTATCCCAACACCCTAGCCTGAATCGCATGAGCAGCTGATGCTTGCCGCGGGGGATAAGTGCACTGGCGTGGGGTAGGCACGCCACGGGCTCACCCCCTTGAAACGCTAATCCCATCCACTGGGCACAGGGGCACGACTTAACACCCCTGGACTCTTCATACTCCCGTGGGGGCACCTCTACCTCAGGGGACAACCATCTAGCGTCCTAGCGTTCTCTATACTTCTTAAGTAAATCGTTAACATGTAACTCTAGCTCACTATATAGTACTGGGCGAAGCCAGTGGCGTCGCCATACGCGGGCCTAGGAATACCCAGTTCGGTTATAAAATCAATGACCTTAGCTGCCCAGCAGTCGGCTACACCAGTGGCTTCTAATAACATATCCCCCTTAAGCGCCAAATGACTAAGGTTGTCGCTTCTACGAGCGAGGTTGTTCCAAAATTGTAGGGTGATTTTGATCCTCTGCCCCTCCCGAGGCTCTGGCTAGCTACCTGAGCCGTGTATGGGACACCCGCATGTCTGTCAGAAACCACCTGCGCAGAGCCCCTAAACGGAAGCCTGGGGACCCTGACTTAGGCTGAGTGTTTAGCCCGTTACGAGGAAGAGCGTCATTGGATGGCAGAGCTCATAAACGTTTGGCGACATTAAGGCGCCTGGCACGTGACACGCGGGTGCATTGGGAACGGAAGCTGATCCTCGATCTTAAGGGCGAAACCGCAGCGCGAAAGGAGGCATGAAGACGGAGAGACCGTACGAACTGCAGATTGGACGGAGGAATACGGAGGGACCGCAATTGTGTGGGACACCGCTGTGTTGTAAACGGGCCGCAGCGACAATCAAAAAACGCATGAAGAAAACGGTGAAGAACATAATCTAATTATGCGTAGGAAAAGAGGCGACGCCACAAGTGCAAAGCGGTTATACAACCAACTGTAGCCTCAGCCCCCTGACCTCTTTCCCAACATCTGCTACCCAGATCCCTAAGCGGTACATGTTCATTTCTTAGCAATCCATACTGGGCGAAAGCAAAAGAAGGCAGTGCTAGGTGTCCGGCACATAGTAACGGTCGATGAACTGTAGCCTGCGGCTGTCCTTTTTGACTTGTTTGTGACACGCTACCGCCTCCCATCCCCTTTGCTTTGCCCTTTCTGTGGTTTCCTATGGGTTGGTATGTTGTTGATTGCCCATCCGCTACCCGCCTACCCTCTCACAAACCCTTTCCCACAGTAAAAATGTTTACGGGCTAAATATGGCGTTCATGTGATCAGACCAGGAGGCGCCTCATCATCTTTAGTCATCCAATGTCCCCCACCTCCCTTCCGCCCGCCCAATCCGCGCTGTGCGTGAGAGGGCGTGCAGGCCAGCCCCTCCCCTAGGTGGCAGAGTGATGATTTGATGCGTTGTCGAATGTACTAGAAGCACGGGGAGGGTGAAAAACGAGGCCCTTCTCTTACCACAGCCATGATGAGGAACCCAATGGTAAAGCCCTGTCATACAGCTCGTGAGATTCCTCGTTTTACCACCCCCACCGCTGTGCTCGAGCCCGTGCAAGCCACAAGGAACCCCTTACCCCAAACCGGTACCCTTCTTAGGAGTGCATATTCCGCAGCTAGCCTTTACTGGCCCCCCATGCCGTGTGCTAGCATAGCTGGCAAGGCATGCGCAAGCGCCCTTCTTTTCCAATCATCACCATCGACTGCCATGTACTATGTGCCCTTACGTTTGCTTAACACCAAACCATGGTTTGCTGCAAGAGCCCGTGTCGTTGCTGTACAATACAGCTGAACAATACACCTTAACTTGCCTAAGAAAAGAATAACGGGCCAAGGGCTAATTGTTTCTTATAGTGTCCTTGGCCCCCCTGGCTCGTACGGACACACTGTGCACGCGTACAGACTGTAACAGTAACTGCTTCTGTTGGGTGATGAGACTTCCAAGCTCGGGCACCATCTATTAACTGACGGTTACCACATTCCTGTTTAATGGATGAGTAGCATAATAATCCTATGTTACATTAACAGTTTGCAACTCGATAGGATTGCTGAAGAGGGGCAAAGCATAAGATAGCCTGAGTGGGACAGCCGACACCAGTTGTGTGATAGCTTGCTGTGGTGTCTAGCTAGTGGAAGCTACGAAGAGGCATAACTGCAGATGTCAGGATCGGGAGAGTGCACAGGCTTACAGCAGCTAGGACGACGGGATGACTGGAGAAGCTTACAACGGGTATGTGCCCATCCATACCCTGGGCATGCCGCACACGTCATGTACAATAACTGTAAGCCTGCACACTTGATCTGGACGATCTGGACATCCGCAGTTACACCTTTTCGTAGCTTACAAGGATATAGCATGTGCATGCAGGATGAAAGCTAAACGGTCATTGCCAGAGACTTCCACCATGCCAGCATTGTGAGGTTTGTGACAGGCAGGCCGGGTCCAAATGCCCACCACCCATCTCCCATTCCTGTCTTCTCCTCTCCTTTACGATCTGACCCAATCCTGCCCACCTGGGCCATGGCGTCCCTGAAGCCCTTGCCTCCTCCTCCACCTGCCTGCAGCACGTCCTCGGCGTTGTCCATCACCAGCAACATGCCACCATCACAGCGAGCCGAGTTGGAGCGCAGCCACGCAAGCAACTTGAGGAGGGTATCATCGCCCTGCAGGAAGGTTGCGCACAGCAAGCTTGGACGTGCTTTAGTCACTGGCTGAAACATGGCTGAAGTACCATGACATGCACAATTGCCGCTCTGATTTGTCCCCCGCTGCCTGGACTTGTTGCATGCATACTGCCGACCGTGTCAATGCGGCAAGTACGTCAGGCAACATAGGATACACTTCTCTACATGCACGGTGGCCCCAACCAAGCAAGCTAGAGCGTGCAGCTCTGGGCACGAGTTGCATTACCATAGTTTGTGAGTATGAAGTGCAAGCAAGATTAGAGCCCTCATGTGTCATGAGCCAGGTGGATGGATGGGGTCGTCAAGGCAAGTCTTCATGCAACAGCAATCCCACACCCATAAACCCAGCCACACACCGCCTATCTACCCACCCACCGTGATGGCACTTCCCACCGCCAGCGCAATGCGCATGAGCACATCGTCCACAGACCGCGCATCACGCAGGTCACAAAGGTATGCGCCCCCTGCATGGGGCAGGCGGGGCCAGGGGGTCAAGAGTCAGACGGCAAACACGGGCTGGTCAGGAAGCCTTGCATTGACACATACATTGCATAGGATTGCTGATCTGCATGTGTGGTGACAATCGTTTCACATGAACACTTGGCAGGTTGTTTATGGTATGCATACTACTTGCATGGCATATTGCAATGCATGCACAGCGGCGCACCTGGGCACGCCCCCTCCTTGGCCAGCCTCCACCCCACATCCACCGCCAGACTGGACTTGCCCAGGCCCGCACCGCCCAGCAGGCACACGCCGCGTTGGGCTGCTGCCTGTTCCTTCACAAGCCGCACCACCAGCTCTGCATCGGCGTCACGGCCCGTGTACAATGGGTCAAGTGGTGGCAGGCGGCATCTCGCCATAGCCTCATGTTGGGTGTGGCTTGGGGCTGCCTCGCTGCTGCTGGTTGATGTGAGTTGCACCACTCCAGTGGTGGTATGCCCAGGTGTGCTGCTACTGCCAAGTGCGGCCATGGTGTTGCTGCCACTGCTGCTGGCTGTGAGCTGGCGCACGAGCTGCAGTAGGTCAGCGTCCGGGGGGAAGGCCTCCTCGATCTCATCCACGCTGACGTTGTCGGGGTCCGACCGCTCCACATGTTGCTGGAACGCCTGCTTTGCCTGATCGCTCCCCAACGCACCGCATAACTGCAACAGCAACCACACACGTGTCAGATGCACATGTGCATAAAGAAATTGCACCATGACCCTGCATAACGAGTGTATGCATTGCCCCGTCAGCAGGCACAGCAACCGCCTTCAACTACCCGTTGCACCCTTACAGTCACATCGACAAATGGGACCTCCCGAGCACCCCGCCCACCACAAGCCATGTCCCGGGTGCTGCATGCAGCACACACGCAGCTGTGCTGCACACGTAAGGCTAGGCACAGAGTCACTATCCAACTGGGGCGCAGGTTATTCCTGGTCCCCACACACCATCACACCAATCACCCACGCCCAATCACGAGCACACAACCTTATGCATGCCCCTCCCCCTTCCTCCTCCTACCGCTGAGACGTAGCTTGGCTCCAGGTGCACCTTCTCCCCCAGGCGACTTGGAAACCCCAACCACCAGAGGCGCCAGGGGACCTGCGTGAGGGGTGTGGGGTCATAGTAGCGTTTCCTTGGTTACGGTGTCAACACCTGTTTAACAAGTGACGATGGTCCTTAATGCGTACCAGTAAGTCGGTTGCATGGTTTGTAAGTCAGTCAAGGCAACCAGCAGGTATGTAAAAAAATGCTGACCCTGGCCTTACTCTCCATTTCCCAGTGAAGAAGGTGTGCCACAAAACGCGCAGGTCCATATGAGAGATCAGAAGGTGAAAGCCCTTATCGCCTTCCTTCTCCACGCTTGCTTTCACGGCTGCAAGCCCTTGCTTCATCTGCGTGCGGGCACGCACACACACGTGAGCAATGCGCAGTGATAAGTGGGCGCAGAACTCCAAATACCGGGTGGGAAGGCAATTCGGGTGGCAAGCGGCACATCCTAATAAGGCGTCCGTTTTTAGAGGCTGCAGCATGTGGGGGTGAAATTTCCTCCAACCCTCCCCAGCCGCCCTTGCCACATACACATGCACTTCCTCCCCCAGATCCGACAACTACAGCAGGCCTGGACCATTGCCATCTTCCCCCAGGTCCCACTCACAATCCTGATGGTCAGCCTCTGCCCCATCCCCAGCTTCTCCACCACCTCCTTGGCCTTATCTTCGTCAGCCATCACGGCATCCACGCCGCCCAACTCCTCCACCGCAGCACGCACCTCAGCGCTGTGGTCCTGGAAGTGGGAGAGAAGGCAGTGTGTTCGATCAACTGGCCACAAAACGAACATCAGAGTATGCGAGGAGTATGCTCCCAAGGGGCCATGCATGTGATGCTGGTCCGGGGAGACCCACTGCCAACTCACTTTTGCAATTACTGCCCGCACTCCAGCAGGTGAAGCCGTCAAAGCGGTACCCTCGTCATACATCCTGCACCTTTGTACACAAGCATCCCGGCCCTCCTCCCTTTCCTCGCTCACTATGTACACCATCTGTTGCTTCATCTCCTCCATGGCTGCCCGCATCTCCTCCGTCATGCCGGCCATGTCCACCACCACAGCGAACTGCGCCTCGAGTGTCAGGTCGAGTAGCTTCCGTGCGTAGTCCTCGTACCGCTGCCGGTCGCCACCACTGGTGATGATGCGGACAAGCCAGCTGTGGGACGAGAACACGCGGACGTACTCGATGAGCTCCTGCAACCAGGCAGGCGGCAGGGTGCAGGCACATGTAAACGAACGGCTCATGAAGTCGTCAAGTAAGCACACACGCACATTATTGCACAGGTAACGTTGGTTCCTTATCCCTACTAAGGTATCCGCTTGACACTAAAGCTCTTACACTAAAGGCAGCAGGTGGAGGGTGCTTAAGCGCGTGCGTGTGGGCACGATACATTGGCCAAAATGATGCAAGGGCCTGCTGCACATTCAGGGGACAACTGCCACTGGACGCACCGTGAGCAGGTCGCGGAACCGATCCATCAGCTTCATGTACGCGTCCAACATCTTTTGCTGACGATGTTGCCGCGGTTGCTGCGTCGCTGCAGCGCCAGCCACCATCAGCGCTGCTTGTGGGACGTGCCTGTCGACGACAAGGTCAAACAGGTCCACCGCCCGCTCCTGCAGCTTGGTCAGGTTATCCTTGTTGACTATAGCCTGGGACACGAGGTCCATGAGGACGGCCAGCGCGCCAGCGACCATGTCACCTGCACAACAGAAACATGCGTGCATAAGCATGTACTGGCTTGATCTTTAGGACTTATCCTGAAGGTCCATGAATGGAAGGCAGTAAGAAACAGGCTGCGCACACATGGCAATACCACAGACCCCAGTGTCTCAGCATTAACCCGCAGGGGTAGACGTGCGCACCTATGCACCCATCGGGACTGCTGCCTCACACTGCCTGTAAGGAATGAGACGTTGTGGCCGGCCAGCACCCGTGCCCAATGGTAACCTCCAGCAACATCACGCAGCCTCTGCCAGACGGACACTCCCATCATATAGGGTGCTCACCTGGGAATGGCAACATAGGCTTGACTTTGGTCAGGAAGGTGCAGCCCACCTTGAGTCCCTTCTGGACCCGCTCCTGTGCGCAGGGATTGACGGGCGAGCGGGGTTCAGGAGCACTATAATAAATTACAAGCATTGGCTAATTGTACATACATCAGTTTCAGTTGGATCATCACATAAGCCGGATGGGGGTGCTACTGCTGGCATAATGCAGCATACACGTATGGCATGAATAATTACCTTGAGTTTTGTGGAGCCGGTGGAATGCTCCTGAGGTGTAGCAGGCGAAGGTACAGTAGGCGTGGCATTGGCCACCACAGTAATGGCCGCAGGTGATGGAGTAGTTGGAGCTTGAGATGCAGTCAACGCTGGTTCAGCATGCCTGCTGTTGGCATCATTAACTATGCCCAAGAACCGTCTTTTGAAGATTGGCTTTACTTTGAGGTCTTTAATGTCGTCCTCGGTTGCAAGGCCCAGGTGTTTAGTTGTGCTAAGAGCAAGCTCATCCACGAACAGCTTGGCGATTTCCGGTGGCATATCGTGCTTTTGGAACAGTTCACGCACTGAAGGTGAACACTTTATAAGTTCCCAACTTGTTGGAGTGTCCTGCAGCAGCGACATGTCAAAGAATTGCTCAGCCTTGTGATCACAAAAAAGGAAAAAAGAGACGCATCTACAAACTTAGGAACGTGCATTTAATGCATGCAATTGCGGTTTTGCCGGCGAAGCTCTTCTATGCATCAGGGGCATAACCTAAAGAGGCAGGTGTGCACCTGCAAGCACTACTCCCACTTGCGTATACCATATATGCAAACTACCTTCGCATGCATAGGACTTCCATGCTGCACTGCTTGTGAACGTGTTGAAGCTCCACAGCCCATTCTTCGTGGCGGCCGGTATTGCCGCGACTCTAACACCAGAGACCAGTTACTTCTTTGTTTTGCTAATCATATTTCGTGCGGTTGTTAGTGTGCGTGTGTCCGAGTAGTCCCTATAGTGTGAGGCCTCAGCAACTCTAATAAGCCTGTTTCCAGTGTGATTTGATAGGCCGATTTAGGTAGGTCTAGGTTGGCGCTAAATCGGAGTTAAATCGTGATAAAGTCGGCGTAAAGCGATTTATTGTACGACTTTTGAAAAATAATTGAGATAAATGATGTCTTGGCTCCCAAGAGCCAAGTACTCATGGCAACGCCACCATCGACTGCCATGTACGATGCGCCCTTATGTATGCATCATACCATACCATGATTGCTGCAAGGGCCCGTGTTTCTGTACTTGCTGTACATTACACCTCAAATTTCCAAAGAAACATAACGGGCCAAGGGCTAAGACAGTCTCGGTCACAACCATTCAATGGCTTAATTACAGTAGGAGGACGCATAAATGTTTGGATATTGTGGGCAATTCTGACGCTTAAACAGGCAGTAATGTTTTTCGTGGCTTGGGCTCCACTTCACGTGATACAATGTAATCCTCGTCACGGGCGGTCTTGTCTCCCCCTTCCCGCTTCAGTTTGCCACGTGTGCAAACGGGGAATAAGCGGCACGCTCCCACTCGCCACCAGCGCTGGTGGCCCACCGGGCCCCACAGGGAGGTGTGGGGCTGACGGCGTGGTGGGTCGGTGGGGCCTATCTAAACGACCGCCGGCAGCAGTACGGTAACGAGCATCATACAACTGCAAACCCCCTTTCCTAATCGGAGCATCTGCTGCTGTTGGTGCCTTCCCCCAGTGCGTCCTCCATTGCCATGACCAGATCTTCCTCTGTCAGTGTCTTGTGTCACAGTCCACCTACACACCTCGCCCCCCAACAACAAGAACTGCTGCTGCAACAATACCATTACCGCCCAGCTCCCAACAGGGAGATGCTTTCAACATGCATAAACAAGGATTTGCAGTACAATTGATGCTTGCAACTCTGCAAAATCCCGCTGTCTTCATTCGTAAACTCCGTTTTCCTTCTAGGCTCTCGTCCAGGGCTCGTTTGGGCGCTTGGCTGGTTAATTCGAGAGTGGTCGGCTGTCGTCATTACCCCCTACCATACCAACACTTCGCCATACAATGACCTCGAGGTGCACAGTAAAGGCTGCCACTTCCCTTCACCTCTCCGCTCTCCCTCCCCACCACTCGCCTCCCCTCCACCCAACCTGCAGCACCCGCATGCCAGCGCCCCCCGCCACCCTGTCCCACCCCACCACAGCAGAACCCCCACGTCGCCCCGTCGCGTCACACGGCCCCACTGCCGCCCCACAACAGTACGGGCGAGCCCGCAGGCACGCTCCCGCTGCAGCGACCATACCCGCCTCCACCATAAGCAACCCCTCCACCACCCTCGCCACTCCAACCGAGGTCACCAGTACCACACATTCCGCCGCCACCACCCGAGCCACCGCTGCTGCTGCTGTTGCTATATCCCGTACCGTCCCCGCCTGCAGGGCTTGGATTCCGCAGCAGCAGCGGCTGTTGTTGCTGCTGCTGCGGGTGCTGATGCAGCGTCTGCAAGGGCGACGGGTGTTGTTGACGTTGCTGTTGTTGTTGCGGGTGGGGGTGCTGCCAGGTCTCCGGGGGCATGGCCGTGTACTCGGAGCGCCAGCCTGCCCCGGGGGGTGGCGAGGGGTGCGGGGGTGGCAAGAGGGTGGCAGAGGGCGGGATACCGGTGGGGGGGGTGCAAGGAGGAGCAGCACGTGAGGGCCGGCACCTCCGCCCACCTGTGTTTCTTCCCCCACGCATTCACCCACCTGCAGTTGCGGCGCTGTGACAAACACCATCACCGCCATCCAGGTCCTCCACGGGTACCTCCACGTCCCACATCTTCCACCCCTAAGCCACCCATCTGGTTTGCCGTGCCATCACTGTTGCTTCTCTCAAAACCCCTAGCCACCTAGCCACCTAACCCCCCACCTGCACACTCGGGATCGTAGCACTTCTGGCAGTACCGGCCGCGCAGAAAGTCCAGCAGGAAGAACACGTGGTTGGAGCGGTGGCGCCGGCCGATGCGGTCACAGTAGTGGCTGCCGGGACCTACGTGGGGGGGACGGTGCGGCGGGCGAACTGTCAGGGCAGTAGTCACCATGAGTTGTGGCGCTGGAGGGACTTGCCCCCAGGGAACCCGGGACTCGTAAAGGTAGGGCAATCCATACTACGCACAAGACATACCGCACACCCATGTACGACACCTGACGTACGTACCTATCATGCCGTACGACACGGACGCTCCCTCTCCGCAGTAGGCGATGCTGCGAACCTGCGTGTGTGCGTGTGTGTGACCCGCGGCGGTACGGCAGCCACATACCGTCAATCAGTTTGAAAGTAAGGGTTGATATAGATGCTGTAATACCGGTAATGGCTCCAATACTGGTAGGGTAGCTTTGGCTGTTTTATGGCTTTTGTGATATAAAACTTTCATTCTTGAAATGTCCGCCAGCAACTCAAGCAAGGCATCTTTCCTTTTCCCCACCCCACCCCACGTCCCCACCTCGACATCCACCCACCGCCAACCCTCCCCAACACCACCTGCGCCTCCGCGCCGCCAGCTCTGTCTGTCGCAACCGCCTCCACAAACGGAACCGCCGCCAGTGCCAACCGCTGCAGTGCCGTACGGCAATACGGTGGCAACAGCTGTACGGATTGCTGCTGCGACCGCAGCGCTGCCTCCTCCTCCGGCGCTGCTGCCTCCGCCGCTGCTGCTGCCGTTTCTCTCAGTTCCGGCGGTTCTGGCACCCATGTAAGTTTGAGAGCCCTCCCAGTTGTCGGGTGAACCAGGTTGCCGTCAAAAGACGTCAGGCCGGAACCAACGCCGCCGCCGCTGCCTCCAACACCGCCCCATGTTGAAGACCAAGCACCTGTGCCCTCCTGCCCTCCGCTTCCGCCGTAGTAGCCCCAGCCGCCGCCAAGGTTGTTGCCGGGGGCATAGCAGCTGCCGTACATGCCGTACGCGTTTGCCGCCCCGCGAAGAGACTGCAAGCGTGCAGGGGGTCGTGCAGGCAGGCATGCGAGAAGCGAGGTGGGCGGGCAGGGGGGGCAGACAGCGGGGGTGGCAAGGAGGGAGGGCGCACAAGATGTTAGGAGTGGCGTTAAGAGGTCCGCATGTGGGGCTGGGTGCGCGTGCAGACTCTAGAGCGTTTTGGCATGCAGTCCCGCAGTGCCGTGAAAGGCCCAGGACGCAGTGCCGCAGTGAGCGCCAGGCTACCGGCAGACTAGCGACCCTCTCAATGACGCACAGCTAGAGCCCCGCGGATAGAGCGTGTGTTAGCACCAGTTGGTTTGGTCGCCCTCTCCGCAACCTGCTGACTGTACTCATGTACCCGCATACATGGGGTATGAGCTCGCCGCTTTCAATCAGGGTCCCTGTCAATCCCGACCCAATGATGACCCCCCACCTGCACTCCCTGCATGAACCCCGGCGGCAGGTGCAGCGCTCGCGCCTCCGGGTGCACATTGCAGATGAGGGAGGCCAGCAGCAGCTGATGAGGCGAGGGAGGAGGAGCGACAACAGCAGCAGCACCACTGCTTGCAGGCGGGGCCCTTGCTGCTGCTGCTGCGGCCATGACGAAGCGACCCGTGGGTCGGAGCACAGCGCTCTTGCCGCCCTTGCAGCACCATAGCATGCGGAAGTGGCGGGTGCGGGAGTAGACGGCGGGGTCGACCAGGCAAGCGGTGGCGCCGCCGGGGGGCTCGCCGGCCTGATGGATCCCAGGGGGTTGGGCATGAGTGGCCGGGAGGGGAAGAGGGGGGAGGTTGGATTGGGAATGAGGTTCGGGGGTGAGGGGCAGTAGAGGGGTATCGGGGGCTACCAGGGTATTCAGAGCAGCGGCGGTCAGCAGCCCCTTCGGGACCTCCGCCCACCTACCTTGAGGAGGAACAGCCCGGCCTCCTGCAGGGCCGGCCTGCATGGGGGCATGCGCGGGTGGTGAGGTTCAAGAAAACCAACTTTCAAGAAAACCAACTACTTGAGGCGATGAAGGCGCCCTACCATTGCAGATTGCCGACTAGTGGGTCAACATTGAAGATGCAGCTGACACAACAAACCAACGCTAGGAATAACTGCAGTGGTAGGCGCTGGGGGCAACTGAGGAGAAGCTGTGGGGCTGAGGCCGGAGATGAAGTTGACGAAAGAAACACTTCATGTAGCGACCACGACCCATGGGTCACTCGGCCACCCGCCCCTCCACCTACCTCATCTTGGCCACCAGCGCCCCCGCCACCCCGTTGTGCGCCAGCGCCAGTCCGGGCAGTCGTACTATCAGGTGTCGCGAGAACTTGTCAGGTAGGCTGCTGCTGGGATTGGGGTTGGGGGAAAAGGGGCAGCAGCAGGCAGAGGGGATTGGAGGGTGTGGCTCAGCAGCAACGGAAGAGGAGATGGATAAAACGTAGTGGGGTGTGGAGGAGGAGATGGAGGATGGGCAGCAATGCACGGAGGCGGCTGAAAACACCAGAAGCCGCAGCAAGTGGAGCAATCCTGCATGTCTAGAGGTAAGCGGAGGGGAGTACCCGGGGGACGCACCCCGTGTGCCCGCCTCCTGCTCCCGCGGGGGCTGGCCTAGCAGCCGCCGCAGCCGCCTCAGCCTCCGTGACGGACTCCAGCTCCAACACATGGCGCGAGGGGTCCAGACGCACTTCGGGCCAGGTCTCACTGAGGGAGGAGGTAGGGGAAAAATACAGACGAGTGCATCAACGGAGTCCCAACGGAGTCCCAGGAGGGGGAGGGACAGGAGGAGATGCGTAGTTGTGTATTCAATTCGGGCTCCTCAGGTTCCCTTCCCAGCAGCTAGTCTCTGTCCAGCTATCTCTCCCTTTCAAACGAGGTCTACACATAGCCCTTCCAAACGACCTAACACCCCTCTCCTGGACCCCACTCTTTCCTCCCCTTTCCCACCCTCCTCCCATCTACCTCCTCCTCCCTTCCCTAACCAGGTATCCTCCTCTTTACGCCCCCTTCCCTCCCCTTCCCCTTCATCCAACGCATGCTTCTTCTTCTTATCCCTCACCTCATCAGCCGCCCCAGCAGCCGCACCACCTCGTATACCATGCCGTCCCCATCCACCCCCGGGTTCGCTCCCCGGCTGTACTCCAAGTCAAAGTACATGTGGCAGGGCCGGTCGGAGCGGATGATCTGCGGACCCATGGGTCGGGTAGGAGCCAAACCATTGCAAACGAGGGATATGCAAGAGGGGGCGGGAAAGGTGTTGAGCTGGTCGCTTGCTATGGATGTTGGGGGGAATGAAACACCTAGCATGCAACCAACCGTGGGAGCAGCAGGCGTTGTATCGTGCTATCGTCACACAAGCAGTTTGGCAGTATGTCTCTCCCGGCACTACAAGCAGTTCAACACAGGTAGCTCAACCCTTGCCCCCACGGAGCGAGAAAGAAGTAATTGCGCCCTGCACGGGTGCAAGCTGCTGCTCGCAGTATTGTGCTTCCGTACGGTGTTGGCATCATCTGCTCCTCATTGCAGTACAATGCCGTACCTCGTAAAAGTGGCGCTGGGTGGCAGGCAGCTTTTGGAAGCGTCGCCACACCACCTGCGATGTGCCAGGGAGCCGTAGCAGCAGCCGTAACAGCAGTTCAGTTCAAGAGCCAAGAACTGTTGCCGTACAAGACAGTGGGCACGAGGGACAGAGTGGGACTGACGCTTAAAGCCCGAGCCGACCCAATCCCTGACCCCTCCCCACAACCACATGGAAGCATAAGCAGACCCCTGACAGTCTCACATTGTGGCCGCCATTTTACACGTACCCTTGCCCCCACCAATCTAAGCACTTCCAAGCACCCCCAAGCACACCCAAGCAAGGCCCACTCAGTGCCCACCAGCCCATGATCCCCTCCTGGACACACCGCCGCCCCTTCCCACCTTGTAAGTGCTAACCACGAAGTTGCGAGTGTACTCCGCCTCGCCTCCTCCACCTCCTCCTCCGCCTCCCTGACCCCCTCGGCGGTACTCCTGCACAAACACCCGCACCCACTCCAGCGGCTGCCCCTGCTGCTGCTGAGGTGACTGCTGCTGCTGCTGCTCCTGTTGTTGTTGTTGTTGTTCCGTCGCCGCCTCCGACCCTGCTAGTGCTGATGCTTCTACTGTTGGTGATGCAACACCGCTGCAAACCCCGCTGCTGCTACCGGCACCCGTGCTCCCACTCCCGCCCTCCTGCTGCCCCCCGGCGCTCCTCCTCATAGCTGCCTCAATGAATGCCCACCGCTCCTGATAGCTACCGAACCCCACACCCGCCCCTCCTGCTATCCGGTGGCAGCTGCCTGCCCCCTGCCCTTGTCCCCCGCTGCCACCCTCCTGGCCCCGCCCATGTGCTCCATGCCGCCCCGCCTGCTGCCCGGCATGCGTGCGTGCATGCCCATGCAGCCCTGCTGTGCCATACCCCTGCCCATGCTGCCCCGCCTGCCGCGGCGCATGTGCCCCCTGCGCCTGATGCGCCGGGTGCAGCTCCCTCAGCAGCTGCTGCAGGGCGGCGGGAGGAGCGGAGTTGGCCCACTCAGCGAACTGCAAGGCGTGCTGCTGGAAGGGGAAGACCTGGGGGTGTTGGGGGGTCAAAGACCATGCCGAACCATAGGGCGTGGCAGGCGTGGGGGAGCGCGGTGGGGTGGATAACTCACCAAAGGATGGGTCATGCCACGGTCTGCAACGGTTAGCAGTACAACCGGGAGGCGGCGACCCAGGACTTCATGCGCTGGCAGGGGAGAGAGACAGGAGGTCACACTGTATATGGGCACAAGTCGAAGCGGCTACAGCACAATGCTGCCTGCACGCGCACCTGCACGCGCACCAGTCCGCCTCCTGCCATCACAGTGTGAGACCTGCAGACCTACCTCGTACAGATCGGGGGCCCCCTCCCAAAAGGCGGGGTAGCACTCCTCTCCGAACAACGACGAGCCGTCGGGATGCTGCGGTGGTTGCTGTTGCTGTCGTGGCTGCTGCTGCTGGTAATGTAGCTGCTGTTGCTGCTGCTGCTGTTCAGGGTGGTAATCCCCTAAAGGCTGCTGCGGCGGCAGCGGATGTGGTGGCAGCGGCAGCGGCTGCACCCCATCACCCCGCTGGAAGGGGCCTTGCGGCCCACCAGGGGGGGCGAGCAGCGGGCGCATGTGTTGCTCGACCATTGTCTGAAGCTGCTGCTGCTGCTGCGGTTGCTGCTGCTGCTGGAACGGCTTGGCGGTAGCCGCTTGGAGGGGCAACAGCAAGGCGGCATGTTGTTGTTGTTGCTGCTGCTGCTCAACAAGCTGACGCTGCTGGTAGGGTCCGTGTTGCGGTCGATGGGGCTCCTGGGTGTAAGGCGGCTCTCCACTCAGCTCCCTCCGCTCCCCCTCCTCGTCGTCCTCCTCCTCCGAGTCTTCTGCGTCCCAGGACATGTCGTGGGGCCCATGCAGCGCTCTCAAGCTGCGGTAGGCCCGCACGTGCGACCCGCAACTCCGCTGCTGCTGCTGCCGCCCCTGGTGGTGGTGGTGCTGCTTTTGGGACCGGTAGCTATCCGGGTCAGGATCGCCGTTATCAGCCTCCTCTTCATCCTCGTCTGCATGTTGTTGCCGCTCCGCAGCAGTGACCTTGCTGGAGGTGCCCTTTGCCCTGACGTGGGTTGACGGGAGCTGCTGCAACCGCGAGAGGTGCCGAGGCGTCTGCATCCAAGCGTCCTCCTCCTCCTCGTCCTCCTCTTCATCATCATCATCATCATCATCCGCCTCCATTTCCACCTCCATTCCCTGCGGCTGCTGCTCCCTCGCACAGACACCACTGCCAACTCCGCAGCCAACACCTGCACCACCGGCTAACCTCCTCTCTGCCGGCGGCATGCTAAGCTGCCAACCCTGCTGCTGCACTGGCGGTGGTGGTTGCGGCTGGTGTCGCGGGAGCTGCCAACCCCGATCCTGCTGCTGTTGTCGCTCCTGCTGCTGTTGTGCTTGCGGCAGCTGCTGCTGAGGCGGCTGTGGTATGCCCCAGGCGCCGGAGAACGCGCCGCAAAGGCTGTCCACAGCCGGCGGTGCTTTGCCGTGATTGCCTGTGGCATGTGGACAGCACTCCCCGGTGAACCGCTGTGATGGTGGAAGCAGCTGAGGTTGCAACTGTGGCTGCAGCTGCTGCTGCTGTGGTAGTGGTTGTTGTGCATGCACCCGTTCGTCATCTTGTGTGAGGTTAAGATCTTGATGATCAGCAACGCAGTCCTCATCGCCATCCAGATCTTCCCGCTCGGATTCAGAATCCACAATGCTGCAGGGTACGAACCAGCAGCCATCGTCGTCGTCACCGTTATTGGCGTTGCCCTGGTGCCGCGGATTAGCAGCAGGATGATCAGCAGCGGCAGTCTTCCATTGCTCCGCAGCAGCTAATGTTGCCAATCCTGCTGCCGAGTCTTCGCAGATTACCCGGTGCTGCTGATGTGCTGCCTTTTCTGGTGCTGGGCCGGGTGTCTCTGAAAGTTTGTCTTGCCGCGGCCAAGGCTGCTGGAGATGGGGAGCCCCAGGCAGCTCTTGAGCCTTGGTCCTGGAAGGAGCACCATCCTGCAGTCCATTAAACCGGCATGTCGGAAAAAGGACAGCAATTACTGAAAACGTGAATGTTATTGACAACTCGGGTTCAGGGCTCCTGATCATCTGTCCTTAACGGCTGCAAGTTTACTACTCGCCAATAGCCAGGCTAGCTCAGGGTCGTGTTAATACATAGTAAGGCATAATGTAAGGCATGATGCGGCGATAACCCGATTGAGAGTTGCTGGCCTGGTTTTCCTTGTCGAGTGGAAAACAGTATGCCCTGGAAACCAGTTACGCCTATGAAACATTATACTTACGTAAAAGATACGGTTTAAGTGTATGCTCGAAAGCGCCTCCCTTGTGCAAACGTGAGGCCCTTCGCGGGAACTGTCAAGCATATTACTACCGACTACACTGGCACTGGTAACGGCAATTGCAAACATATACTCAAGTTTAAAGGCAACGTATCAAGCATAACTTCTGTTTCATTGCAGCATTTGCGTGGTGAGCAGCATTGCGACTGTGCGGTAGCCTGTGCGGAGCGTGCTATGCCATTCAAACGGTATCGCTCAGCACGCAGCGCTGCTTGCGATTTATAACATACCGCCCTTTCGCTGTAAAATACCCCAATGCGGTGTACCTGTCTTTGGTTGCGGATTGGCGGCCAGGTACCATGCTTCGAGTAGCCAGGTTACGAACGCGGTGAACGTGCAAAAATACATCCTGTATGCCCCAGAGTAGCCTATTCCGTTATTAAGTACTTCACTCGAAGTGAACCTTCGGTTTAATGCGTAAGTTACACACCAGCCAGGCTGACCTTGCCTGTTGGCGTGCTCAGCTGCCATCTTCAGCCTCCAACTCAACAAAGCGGCCACCACCACCCTCCGCCAGCGTCCGTGCAGCCAGCATAGGGACTACAGGGATACCTCGCAATCATTTTAGAGACAGTGTGGAGTTTTTACACGTGCAGTGGACGATGTCCCACCACTACTCGGAACCTCGTGTAAACGATACAACCGCCTCAGGAGCCTTTCTTCCGCGACGCAGAAAGGGCAAGCAGAAGCTGCCAGTCCCTTCGCTCCTAAGCGCTTTCCTTGCCTTCCCTGCCCTCCACTGTTGCTCCTTCAACCTTCGGCCAGCACGGTAGAACGCATATCCGATATAAATCCACGTGTCGCGACGCGCCCATGGTGGCCAGTGTCTGTACGCGACTCATCAATTCATCTCCCACCCCACAACCCAACAAGGATCCTGCAAGGATTATGTATTTCAAACCCAGCACACCGCCCCTGAAGTAATTACAATCGGAACGGACGGCTCCCTGTCACCGCAGCCCCACAGTTGACCCCACCCGCCCGAGGCCACCAGCGACGACCGCCCCCCACACCCATGTCCCCGGACGCCCCTCCCCCCCCCCTCACCTCTTCACCCACCTGTACGACATCTACCAACGCACTCCCCCACCCACCACACCACGCCCTGATACAGGCACGGCAACCCTCCTTTCCTACGTCGCCCCCATGTCGCCTACCTAGCTACCCTGCAAAGCCACCCAGGTCGACATGTCGCATGGAACTCCCCAACGCCGCAGCTAACCACCCTCATCACCACTCTCACGGTCTCGACCTCCTCCCCTCGCCGCCACCCTCCTCCATCCCTCCCCACTTCTCCTCCTTTCCAGTAGACCCGCCCCGCGCTCAAGTCCCTCCACCCCGTCCTCCTCCCACCCAACTAGCACCCCAGCAACCCAGCCCTGCAACCCCGCAATAAAATAGGTCCCCGTCCCTTCCCTCTCGTGCATCTCCCAGTTCCAAGACGACCCCGTACATCACCCTCCTCCACTCTCGCAGCGGCCCCAATCCGTCTCTTCTCCCCCTACCCCTCCCCCCGTCACCAAGCTCCCCACCGCGGCCATGCAGCCCCACTCCCCCCTCAACCTCCCAACCTCGCATCCGCCCACTCAACCCCACAACGGCCGCAGCGACGTACGGGAACCACAGAGCCCCCCACTCCGCAGCACTCCGGGGGTACTGTGAGGTGATGACGCACCTTGCTCCCAACCCCACACACATGTGCCCCCGTCCCACATGTCCCTCTCTGCCGCCTGCCCCCGCATCCACACAGCGGCCAGATGTCTTTCTCACGACCCCCTCCCTCCCTTGCTTTCTCCTCCCTCCCCGCCTCCCTCACAGGGGCCCCAGCACCACCCGCGCGTTCATCTCCTCCAGCAGCGCCGTGTCGTCCACCTCGGCCAGCTCGCAGATGGCCCTGGGAGGGGAGCAGGGCAGGGGAGAGGAGACGGGGGGAGGGGAGGGAAAGTCAGGGACTTGTGTCGACGGGATGTCCCATGGCTACATGGGATACGGCACCCTCCAACCTGCTCTCCATCCATCTGCACTACCCGCCCCACCCCCACCCTCCGGGAGTACATGGGTTGCCGTGTCTTGCCTGCCCTGGGTGGCACTGACTGGGTCCGACACAGATGGGCTTGCCTCCCGGATGTTCGCTAAGCCTGCCTCACCCCACACCCCACCACACCACAACTGGCTCCCTCATTCCTCCCCTCCCCCACCCCCACCCCCATGTACATAACCAAATACACCCATGCGCCCCTCATCCCCCCCCACCTGCACAAGCTGTGCCCCATAGCCAGGTAGTCCCGCGCGCCGAAGTGCATGCCGCTGCTACTGCCCGCCAGACTCGCCTCCAGCGTGTACGACCCGGCAACCCCCAACTCCCGGTGTACGACGACACGTGCAGCGGACAGCTTGGCCTGCGGATGGGTGTGTGGGTGGGTGGGCGGGTGCATGGGTGTGAAACACACACGGGGCATGTTGGCCGGGGTGTGAAGAGCGCAGCAAGAGGTAGGTTGCTCATGACCCTGATGAGTCAGCTACTCAAGGCTTGGCTCTTGTTGAGGGGAAGGCATGCTGGAGCTCACACATGGGCTTGCAGTATGACAACTGGTGGTAGCTGCCGGCGCAGGAAAAATTCGATCCAATCAATATCTTACACTATATGCACCGTATTCTGCATCAGACGCGGGCTTGCAGTCTTCCGGACGACTGGACGACCCAAGGTCCCCGGCACACGAACTGACACAAGCAAGGAAGGAAGCCAGGCGTGCATGCATGTATGGGATGTATCATGTATCCCGCCTGGTGCATCCTTTCTTCTCACGCGTACCTTTCGGATCTTGAAATTGCACTTGGGGAAACTGAAATCCTGTGATCCGGCATCACCAGGTGCAGGCGGAGAATGTTGAGGTGAGTTGAGGACGGTGCTTATTAGGGGTGCGATTTTCATAGATGAATGTGCTCATAACGGCAATTCAAGGAGCAAAACAGCAGGCACGGAACAAACTTCCCGTATCTCTTTCTCTGTCTCGTGCGGAACCCCGCAAAACACACACCCACGCCCACCTACCGAGGAGATTCGGGCGGTCAGGTACGGCAGCATCCGTACTCGCAACCGCGCGGCGACACGCGGATTGGGGCCAGCCGCTGGCGGCGGGGGAGCCACCGCCGGCCCGCCAGCCGACGTTGCCGCACTGCCTGCCGCCGCCGCCGCCGCTGCGGCGCCGGAGGATTGCTGTTGTTGCTGCTGGGAAGCTGATCCCCCGCTGCTGGCGCTGTAGCCAACTCCCTGCACACCCAGGCCGCCTGGAAACGGGTTGCTGCCGCCGCTAGCGCCGCCCGTGGATTGAGGCGGCGCCGCCGCCGACGACGACGGCGACATTGATGGCATGCCAGAAGACGACGCTGGCGCGCCACCGTCGGCGTCTGCCGTACCGTTAGCAGCGGCGGCAGCCCGCGCGTAGGCAGTAGGCTGTTGCGCTGCTGCTGCGGCAGTGGCAGCACGCGTACCTCCGCCGCCTGCTCCGGCGTGGGCTTGCAGCACGGCAGCAGTGGGCTCGCAGCTGCGGGACAACACAGGCGGGCGGCAACACAAGGTGCAGGGCGGGCAGGGCGGGGGGCGGGGTTGAGAAGGGCGTGAAACAGGTCTTGATTGTTCCCTGGCGGGTGGTGAGACATCAGGTGACTGCGAGCACACCGGGGCTTCCTATTCTCATGTCACCCGTAGCTCATCGGCCTGTGCCCTGCCTGTCCACCCCACCCACCCCCTGTCGCATGCGCAGGTGTTTGCACCTCTTGCCACCCACCCACCCACCAACCCGAAACTTCGTCATTCAGTTCTTCGATTTCCTTGCATTTTACCCACCCGTAGAAGAAGGTGTCCTGCTTGGTGGAGTGTCCGTGCAGGTCGATGTACAGCGCCAGCCGCCCCGCTGCTGCCAGCTGCTGCAGCAGCCGCTTGGAGTGGTAGATGGTGGGGTGCAGGTGGCGCGCGGGCCGGTCCCACAACCTGGTGGGGAAAGGGAAGGGGGTAAAGAGAAGGGGTGATTATAAAGAATGCTAAGATAGGAATATGATATTAGCGTATAGTGCCGATAGTCGTTAGCCGCCCCATCCCCGCCCGCCCCATCCCCCTCTCCCCTCCCCCACCTGTTCAGATCCACCCCCGCCAGGTTGCAGCGGTAGTTGCCCGCCACCACGCCATCAGGGTTCAGCATGGGCACCAGCTTGAAGACGAAGGAGTTGCGCAGCGTGGCGGCGGCGGGGTCGGAGGACACCAGGAAGTCCAGGATACCCTGCCGGGGAGGGGATGCGAGGGGGTAGAGGGGGGTAGAGGGGGGTTAGGGTGTACGGCTGTACGCCGGCTCACATGGTGGCACAGCGAAGGCGGGATGCCCTTTTGCACACGTCTTCTTCCACCCCGCCACCATGCAGCAACACGTGCAGCATACAGATACCTCCCGCCCTAATCAGGCAACACGTGCAGCATACAGGTATACCTCCCGCCCTGTGCAGCCCCCTCCTTGCAGCCTGCCCACCCCAAAAACCCCTACAGGGCAGGTTTGTTTCTTCCCCCAACCCCACCTGCATCAGCCAGCTCGCGCACGTCTCCCCCGCATGCACCCGCGCCGTGATGAAGATGCACTCCCGCTGTCGTACAGCCTCCAGCGGGGAGCTCCAGTCCGTGATGGTGATCAAATCGCAACGCAGCCCGCCCAGCGAGTAACACAACAGCGAACGAACCAACGGTGGCGGACCGTTAGTGCTAGTGTTAGTGTTACCGTTGGTACCGTTGGCAGCACCACCGGTTGAGATTCTGGGGGGTCCGGGTTGTGGAGGGGGAAATGGCTGCTGGGGGGGTTGGTGTTGCTGTATGGAGAAGGAGGACGAAGCGGCGGAGGAGTAGGAGAAGGAAGATGAAGAGGCGCCGGAAGCAGTGGAGCTTGAGGATTGGGGTAGAGATGCGAGGGAGGCGGAGGCCAGAGAGGAAGAAGAGGAGGAGGAGGGCGGTGGGGGCGGCAGTAAGTGCGCTGGTGATGGTGGAATGCCAGCTGCTGCCGCTGCCGAGGGAAGCATTGCGGATGGCGGTACGGGAAAGGAGGAGGAAGCGTAAGGAGGAAGATGCGCCGGGCCTAAGCCGTTGGTACCGTTGCTGCTGCCGGTGAAAGCCTCGTATGCAAGACGGCGTTGAAGACCGTCCAGGTGCTCTTGCAGGTCCGTATACGTGTACGGATAACAGCTCGCGATGTAGTACGTGCCCGGTACGGGGAAGTGTACGGTAAACGTCGCGCAGTACAGTCCAGGGCCCACGCCGGTTTGGCTGCTGGCGGCGGCGGCGGCAACGCCAACAGGGACGTCGCCGTCGCCATTCGCCGCCGCCGCTGCCGCGGCGGCGGCCTCTGCCGCTGCTGCTGATGCCGCAGCCGCCGCCGCGGCAGCGGCGGCTTTTGAGGCCTTTGTGCTTTTGAGCTTCTTGCCTCCGCTGCTTGGGGACGCAGCGGTGGCTCCGGTCCCGGTGGCAGCGCCTCCGCCACCGGTGCCGCTGCCGGCAGCAGCGGCGGCGCTGGCAGCAAGGACGGCGGCTGAGGGCTGCGGAAATGGGAGAACGAGACGGCAATGACAAGTGTGGACTTGGCTGTCAGCGACAGAGCAGCCATGTCATGTGCAGCCCCGGGATGACACGAGGCGTAGGCTGGCATGATGCCAAAGGGGCATGACGCTAGCACGACTTTATGGCTGCGCATGCAATCATGATCATCCATGCAGACGTGCAAACAACTTCCCCCTTCTCACAACGCATGCCCGCGTGCATGCGCTCCCTCCCGCTGGTCATCATACAGGGGAACAGGACACCCCTTTACCAGCCAACGAAGAAGAACCAACGCAACCCACTTTTTTGCCCCGCCGTGTCGCCGCACCCTCTCCTGCGACGGTTGGTCTCCCCCGATAGGGCGAGGGGTAGTAGCTGATATGGCTCCCCACACGAATCCAGCACCCCGGCTCCGCAGCTTGCGGCATCGCAGCAGCCGCATTCGTCGTCGGCAGCGGTGGCCGAGGTACCGCATTCCGAGCAGCGGCCACTGCTGCGGACACTGCAGCCGCCCCGGGCACCGGCGAAGGCGAGGCCGAGTATGACCCATGGGTCATGGGCGGTGGCGGACCCATGGGTCGCACCAGACACATTACCGGTCGCTTGCCTACGCTGAAGAGCGATTCTTTTTTTCGCAAGTTCACGATGTTGAGCTTAATTCCTGGACGGTTCGCCCAGGCTCCTGGCCCCGCCGTCGTTGCCCCCGCAGCAGCAGCAGCTGCGTCCAACACTGTCCCAGCAGCACCCACTCCCGCTGCCGCGGCGGCAGCAGCACTAGCAGCGGCGGCAGCCGCGTCACCAGACGGTGGGATACCAGCAGCACCACCACCACCGCGAACGGACGGTACGACCGGACTGTACGGTATCGTTCCTCCACCTCCGCCTTGTTGTACTGCAGCCGCAGCAGCACTGGTGCTACTGCTGCATGCCTCTGGCGGTACTGTGACGGCAAAGTAAAACCACTGGCACATGTTTCCGCCCTCGGAGCGATCGTTGATGTCGGGAGCCAGGAAGAGGTCGTACTCGCGGGGGCCCACCTGCATGGGGCAATACCCTCGATCGGCGTGCATCCTTGGCTTACTTGCTTTACGCATCCCTAACCCACCCAACCCCATCTACGCCGCCCAACCCACCCTACCCCCGTAGTAGTTTCCTCTTTACCCCACCTGTGCCGCACATCGAAGGTTGCCGCTTTCAAAGCCCGAATGGAACATCAGCGGTGGCGGAGGCGGCAAAGGCGACGCCGACGGCGGCACCAACCCAGCGGGTGGGGAAAGCACTGCTGTGTTGCCGTTGGTAATGCCGTACCGTGACAGTGGCGGCGACGGCGGCGGTAGCAAAGCCCCACTACCGCTACCACTGCCACCCCCTCCTGTCGTACTCCGGGTCCATGGATCCGCGTTGATGTTCGGAAGGTGAAAGGGATCTGGCTGCATTTGAAGCACGGGAATGTTACTGCTGCCGTACGGGTGAGGTCCGGATCCAGGCCTGGATCCGGAACCGGATCTGGACCCCGTACGGGACCCGTTTCCTGATCCAGCTCTGGAACCGGATCCGGGTCCCGGTCCTGGAGGTCCGGGTTGGAGATCCCCAATAGTTGCAGCTCCGTCCGTTTGGCCGCTGGATCCACAACCGGTTCCAGATCTGGAACCAGGGTGGGCTCCATGTCCCGATCCAGATCCAGGTCTTCTGGGTAGCAATAGCCCTAATGAGGGATCCATGTTCCAAGACGGCCAACCGCCGGCCCCGCCATAACTCGTATCTGTTGCGCAGCGGGACGGAGGTGGCAAGAGGCCAACGTAAAGCTACATTGTGCAGCTCACTCCAAAAGGTAAGCCCAGCCCCCTCAAAAAAACATAATAATGGAAAGGAAAGAACAGTTGATAGCAGGCGGTGCGGGTGTACAAGAGGCAAACTGCAGACAGACAAGAGGTCACACATGCCGTACACGGTTGCAGGGGTGTCGCAGCGTGCCCCCAAGCGGCCCCCCTGTGCTGGCACCTCTCGTACCCAACATACGGTACCCTCCATCGTCCCCCCCACCCCAGGCTTACCCCCGGGGTGCTGCTGCTGCAAGCCGTAGGAGCCAGCGCCACCAGCAACAGGAGCGCCGTTGGGGTAGGATGGGGCAGGATAGGGGTGCGGAAAGTACCCAGCAGCGCCGCTCCCGCAGCCACTGCCCCCACCACCACCCCCACCGCCTCCGCTGCTCATGCTGCTGCTGTTGCTGCCGCCGGAGGTGGAGGTGGTGGCGGTTGAGGGGGCAGCCGCTGTGTTCAGGTAGACGATGCGGTTGACGAGGGCGCGGGGGTTGAGGATGCGGTGCAGGTCGTGAAGCTGGGGAGAGCGGGGGAGAGGGCAGGGGAGGAGGGAGTGTGGGTTGAGGACGGAGGGTTAGGCAGGTGGAAAACTAAACAAAGGTGAGGGTAACCATGGCGCAGTTCTTGGCTGCGCAATCGGGTAGGTGCGGTATCCTCACCCTCGACTGGAAAAGAGGGCCGGTCGTACGCAAAATGGTACGATACATGCCATATGGAGTATGGGCTGGCTCACATGTTGCAACCCATGTTGACGCCTTATCCCTCAGTCAGTTAGTTGTTTCCTCTTTACCCCCCACTCACCACCATCTCGCAGTCCAAGCTGCTGCCGTACCCGTGAAAGGGCTCCGGCATAAGGCCCAGCGTGCCGGCAGGGCTGCCACCCCCCGCCGCCGCTGCTGCTCCCCCTGCAGTTGTGCTACCGCTACTGCTGCCGCTGCTGCTACTGCGGCCACCATTACCTGTCGCCGTACACCCGCCGCCTGCACCAGCGCCCGCTACCATCGCCGCCGTAGAAGCGTACGGCCCTCCAGCTGCTCCCACTCCTCCTCCCCCATAATGCCCTCCTGCCCCACCGGGAGCGTCACCACCGCTGCCGGCGCCGTACGCTCCCCCATTTCCAACCGCCACACCTCCTCCGCCCCCTGCTGCTGCCAAGCTAGCAGCGGCTAGGGAGCGACAGAGCTGCTTGGCGGAGGGTGGCAGAGCGAAACCGGCAGCACCGGCCTGCGCGCGGGAGGACGATGACAATGCAGCCTGCTGCTGCTGCTGTTGCTGTTGGGGGTAGTGATAGGGGCCATGGTGGTGGCCCCCATGTGGCCCCGGCGGCGGCGGCAGCAGCTGCGCTAGGGCCGCTGCCAGCGGCTGCTGCTGCAGCTGCTGCGGGGGTGGTGGCGGCGGCAGGGGGCGCTGCTGCCAGGGGTACTCCTCGGGGAAGAGCTCGGCGTGGCGGGCGGGGTCGGCCTCACCGGCTGTGCAGGGGGGGGAGGGAGGGCCGGAGGGGGGTGCATGGGCGCGCGAGGAGGGGCAGCTGGGGCTAGGCATGGCAAGTTGACAAGGGGAGAGGCAGGGAAGATCTCTGGAAGGCGGGCGGGATACCGCCTGCTGCCCCGGTCCCTTAGCCACCCGCATGCAACTGCAGATCCCCCCCCCACACACTTTGGAATTTCTTTTTTTTCCCACACACACATACACCTCGCCGCCATTCGGTACGTTCCTCCTCACGGCCAGTTACCTTAACACACACACACTGTTCCCTGCCCCACTGTTCCCTGCCCCACCCACCCACCCGACATGACCCCCGCCAGGTGCGGCACGTCCTTGGGCGGCAGCGGCACCAGCGGCTCCAGCGGCGGCAGCGGCACCAGCACGTGCGGACACAGCAGCCACACGGCGCGGCTGCAGCGCTGCAACGTGGGGAGGGAGGGGGGGCAGGTGGGGGGGCGGCGGGTTTACATGAGGGGAGGGGAGGGAGGGCTTGCATGGGAAGGGGGGGGGGTGCATGGGCACACTGAGCGTTTCGCATGCTGTTCCTACCCAGGCGCCACCCCCGCCCCTGGCACACCGGCCTTGCGCAGCCCCTCCTGCTGGGCTACATCCTCTCCTCATTCCCGTCGTATACACCTCCCAAACCCCACCCCCGCCTCCTCACCCCAGTGCTTCGCTTCTATGGAATACTAACCTTCTTCCTGACCCCATGCTCTCCCTCTGCGGCCCGCTCTTCCATGGTCCATGCCTCCCACCACCACCACCACCAAATGCAAGCTCCCGTAACGGCTTTGTTCCCTTCCCTGTAAGTCCCCCAGTACCTAGCTCGGCCGTCTCCTCCTTTACCCCAATACCTTGAGCAACTTCTTCTGCTCGGGTATCCGCGCCAGCACTCTCGCCACCCCCAGCAGCAGCCGCACGCCCTCCCCGGTGGCTGACAGCACCCCCGTGCCGCCTCGAGCTGCATCCAACACTGCTCCCCCTCCTGCTGCTGCTGCTGCTGCTAGGGCTGCAGCTCCTCCTGCTGCTGCTGCCCCCGCAGCTGCGCCGAAACCACCGGCAGCAGCAGCAGCGGCAGTACCATTGCTGGTAGCGCTGGTACAACCGCCGTTGCCTGCTAGATAGTAGCTGGGAATGAGGGGAGCGCCGAGGCCGCTGCCGTGCTGCTGCTGTTGGCTGTAGCAGCTGCTGCCGATGCCTGCTGGTATCCCCCCTGCGACTCCACTGGCAGCAAGGGCGGTGGCGGAGGTTGGATAGAGGGGCTGTGCTGCCAGTTGCGATGACGCTGGTACGGTTACTTGTGGTGAGGCGGTGATTGGGTAGAGCGAAAGGGAAGGGGAACCGTACGGCAGGGTTGCTACAGCCTGCCCTGCTCCTGCTGTAGAGGAAGGGTAGGGCGCAAAGGGCGAGGTCAATGAAGGCGGCGGTACAGCATGTGGTGCTGCTGCTGCAACACCCCCTGCTGCTGCGCCTGCTGCTCCAGCTCCTCCAGCGGCAGCCCAAGTGCCGTACATGGCAGCTCCGCCGTACTGCGTGTATTCGTACTTGGCAAGGTTCTTCATGATTTTGAGCACCCAGCCCTGTAGGGGTGCCGTACAGTACAGTCATGGATGAAGCGCGCGACCTGGTCGCATGTGCAGTGGTCGTTTGTGCAACGTGCAACACCAGCAGACGGGCGTACCTTCAGAAATCACAGACACGCATACTGCATGGAATGGTGATCTCACTTGGTGAACAGGTTATTACCGAAAGACGTGTATAGAAAATCGTAACTCACAAATACGGGCCAGTTGCCAAGGTACGACACCAGCAGCTCCTGAAGTACGGGCAACGCCGCATCGCACTCCAGTTGTACGGCACCCTGTGTGGTGAGCAACATTACGAGAGAGGGATAGTTACGCGGCAGACACCCCTCTATCCTAACCAGTCACTCCACCCTCCCATACGCTCCTGGCCTCTGTCTTTTCCGCACCCAACGCCCCACCCGACCCGCCGCGCCATCCCAACCATGACCCCATCCCATACGAACCCACTCTGCCCGCCCTCGAGACCTGGCAGTCCCGGGCGGCTCAGCCCAACCCGGTCCTCCCGACCCGTGGGTCACCACTGGCCCCCCACCTTTGGCGCCTTGCTGATGTGCGCCATGGCCTCGCACAGCGGTCCGGCTATGGCGGGGTCGTGCACGTGCAGGCAGCAGGCATTCAGAAGCATCGCACCCAGGCCCTGTGAGCATGTAGGTATGTGCGCATGTGGGTGTGGGGTCGCCATGGGGGTGTACCGGTGACAGTGGAAGGACACAGTGTGTATAGGGGTTTAGGGTTTGGGTGTGGAATAAGGGGAGGTTGGGCGGTGCAGTTCCGGACGTCGTAATGAGGGAGCGAGAGCGGGCCCCACTTGGCGGGCATGGGTGCGGCTCTGAGAGCAGCACGTGGTTCCTGTGCTGGGGCCGTTCGGTAGTACGGTAGCGGGGCTGCCTCCAGGCCGTCTTCTGAGCAGCCGACACAAAGAGCGCACCACGGCTCCAGAGACGCGCAACCCAGATCATCAACCCAAATCATCAACCCGGTTCTCCGCAGCAGCAGCGCGCCCTCCCACCACTGCCCGTGCTGCTGCGCCAACCCCATGCGCTGTGCCTGCCCTGGTCTTTCATCCCGGCTCCCACGTCCCACCTTTTCCTTGGCTAGCGCCTGCTGTGTGACATTGCTGGTGGCAGCTGCGACCGCCAGGATGCGCGCGCAGGGGCCCACCACCGCAGCCAAGTTGGGAGCCGCCTTCAGGTGCCGTACAACCTGCTTCAGACCGCCCTGGGGGTGGAGGAGAGCGGGTGGATGGGAGGCGAAGGCGGAGGCGGAGGAGAGGAAGAGAGGAAGAGGGCGTTGGGAGGGAGGGCAGGCAAGGGACGAAGGTCGGATGGGTGGTCCGGTTTGCTGCAGAGGAGCTGTGTCTTGGGAGTGGAAAAGTTGTGCACAGGAGGTCATGTTCCTGCTGATGAAGTGAAGTCACTGGTAGTGGTGGTGGGAGGGGACGTCGCGATGTGTGCCACAAGGCTTGCCTTAAACACAGGGTCACATCCCATACGCATGTGCAAAATGGTGTCGAGGAATAAGATGTGGAGGGGATCCCCAACGCCAGCTAGAGTAACAGGTTTTACTCTTCCCCAGCTGGAAGCCGTTTCAACAGGTAGCCGAAGGGCCCCCCTCGGATGCTTACCTCAAGGCGTAAGATGGTCCCAGCTTGGGGGCTGAGGACGAGCCCATCCTCCAGGACTTTTAGTGCTACTGCCACCTGCATAAATTGGTACTCGCAGCATTGGCTCGTGACAACTTCGAAGGGCAAACATGCCAAAGTTCATAGCTGAACGAAGAGCTAATTCACGCACCACATCTGTTACAGAACACGCGGCCAAAAATCCAAGCGCCTCCTGCACGACTGCCACCACCGTCGCATCGCTTTTGCCTTCGGTCAGGAAAGGGGTGAGTTAAGGATGTTGCCACGCCTGGAAGCTCCCAAGTGCAAGGACCGTACCGGGCTTTAGATTTTTGATGTTGTCTTGCAAGGACTTGAGCCTTGCAAATACAACATCGTTTTCAGGACCCTGCGAATACCCGCAGCGAACATGCCCTTAACAAGACCTGTAAGCTGTGGACAATTATTCTATCGCGGCAACCTACGCTCATCTCCAGGCTTCCGCAAGCGATTCATGCGCTGAAGATGTGCAGCGATATGCTCCTGCTGCCCTAATTCAGGCGGCGCGTGGTCGGTTAACGCAGCATTTCCCCAGCCAGCATTTTCTGTTCGCTGTGCAAGGCTATGTGCATTTATATCTGTTGATGTATGCCAAACGTCTGGGGACAGAAATTAAGTTTTCAAGAAGTCAGACCATATACACTATTAAGTCTGTAACCTTATAGGCAATGCGATTTAAAGTAAGGCGTCTGTATGTGCATTTTCAGACGTTCTCAAGGTATACCAAGTTAGTTGGAATTCCGGTTTGGGGGAAGTCAGCTGACCGGCAAGGCCGGATAACTTCATAGTCAGGGTTTCTGCGTACATAAGTTAGTATGCCGTCAGATCAGTCCTCGTAGAATGGATAGACTGTGCGGATAGATCTGGTGCCGTGACTTTTCGGCGCAGGGCTACGCATGGCTATTGGTTGCTCTTCCAGCGCTTCCTACGCGGCCGAAACTGAAGAGTAATGCACTGCTGTCGGAATATTTTAAGACGTTCATCTAGAGGTGATCCGTCTTTTAGCTTATCCCATCCGCACGCGACTGCACAGGGTACGAGCGGTTTGCCCGCACCTAGTTCCTTCGTCTCTCATGCGCGACTCGCCCCTCAACCTTGTGGACTCTACGGGAGTCTGCGTAACTTCCCCGACAACGTCTTCCTAAGCCCAATGCTAATTCATGTCTGTGTTCCTCCTGCATTTCCGACTCCAACTCTCTAAGCAAAGCCAGACATTTTCAAGCATAAACGAACCGTCAACCGCACAAACAAACCGTCAACCGCATCAACGAGTCAACCCCAACCCAGACCGCCGCCGACTTGGCCCCAAGTTTGCAAGCTCCGCCACACCTGATACCTCGTCACGCCTCCCCGGCAGTAACGGAGTCGTCACCGCTGACGTCCTTGGCACTGCCGCAGAAGATGTAGGCGTTGACTTGGACATTGCCAACATTTGTCGCCAAGCCAACCATCCCCACGCCAACAACAGCGGCATCACCCAACCCGCCCCAGGCGACACCAGCACTGACACCCATCCAAGTCCCGCCTGCAGCTTCCAACACAACCCGAAATTCAGTACGACAATCACTGCCGCTGCAATCATCTGCCGGTACGACAGCAATCTGAACCACCATGGCCACCGCTGTTGCTGCCACTTCACTAGGAATTGCTCAACACCACCAAACCTCCTTACCCTCCTGACGTCATCACCGCCATTGCTAGCACCTGCTGCCGTCGCTAGATCCACCACGCTCATCGCAGCGGCGGCAGTTGCTGCAGCGGCACCGGGCAGCTTCCCGGCATCCGCCAGGTCCCTCCAGCGGGAAGCTATGGAGGCGCACAGCAGGAAGGAGGGCCCTATACAGGCCAGCAGCAGCACATTGCTGATCATTAGGTGGTCTTGAGAGCGAGTCTGAGGAGGAGGAGGTGTTGCTGGAGGAGAAGAAGAAGGTGGCTGTGTGAAGAAGATTGTGCCGTACGCCGTTAGCATGCCGTACCCGCCTGGCGAGATAAACTCCGCTACCAGCCAGGGACCTCCCGCAGCCAGATAGATACCGTACAGGAACAGAGCGACCCATGGGACGTTGATGATCTTGCTGTTGCTGCTGTTGTTGCTGTTCCCGCTGCTGCCGTCGCCATTGCTGGCATCAGCACTGCTGTTGCGGTAAGGGATCCGGTAGCCATGAGCGAGCGCCATGAAATCCCGCAACGGCCACAAACTAAATAACCGCTGAAACGGCCACAACCACCGCCTTTGGCGTTGCTGCCGTACAACGCGCATGGATGCTGCGCCGTGGTTGCTGCAGCCAGGATTCAGCGGCGACAACAGCGGCTCCTGCTCCTCCTCCTCCTCCTCCTCCTCACGCTGTCTCAGCTCCTGCTGCCTTCCAACCCGCAGTTCCTCCTCCTCCTGCTGCAACTCCTCCTTGTCTTCCCTCTCCTCTATCTCGCACTCCTCCGCCGTCTCCGCCTCTTCCCCCGCTCCTCTTACGCCTGCTACTGTTACCGCTGCTGCTGCTGCTGGGGGGCGCAACAACGACATATGTGCCGCAGCAGCAGTAGCAGCAGGAGCTACGCTGCAAGGGCTATAACTTCCGTCCGTACGGCAACTCGGCTGTAGCAACCTCTTCCGCTGCTGCTCCTCCTCTGCTGCTGCATCTTCCTCATCTTCCTTCTGCATCCTATGCTGTCCACCCAGTTGCTTCCTCCCAAACAAACGCAACAATCCCAAGCTACCTGAACCTGAAAACGTCCGGAGGCATCCAGATCCAGTTAGGATCGGCGTTTCCTCCGAACACATGACCACCAGGTACGGCAGTACCAGCAGCAGTAGCAGTACGACACCCCATTGTACGGCAAATGCCACGCGAGCAAACGTCGGCCAGTGTACGTTGATGATCAGCCATTCGGACAGGCTAAGTCGCAGAGGCACCGGAACATCAAATGCCTCTACCGCAGCTACTGCCGGTGCTGCCGCTGCTGCTGCTGCTGCTGCTGCTGATGATGATGATGATGGCTGTGATGATGATGTTGTTAGTGAAAACGGTGACGCAGGTGGCAGTGGCGGGGGGTGCCAATGCAGGGGTCGATCTTCCGTCGTGGATACATCCACACGGTCGGCGCGGTCGCTGCTGCCGGGTGAACCCGCATCAAGGGCGCTCATGCCGCTGCCGCCTGCACCGCTCGCCTTAGCGGCGCCGCCTGCACCGCGTGTCACGTTGGTAGCAGCAATGACGTGTACTCGTACGGTTATAAGGCCCGTCGGGCAGCTAGTTGGCAAGGCGTACGGCCCTTGTGGTGCATGGAAAGATGGGGATGCAGATGCTGCTGATGCTGCTGCTGATGGAGGCAGCACTGCGGTATCAAACAGATCCGCTGTGTAGGTACTGCGGGGAATGGCAGCAGCATGGGGAGTAGGGAGGAGGGTGCAGAGTGCGGTGATTACGGTACGCCATGAATTGGGTATTTGGGTTATCATGGATGGATTGAGTTGCCTAACAGTCTATTGCATTGGGTTGATGCTCAGGAAGGCTTTGGGTCACTCTGAGTGATGAGGAAGACCGCGGATAGCGGCGGTGATGCTATTGTTGCTACCGGCATATGTGACATGAAAGCATGCATGGGACGGCTTATATCGGCGGCGCATGTACGACAAGAGTACGACAGCAGCCGGCATACCTGTAGTTTGCCGTACGGCTCTCTAGTTGCATCTCCAGCACTCCCGATCTCGACTCTTCTGATGGGGCATTTAGGGATGACGACGTCGACGCTGTCGGTACTGCTGTTGGCGCTGCTGGTGGTGGCGGTGACCGCTGCCCGCAAGACCACAGCAGGTAAACAGCAGCCGGTTTCGGAGCAGGAGGCACCGAAGTGGGATTCGCCATCATCGGCAGCACCACAACACGTACGACAAAAGAAGGTTTCACTTCGTCTGCTACCGCCTCTGTCGTACTGTTAGTAGCACTACTGTTGGCAGACGTTGTGTCGTACAAGGGCCGTAGCTGGGGGCTATAGCGTGCGTCTGGCGGGCTGGTCATCAGGGGCAAGTACGACAGTCCCATTGTACGGCTTTTATCGTACGGTACGAGTTGAGGTCCGGCGGATTCTGTCGATACCTGTACTGCAGCTTCTGCTGCTCCTGCTGAATCCAGAGGGCCCTTTTGTTGACGCTGGAAGCTGAAATCTGCAAAGCCAATGACGGCGCCCTTGCCTCCACTGCTGCTGGTGCTGCTGTCAGTTGCTGTCGTTGGATCCAGATCAACCGTCAGCAACCGTACCGTACGACCGTGCTTCCAATCCACGGATTCCAGCTCGACCAAATACCCGGCATTGGTACTGGCAATACCGGTAGTGGACGAGGAGGAGGAGGAAGGAGGAGAGCGGTGCAGCCTGTGCAGCCGGCGACCAAAAGCTCCATGCAGGTGACCTGACAGGTAGGCAGTAACACCGTGACGCAGCAAAACCTCCTGTACGGAAGATAACGATGACTGTTGACCGTTGTTGACCGGTTTAGGATCAGCAGGAGATTGCTGCACGACATACGAGGTAACGGAGAGCGGGTAATGGCCGTACGCGATGTATGATGGAGAGCAGTTGGCGGCGCGCATGGCGGTTAGGGAGGCGGTTAGACGCTCGTCCAATTCGTTGAGAACGTCTTGACGTATGACGCCGAGAAAGTTGGTTGGACTCCGCATTCCTGGATCCAGCGAAGCATCTATCCCAACTAACATAACCGTTGGACATGTGGGAGGAGACTTCGAAGCTGATCTGTCGTACACTGGGTCGATGAAGATGCGACCCGTGGATCCGCCTTCGCTGGCCCATTGCTGCTGCATGTTAGCGAAGCTTTGGCTTCGGCTGATGCTGCTGGTGTTGCTGTTGCTCATGTTGCTGCTGCTGTCCTTGCTGCCGTCATGCACCTCGCCAAGGAGTCTTGCGGCGCGGGCACTGTAACGGCAGAAGAAGTCCTGGGGACCGCACCTTGGAGGCGCATTATGGGGCAGGAGGCATGGGGCATCAGGTAAGATGCATGAGGTAAGAGGCATAAGTTACGAAACCTAAGGTGCGGGACATGGGGTACAGAATATGGGGCACACCAGGAGGACATAGCGTGCCCCCAGGCAAAGGGTTGTGCGGCGGCCCAACGTTTGATACGCTCCGTACCTGGGGCCGGAGTTGAAGGTGTCGTGATTGCCGCGAACGTCGTACACCGCTCCGTACGGAATACCGCCGTATGACATCAGGCCCCGCCAGACGGTTTGATATGTCTGCGAGCGGTTGGGATGTGTTAAGAAAACTGGCCGCGAGTAGGAGCGGGCAGAAATGTCGAAAGATGATGTTGGGGTGTGTATGTATGCGGCATGTGACAGGCATAAGCAAAACACGTGTGAGGTGTTGATGAGGCCCGTGACAAAGCAAAAAGATGATTACAAAGGGATTCCAGATTATTTTGTCTCCCTTCCCTGCCCCTTCCGCCATACAACTCCAACATGCCACCCTCCCCCCCTCCCGCTGCTGCCGTACACAACCTCACCCACGCCCTCTGCCGTTTCTCCCCGCCTCCAACCCCACATTCTCCCTCCCTCCTTTGTCGTACACCCTCAAACCGCATGCGACATACCTGCCACTCCCCCTCGTACTGCCGGCCCCTGCCGTACACGTCCTTTGCCTCCGTCAGATCCCCGGTCAGTACGGCGGCCGACAGCGGCCAGTGGGACAGCAGGGACGAGGACAGGAGGAGCAGGTCCGGGGCACGCTGTGGGTGAGGGGATGGGGAGCAAGAACAGCGGGGGTGTGCGGAGGATGGGACTGGGGCTGAGGAGTACAGGAGGGAGGGGAAAGGAAGCCCCGTTCGCCGACCTTTGGGCTTTGAACCAGCATTTCACCAGGACAGAGACAGCGTCAAATAACAGATATCAGCAGACATCGCGCGGATTACCCCTACCTGCGGATCCCCCTTGGGTTCCTCCATGTGACTGATGTGGATGTCCGTCAGGTGGAGCAGCAGCTGCACCCTGCCACCACTGCCGCCGCCGCCACCGCCGCCTTGACCTACACCACCAGGGTGGCTGCTGTAGCCGCCGCCGACCACTTCAATACTGCTGCCGCTGTCGCCGCTGCTGCTGCGTACGTTGTTAGCATCGTTGGTTGCAGCTCCGTTGAACGCGACTGCAGGCCCCGCCGTTGCTGTTGCTGCTGTTGAATTGGAATGATCGAGGTTTGGGCGGTTAGGGGGTGGAAGGATAGGATGGGCAGGCGGAAATAAGATTACGAGGGCGTAGAGGCGTGCATGGTGACGATGGAGCGTGCTGGTAACAGGTCCATGGTGTAAATTGAAACAAAGCGCAATGCTGACGGGGATTGAAAAGACATGTTAAGGGTACTATATATGCGACGCCCCAGGCCAGAAGACACCAGAAAAAGGATATTTCCGAACGCTTGCTTGTGCAAAAAGTGAACAGTATGCACACTCCGGATACATAACTGTCTTCAATACTAAGCTTATTTTCCGACCAGCCATAAAGGAGCACTATTCTCCAATGGAAGCTGGATAGTCGACATGATGTCATAGCCAATGAGAACTGCTTACCAGCTGCCAGCATTAGAAGCAAAGCGCAAGCCACTGTCCTCATTGTTTAGTTGCGTAAAAGCCTTTAAATGACTCAACATGAGGACGATGGCTGTTGCTAGGTGGCCATCACTGTGGGGCTCTTCTGTGTGCGCTCCTGAAATCAATCAGCCAGTGAAAGCATTCAACCAACCATCGATAGCCTTGACATGTTGTAGAGTCGCAACTATATCTACGAGGCATCAGCTTGTGTTTAGTAATCGTTGTTGTACGCTGCTCGTACCCCTTGCACCGCAAGTCGGTAACTGATAGCCCTCTTGCTCCTTGACAGACCAAGCCGCCTTTGGCCCGGAGCTCTAGACAGGCGATGCGGCCTTAAATTCTACATCTGACTGTTTGACGTGTTTGCTCTTTGCTGGCGTGGTTGTGATGTTTCGGCGATGGATGGGGTATGTTGGGAGTCCAAGTTGGGAAAAGAGGAAACTACTAACCGTGTCCATGCTGGGAGTCCAACTTCTCAGATCTTCAACCTTTCCCTCATATCTTCTCTTACAGTGTATAACGGGAAAGATATAGAGTTTCTCCATGCATCGCATTCTCCGTTTCGTACACCCAATACACCCAAAGCAACACGGAACCGTACACGAACGCAAATTGTAATACAGCTTATTGTTGTAACATACACTAGCCGCACATTATAAGCCAGCCATTCGTCGACTAGCTGCTCTGCCGATCAGCTGCTGCTACTGCGCTGAAACCTATACCGGAAGAGCAGGATCCCTGGCAGCACGCGCCAATAACGTACTACACCTATTCGAGCGGTACAATACGGCACGGTCGCACCCACACTTCAGGCGAATGCAGAAGTGCACAAACGCCGCAAAACACACAGCACAATCGCACGCACGAAGCAACTCCTCTAAACTATTAAGAGAGCGGTCCGACCCACTTCCGAAAACACATTGTGGAAACACGCATGTGTGCATGCGAGGAGCAATCGTCAACAACCGTCCCGGCATCCTCCCTCCCTTCTCCTCCTACATGCACCCCGCCGCTGAATCTTCTTCCTGGTATCCGTGCTTCTTGTTTTGCTTCTTCGCCTACTTCTTGTTCTTCTTCTCCAACCTGCCGTCTCGCCCCACCTCACCGCGCCCGCGACTAATGGCTTCAAACCTGTCGGGTATCAAAAAGGGTGAGGGAGTGGATTAGGCAACAGCAAGATCCCGAGAACAGGAGAACGAGTGCAGGCAAGGCGGGAGCTGCTAAGAGCACTTCGGCAGGAAGAAAGAGAGGACAGTAAGCCCTGCTGGATGTGGTGGCCTACCAAGCGTAGTCCCACCCATGCATCAGACCCATGGGTCTTTCTGGATTTCAAAGCAGGCCTACCAGCCGAATCCCACCATTCACAGGCATCTGGGTGACGTGTCCCGAGAGGAGCCCTCCTGGTCACCTGAATCCTCTTTCCAACACCCCATACCAGGCTAACAACACCATCTCAACCATGCCACAACCCCTTGTCACACCCACATACCCGCTTGCACACCTGCCCTCACGGGGCCCCGCCTTCGCGCTATCTCTTACCTTGATCACGGGGAACTGGGTGGTGTCCAGGAAGAAGTCCTTCTTGGTCGCCTCGTCCTTCAGCCAGCGCGTGTTCTGGCCCGCAGTGGCCTTGAGCACGAACACCAGGCCGCCCGCCTTGAGGATGCCGCGCAGGGGGATCTGGGGGGAGGGGGGAGCAGGCAAAACAGCGAGCAGCGGCAAGTAGGTACATGATGGCATAGGGGGGTATATTATGACATATGATGTACATGATACTCAATATCTTCAACACTCCTGCACCCGCCTCCATGTCCCCCCCTGTAGTTATAAAAAAATCTTTCTCCTTAAACCTTTCTCCCTGTCCCGCCCATTCCTGGCTCCCCTGCCACCCACCTGCAATAGCAGCACATACACGGCGCTGTTGCCCTCGGGACCCGACACCTGCTGCTTCTCAAACCCGCACTGCCAGGCGCCACCTGAGGGGAGGGGGATGGGAGCGTGAACAGAAAGGGACTGACTGACTGCATGATAAGGCACCGCCATGGGTTGCAACACATGGCTGTCGACCCACCCCAAGATCCCGGCCCTGGTCGGATCCGCCAGGAACAAGCTGAAAGGGCAACGTAATCGGGTCCCGCATCGTGAGTGTGATTGCCTCCCACCAATCAACGGGGTCACTCTGCCCGATGACGGGGGTGACCGCTCCGAGACGGCCTGGCGCATCCAGTCGGCCATCGCGCTGACGATGCAGGACCCGATTACGTTGCCCGTATGGATTCCAGCTTGCTCCCATAGAAACTACCCAAAACATGCCGCTTAGGCCATGGGAGCGGAGCCCGTTTAGAGCGGGGCGTGCAGGAAATGCACGCCCCGCTCTAAACGGGCTCCATGCCTCCATCCCCATGAGCTAAGCGGTAGGTTTTGGGTCGTATGGGGGCGGTTGGGTTCCAATGGTTATGGGGTGGGGCATGTAAGCACGTTTCCCCGCGCATTACCCCTCCCCCTCTTTCCCTCACCCGCATCCACCACCCTGTTCGGCGAGGCCACCCAGCCCTGCGGCGGCAGGCCCCAGGCGCCTCCCGCCACGTCAGTCGCGCCCCAGTGCAGGATAAGGCCCTCCAGACGGGACCAGGAGGCCTGCGTGCAGGAGGGAGAAGGAAGGAAAGGGAGTAGTGAAGATGGCGCAAACACCCACCGGCCAGCCCGTGTCGCTGCCCTAGGGCTGTATCCTGCGACCTGTCCCCAAGAGACACGAGTCGCTGCAGCGCCCCAGCCCTCGCCGCTAGCCTGTCTGCGGTTCCCCTCCTCCTGCCACCGCACCACCCCTACCAGCACCCCGACCCGCACTCTCCGACCCATGGGTCATCACCTGCCGCTGCGTCTCCGTCGCCACCAGCGCAATCAGCGCCGTCTTGTCCAGACCCTGTGTGTGTGGGGGGGGGGGGGGGTGCAGAGAAATGTACGACGTAAGCGTGACAACCAGGGTACCGCTTTCATACAAGTAACGGCGTCAACAATGCAGGCATGGGTGCCGGCGTGTGTGCCGCTGGAGAACAGCACATGCGTGGGAGTGCTGACAGCGGCCGATGGTCACATGCGCGCGCGCCCTGTTCATAAGTGGTGAGGAGGCGCGCGACGACAGCTCCATTGGGTTCCCCTCCGCCGCTTTCAGCCATCGTTTCCCCACCCTCGGATAGCTACCACCCTCCGGCATCATGCTCCAGTACGCTTCACGCGCGCTTCCTGGCCCCCTTTGCTTCTAGCACGCGCTCGCGGTTAGTTGCTGGTCTGGATTGTCTGCTTGCTACAGCTGATGATGCAGTATAACCCCATGCACGCTCCTCCCCCCCGTCAGCCCCACCTGCTGCAGGGTTACGCCCGACACGCACAGGGCCGCATCCACATCGGTGGTGGTGAAGGAGATGGAGGCGGCGTCCAGGTCGCCCGAGGACTTGCCCAGGGCCTGAGGGGGACAGGGGGGAGGAGAAGAGGGAGGAGGGGGAAGGGGGTGGGAGGTGGTGAGGGGAAATATAAATGATACGAAGGAAGAGGGAGAGAAGGAGTGGGAGAATAGGTTAATGGATAATGGAAAGGCGGCTAGGAAGGGGAGCCGAGAGGGAGGGACGTACAGACAATTACAGAACATTACAAAGAGAGAGGCTTTACGTAGTGCACTTGCCGTACCTGTTTCAGTTGAAGGCAAGCTAGCGCCTCCAACCGCTCATGCAGGTCCCGGGGCAGGTCGTTCAGGTTGATGTCGCCCACATGGGACAACTTGAAGTCCGCAGCTGCCAATCCGGATCCAGATCCGTTACCAGATCCGTTGATGGATCCTGTCGTACTGCTGGAAGAAGCGGTTGAGACGTACTTGGGTTTGAAGGAGGAGGCGGAGGAGCGGATGGCTGCTGCCAGCTCCCTGTTTAAGTGCGTGCGTGTGTGTTTTGCGGGGCGGGGATCGGGGAGGGTAAAGGAAGGGATTGAGGAGGGGGGATGGAGGACGTATGAGAAGGGGAGAATACTCATCATCTTTCCACCACCATCCTTCCTTTCTCGCATCCAACCCCCTTGCCCATAGCCATGCTCGTTCGCCACACCCCAATTCCCCCCCCCTACCGGCTGTAGTCGGCCTCCTGGCTGGTAGCAGCAGCACCAGCGGAATCCGAGCGGTGCTTCGAGATGTAGGATGTCCATGAATCCCAGGCAGTAGCAGGCGATGCGCTAGCAGAGGCAGCCACACCTGAGGTGAAGGTAAAATACTCGCCACTAGTTCCGATATGCGCATGCGTGTGGCTAAAGGCGAGGCCCCAATCATGCAGCGAGTCTTCAGAGGATTGCTGGTCTGCAGCTTGGGTCAACGCCTACACACAGGCTGACCTCACCCTTGCTAGCAGCGCGCCCCAGAATAGGAGCAGCTACCGGACGATGCAGGGCAGCGGCTGCCGGGGCCCTGCAGTTTACAGAAACCAAGGCCAAAAGCGCAGGCATCGGCGATAATCCAATCCTTGGCATAAACACATGCCAGTGAAAGATGTGGCATGTGTTGTATACAATTATGGCTTGCCATATGTATAAGCTTTTCCATCTCCACCCACCTCGACAGGGTAGGCTTTACCGACGTATGCATTTCGCCTCCCGTCTGCGCACCAGCAAGGAACGCGCGTGACGCAGATCATAAACAGTCATATCATGTCGGGTATGGATATTCTCTCCATGCCGTGCCTTGGACACTGCTTGACTTAGGGTCATTGGGCGATCGCGCTCTCTTGACATACAAAGGTGGCAAGATGGGATTTAAAAAGGTCCCAATTTTGCCCCGAGCCGCCTAAACTGCTTAGATCGCCAGAATGGTAGCCCTAGCGGACAAAGCTGCAAGGTCGGGTCACATTCATACAAACGCGCCTGTCGGCCAACCTGTAGGCTTAAGCCTCTTAAGTCTTGATCTATTAAGCCTCCGCTTTCGCAAGAGCTGGTTGCAGCCAGGTGGGCGTGAGCGACTAACGGTTTCAGAAGTAGGTATGACCCAAGCGCTGCAGGCAGGAGCACAATGCGATACTTCGAATGTGATAAATTGCCGCTGGGTCCTAGTGTTGATCTATGCCGTGTTGCTGTTGAGAGCCACCCAGCACCGACCCACCATTCGATTATGGTCTCGGAGTGCCGTACGTCTCGGCTGCTCAGGAGTCAGGACAGCGTCGCGGCCGCTATAAGGTTGCATCAACGCAAGCGTACTTGCATATGGAAGCGCATGTGGGTGTGTTGTTACCTGTGCACGAGTTACATAACCTACAGCTGATCGTTTATGATCCGGTATTCTGCATTAGTCATCCATTAGTGTACTCCTAGAGGTGCCTGTGTAGTCCTGCCTCGCCATTACTACATGCTCTTCACCTGATTGCAGCTGCCTCGTCATATGTTCATAGAACGTATGACATGTCATCATTGTTGCAGACTGGGACAATTGCTTAATGCATTCCGCCTATTCATCTGTGACTCTTAAACTTTGTAAGGTGTCTTTACTGAGGAGGTCAAGTAAGCGGGCAGAAAAGAAGTGCGCGTTCGGGAACAGGAACGAAGACCCTAGGCTGCTTGTTCACAGCATGCATGAGCGGGGGAGCATGTGCAGAACTCGCGCAGCAACTCTCCTTGCGTTCATTTAGTCATAGACATTCCTTGCTACGGAATATTTCCAGCATTACATAATAAACCAAGCTACTGTTGTAATAGCAGGAAATCCAGATAAATGCACGACATTGCGTGCATGTTGTACGGAGCAACAGCAACATAACTTAACTGGTCTCCCACAGCGTACGACAGGGCGGGGAAGGTACAGAGTACACATTATCATCGCCACTACCCTTCCCTTCGTCGTCTCTGGGCAAGGCAAGCAAGCAAGCGAGTAGCAGCAGCAGCACGGCAACCATACCCCAATGAAATACACACCAAAACGGTTGCTCGTTCCGCGTCCAAGTCACCAACCGCCTTGTGTAATTGAGCGCAATAGCTCTCACGCACACTGTAATCCACGTCTCCCTTGCAATCCAATCCATGTCTTCTTTCCTTAAATGGTGGTGGGTAAGCTGTGCAATCCAGCCATCAAACTCCTCCTCAACCCACACCTAAAACAAAACGTACATACCCACAAACAAAATAGGATGTACTATTATATCCAACACCGCAACTCATACCAATCCTGTTCATCCCAACGTGCTCCTTTCTCCCAACGAACGAGTCTTGGTTCTACAGGGCAAATCACTCAACCATCCTTTGGGATAAGACGAACATGACAAAGGTAGAGAGAAGCATAGGGAAGCATAAAGGGGGTCGACAGGAGGAGACAAGGCGGCAGGTCGAGAGGACGAGGAAACAATCCAAATTCTTCAGCCTAAGAGCCCAGGCGCGTTGGCGACAAATGTAAGCAGCGACCGACTACGAAAGAAATGTGAAGTCATAACAGTCAACAGCCGATTTGCGCTAAACGGAAACTGCTCTGGGCTCCATATCAAATAAACGCTTCCTCGTCCTCTCCCTCACCATAATCAAAACCTTCTATTTCTTCGTCACTCCTCTCCCATGTCTTGGCTTCTTCGCTCTTCTCTCCCTCGTACTGTCCCCGTCCAACACCAAACCCAGGACGGCCCCTTTCGAACCAACCCGCGAGGCAATCCAACCAAACCCTGGGAAAATAAGCACACCAAGACCACCGCGGCGCTGTACGACATTGTACGCCAAATGCTCCGCCATTGCATGCCGTACATCCAGCACACAGCTTACCGCCATGTCTGGCACGGTGTGGCATGGCCTGTCGTACATCTCGGATGCTGCCGTTTAGCGATCCTACATGCCACCTTCCCAAGAGGTGTAGCCCCACGGCCCAACTCGCTCAACAAAATATGAAAGGAAACAACGCAAGGCCTGAGCCCCAACAGCATTAAACCACACCTTTCTCTCCCACTCAGGCCAGCCGTCCACCCGGCATCAAATCGTCCACCTCATAGAAGGCCTCCGCTCCATAAAAGACCCGGCACATAAAACTACACCTCCTTCCTCCTCCCTTCATGAAAGCCCCAGCATACCGATATATCTCTTCCTATCCTTTTCGGCATGGTGCCATAACCACGCACAACACACCACCCAGCACCACCACAACGAGCGTTCCTCTTAAAGATTTCCCTTCCAATGTCTCTACATCAACCCGCCACGTTCTATCCAATTAAATATATCCGAAAGGCGATAAGGATGATGATGTAAGCCGTAATAAATATGTGTCGCATACAATACTTCCTGTACACGTCGTACATACAAATATGCCGTATTCTGCTCCTTACGTGCTCCTTAACACTAATCCCAAGCACTATCTGCTATCCATACACACAACGTGTTATTGGCAATGAACTCGTGTAACGCACATCAAACAGGAACGAGGAATTGACGAGTGAAAAGGAGAATGGCAAGTTATAAGCGAAAGAAGGCAGACAGACAAAACATACAGACAGAGCTAAGGTACAAATGTCTGTCCTTGCAGAAGGGCAAGGAGCTCTCATGACAAACGTAGCAGCCGTACACACACATCATGCGCGCCACACACATGCGGCCCTACGGTGCACAAAATATAGGCGTAGCAGTACCAAGCACAGCACAAAGCGCGACTCAGACACGGCTACCTAGCAAAGCGAACCCATGTCTATCCTGTCAAACCGCGTGGCGGGAATGCGTCGTCATATGCGTCCCGACCCATTCCTGCGTCCTCACGGAGTGAGGACCCAGATCGACCCACATCACGCCAATGAGTCACCTGTCGACCGGCTGCAGGGACGGCCGCAGGGGCAGCTGGTCTGGTGAGCTATGCCGTATGGGGAACCGACGTTGATAGGCGACGAAGGCCCGAAGCAGTAATTGATAGGAATGGGTGGCAGACCGTGAGACGATGTAGGACCAGGCGTTGGGCAGCGGGAGGATGGATGCCCTATAGGATGGGGAGAGGCCAGCAGGGGCGAGGAGTGGGGCAACATTGGCGGTAAGGCTTTGCAAGCGTGCACAGTCGAGGAGGACGGCTCAGAGCAGGAAACGTTTGCAGTTTGCAGTAAGGGTTTTCAACACCGCTGCTCCCAGGCCATTATTTATACGAGAGACTATAAGTGAGACATGATTAGAATGTAATACAGTACCAAACCCTTCCCAAGCCTCCCAATGCGGTCATGCACGGCACTAGCGACAATCCTATCCAGAGAGTAAACCGTGGAACTGCATCTTACCGTGATTGACGCCGCGGGAAAATGTCAAGCCGACGAGCGAGGAAGCCGTCCAAACGGACGGAGACAGCATGAAGTTAACCGCAACCCGCCTTCAAGGGCCGCTGTGGGAGGAGCGTGTGACATTGGAAACCGGGAGCCGACAGGCATCAGTAAATGGATAAATTGGAAAGGCTGGTAAATGCAAAGGCTGAGGTAGCAGATCGCTGAGGATTCGGCGAATGTATGACCCAACGACTTATTGCTCCGGCGTGAAGTTCACAAAAGGGGTTGACATGCGTTTCAAGACTGGCATGAAAACATGTCACACGTACCGCTTAACTAGGTAAATGCTTGCAAGTGCGAACAATCGGGGCCGCCAAACGGTCGGCAGGGCGAAGTTATAAGCTATACCTTGAATAGAAAGAGCCCTTCAAGGGTAATCTTGTTGTGATTACGCAAGGACGTGACGCTCGTCCGTCCAGTGAGGAGGATCCCGCGAGGCGAGGACGTAACCCCCTATAAACGAAGGGCCGCAAGTACAGAGACCTGTCAGTGTTGACAGCATTGACTGTTAAGTGTTGCAACGCCAAATGTTGAGTGGTCGAACGGCTTTGCAACAAACAACAATCCTACATCGAAGGCATCCTTCCCGCTTGGCTACAAACAATTAACAAGCCCACTTCGAGGGCGTCCCAATCACGCGTTGCAGTGGCTTGTTATTGCGACTATGCCCTTCGAGTTTTGGGCGCCAGGCGACACTGGTACGCCGAGCGGGTCGAGCAGGTTCACCTGCTTAAACGGCAGTGCCCTGTAGAGAGCAGGCGACGAAGCAGCGGCGACCTGGCTACTTGCTAGCGAGTCAGAAAGTGGGATGACCGGTGGGGGCGCCATATTTCTGTGACGCTGGGAGGACGTGATAGGTAAAGGCGTCAACAGTAAATGAGAATCATTCCTACCAATAAAATGGGCACTATGTAGGCACTGAAGACGTCGAAGCAAGTTACCCGCCAATTAAATATGGCATTTGGAGGGACGGCGGCCACAAAGAAGAAATCCTGCTAGGGCCTGATACGTACGGCGCGGCTGGTAAGAAGCTCGTCCAACAGCTGGCAGCAGCAATCCTCTTGCCAACCAGGCGTGCCGTCTTTTCGCTTTTTGTAATGCCGGTTACCATGCTGTAAGTTGTAGTATAGCGGCCAGCAACTCAGACAAGCTCGAACAGTAATGGCGAATTAGGAACCCAGACATGTTTAAGCATGTTGCCATATTCATTACCTTTTGTATATACCTGCTAGGGCATACCTTACATATAGCACAGGCGCCATTCTACTGGTGCAAATATCCCGCCTATCAGGCCATTTGCTTTTTAGCAAACTATGTAACAGGCAGCATTTGTAAGCAACCATGAGGCGTTCTTGCTAGCAACGACAAGGAAAGTGGCCCGTTGACACAATACCTCGCCGTCAGTTCTTCTCAGCCATGGCCTTTAGCTAGGCCTTGCGCAGTAATGTCCCACCATCAGACTCGTTGATATACCGCCGGTATATCTGCCCATTCACTTCACGATAGATACCACCGGACCAGGAGGTCTCCCTCCGTCTTATACCAATAGCCTTGGAAGGCAAGGCGTTTGCCAGCTTTACCGGTACTCGCCAGTTGTCCCAGCTCTGCCCCTCTTCGTCATCACCACCGCTTTTGTTCCCACACCAACAATTGTCAATGCCAACATCATATCCACCCACTCTTGCCCACTTCTGATGCAACGTGTTATATTAAGGTGCTTCCGCTTCACACCCGCCCCTGTCTTCCTCTGCTGTTCTTGTTACATATTACTGCTTCCCCGATGCCTCTGCCGCCGCTGCTGCGGCCTCCAGCTCCTCCACCGTGGGAACCTTATTGAGCTGCTCCTCTATGGCCTCCAGGCCCTTAAGCATGCGTACGGCATCCTGCATCGCGGCCAGTTATTTTAACACATGTAACGCATTAGTAATTGAAATGTGAATGTGAATGAATGACCGCTACAGTGATCCCAAAACCGGAAGGCATGGGAAAGCAGCCGATACCCAGCCCTAAACTGCAAGAAAAATGGGCAGAGCCCCGAGTCGAAGGGGACCAGCCCCCACTAGAACGCCCGTAGGCCAGGAAAGACTGGGTTGGCAGCCCAAGGGAGAAACACCAGCAGTAAGGTTTCAGCAGAGGGTATGTAACAGTGTAACACTGAGTAGGCTCAGGGTATGCATGGCACCCTATGCTGCTCTCTATGGGGACTTGTGGCCGGTGGTACCGCATGCTGAAGGTACAGGGCACAACTGGAAGAGGGGCAATCCAGGAGGTACCACCCACCCCCACCTCCTCATCTTGCATGTTCTTGTTCAACATGATTTCCTCGCCCAACACGTTCAGCAGCGCCTCGTCGTCCAGCAGCTCATCCATCAGCTCTGTGAGCCGCTCGTCTATCTCTGCTTTATCTATGGGGCCTGAGAGGACGGGGGCAGGGAAAACCAGGGAAGGATGGTCAGAGAGAAGGGGGCAAAGCGCACAAACAAAGAGGGATTGAAGGGGCGCACGCTCTTGACATGGCTAGAAGTGCGCCGCCGTACAGGAGGCCAGTGCAGCACCATGCTGTCCTCACACCCCGGCTGCCCTCTCAACCCTCGTCTCCCCTCCTTATCCCCTGGATTTTCCACCCGCAAGACGTCATAGCTCACAAGGACCGTACGAATGCTCTCCGGTGCGCCCAAACCCACTGCTTGACCTCTCATCCCTAACATCCCCTAAATCGCTTATGAAGGCAACTTCCGGTCAAACGTGTTGTAGGCGACAGGTGCCCGCCAGACCCAATCCAACGCTCAATCCTCCGCCCCCGCGCGACCCTCAAGCCCTCTTCCATCCCGTGTCTTAGCCCCGAAACCCAAACTCACGGTTGTCGTATGCGTAGGTGCCCGCAACACCCATGCCCAGGCCTAGGAAACCAAATAGCATCTCGCGCCGCGAGGGGGGCTGCAGCCCCGTCTTCTGAGGAGGTGGAGGCGGCGGAGGAGGTGGAGGCGAGCCGCCAAAACGAGAGGGGCCGCTGCTGGGGGCTCGAAGGGGAATCGGCTCCACATCTACATCGTACGACGCCCTGCTGGGAAATGGTGAGTTGGACATGAGGAAGAAAGTAACGGAGGTCGGAGGTCCCCAAGTAGGCATGGTAAGGATGTCGGGGATAAGGAGTGTTCGGTGTGAACAACAAGGTAATAGCCGCTTGCTTGCTGCGTTTGGTTGGTCATGTGACGGGTAAGCAGCAGGGAAACGCCCTGGAGCTAGCCTGACGGCCTAAGCGAAACACACGTGAAGCTGCAAGGATGCAGCCCTGCAGCTAATTGTCCGCAGGGTTATAGGGAGGAATTGAACCTTGTCGTCGAAGTCGTGCATGCATGGCCGTGGAGTATCGCAAGGATACGACGCAATAGGCGAATTATACTCAACGCTCATACCTTATCACGCAGGTGCCAGCTCGACTTGTTGGTCGGCCGAAAGCTCCGAGCGTCCGGCGCCGAAACTGAGCTGGCGCATGGCGGCCAGAAAGATGCTTTACGCTTGTCGTCATCACACAGCGGGATACACTGTAAGATATAAGTAACTTTCCGGCGACTAGACGCTATAAATACCAAAAGGAGGACAGGGCCTAATGTTGTCGACCGAACCACAAAGGCGCAGGGACGTAATGTACGTAAGGTTACGCTGATGTCTTGTCCTGAAGCATGCAATACGAAAGGTGCGCCTAAGGCACGCTAAGCCAAAACGCCGCAAGTCAACGCCCAGTACGGAGTCGTACAGCGTGCAACATGTCTGCTCTAGCGGTATGATGGCCAGCACCGGTACCATTACCACTAGTCCACATACTACGGCCACGGAGCACACGATGGTACATTTCCCAACCTCTAGCAACCCGACGGCTTTAGATGTGTTTGGAGTGCCAAGCCTGAGGCAGTCAGGCTTGAGCTTCCGGAGAGGGCTAAGACCATGAACTGAAACCTCTTTCCAGCCATCAAACCCGTGTCAACCAACGTGGAAGGCTGGGTCAGACTGGGTCTTGCCACCAGCGGTCCTGTCACCCGGCTTGGACACCAGCAGTAGCTCTGGAGCTAGCAGCCACCCTGCTCGGATGCCAACGCATGTTGCTTGCAGTCACCACAGCATGCACGTCCAAGTCCTTTTAGAAATTTATAAATGTCTTTGGTTTGCTTCCAGCGCCCTTGAGCGGAACTTCGGAGCGCGGTCCAGCGTCATGACAAGAACTGGTCACTGCATAAGGCTTCGGTCGCTTTGCTAGGCAATGCTTTGTTGGTCGACATGGCTTACCCCATCTGAACATAACAATATGCTGTTCGCATAGCGTAGCCTAAACAACCGCCATCATCTGCGCCACCATAAACAGGGCTTAGCCCAGTGCCAGCACGACAGGACATCTGTTCGGCGTTTATCCTATTTGTCCATTATGGAAATCGACGACGGGGGAGGTGGCGAAATTCTAGCAGCTCATCCGGCCCAGAAGTCGGAAACGACATGGATAGACCTACCATACCATTTATTGGAGGTGTGCGCGTCCTTATGGGGGTGCAGTCGGCTCCTAAACATGATTGTGCTAAGCGCGACGTGTCGCGGCTATCTGATTCCGATCACATCAGGACTCCTTGTGTCCAAGAGGGTGACACGCTTTGTCCTGAGCATGTGATGATGAAAATGCACACACTGTAACCAGGAATGGCGTTGCCTTGGGCACACCAACTGCTAGCCCTTGCTGTGCTCCGGTCATGCGGCGGGTCGTGCCTCCTTAGGGACGTGTCGCGTCTCTCAAACTTTGCGCCACGTTTCTATTCTAGTCACCCATATGCTCCTTACTCTATTTCCCCGAACCGTCTCCACATATCGATCCTTAAAGGGAGCCTTGTCGTCATCCTGCAATCGCCCACACTTCCTCTACCGCTCTGTCGCTGATCTACACCAACCTGCTGCTTACCAACACAAGCATTGTCCTCCTGATATTTCTGACAGGCGATTGGAGGGCATTTGTACGGCAATGACTACCTGGCTGCTCGCCTGGTGTGCCGTACATGGCGCATGGCAATATCGCCGGTCACGCAGACGATTAAGGTGTGCGGTTGTGCGGTTGGTTGCCATTCTTCCGTACGGTTTCCATGACCTCCCGCCATCCGCATTCCCTCCTCAACAGGTCCACCTGCACCACCCCAACCTGCGACCCGCGGGTCGGCTGGCGGCCGTGAAGAAAGCCTTCCCCAAGTGGGTGTGGGTCTTACTCGGCCGCAAATTAGGTTTGACGATTGGAGTAGGGGCGCCCTACGCCTGTAACGCCAGTTTGGGGGCCACAGAAGGGGCAGCCTTTATCCCCAGGATATGCTGGTTTACCCCCGATCAGTGGGGCTACCCCGCGACACGGCACGTGCTACGACATCCCATCCCCATTTTCGCGGTTTTCTTCCACCAAAGCCTCCCCACGCTATGAAACACATAGCCGCCCTCCTCTTCCTTACCCCCCACCCCTCGAGCCCGCACATCTCACTCACCTGCACCCGCACACAGGGCCAGCCGTCTAACCCTGTACGTGGATGCGACCACCGGACCCGAGCAGGCGGTTAACATCAGGGTGAGTAGGTGCTAGCTAGAGGGATAGCGGGATTGCAGCCAGCTTTCACCCCTCTCTTTCCTGCACTACTGGCCAAAACCGTGACCCCAACCAGTCGACCCAAATCAATAAACGCCCTTCACACAGACGGCATGCGCCGCCACCCTGCAAGCCCTCTCCGCCACCTCCGCCACTACTGCCGCCATTGCTGCTGCCGACGGCAGCGGCGGAGCCGGTGGTATCGGCGCTGCAGGAGGGGCGTCAGGCCCCCTGCCACCAACAACAGCTGCAACAGCTGCATCAACAGCCATCATCAGCGGCGCCAGCGGCAGCAGTAGCAGCGGTGGCAAGGACGACCACGCCGGCGATGCTGGCAGCAGCAGCAGCAACAGCAGCAGCAACGAAAACAACGGTTTGCGCTGGCAGTACATGTCGTTGACGGTTGGCATGTCCGTACTGCCGCTCAATCGCGACCAATGGGACGCCACCACACACCGCCTCACGCGGCTAAGTCAGGTTGTCGTGCAGCAGGTGTTGTACGGCATGTCAGATGCGCTGCCGTACTACCCCCACCTGCGCCACCTGACCACGCTGGAGCTCACGGCCCCGCCCGCGCTGTTCGCCGCCCTCTCCCGCATCCTGGCGGGCCAGGCTGGGCCGGGGAGCGGCGCCAGCAGCAGCAGCAGCGCAGCTGACAAGGACAGGAACAAGCACCGAGACAAAGCACAGGGCAAGCAACCCTCCTCAGCAGCCACCACCCCCACCACCGATTCCACCTCCACCACCACCACCAGCATCACCCCTGCCACGCCGTTGCCGGCCCTAACGGAGCTACGGTTCACAAAAGCGGAAACGGTGGGAGGCGGCGGCGGCGGCGGTGCTGGTGCTGGTGGTTTCGGAGTGGGAGTGGCGGGGGATCGCAGCAATGCTGCCCACCTGGCTGTGGCAGTGGAGGCGCTGGGAGCGCTGAGGGGCCTCAAGTCGCTGGCCATTGAAGCTGGGCTTGCGGCCCTGGTAGCTGCTGCTGGTGCTGGTGCTGGTGCTGATGCTGCCTTTCCCCCTGCCGGCCCCGCTGCTGCTCCTGTGGCTCCTGTTGGAGCAGCACGAGCAGCAGCAGCGGCGGCAGCTGTTGTGGTGAACGGAGGAGGAGGTTTCGGAGCAGGAGCAGGAGGGTCCGCAGCAGCAGGAGCAGCATCAGGAGGTGGGCTGCCTGGTTGCCTGGCGGCGCTTCGCGGCTCTCTAACTTCCCTGGATTTGCAGCACAGCGGTCGGGGCTTGGCGGCGGTGGAGGCGGGGGTGGGGCGAGCACTGGGGGAGCTCAGTGGGCTGCAGTCGCTCAAGCTAAGGTGAACTGGACGAGGCGGGGCGGGGCGGAGGCGGGGGGATGTCCACCAGGGGGGTGGGGTGGTAAGTATGTGGCGCAGCCAGGGCAGTTGAGGGGTTACGTGCGGGCGCTCTTAGGGATGGGGCCGTGGTTGGTCTCGAGCATGGGGTCATGGGATGGGTCATCTCCTAGTGTCTCTTTCTTCATCCCATTGCCGCCTTGTGGTTGTACGGCAGGTACCTGGCCCTGCGCGACCCGTGGGTCCTGACCCGCCTCACTGGGCTGACCTGCCTGGACCTCACGCTGCGGGGCTACTTTTCGGAGGAGGGGGCCGCGGCGGCTGATGCGGATGCGGAGGAGGAGGAAGAGGAGGGGGAGGAGGAGGAAGAGGAGGAGGCGGAGGAGGAGGAGGAGGAAGAGACGGAGTCATCTTATGAAACGGTCGATGGTGATGGTGATGGTGATGGTGATGATGATGAGGAGGAGGAGGCGGAGGATAGCGAGGAAGAGGCCGAAGAAGAGGAGGCAGAGACGGACGCGGAGGAGGAGCGGTTGCCGTCAGGAGCCGCGCACCAAGACCACCAACAGCAGCAGCGAGAGGCGCCGATGGCTGCGGCGGGGGCGCCGGCGGTTGCTGAGGCGGTGGCGGCGGCGGCGGCAGGGCCGGCTGCAGGGGGTAGCGGCAGCGGCGGATCTGGGGACGTGGCAATGGCAGAGGCGGCTGCTGATGCTGGGGCGGCGCCGGGGGAGGCGACGGCGGCACAAGAGGCAGGGGCGCTTGTGCCGCCGCCGGCGCCGCCGCAGATGCCGCCGCCGTCGGTGGGAGAAGCTTCAGGAGCGACGGAGGCGGACGCGGCAGTGGAGACGGGTGCGTCATTTGGAGGAGGTGCAGCTGCGACGGCGGCAACGGCGGAGGCCGTAGAAGGGGGCGCGCCGGCGGAGGCGGCAGCGCTGACGTCAGTACCAGGAGTTGCAGCCACGGCGGGGGCGTCGACAGCAGGGCGGCCGTCATCGTCGGCACCACAGCCTGCACCGGAAATGACGGCGGCGGAGGCGGCCGCAGCGGCGGCGGAGGCGCAGCGGAGTATGGACGAGGCGGCGACGGCGGCGCTTTCAGCGTCTGCGTCCATATTTGCGGGTGCGATAACGCCGGAGGCGGCTGCGGCGGCATGGCAGCGAGCCCAGGACGCCACTATAACCGCCAGGATGGCAACTGAGGCGGCGAAGGAGGCGGCAGCGAAGGAATCGGCTGGCGGCAGCGGCAGCAGTGGTGCTAGTGGTAGCGCCTCCGCTGCACCGACGGAGGTAGCGGCAGCCGCCGCCAGCACTGCCGTACCTGCTAGCGGCGACGACGACGGCGCCTGGGACGGTGCGGCGGCGGGGGAGCAGATCGCCCAGCTGGCGGCGGCGGCGGAGGTTGCCGTACTGGCGGCGCAACATGCTGCCGCCGCCGGGCCGGCGGAGCATCCCGCGGCGCTGGCGGCGGCGCTGGCGGGCATACACGCGCTCTTTGCGGAGGCTCAGGGAACACTGGCGGCGTGGGGGGTGCAGCTACCTGCGGCGCCATTACCAGCGGCGCCGCCGCCGCTGTTCCAGTTACTGCAACAGCAAGGCGCCGCCGCGGCAGCGGCAGCGGCGCCGCCTGCTGCTGCTGCCCCAGGGGCTGCTGAGCCTGCTGTCCCTGCTGCTGCTGCTGCTGGGGCAGCTCAGGAGGTGGCCGCGGCAGCAGCAGCAGCAGCCGCGGATGGGGCGGCGGCGGCGGAAGAGGAGGATGAGGAGGACGCGGCGGAGGTGGCGGCTGCTGCGGCGCATGACTCGGGTGCGAGTGAGGAGCTGTGGCGGGTGGTGGCGGGGCTGCCGGGGCTCCGCGCGCTCAACGTGAACGCCTGGCAGGAGGTAAGCAGGCAGGGAGGGAGCAGCGAATGCCTTCTGGACCGCTTGTTGCCTCCCTCCTCCACCCACCAGGAGCTTGTCGTCTTGTTTGCCGTTGCCTTTCAAGACATTGGGTACCGTATACTTCTTTTCCTCCATCGAAACACTACCCGCGCACCCTGCCTCCTCACCCTGCCTCCTTTATCCCTATTGTCTTGCCCTCACTTATGGCTTGGGTTCTCCCCAACCGGCCCAACCCCTACGCTCACCCGCAGGCGCCCCTAGACGACGAGCGCCTGGGCCAGCTAGCCAAGCTGCAGCTCCCCTCCTGGGGCCGCCTGCCGCTGCCGGGCGAGATGACGTCACTGGGGCTGCTGCTGCAGGTGGGGGGGCGTACGGCAAATAGTGTACGACAGCGGGCCTGTAGCGCAAGTCGGGGCTGCAGCTTTTCCCGCATGCCCCGTCCGATGACGACTGTCCGGTTTAGTGAGAACCTATGACTCCCGCATGAAGCCCTTCCGTGCCCCCTCCGTTGCTTCACTTTCATTTATTGTTCCCGCACCCCGTCGCGCTCCTCCATGCAGACCGCCGCCGCCACCTCGCAGCTATCCGCCCTGTCAGGCCTTTCCTGCCTGCGCGACCTCACCCTGGTCGTGGCGGCCGCACAGGACGCCGGCGGCCGACACCCGCCCCCCGCCGCCGCTGCCGTGCAGCTCGACGAGGAGGAGGAGGACGAGGAGGAGGAGGCGGAAGAGGACAATGAGATGGAGGGGGGGAAGGCGCAGGGAGAGGAGGTGGTACTGGTTAATGAAGATGAGGATATGACAGAGCCGCAGCAACAGCCGCAGCAGCAGATGGAAGAGGAGGTGGGGGATGCTGGTGCTGCTGCTGCCGTACCGTCTTCTTCATCGGCCAGGGTTGGCGGTGATGTCGTGGCTGCTGCTGACGGTGATGACGTCAGCATGGTCGCGGACATGGCGCCAGCGTCGCCGTCGTCGTCGGCACCGCCGCCGCCGCCGCCGCAAGACGCCAATGCTTTCACTGACGGCGGCGGCGCCACCCCCGACGGAGGGGCTGCCGCCGCCGCCACCGCCGCCGCCGCCGCCGGTAACAGCGACGCCGACGGCGACGCCATGGCCGTTGACGGCGCAGCGGCTGCAGCCCTGACGGCGGCGGCGGCTGCAGCGTCTGAGGCGTCGCCGGCACCGGCGGAAACCGCCGCCGCCGCCGTCCCCATCATAAGCCCCATCTGTGCGCTGTCCTGCTTAGCATCCCTGGAGAAGCTGCGAGTGTACGATGATGTACGAGCGCTGCCTGTGGATGAGGAAGCTGCTAGGGTGAGTGCAGCACCTGTCGTACGACATTTTGTATGTCGTACTGCCTGTCACTTGCGCACGTCGTACAGTACCGTTATAGTTCTTACCTTATTTACCGATATGCAGCAGCCCCATAACATCTGCTTCCTCATTGCTCCCTCCTCTCCCGCAACCCATGCACCCCCTCTCCCGCAACCCATGCGCCCCCTCTCCCGCAACCCATGCACCCCATCTCCCGCCACCGCAGCTGCTCTCCCGCTGCTGGCCTCGCATGCACGACGTGTACGTGCTGGGGGCGGTGGCCCTGCACCACCACCCCCGCCGCCGCACACCCCACGGCCAGCTCCGCGCCCCGCCTTCTAACCCCGTGCAAAACCCCTCGCCATCACAACAACAACAACAACAACACCAGCAGCAGGAGCCCCAGCAGGCCCTCCCCATGACGTCTGGGTTAGCAGCATGCGCACACGCCACCCGCCCCGATCCGACCCCATCCGGAGCGGCAGTTGGAGGTGGGGAGGCGCAGGGAGGAGGGGGGGTGGCGGAGGGAGGAGCAGCAGCAGCAGCAGCAGGGGGTGGTGGTGGTGGACCTGGAGGTGCCGGCGGCGGTAGTGGTGGCGGCAGCAGGCCCCCCTGCTGCCCCTCCCCCCGCGCTGCCGCCCCCGGGGCCGCCCTGTTGGCTTGGGAGCGGATCGCGCACCTAGACCTCTTCAACCAAGTGAGGCAGGGGGGCGAGCAGTTGGGGGAGTGGGGTAAAGAGGAAACAACTAACGGACTGAGGGAGTGGGGGGTGACATGCAGGGGCAGGGTTGTTGGAGGGGGCTGCGGGGTGGGATGGGGATGGGGGTAAAGAAGAGTATCCAATGTGTGGTGTGATGTGGGGGTGGGGGCGGGGGCATGTGATGCGGTGGCGGCCAGTCCGCCGCCCTTCCCAGGCTGCCTCCGTCCCTTGCAGGTGCACCGGCCCTGCCCGACACCCTCCCATCCTTCTCCTTGCTGCCGCCACCTAGCAGCAGCTTCACCCAGCAGCAGCTTCTTGCCTGCCCCCCGTCCCCACCTCCCACCCGCCCATAGCCCCTACCATGCAAGCTGCAACCCCCCTCCCCCCACAAACCCCGCCCCCACTACGTGTTTGTGTGTAGGACTCGGCGCGCCCCTACCGGCTGCAGCTGCACTGCCTGCCTCGCTCCCTGAGGGCACTGGGGGTGCAGAATGCGGTTCTGGAGGGAGCCAGCAAAGCAACACACCTGCAGGTGGGGTAGAGGGATGCAGGGTGTCCGTGTTCAGGTTGTGTTATCGTCAATGTAGCCCTCGCACGCGTTTGTCCATCACAGTATGTTCTTTTTCGCGGCCAGTTCCTTAAACACTCACGCGTGGCGTCTTCGGTAAGGATTCCCCCTTCTGATAATGACTCTTATCTACTCGCGGCCAGTTTTCTTAACACACCCCTTCCATTGCCCACGCCCACTTGAGTTGTCGCTGTTACTGTTACTTCCACGCCTTGCTTCCTCCCTCCATTCTAACCTCCCTCCCTTCTAACCACCCTCCTAAACTCTCCGTCCTACCTGCCCATTTCCTGCTCTTCCTGCCCTCTGCTTCCCTTGTTCACTCACTCCCTCACTGTCGTACAACAGTCGGTGATGGAGGGCTTGTCGCTGTACGCCAGCGTGCACTGGCCCACGAGGAGCAACGGGGGGATGACACTGTACGACTGGGTCGCAGGCTGCAAGAGGCTGGGCAGGTGAGAGCGGCTGTGCGGGTGTATGTACGGCAGGTGGGCAGGTGTGCCGTACTGTACGACATGAACCTGATTCTTTCCGTACACGGTGTTTGCGGCCTTGCTGCCCCTGCCATCTCCCTATCTCCCCGCACTAGCCAAACTTATTTCGCTGCTCTTTCTGGCCGCCGCTACATGGAAACCGCTTTACTTCAAGCCTCCGTCCCACTCTTGCCTCTATGAAACTGTGTGCATTCCCTTGCCTACCCTTCTCATTTGTGTTTTCCCTACCCGGTTCGCAGCCTCGCAATCGAGTACGACATGCGGACATTTGCTGAGCTCATGAAGAGCGATGACAGCAACAGCAACACCAATAACAACAGCTGTAAAAGCGGGCAGAATCAGGAGGAGCAGCAGCAAGGGAAGCGGCAAAGAGAGCAGCAAGGGAGGCAGCGGGGGGAGGACGTAGGTGACAAGGAGGATGACAAGGAGGAGGCCAAGCAGCCTTCTTTCCCCTCCATGCCTCCGCTGCTGCCGCCCTCTCCCACCTCGCCCCCCTCGCCCCCGGCCCACACCCCCCTCTGGAGGCTGAGGGAGCTACCCAGGCTGAGCGCCCTGGGGGTATTCTTTGCGGATAGCCACCAGGTGCGGGTTGCTTGGGTGTGCATGTGTGTGTTTTGGTGGCACGATTGTGTTTTCTGCCTTTCTCGATCCCCCTTCTTCTATACAGGGCTGCGCTAAACTGTCGTTCTCGTCCCTCCTCCCCCCCTTCCCCCTGCCCCCCATATCTTCTCTCCCCCCCTCCACCACCACCACCTCTCCACCACCACCTCTACAGGATCAGCTTGCGGGCGTGTTGGATCAGCGGTTGGTGAACGACGTGGCAGGTGGGTGGTTGGCGGGTGGTTGTGGTTGCTAGACAGTTGGTTCGCCAGCATGCTTTATTATTGCGTACGCGAGAACCTACTACTGCTCCTACGCGAGTTAACTTACTTACGGATGGTACCGCTGTCTACGTGACGGTACATGGTACCCATGTATCACACATGACCATAAGACATGGAGCACTGTCCTTGAACCTCAGCAACCCTCAAGAGGTGGAGCCCCCGTTAGGTGTACTGCATGCCCGGAATGTGTACGGCAATTACTACGTTTACTGTGCCGACCGTGCCTTGTTAACTTCATTAACAATGAAAAATGTAGCATGTGCACATGAACGCTTGCAAAATATGCCATTCCCGTTTGCCATTACCATTTAAACACCTCCTAAACAGAGCTGAGCCTCCTAGAGGAGTTGGAGATCTGGAATGTGTACGGCAGTGACTGGCGCTGGCCGCTAACCGACTTCAGCCCCCTCACGCGACTGAAGCGCCTGAGGTAAGAGAGGAGGAGAGTGTGTGTTGCTTAACTGGCCGCAAGACCTCGGAGAGAGTAGATTTAAATTTGGAGGTATTGCACCAGCAGCGAAAGGCAATAGGCGGCAAAGACGTGCGACGTCCTTTGTTGCTGGAGGGCCTGGGGGACTTGTCGCCTCAGCCCAAGGAAATAGGGGTTTGCCATTCGTGCTGGGCTTCATTCATCATAAAAGCACACAATCTACTGTTCGCTTGTCCACATAATCATATGAATTCCATGTCATTGTACGATTATGCACTTTACACAAATGTCGTACAGGTCTCTCAAGATGGAGGCTCTTCCGCCGTACATGGCCTTCCGCATTCGCAGCATCATGCAGGCCGGCGTGCCGTACTGCAAGGTAGGCGGAGGGGTTGGAGGAAAACCAAACCACAAGGGGAGTGACGGGGTGTACGACAGCAGCAGGCTGTTACACGTACCTTTGTCGGTGGCCCCGCCGTTCCCCTCGGCCTCCTTCGCCCTGCTGCCCTTCTCCTTCCCTCTGACCCGCCCTCACCTTAAACCCACCTCACCATCCGCCCACTACCCTCACCCGCACTGCTGCACTGCACTGTACTCCTGTCACGACCAGGATACCCGTAGCACCGGTTTCCTTCACCGGTACATCCCCTTCCTTAACCAGCACCTTCCCTCCCCCCCTTCCCTTCCCTCACCCCCACCCGCCTCGCAGCTGCGCCTGGTGGCGGACAACGAGATGCACCCGCTGCCGCCCCAACTCAACCTGGCACTAGGGCACTGAGGAAGAAAAAAGAAATTCCAAAGTGGGAATGGAGGGGGGGTGCTAGGTGCACGCGGAGGGCGGGAGGCGGGAGCGGCTGGGTGCCGGAGTGGGTTATGCGGGTGTGCCGGCTTGTGCGGTCCCGGGCCATGTGGCTCCCCGCCCTGTGATGCGGGGTGCAGGCCGTCCACACCTCGAAAACAGCTCTGTATATCGGAGTGCATTTTTGATGGTTGCTTACTTTGTGTGTTTGAAGCGCCTGCTGTGCTTGCCCGTGGATGCCAAGAGGTATGAGGCGGAAGAGCAGCACACACGCATTTGCATGGATAATTGGATACGGGCACCGAACTCCTGAGCTTGCGTACATGTGGAGGTTGCAGTACAGCAAGGCAGGTTGTCGCATGGTTTATGCGATGGTCCTTATAAAATGTATAAAAGTCGTAGGGGTAGGCGACAATGTACGGACATCCGGTATGAGGCGCATATAAACAGACAAGGGCAGCGGGAGGGCAGACCAAAAGCTGCAGTGAACAGTTGGTGCTGATGCCTCGTAGCTCATAGCCGGTAGCTGGCGGGGGTCCTGTGGGTTTGTGGGATCAGGGGTTAAGTAGATCGTAGGTTGAAGGTTTGCCGTTGGGCTATGCTTCGCCACAAACACAAACCACCAAGGGCAACAGAGAGGGAGATGTGACAAGCAGCGCAACCGCTCTTGCGTGTTACGTTCCAGTGAATCGAGCCTTGCACTGCGCGCTCATCGCTCACCCCTCATTGGCTTCCCCTCACGTACGTTACCCCTCACCCGGATTAACACCAGGTGTTCTGCAACCCCACTCCCCTCACCACCACCGCATCAGTCCATCTCCTCTGATCACTCCCGCATCATCTCCGTACGGATCGCCATCTCACCTGGCCGTACGGCAGTACGGCATGGCTTGGGGCACGGCCTCTCTCCGCCCTCATCATCCGACGTCATCTAATGGCCTTCCGACGACAGCCGCCACGGGGAGGCAAGCCGATAACCTGGGTGACCTGTAACTGTGGGAACCTGAGTCACCGACAACATGTCCACGAGGCGAATCAAATGGCAAAGTGCACGTTGGTCCCCGCTTGCAGTGTTCCTGGGACACCTCCCTAGGTCCTGTCCCCGAGATAGGGACGTAAACATTGGCAAGGAGAAGTTAATCTGCGCGCTGCTACGTATAACAGTGTTATACGGGCATGTTCCTGTTGCAGCCACTGGCGCATGCAAGAGCTGAAGATGGCTATGCATGAGTGCCGCAAGAGTACAACGCTACGGTGCACAACAATTATGCACACCGAGCATCGGCAACGCTGAAGAAAAGAAAGGACAAGAACAACACAGGATTCAGCTGTAAATCCTTGCTAGCGATGAGCATGTACGGCTAACCGTCGCGTCTCCGTTCGAGGGCGACAGAGCCTGTCGATTCCCCTTTATGCGCCGCCAGCATCTTTTAGAGCTTCATAAGTTCGAAAGTCTATAGCTGACAGTTGTTAGAGCTACGATACTGAAAAATATTCCCTTGCAGTCGTTGCTTGCACTTTACCCGCCCTACCTAGTGTTGACCTTCCTTCGTATCATTTCACAGCCGGCATATTTGCTATAACTCTTATATATAGTAGGACTTTTAGAGGCCGCTTGCACGCTACGCCAGACGGACTAGTGACAGCCTCAGGGAAGCCCACGACCTTCGTGATCACAATTTTACGCTGTGAATTCGTTGTGCAGCCAGAGCTCAAACGGAGCAGCTCCAGGCCTCAGACAAGCAGCTGGCCATGGCCCAAGTTGCAGATGACGAGTTTGCGGACGCGTTAGATAATCTCGCGGTGGTGAGCATATGTTTGCAACGACGAACGATCTTTACTTTGACACCCTGTTAGACCTCGGAATTACCATGGTCCCTGTTGCGCTCTACAGGAGGACGTCCAGGAATTGCAAGATAAAAACCCCGAGCCCGATGCACACGGGCAAGGTGGCTATCGTTTCGACACTCCAGAGCACCAGCAGCAGCTGAAGGAGCAACGAGTAAGATTCCCGCTAACGCCCGTCATTGCGCGTAACCCTTGCGTCGGTATGTTACGCTGACATGTACTTATTTTCGGTCCTTGCTTCTGTACGCAGGCGCAATTATGGAGTTGGCTAAAGCGGGTAAGGCGGGGCGTTCATGTCATGGATGTCCACGTGACTTTTGGCGTGCCCATGCACGTTCAGAGTATGGTTTCCCCAAACTGTGATAAGGGAGTAGCATTACATCTGACTTAGCCTCCCGTTGCTGCGTCTATGCCAAACTTTCACCGCTTATACGTACGCACGCGCGCGGATGGAGCCCGAGAGGGCAACAAGCACTAGCACAGCTTTCCCCTTGCATCGCGTCGTTTTTCCCCCTCCCAGTATGCCAGCTTTTCCTAACCGCCTGACCATCTCCACACCCATGTCCGTTCCTTGTCCCAATCAAACATGCTGTTTATGAAGGGCGTCAGCCCAGCTTGCCAATAATTCTGAGGTACTGCTCTCTCACAGTCCCGTCATCTCCGCACCTCTTCCCCGTCTAGCAATTGAAAATTATCATGGTCTCCTCCCGGCGCTAAACATTCCCTTGCGTTTCACATCCTTAACACCCCTTCCCCTGACCTGCTTCCTCTCCGTACCAACCCCTCCTTTACCAAGCCTCTTCCAACCCTTCCATTTACCACCCCGTTATCTTGTCACGCCCCAAAAGTATAGGAAAGGGGTGAGAAGGGTGGCGAGCCACATGTCTGATGACGTGATGCGGCAGGGCATCTCAGTAACCTGCTCGTCTCCCTTGCCAACAGGACTCCATCCTCTCCGCCACCCTTCGCCTCGGCTCTCCTCCTTGAACGACCCTTTACCGTCCTCCCTACCTCTCTCCACACCCTTCCCCTTCCAGGTAGGCAGCCACATGTTTAAGGAGGGCATCAACCTCACCAAGATCTCGCTGCCCGTGTGCCTCTTCGAGCCGCGCTCCTTCCTGGAGCGTCTCACAACCAACTGGGAGTACAACAGCTTGCTGGTGGCAGCTGCAAACTGTACGACAGATCCTGTGGAGCGGTTGCGCTATGTGGTGGCGTTTGCGGTTTCGGGGCTATGCCGGCAGGTGTCCTTTCACAAGCCCTTCAACCCGATTCTCGGGGAAACCTACCAGGTACGTGGGAGCCTGCTCAGCGCCGTCGCTGTGAATCTCTTCTTCCCTTCTTTGCCGCTGCATGCTTCACTCGCCCATGTGTGGTCCTCCCACAGCCATGTACCCTAACATCCTCCTCTTCCCGCTGCTGCTGCGGGCTGTCTGCGCCAAGCGGTACACCCCAGCAGTCCCCGTCTTCGCGCCCGCCGCGCTCTGTCCCCCAGCCTTTGCCACTAAGCATTTCTTTCTCCGTACTGCGTTCTCGACCCTTCCTGCCACTCCCCCACTTCCTTCTTTTACTTGTTGAATTGCATTTCCCTCCTTCCTTCGTTCCTACCGAACATCCTTCCTGCCCCCAGGCTGTGTACCCCAACGGGCTGCAGGTGTACTGCGAGCAGATCTCGCACCACCCACCCATCAGCAGCTGGGAGGTGTACGAGCCCAGCGGCAAGGTAGGGGAGAGGGTGTGAGGAGGGTTGGGGTTTGGGTTGGTTGGGCTGAGCGGTGTTGGGACCAAGCCCCAAGGGCTGTCAGCAGCTGGGAGTTGAGCAAACCTCATGTGCGGACACACGCCCTCCTGACGGCCTCCCGCCCGCCTCCCGCGCCCCGTGCCCTCCTCCCCCCTTCTCAGCTCCTGGTCCTACTGCAAAGGCAACTGGGTCGCCTTTCCTCATTCCTTACCTTTCCCCTCCACCGGCTCGTTCCCGTCCCCCACCCCTCAGTTTGTGTTCTACGGCAACGGCAACTGGGTGGCCGGCATCAAGGGCAACAGCGTCAAGGGGCGGCAGACCGGCTCCAACTGCATCCGCTTCGAGAGCGACGGGGCAACGGTGGAGTACGACCTACCCGGGCTGCAAGTCAAGGGTGAGCTGGGCGGTTGAAAGGGTGGGTTGAGGTCACGTATGGTCATGCCGCCGTGACCCCAGGCGCCCACACCTGCACTTCTTCACCCCCACCCTACCTTGACCCCTGCATGCAGGCGTGTTGTGGGGCGTTCGGGTGCTCAAGTACGGCGGTCAGATGGTCTTCAAGGACAAGAAGAACGGCCTCACGTGAGTTGGCGAGCTGTGTGCGCTTGCACTCACAACATGGGGGGTGGCTCGGTAGCCTCTCTTTCTGATGTTCGTGGAGGTTGTTCCCTCCTGTTGGGTCTCCCCCTCTTCTCCTCCGTCCCCGCTCCCCGCCCGCTTGCCCACCATCCTCTATTCTCTTCTCTCATTCATTGAAACCTAATCCCACCTCCCCGCCACCAACATTACCACCCTCTCCGGCCCTCCCCCCCGCTCAGGGCTGTGGTGGATGTGGACCCGCCGCCGCAGGCCTCCTCCTGGTCGGGCTGGCTCCGGGGCAAGAAGCCGCAACACAAGCCGGACCAGGTGAGGGCGGGAAGGAAGTGTGTGAGGGGTTTGTCTGGGCCATATATCTGGCACAACGGCGGGTAAAGAGGGACGCACACACATTTGCAAACAAAGCCTCGGCTTATCTAGGCTTCTACCTTCGTCCCTCCCCTACCTCCATCGTTCCCCTTTCAGGTGGTCGGCAAGCTGCTCCGTGGAGAGGAGGTACTGGACACCTGCCAAGGCAACTGGCTCTCACACCTGGACTGGGAGCGACCCGCGGGTCAGTCGGGAGCCGTGGACACCCCCGGCAGTACCACTAGCAGTAGCAGCGGTAACAGTAACGGCGGCGCGCCTGCCGCCGCCAGGGGAGGTGCTCGGCGGTTTTGGGACATTCGCAGTTGTCCGCTGGCGCCTGCCGTACCGTTGTCGGGTCCGCTTCCATCGGACTGCCGCCACCGGGAGGACGTAGTGGCGCTGAAGGAGGGGGACCAGGTGGGGGCGGGGGATGGGGCGGGAAGGAGGGGGAGTGGGTACAGGGTTAGGGAGAGGGAAAGCTTTCGTGTTTTGAGTCAGACAAAAGAGGCGGGGTAGGAGGGAAAAGGAGAAATCCCAATGAGTTGAATGAGAATGGCAAACAATACGACAAGGGGAGGGAGAGGATGTGGGGCAAGAGGCGGGGTAGGGGAAGCGAGATGATGTAGACGCGTTGGAAGACACGGGAGTTTCAGGGGTAACGGGGTTTCCCCCATGGTGGTTAAAGCTATTGCGACACTTTGTGCAAGCAAACCAATCGGAAGTTGGATAGATTTTTCTTACCGTCTCTTCCCACACCTTACGGCCTAACCCTCCCTCTCCTCCCGCCATTTCCCTCAACAGGTTCGCGCCCAGGACTGGAAGCACACGTTGGAGGAGCGGCAGCGGCGGGACCGAAAGCTCCGGAAGGAGGGCGGTGGCTACGAGCACTGAGAGGGCCTGGCCTGCAGCGCAGGTGGGGGTTGCGAACACTGATTGACACACCGTTTATCAGAGACATTAACGTTTGAATGAACCTAGTACTGAAGGACTTGCAAGCAATGAGGGGCTTTGGAGAGGACATTCTGGCTTGTCTTAGTGGAACCACAACAACCGGCAAGGGCAAGCAACATGACATGGCCCGGCATGAGCCCGACCCGTGGTTCATGTGGGTTTGTCATGGTCCCGGAGGGATTTTTAACGCACGTACGGGTTTGCTGCGCAGCGGGTGGTCTGAGACTGGCTGGTGAGGTGTATTGATGCGTGGAGAGAGCCAGTCTGCCGGAGGGTTTGTCAATATCTTTGCCATCTACGATGTGCTGCCGAAACTGTCGCTGGGAATTGAGTTTCATGTTACTTATGGCTTGGCCAGTGCTGCTTCTCGTTTCGCAGCCTTCCTTTTCCAGCCTGCCTTTCGTTATACGCCCTCTTGGCGGATGACTGCTGCACCTGAGCTTGTGCTCGTAGCTTCTGCTTTTCTGCGGTTGACGTATGATTACGGGCCCGAACTACCTTTTGCCATGGCTCCTTGGCATGCCTCAATGCGCTTGCATACAATACTGGGCGGCAACGACCCTTGGATCAGACTCTTATTGTTCCCATGGTCCAGGTCCATTGTTCAGAGGATTGGGCGGGATGTTTTGCGGGAACATTTCAATGATGCGAGGAGGGTTCTTGAGCAGCAGCTCGGAACCCTTGTTATCTAAAACAATTGCCGTAGTGGACAGGACAGACTAGTAACCTTGCGTCTGCGCGCATCTTGGACGTTATCTTTATGTTTCATGCCAGGAAGTCGAGGGCTTTGTTTGCTGCTTGGGCTATACTTGGCGAACGGAGCTGTGTATTGTCCCTGCTGGCTTGCTTGGTTTCGCTTGCTAGGTTGATTGATGAGTATGTGTTGGCGGCAGACCGGCATCCTTCGCCCTCCTGGAGTGGTTCAGGACGAAGCGGAAAAGGTAGGGCTTCAGGGCGTTGTCGTATGCGGGTATGAATGCATGTGTGTGCAACCGTGGCGGGGTAGTATGCTCCCCACCATGCATGCATGCGCGCCTGCATGCACGCTGAGGGCGGAACAGCGCGTAGGTGTGGCAGCTGTGCTTGCTTGCGTTCGATGGAGTCAGTTCGGTGGAGCCTGTTTAGGATGGAAGAGGCTTTCTAGGGAATCGTTCCGAGGTGTTGTTGTAGTGGGCACGCTTAGTCCCGGGGGTTTTGGACGCGTAAAGGGCCACCCTGTGGTTCGCACTGTCTGTGCGGTGCGATGGAGCGGTGGAGTAGATGTTGGGGAAGGAGGTGGGAACATGGCAGGCATGAAAGGGGCGCTCGGTTATAACATATGAGTGGCAAGTGTTGGTAAGATTCGTATATCACGTATTAGCGCGGGTGTGAGAGGATTGGGAGGGGTGAGGCATGCTACTCCTATGCTTGGTACCCGGTTTGAAAAGTGGAGCCTATAAGGATATGGGGTTTGTGAGGGTGTTGATGTCTTTATTCGACGGGACAGGACAACGCTAGGGGTCAGTGCTAGAGCGTTGCAGGGGCTGTAGGAGCGGCAGCGGTAACACCTGGGTAAGGAAAAGGCTCCTAACACCCTGATTTAGGCGTTCAGTAGAGAGTTGTGTCGGCTAAAAAGGCGAAAGCAGGCTTTTTACGGATGTGCTGCTCTCCCGGCTTAGTCCTGTCTCTGGTATAGGAGTTCCCAAAATAGACGCGTCTCCGCCGAGTTTGGAGGTGTGACTCATGGGTCATTTGCATAGGAGAGTGCACGTGAAGAACCCAACACGCGCTCTGCGTGCTTGCTTTCTGTATGCAACGGATGCATCTGCAGGGGTGGAGGTGGTCGGAGAAAGAGGAGAGAGGGATGGCGACATGTGGGCCGTGTTGCCGTTAAAGAAGCTTCCTCTTAGGTGTTTTGTTTTTGCGCCGCTTTGGGACCTGCATTAAAGACGCTTGGTTCGTAAGTTATGCAGGCAGGCAGGCAGGCATGTACGCGGGCAGACAGGTCGGGCAGGCCAGCATATGGGTAGGCGGCCAATGTTGGCAGCCTGCGGAGGAGGTTGGGCAGCTGGACGTAGGTAGCAGCAGATAGGTAGGGTGTTTCACGCTTAGTACCGTAAGCATTATTGGTACCGGTAGTTTGCCGTGATGGTTTGTTACGCAGATGTTCTGTTCTCAACTGTTTTGTTTTGTATTCTGAATCCATTTCAGGTATTGTCGGTCTTCCTTGTCTTGTGGTTAAAATCATGTATTTTCCGAGCTAACGGTATGGCTTGTGAAGCCCCTTGCACCATGTTCTGGGGTCCTGATTGAGAAGGGCATTCGTGATAAGCACGTGTGCAACTGGCTCGTGTTCCATGTAAGTTCACGTCAACCGTGGTGTATGCTGTACCAGCCGTCGTTGGTTTCGACGTGGAGATGGGACGCAGCTTACTCCGTTCAGTCGGGATTCGCTGTTGGTCTGCAAGGCTCCGGCTGTCCCCATACCCCGCCAGCACCAGTGCTCTACCACAAGGCACTTCTCAGCAACCGTTGCGGGTATGTGTCCTCCCTTTTCGACGAATGCTTTGTTGCGTCTTGATGTCTGCATTTTTCAGCATAATGCGGCGGGGACACCGCTTACAGGCAAAGGGGAGTGGGACAGACTCTTCTTGGTGGAATGGAAGGCGAGCAGTTCCACGGCATGTACCGGTAACCGGCCAGTGGTTGTGCGTAGCATGGCCAAGCCACACACGGCGGCGTTATATCTGACGTAGCTTGCAAAGGTATGAACACTGAGCGTCCTAGGTGCAGGCCGCCCACACAATCGACGACAACGTGCCACTCAGGAGTGACTCCACGCTTGCAGACCGAACACAGGGAATGCTTTAAATGGGGTAACAGAGCCTCTAAACCGGCCCCTGTTTTGCCCTGTGCGTGTTACAGTCCATTGTAATATGGAGCTTTTATCCTCTGGATTTTGATGCATAAGCGCTTGGGTACCCAGCCTGCCGTCCTTGCTCATGGCGCGTAATGCCAAGAAGGAATCAGGCCACCTTGCTCGCATGTGGAAGGACTGCTGCTTCATACTATCGCCATGTGAATTGCGAGGATGATTGCATGATTCCCTAAGCTATAGCTCCAGAGGAAGAGCCGAGAGAGAGCACGGACGTTTGTCTGTAGACGATGATCTAAGAGAGGGAGAGAGAGAAGCTTTGCTGAAGGCATGCGACGCACAGCATATAACCGCACAGCACGGGGATCCTGTACGACATGTTCTAGGCCTTACCTAAGGAATTGAGAGGCAGGCATCAGGGCTTCCAATTATAGAATGTTTCTTTGCACACTAAAGTGCATGGATATGGCTTGCCAAACGTACCCTGTCCTGGGCATACCTGTGCTGCTCATTTTAGCTTGCCTAGGCGCCGTGCGTGCTCTTCAGGTTACTTGCAGGAGCGCTGACTACTGCAGCACCGGATTGCTTGCTGGTTATGTCGGTCCTTTAGACACTGCAGAGCAAGCGAAGACTGCTTTTGACCGTACACACTACAGGCGCGAGCTTATTATGTTCGCTGAAACTAGGCTAGTCAATGCCGCCTTAGTGGCCGACCGTTGTATCCAAGCTGGTTACGGGCATGTGTTGCCGCTTCTTGTTGATCCTGGCGACTGTCAGGTATGCTTGCCGTCTGTCAATACATTTGTTTACTCCATAGTTTGTGCCGGGCACGCCGTTGTATTTTCTTTGCATACAAATAGATATTCTATTATACAATTGCAAACTCCGGCTTCCGCCGGGGCTATAACACTTCATGTCCGATGTCTCCTGTGCAGCGTATAATTGAACTATTCAAGCATTACCATGAAACGTTTCAAGGGCCTGATGGAGGTAGGCAGCTTTTAGCATCTGCTTATAGTTGCCTAACGCATTGCTTGCACGGCCTTCTCGTGCTGTTATGCACATTGGATGGCGCTGCCACACATACACAGCCACCACGGCAACTCTATCGCACGCACTAAACGCAATCAGATGTGGCACCCGTCGCACGACCATTCTGCGATTTACACAGTAGCTGAAGTCCGGATATTTGCTTGCCGCACAGCACCTACTGTCATGGACTTTTCACCCTCTTGACAGCCCCTCCCAAACGCTGCTGCTGCAGTCAGGCACAATGTGTCCTGCGGCTGGTACCGGACAACAAACGAAAACGGTGTACCGTACAAGTCCGGATTCAAGTACCTTAAACACGAGGTCGGCGTTACGGCCTGGTGGCGTAAATGGTTCACAGTAGGTACGCGACAAGGCATTGTACGACAGCATGAACACGATGTAGTGCCTAACGCTCCTCACCCCTCTTTGACTGTATTCTCCGACCCCTTTTTCCTTTGCACCGTCGCATCGCCTGCATTCCCACAGCTCGTGCGGTAATGCTGGGCTACAACGTGATGGCGATTGACGAGGACGTTGTCGTACTCGGGGACTGGTACGGCATGGTTAAGAGTCCCCCGCTATCGCAGTACACCATGTTTAGTCAGGCGGAGTGCGCATTCTGCATAAACGGGGGTTTCAGCTACATCCAGGTGGGTATTGGGCAGGTGGGTGGAGGTAAAACGCCTTGGATGCAAACGAACTGACGGAAACCGCATAGGGATCCTACAGCTATGGACATGGTTGTAAGCAAAGGATGAATAAAGGCCGAGGAAAGGGTCAAGATTGGGGCTTGGCGCACCCCTCCATACGCCCATGGGCAGGGTTCCGCCTATGTAGGGCCCACACCTTGTGGCATCAACGCATCACATGTGCCCTGTGCTACGCGATGCCGCCTTCCCCACCGGCGCTGTGCTCTTGCCTGCCTCCACCACCCTCCCCTTCAGAACGCCGCCCCCATAACCTGACTCCACTCCCCTACCTCGCCACCTTTCTCCTCCCTCCCCTTCAGAACGCCGCCCCCAACGGCCCCGCCGCCTACCTGGTGTTCGAGGCCATGCAGCGGGCAGTGCGCTGGGCGGAGAACGGCAGCGCGCTGTTCAGCGTCTCAAGCAGTCTGGGGATGAATGAAGGTACGGCGCGGAGGGTTAGGGTGAGTTGGCAGAACTGAAGGCCAAAGGAAGGCGGGAAAGTGAAATCAGTGCGTGTCCCTGCCCGTCCCGGGTTACGGCGATTGCTAGCAAGGTGTCACCGGTAGTTGTTGCCTGGCATCTCCTGTTGGCTTGCTGTAAGACATGCACGTATAACACTTCACGGGGTAACCACAGCCACGTCACCAGGACAGCGGTTCATTGCATGATTGCTACCGAGTTACTATCCTACATCAGAGACGGGTTTTGCGACTACAGCAAAACACACCGTGCGGCCTTCCCTTCCCTGTACCACCTTTTCCACTGTACGCCCTCGCACACAGGTCGCTACTACCAGGAAGACCAATCGTCGCTGACGGACTCCCTGTTGAGCTGCATGGCTGGTCGGCCGCTTTACTACATTCTGCTAAGAGGGATTGGAGCAGACGAGGCGGGATGGGCCAAGCTTGGCGGTCGCAAAGTAAGTGTCAGCTTCCCTTCTTCGCGCTTCTTGGTGCTCCCTTGTTGCCATGCCCAGGCCTTCACAAAGACCCGCTTCCACAATTCCTACCCCACAACACCGTCTTACGCATTCTGGGTGTTGTCATCCTAACGGACATTCACTCAGCCACATCCGGTTGCTCTTTCCCTTGCCATTGCCTCACACATGCCGCGTGCAGGCGTTCATGGATGCCGTGAATGAGCTTGCCCTCATTAAGTTCTATCGAAAGGTACGAACTGTACTTCGCGCGCGCTGTCCGCGGTGTAAAAGTAATAGAAACCCCAGCGCTGGGCCCGGCGCGACGATGCAAGGAGGAACTTTACGGGCTCCCAGCGAATGGCTGATGGCTGAGTAGTATATACCCTTTGTACCTGTTTTGTCCGTGGTTTTTGCTCTGAAGCTGCTGGCCGCCGTAGCTGATGTCTACACGCACTAGCCCCTGAGTGTCGTACTCGTTCCGTACCTCCTAACAGGAGTTGCTGCTCGAGGGCCCTATGGCGGCTAAGGTGTGGGGCGACGCCTACCCCGTCTCATCAGACCCGCCGAGGGAAGCAAACGGGCGACTCAAGGTGACCATCATGACAGCCGACCTGCACATGCCGCACAGCGGTGGGTAACCGGGACGCGATGAACTGCATGGAGGGACTGACCCGTGGGTCACGCTCAACTAAAGGTGATAAGTAGGATATGCCAAAGTTACTCGTCACGTCCATGCCTGCAGCACGCCTTCCTCGCCGTCCCCTCGGTGACACTCTTTCTGCACTTCAGATCACTGCACGCAAGCTGGTCCTCCATCCATTTGTTCACTCCCTACTTCTGACTGGTCGCTCCGCGCGTTCCAACATCCTCTCCGCGAAGCGGCCTGGCCTTCCAGCGTGCCTGGAATCCATGAGACCAGCACTCTTGTAACTCATGATGCCGCAAATGGCTCGTATCGTTTCCGTGCAGCTTCGCCGCTTCTTTCAAAACCATCCCATCTGCTGCCCGCTAGCATCCCGGTATCTGTTGTCCTCCCCCCTGGCTCCTGGTCCTTCTGCTGTTGTCCTCCCCAAACATCGTTGCTACCCTTCTTCCTCCCACTGCTGCTGCTGCTCATCAGGCGGCGAGTGGCCGATGCACATGGGAGGCTACCTGTACGGCACTCCAGGGCCCTACACCCTGTCGTACCGCAAGGCATTCCAAGACCTGGGTACGTTGGCGTCCCGCTATGTATGCTCTTTTCGTCTGACCAGATGCAAATACACGTGCAGTAAGGCGTACACTGGCATTTGCCCGTAGTAACTGCGCACAGATGAACGCAAAAGGTATCCCTAGTTACTGCATACGGTGGATACTTAGCCGTGGACACTCAGCACCTTCTCTTATCCTCGTCCTCCTCCTACTAACCCCAGCCTCCTCTCACCCCCTCCACCCTCACCCTCCAGGCGTGCCCCTGCCTCCTGACCCCGAGGACCCCGCCACTGCCGCACAGGCCCGAGCCATCAAGCCTGAGCTGTTCGCGCTTATAGGCCTAGGTGCGTGCAGAGGCAGGCGGGCATGATTGTTTGATTGTTCACATGGGTCAAGTGGGGATAGTCAAAAACTACTTCGGGCTTCTAAAAACGGCCTCCAAAAGCAAGTGCTTGACAATCCTATGCGCTGCTGTGTGCTGCATGAGACACTACTGGGGCACTGCTTTTTCAATGGCCGCCAACTTCGGCGACTCAAAGTAGATGAACCGGTAGTTACAGCAGTGATGTTTCTAGCCTCCGTTAGGGGGTTAGCACTGTCGCTGTTTGCTACTGCATACCGTCTCCTGCTGCTCCTCTGCAGTGGACAGTCGGCTATCCCCCGACGGCCGCCAAGCCATCCTCGGTTCCTGGCTTGAGCACAATTGGTTCTATCACGGGCGGGTGGGGCACTGGCACCTGCACCTGCAGCCCAAGTATACCCAGGTAGGAGCGAGGGTGGGGGCTGCAGGGGCCGATGACTGGGGTATCGGGATAACTGAGCCGCGATGCACTATTGGGCCGCGAGTGTACAAGACGGACGATGCATAGGAACGTGGGAGAAGAAGAGGACAGAGTGGGCACTAACGACAACCCGTCACCTGCAGCTGAGTAGCCGAGGTGCACAGGCTAGGATGTGGGTTGGAGCAAGGGGCCGGGCTGGCACATGGCAGGAGCGTGGGTTGAGAACACCAACCAACCGCCAAAACTCGCTCCCTCTTGTCCTCACGTGTGTCCTAATCAAGCCGTATCTGTGCTAAACGTGCACCCTTTCACGTCCTGTTCAGGCAATCGGTCACATCCACAGTGGCCTCCACCAGGCTGAGAACGACAGGTCGCAGGCCAAGCGCATGATTATGCAGCACAGCGGCCACTACAACTGGCAGCTGGCAGGGCTGGTGCACGGCGGCCCTGCGCGCGTGTTCTACGCCACAGAGGGCGATGAGATGGCGCGGTTCAGCTTGCAACGCGTGGTGGCGTATGCGCCGGGCGTGCTGCACTACGGACTATGTGAGTCGATTGCAACTTTGCATCCTGTTGAAGGCAACGACAGCAAGGAATGATAACAGCCAGGGCAGGGCTTTTTCCGCAACGACCCCTCCTTCTTATGTGTTTCCCAAGGTGTTGGCCTTCTTTTCCCCGTGTTAACTACATGTTGTTGCAACCGCACGTAGTCCCCAACCCCCCATCCCATCATGAACACTTTCCGCTGCTGCCTGCTTCCGCCCCGCCCCCCCCGGCCCCCATGCATGACCCGCAGCCAAGGAGACGTTCATCGCCGCGGTGTCCCAGCTGGCTCGTGTGGCGGTGGCGCTGCGGGCGGTGGCGGCCTGGCCGGCTGTGGACTGCTCATCGGACTGGGTGGGTGGTGGGTGCGTGGTGGGGCCTGAGGGCGGGGGCAGGGGGCCGTGTTGACAGCCGGGGGTTGTTAGTTGGTGGACGCTGATGGAGGCAGGGCCTTGCATGAGGAGCTACTCGTGCAGGACGTGTATGTATGCAGGAATGTACGCCTTGCTTGCGAGGCGCGCATTGCACTCCATGAACGTTAGTTGATTGCCCAAACGCACGCCAAACCGTCAAGCAAACGGCCTCCCGAACGAGCATTCTCCCTCATATTCACGTATATGTCACGTCACCCTTTGTCATGGCCCATTCCGCCCCCCTGCCCCCACACATCAGGTGCTGGTTAACGGCTCTCGTGGCGGCCCCAAGCCGGTGCGCCACACCATTCCCTGGCTGCATCTGGACACCTTTTATACGGTGTCGCCGTTTGGGCGATCCCTGAATGAATTGAAATGTGGGTGCAGCCTTATGGTTGCTTGCATGCGTTGGGGGCGGGGGTGTAATGCTGGCGCCATGCATTGGCTTCCAGCAACTGGAACAATGTGCACGGCACTGCGTCACCCATCCTCTCCTACTGCATGCACAGATGTGCTGCCGTGCTGGCATGCTCCCTTTCAGGCGCCACCTGACCCGTCCTTTTAGTGTCGACTGTTGGCTCGCCTCCCCTTCCTGACTGACCCGCCCTACGGTAACTCCTGGCATGCCTCCCCTGAACTGCAGGCGAATGGTCGGGCTTCCATAACTTGGGTAGGTGCCGAGGAATATAGCTCGCGTCTTTCGAAAGCGGAGCTGCCGCTGTGACGGCGGCGCCGCTCCCTGAAGACATCAGCCTCCAGCGGCTGCCAGAGGGCGGCGGTTGCGGTCTGTTGGGGCCGAACTGGCACCTCTAATTAAAGCATCTGGGGAGGCAATGCAGCACACACCCATCCCCAACCCGTTCCTATCCCTAACCCTCACCTGCCAACCCCTACTGTGGTTTGCTACTTGCTCACCTGCGTAATTGCCTTCCTTAGGATGCCTAAGAAACGACGGCGGTATGGCTCGCGGTTTGTTGGCGGTTGAGTTCGAACACTTGCTTCACAGTCGCAGGGCCGAGCAGCCCGAGATGCCGCATCTGGTCCTACAACTGCAGGTACTGCTGCTGCTGCTGCTTAGGTTTAAGGATGCCTGTTTAGGTACCGCTGCCTCAGCTGTCTGTTGGCACCACTCTTATGCTACTGTGTTGCTGACTCGTGGAGGCAAGGGACTATGCTGTCCTTTCCTCGTCCAGCTCTTTCCTCTTGCAGACCTCCCTGCCTCCCTCCCTTTCCCGATCCACAACCTCGCTCCAGGACTCCACCAACGCCTCCTCTACACCTCCTCCTGGTGCCACCTCGGCCGGCAGCACCTCCTCCTCCTCCCCACCGTCCTCCTCTCAGGCAACCTTCCAGCGCGTCACCTACCGGCAGCTGCTGTCGTACAATGCCGACTCGCTGCTTGCCGTACGGCACTGGGGTCAGCCGCTGTGGCTGGACCGGCTGGTGGAGGTTGTGGAGCTGCCCCAGGAGCATGAGGCGCTGTGGCAGGGGTGGAGGAAGAGGTAGGCAGGCATAGAGTGTGCGGGCAAGCAAGCGTTTGATGCATGCATGTACGGCGAGGAACTGGACAAAGCCTTAATTGAGGCCAACGCAGAAGTATCCGCAATTGGTTTCCTTGCTCATGTTAGGTACTGGTCTATGGTACCCCTGCCCTGCTGCTGCATGCCCCATCTCCGGGGTGTTTCCAGTCCCCATTCCCTTTTCCTCTTCCTGCCCAGCCCAACGTGACCCCAGTACGTACTCGGCCCAACCCAGCCGAGCACAACCCACCTCCCTCGTCCCGCTCGGCCCACCAGGTGCCCTCCCCTCCGATACTATGAGCTGGAGCCCCGTCAGAGGGAAAAGTGGTAACGCGCAGAGAATGCGTGGAAGGGGGTTCCCCCACCACCAGCGAAGCGGTACGTCTGCTTGTTACTGACTACGTGCTATTGCCGCTGTGGTGGGTTCCAACAGCAGCAGCCGCTGTTGTCGACGTGTTCGAATGCGCATACTGCTGCACATAGAGTGCCACGTACTATACTGTTGACGAGCAGCCCGATGAACGATCCCGGTGGTACCAGCTGCAACTGCTGCGCGAGTCATTATTCATAGCCATAGCGGCGTTGCTTCTTAGTGGTGCCACAGCTGCTGGTGCTTACGGATATATACATGATTCCAGTGTCCGAAAGGTGGACGCGCGAAGAAACGGGGCTGCTGCTGCCTCGCACCGCCAGCAACAGCTGGTGGCGTACTTCATGTCAGTCTTCTTGTGGGCGGTTGCGCTACTCCTGAAACTGGAGCCTGTCGGGTGGTAGCATGTGCTACGGCATAATTTGCTGTTGGCGTGCATTAAAATTATAATTGGTTAGGGTTGGTAGGATAAAATTCCAGGTATGGGACGACTTCGTGTTTGCTGCTATTGCTGTCTACATGGGTACACCCAGGGATGAGCAGAAATGTGCATTTAATTTCTTTATTGAGCACTGTTGCCGGTTGTGGCGAACAAACGTCACTCTTAGGTTAATTAGTTAAACGCGCGACTTATTGACAAGACACGGATTCATCTAATGACAACGATACGGTGGATGTGTCTCGCCCGTTCATTTACGGCGCGTGTTCTCTGTTGAGCCTCTTCTTGACAACCATGTGCACGAGACGAATGAGCAAGCGGCTCTATTCGTTTGTCACACAACCATGTCCTTTTGCTGCTGTCATACATCACGTATTGTAAACTATACAGTGGCGTTCGCGGATACAATTCATGTGTAGGAAAACTAGGCATCGTGCTGACCCATGGGTCGTGGGTCACGCACCCTTCCAACTAGCAAGTACTTAATTAAAATAAGGAAAATGCAGATACTAATTAGCGGCATAGCGTGTTCTACATAAGACATGCTATGGAGAGCCGTAAATAGCCCACCTGCGGGTTGTTGTTAGGGCCCCACCTCAGCCACCTTTGAATGCATGCAAGGATCCTTAACAGTTTCCGCAATCTTGCGTAGCGCATAGCAAAAAACGTGGTTTCGGACAGCAAAGTGCTTGTTTTGTCGTACGGTCGTACGCCAGTGTAGGCAACGCGTAAGGGAACACGGTTGCAACAGTTTATAGTCTTCAAGAGTTCGTGAGATGTGAGACGGTAGCATAATCTCGTAAAAAATACTTGGAATTACATCGGTAGTGGTGTCATATGCCGGACCCCACTATCGAAAAGAAAGCGCATGCACCTCGATCCACCTTTGCTCTCTCCTCTATCAAGGATGATTGTAACGGCACGTATGCTCACATCAAACACCCATGCTTCAGCACACTTGCCCGTTCACTAGAGACGAACACTATCCTACACACTTACAACGCACTCGTTTCTACTCGCGTCCAGTAGCCTTAAGCATACACACTTAAACAAAGACATGTAAAACAAGACGACTCAGACATGCTACGGCACACAAACAGTTGTTGGCCCGCTGTTCATACTATCAACGGGCAGCATTCAGGGGGCCTGGACTAATGTGAAAGCTCTACTACAAGCACCAAATAACTGGTAATCCAAGCCACCATACTGGCTATCCCATATGACACACCCGGCGGGCGTACACGACAGGCATAGTGCAATGGCACAGTACAGATCAGCGTAGACCCAGTTTCACCACTTTACTAAATCACAATGTCACACCCAGGTAAGCTGCCATGCACCGCTGCTCAACCTTCCATGCAGTACGCATATATATCAACAAAAGTAGCAAAGAACACATTACTTCGCATGCATGTGAGCAATAAACACCAACTTGAGCATACACACAAGTACATCCATCCTCTACCTATCACCTTAACTACGGAATGCGTGCAACACGCTATGCCCACTTTAATAATCATGGACTGTGCAGAAGTACTCATAGACAAAACAATTTATCTGAATACAAGCCGCAGTGGCCTTCCTGCGCTTCAAGTAGATTAAAGTCCCATACACCGTCTGGACGGCGGTCCAGCCATGAAACACTACTACTGTTCGCCATCGGGCTTTTAATCCTTAGCTTCTTTGGCAAGGCGGGTAGCTTGTGGGGCATGTGGCGAGCAGGTTGGTCGTTGACGGCGGGTTGTCCGGGCAGTACCACACTAGCACTGACATGCATCCCTCGTCTTCGTGGCTCAGGATGTGGCAGTGGTACACACTCACGCGCTGCTGGCACGAAGGTGGTGGTGAAGGAGGCGGTGCTGAAGGCGAAGGTGGTGGTGATGACGAGGCGTACTGGCCCTCGCTGCACATGGGATTCGGAGGAGTGTCTCTGTAATTGGTTGCCAGGAACTGCACCTCAGTCTCGTCGCAGACAATGACATCGGTGCCGCATACGTCGACACCACTGGCTGGATCAGGCCAGCCGCAGCCCGTCTGGCAGGTGGGAAGGAGCAGCGTGTCCAGCCAGTCGCCGACCTGCATACAGCACGCAGCAGGTGCGGGGCATAATAAAATAAACCATACATCGTAGCCAGCCAGGTGACTACTTACATCCGTCCTCATCCTACCCCCGTGCACGGACATACAAGCATGCATCTGTCTATGTGGCCAGTGCTCCCCTGTTAAGTACGTACCTGCCAGTTGTTGGTGACGGTGGTGGCGCACGGGGGTAAGACGTTAAGACGGAAGGGCGACTCGTGCAAGTGGAGGGGGTGGAAGGCGGTGTCACGCAGCTTCCATATCTGGTTGGTGCCTTGCTCCACGTACGTAATGTAGTCTGGGAATTGAACGTTATTGATGGTGCACCCGCCGCCTGCAAGAAGTAAGATATGTATGTACCGGTATGCATGTTGGCAGTTGTACCCAGAACAATGCATGCGCTGCTGGGAGGTCGCAGGCTTACCGAAAGCCGTGTTCATGAAGGAGACGCACTGGTTCTGGGTCTTGCTGGGGAAGTTGAGGTAGTCCAGGTAATGGAAACGCTCCAACCTGCGGGCCCAAGCGAAGGGATAAGGGAACCGGTGAGCGCAATGCCGCGAAGTGGTCCCAATGCAGTACTTCAGGGTCACCGCTTGTGGGCAGATGCCAGCAGTCATCAGTCACATCCCACCCGCCCGCAGCAGCTGCTGATGTACACCAGTCAGTTGCACACTCAGCGTTGCATTAGCCAGCGAGCAGGGCATGTACTGGTATATCATAATCCGGGTAGACGCTCACACCTGCTGCGGCAGACATCGTTGGCAATGGCCACGTCAGGCGTGGCGCTGCTGGGAAGTGGGTTCACAGTGAGAACTGCGAGCACGGCGGCATCCAACTCCATGCCGCCGTACAGGTTGTTTGCCGGGCGCAGGGTAGCACCGTTGGCGGGAGCGTCACCGAAACTCTCACAATGTGTCGCACCGCACGCTGCGTAGAGGCAGTTGTTTTACAAGAACGGGGTTAGATGCGAGGAGAGGAAAAGTCTTCAGACTGTTGTTACGTTCTGCTGCAAAGCATACCTACTAGTCTCAGGTAGACAGCCAAAAACAACCCAATTTACGTACCAGTGTAGTCGGTGCGGAAGGGGCTCGCTCCAGCGGAGGCCAGCACGTACGTTCCCGGCACGTCACACTTAATCAGGACGTCTGCTCGGTTGGCGGGGCCCAGGATGAGGTCGCTGGCTGTGGTGGTGCTGCCGACGGGTGTCGAGCTCAGGGCCCGTGGAATAGTGGGGAGTGGTATGCCGTCCCGGCTGAGCAAGTAAAACCTGTAGGGCACACATCAAGGCGTACGGCGGGGTGTGCGTACCGGTACATCGGGCCTATGCATGCAGTAATTCCTCGTTGGATTCATGCATGCATGCAGATATCCTTAAGCATGAGCGGGTGCCAGCTAGCTTGCAGCACAAACACACAAGTCACCCATGCGATCTCGCTCATAAAGCATTGCCCGCATGCAAGGCCCACACATGCGCATACCCTCTTACTTGCACGTATCAACCAACTGGACCGAACCGTCGGGCATGACCTGAGAGCGGATGAAACAACAGCAAAACGTTGAAAGCGTAAGAAACGTATTACGTACAGGGCCTGCCTGCTCGATCCTAGTAACCGCACCGTATACATCCGAGCAGGAGGGTGCGGAAGACGGAAAAGCGCAAGGTACTGTACTCGAAACCATTTGCCCCGACCCATGGGTCGCACGCACCTGTTGGACGGTTAGGTCCAGCCACTTCATGGTCATCGTATTCAGCAGCTGCCAGCGCGAGTACCTGTAAATTCGGGAAGGATGGGGGGCAATCATCCTAGCTGCCTACTCCAAACATTTCCAAGAGCAACGAATATGGCACGGCGTACAGCCAATCAACCCAGACCAACCAACGTGCTTGTACGGAAGGCCACACACATATTCGCTAAGCGGCCTTCAGGATCCTGCAGCAACCCACTCGCAGGCAGTCTCACTTTTGCGCCGTGATGCTGATGATGGGCTGGAAAGCACCGTTGACCAGTCCCCAATCACGTCCCGCTGTGTTGTCAAACAGCGGCTGAGATGAGCCGCCGACATTGGCGTATAAAAGAGGGCTGGCGAAGGTAGGCTCAGTGCTCAATCCCAAGAACCTGGGGAAGGGGTTACAATTTGTAAAGTTAAGAAGCAGGGTTAATAGCTGGTGCAGCCCAATGCAGCTGGGCAATCTGGAGAACAGCAGAACCAGCTGAGGCTGGTCAGAGGGGCTGCATGCAATGTCATTACCACCCCAGCAGACGTCCCCCCCTTGGGCTTACGCAATAGAATCGTCATCGGGAATTGTAGAACCTGTTTGGTTTCGGAACCAGATGCCGCTGATTTGATGGATGGTGCTGTCCTCTAGGGGGGTATTATTCATAACCTGCGGTTATCAGACCGATGCATGCATGCTTAAAGTAGGTGTGCGTATATGATGACAGCCGCAATGCATGCGAATCAAGCGACGACTATAAAAGCCGTACTTGCTTGTAAGGTTGCATGGCTCGACATTGCGCCTATAATTACGTTATATTGTGAAGCATGCGGGTCATGGCAAGTCTACGGCAAAGCTATGCTGCCGTGCGTTCTCGCCTGCAGCAAACTGTCGCAATCGGACGCGGTTGCCGTGCTCGTCGGCGTGTACAGGTCGTTTAGGCCGGTGGGAAGGGAGGACTCGGGCGTGATGAGAGGGCCCCCAGAAGTGGTCGTTTGAACACCCACGGAGCCGTGCACGTGGGGATGATACCTGGCAGAGAGTGGGGCGGGCGGTTGTGGTCAATTGTTCTTATAGTGCTTTCGTCCTGTACAATGGTTTTCTTGCTGTTCGTCTCCTTTCAACAAACCCGTACCAAGGCACCTTTTAGGGAACCATTGTAACGGTCATTCATTCAAGGCACCGCCGTCCACATGCATGTTCCCTCGCAGCTTCACCTGCTTACCAGCTCATGCCGGGCGCAATCGCATGCGAGTCAACCGGGTAGGTGTAACGCAGTGTGGCAGCTGGGCGCTGAGTCAGACCGAAGCGGAAGGGCATGGCACTGCTGTCTGGCCGATCAATGGTGAGGATGTTGTCACCATACACCTCGCATAGCTGCTCGGAGCTCGTGTTGGCGTCGCAGTAGTACTGGGTTGTGCTTGGGAGAGCCAGCGGGTCGGGAAAGCCAGCGGTAGGGAAGGTGGGCTCGCAGATGTTGGTCACGTCAACGGCTCCGGGATCGACCTGAGGTGCGTGTGAATAGCGCAGGAAGTGGGCAGGTGAGCAGCATTGAAAAGGCACAGTGGGGCATA